TCCAGAAAAGGTGTTTCTTCGTCATCCTGCGGTGGAATCATGGTGGTATGAGAGGACGACAGAGATGAAAGACGTATCATGCTACGTGAATCCATTTCAGCGTGGTTGCTGACCGGCTTGTTGGCTAGCTAATCGATAATTAAGTCTACAACGGCAATTAGTGTTGCTGTCGAATCGAGGTGACCTCGAGGTGAGTTTGATTCGGTTCGAAAATGAGGCAGTTCGATACAACTCGTTGTAATAAGCATCAAATCAGGAACGAACGGCCAAATGAGATGCTAAATCTGGCCTGTGACTTTGGTGATTCGTTAGAGTACTCCAGCAACCTCACATCTCTAGCATTTCAAATTCCTCAATATGTACCCTGTTCCTCCGTTGCCCGTCCTCGAATCTTTTGTTCTATAATATAATTATACCTATTTTCATCGGACCGCAGTACTGATTTAGCGCCGGAGGACAGGCGCCTGCAATGCTGTACAAATGTTGAGCAATTCTCAAGCGACGGGTGTCTAGGTCATCGCATTAGAAATTCATGCATCATACTGTGAGTTTAGTATCATATTCAGATGAGTTCTCGCCAGTGGAAACAATTCTGCAGTTTCTGCTATCCCTTCGGCATCTGAGCGCCAGTATGTGTGCTGCTACTAGCGCCGTCTCTCGTGCAGCTCAGGCTCAAGCTCACGCAGTTTCTCGCCTGTCAATTATCAACGTCACAATTTCGACGCTCAGCATCAGTCACACACGCGCACATGACTTCAAGGCAAAACCAGCCTTCGATTGAAGAACTCACTGCACAACGTGCTAAGGCACTTGGAGGACCGAAAAGATGCTCTGCATGAGCTTGAGCGTTATGAGCATGAACCAGTCACGTTCAATGCGGGCGAGCGTGTGACTGATCTCGTTCGCTTCTGGGAGGTGAGCTCGACTTTTCCTTCACCTAAAGAAGGCGCTAATCACCTGAGGAGCCGAAAAATCGGCCATTTGTGAAGTCGTAGATGCAAAAACGACCCAGACTAATGCGTCATTGTTATGACAGTAGACGTTGATGGTCCTGCCAAGAATATGGGATGAACGAAACTCTTGTTACTCATGTTGCTCAGAAGGTGGGCCTCGTCGAACGCTATGACTGCGTCGTCCTGGGAAAATACATGTGGCGTTTTCAGCACATCAGAGTAAGCGGTAACACGAGTGATGTGCCTTCCAATTTCGGCGTCTTGATCTTTTAATCTGTTCATGCTCGGCGTGAGCTAAGTTGGCTGGCATATGCAGACGCCAAATGCATTAGCATCATGCAAGTCAATATTTCGTGTGTACGATTTGGAGGCCATCACGCGTGGAATGTACCCGCGTACCCCAGCACCCATATCTGCACGGTCTTCGTAAGAACCAGAAAGAGAGGTTCGAGAAGAGTCACGCACCATTATGTCAAGTCTGATCCCCAGTAACTTGTGTGTACCAAAAGTACGCTCTTCACAAGCCAAAACATAACTTATGTTATCGATGTTGTTCCATTGCAAGAAATTCAAATAGATACTTGTCTATTCTCGGAACCAAATATTATATTGGGCGAGGAGTCGAGGAAACTGAGTTGTCACAACGTCTGGCAACCGCCTGAGAATAATCCATTGATAAATTACGACATCGATAGCAATGTTGTATCACGTTTGCAGTGTATGGGTAATTGCAATGCAGCCTAACTCTGTGGAGAAGCTCCATATTAGTAAATTCTAATCGATTGGGTGTCTTCGGGGACCCACTGCAAGTTCCAATGATAAGAATTCCATGTACACCTACGATGTGTCCAGCAAATATCTCCACATCCCGAAGAGCAAATTCACTAAAAATCCAAAAACAATTCCTACTTGTGTGCGCCGTCTAGTGTACCAGTCAGTATGTGATTACGGGAATTCATAAATAGAAAAAGAGACTGACGAAAATATGACACTCTCCCCACTCTCGTGCTCGCCCTCTTCCCAGAAAACTGCGGGTTTCGTTTCACGTAAGAAGAAGAATGGTATGATCGGGAAGAAAAACCCAATGACAATCCCGCGGAGAATGAGACTCTGTGAGGAAGCAGAAGAAAGGGAGGCTGTGTTGACATTATCCATAGAGTCTATCCATTGTTCTTCGAGAGCTCGCGCATGTTCGTCATCTGCGGTATGGTAAGCATATTTTCTGGTAAATTTAAGAGGACATACAGTCTTCCTCGTTCTCAAACTCAATGTCAAGATAATTTGATGACGATTGACTATGAAACTGCCGCCTGAAATTCGCAATGTCATCTTCAGAGAATCCTGCAGCAGCAAGCCTGTCAAATCCCCTCAGTGGTTGCAATTGAGCAACCTATGCGAAAAGCAATGAGCGAACACGAATCATTATATTCATCAGCCACGCACTTGTGGTTTCTCCTCTTCGCTCTCTCCAGGCTCGATCACGGGGCCAACAGAACAATGCAACCACGTCACCAGTTGATCATCCTTTGAAATCTCTTCAGAACGGGAAGAGGCACGGACTTGTCGCTCCTCGAGGGTTGTCAGCCATTCGTGAAGGAATGTTCCGTCCGTCAGCAGGCGCCCAGCATGTATGAGACGAAGCCGACGGTCTTTCAATTGTGGGAGACCATTAACTATCTGTATTTATCTGCACATAAGTCAAGTACCAATTATACTTTCAACCACGCACATTAGCTTTAACATCCCTGACTGTGTCCTTCAGACTGACTGTGAGATTAAAGTCGGGGATACCCTCAGTGAACCGAATCGTGAGGTCTCTGGAATCATCCGGCGGTGTCGAGGATGAGGGCTGCTCAAGGGGCGGGTCTATTTCACGCTGCTTCCCTTTGGCTTTCTCGCTGAGCATAGTCCCTACGCTTGCTGTAGTCCTTCGTCCAATCTGAAAGCAGTTGAAAGCGCTGTCATTGCACAGCTATAGGTCACGTGAGTATCAGACGTATTACATTCAAGATGACTAAGCTCTCCTTCAAGAGACTCGGTTCTCCACTACCTAGTACCTACCTCAATCTTATCCGGACCTCCTGTTTATTGCCCAACATGCCGCGTGCAGAAGGTCAGTCAGACTAACATTTATGAGCATGAATCTCGCTAATGTTTAATGTACAGTCGGAACTCCAAAGTATCTCGCCAACAAGATGAAATCCAAGGGCCTACAGCGCCTGCGGTGGTACTGCCAAGTCTGTGAGAAGCAGTGTCGAGATGAGAACGGCTTCAAGTGCCATGCTCAGTCAGAAGCACATCTTCGCCAGATGCTTGTCGTCGGCGAGAATGCCGGGCGGCATATCGCTGATTTCTCGAGCCAGTTCCAGCATGATTTCGTCCAACTTCTAAGCAGACGGTGCGTAGCTCTCCTTCAAACTGATACAAATTTCTAAACTTTGTTTGTCACTCGTTAGATATAACACGAAACGGGTGCGCATCAATCAAGTCTATCAAGAATTCATTCAAGACAAGAACCACCTTCACATGAACGCCACTCGTTGGGTAACCCTCACTGAGTTCGCCAAACATTTGGGACGCTCAGGTATTGCGCGCGTGGACGAGACCGAAAAAGGGTGGTTCATTGCGTGGATCGACAGCAGCCCGAAAGCTCTCGCAAAGCAAGAAGCCTCTATCAAAAAGGATCGAGCTACGCGGGACGATGAACAGCGGGAGCGCACTCTGATTGCAGAGCAGATTGAGAGGGCAAAGTTGGATAAAAAGGCGAGTGGTGAGGAAAGTGCGAGCCCCCCCGTTGAGGAGGGCCTCAAGAGAGAAGAGGGCGCGGAGAAGGTTGTTCTATCATTATCTGCAAAGCCAGTGGCTACATCAGATACAACAGCCAAAGTTGCTCTGACAGGGCTGAAGCTGACTGCCATAAAGCCCGGAGCGAATCCTCTCAAAGTTAATCCGTTGAAGCGACCTAACGTGTTCAAATCTGCGGCGCCTGCCAAGTCTGAGAGCTCAGAGGGTGGCGGTGGAAATGATAGGAAACGGCCTGCGCCGATGTCAGCTGCAGAACGGCTTATCATGGAGGAGCAAGAGCGTAAGCGCCGGCGGATGGATAGAGAAAGTGTAGTCTAAGTTTCAGCTGCGTACTGTATCATTTTACTTTATTCTTATTGCATTTTTCAGCTATTGCGGAAATATTTCTACTTAGACTGCGACTGCAGTGTGTCGATGCGTAACACGACTTGTCGTGTATACACCCCTGGCGGCTCCCATCAAACGAGGAATGTTACAGACCAATCCTACACATGATCCAATATTGTGACGGTTGTATACGATGGTAATCGCCGAATTTGGAACTACTTGGTTGTGGTCTCCTCCACAACTTCATACCACCCATTTGAGAATTCGTACTAATCCTGCCGGCATGTACGATCTGCCAGGTTATACCGTCGCGATAAATTCTTTCACTACTTTCAGATCAGCAGGGGATGAATCCGTGTCCACCAATGTCAACATGCAAGGCCTCAGACCGCACGGGATGCGAGGACAACATGGCAAGCGTTTCATCATCAAGAACTGGTAGCTCTGTCACATCTGACGGGTACGCGATAGTTTTAAATAATGCATTACGAAGGTCACCAGGCTGCCGATATCTATAGTAGTGCTGAGCTCTATAATCACGAGGTTTGTCGGTGCGACACCAGTTCTGGCTACGCGGTCGCAAGTTTCTTGCATACTATCTAGTATAATGTGCTGCAGTGGGAGAACATGAAGAAGTCTTCTATGGGAAGAAAGTATGGGTGACTGATTCTCATTGTATTTTAATATCTGCCATCAATTGCAAAGGACCAGGTTGGTTGCTAGTCATTCCGGATAATTTCCCCTTACCACTTGGTTCAAGCACAGGACCTTCGCTCCAGTAGTGATACAACAAGAAATAGGTTTGCCTGGACCTTTTACATACATATACCTCGAAACCCCTATATGCTAAATAAATACCACGACGGATCCTCCACCGAATTTCTTCTCCCTGTAGACCACTCGGCAAGCATTTCCCTACACAGTACTGCTAGTTGATATATGTATATGTTCCTGGAAAACAATAGAATTCAGGCTAGTTTCTGCATCGGAGTATGCCACGAGTTTGGCGTGGTGTTCTCGAACGCTCAGGACGAGGCGTGGTCCCAGCACAAACATCTGTACAACCGATAAAATTTGAAGAGCACCATCAAGTGTCAGAGCTCCAATATAATTTGAATTCTATAAAACTGATGAGCAGTGGTTACACGCAGATGTTGGGGACAGGTCGGCGCACCGCCATTTCTGGAGAGAGATAAGGATAAGCAAGCTGGAGGCAAGAGACACCAGCAAAGCTAACATGTGCGGAACTTGAGCAGAAAAATATAACCGCGTTCACATTACAAGCTCACCTTGCAAAATAAAGAACGTGAGATTGTATCAGCACTCCGACACAGTCCCCGATGGTCAATCCTGTCGATAGGCCGAGTCGTCGCAGCTCACGGAAGTGTTTCACAGCCACCCAGACTGAAAGACACAGCGCGAGGAACTCCCAAACAGTCTTGAGCATCCAAGCCATGGAGTTCAGAAGCTGCGCGTACCCTCTATATACATAATATCACATATACGTGCCAGAGAGTATCAACTCCTCTGGTGTTTGTCCAATGAGCCGTGTTCTTCAAGTCAACTGGCAAATGCACTTACCATGTACAAGGTGATCGTTTAGTTCTATTGCTGTGATTACTCCGGAGGTGATGTTTACAGACAGGAAGATAGTAATAAGGAACATAAGCATTTTTCTAGATCCCTGATACATGGCATGCAACCGAGCAATCATGATGACTTGCATCGTGTGTCGGTCAGGTCAATATCAGAGAGGTATTGCACCCGGGTAACTCACCGCCCAACATGGCGATCAAGGCCATAGTTATCCCTCTTATTGCGTAGTATGCGATAGTGCCTAAAACTTCCAATTAGTGAACGCCCTCGCATCAGTATCAAAGACTCCGACTCACACCTATTGAGTCATTATGTTCAGCCAAGTTCAATGGTTGGAATCCGACTCACCGGGCCCCCTGCATATGAGCGTATTGATTGGATTGGAATGAGATGGTTGCAGAATACTTACTGCATCTGTCAGCGATACCGGTGGCATAGCTTCTGTGTCTCGCCGGTCAGAAAAAATGAAATACAGCGCATAAGAGACATACGCAGAAAATGGACACTAATTGTCAAAGATGAGCTATTAGCACAGTGTAAAGCTGTTGGTCTTGACACATGCAGAAAATACGGTAATCCAATATAGCGTATCTAGAACATTTTGGAGTTAGCACAAGTTGCCCACCACGCCAAAGCACAATACGAGTACTAACAATCAGATACAGCACGGTCATGAGAGACCAACGCTGTCTCTGTCGCGAATTCATTGCATGCTCTTGTTTTCTTCTGATACGGAGTCTTGTCACTCACCCAGATGAGTTCAATCTATGACACCATTCTTAGCGAGTTGGCTGCTGCGGCAATAATATCGACGTACCTCTTGTCCGAGTGTTAAGACTAGAAATGTCATGAGAATATCAGCGATTTTTGAACACTGTCCGGCTCACCCCAATCGTATACCATCACGACGCCCGCTGCAACTGCGAAACTGCATATCAACGTTGGATCTAAACATCCTGATGCGACGAACCCATCCAATAGTCGAAAAAAATAATCCAAATTGATTGTCGGCCACCAACTGGGATCATTTGAGACGTATGTCATGTTCGAGGGATGGGAGTGAGCGAGTGGGGAAGGTTAGTGGTGTATAACGACAGCGTTCGTGCTAGATATACCACCGTTCAGCATTTTTATAGTATAATGGAGATGTATATTTGATCCCGCCTCGAGACCCTTGATCGGGAAGCCCCGAAGTAGAATTTGATTTACAGCTAACATCATTTTTGTTCATGGTATAACGAAAACATTTTCTATATATGATCATATGTCGGCATATATGACAATATCTCGTAGCGGCTCACCAGTCCTCTGATGCATAGGATCACATCTTCACGCGATGAAGCGCACGGTAACCATTCCATTCTCCATCTTTCCATGGAAAGCCTCAGCCTGGGCGATACAATCGCCATAACCTAGAAGACTTGCTATATCCGCCCTTTTTGTGGTTCTCCGAGCGCTTCAGATGCAAAAATATTGTTAGGTGTTTACCATGGAGTTTGATGTTGATATTCTGTCGTTCGAGAAGCTCTACTGTTGCAGTGGCTGTCTTGACTCCGGAATTCTAGTGTAGGTCCATCCTGTGTTGGCGCAGATCAGTGACATCGAGTATTGGATACATGAATCTATGGTATACTTACCTGTGGCAACACCAAACATAATCATAATGCACATGAGGCGGGGTCTCCCATATGGGTTCTTGAAGCTTTTAATCAAAAGCCCGCGGTCCGCGGCGCTGCCTTTGGCGTTTGCGGAGTCAAAAAATGAGCCAGCCAACTTGTGGCGGTTACCGTGATCGAGGATACTAGTACTGGAACCGGCCACGACTAGCCATGACCTCGAACTGGACCTAGATGGCCGCCTGTCGGGCCAAGCCTTAGACGTCTGTTTTCAAAAATATGCGCAATCGCAAAAGCTGAAACTTGTGCGTCGGAAATGCCCGGCAAGGACCCCGTAAGCACATCAGCAGTATCCCAAAAGCACGTCGAGCGCGAATTGTTTTGCAACGCATGATATGATGTCGTGACTGCTGCGCCAAGATCTCGTACACGAAGTGGATTGGACTTATGGGAGCCTTCAGTTTCTGAGAAAAGGGTTCAAGGCTCGAAAGTAAATCCAGGAAGAAAAAAAGTGTGGTCACGGTGCATGACACGATGCAGTACAAGCTGCAAAAATAGGTTTTGCGGTAAGCGCTCATTCTGTAACGTAACGCAGCTGGCGCTGACACTAGCCAAATAGTACGTCTCCTCCGGGTCAACTTGGTGGAGTTAAGCTTGAAGCTTGCCAGGCCTCATTTTCATGGTTCTGTACCTACGGGCGATCCTGACCGGGCTAGGCTTCCTGTTCAATACAACTGCACCACATATCCGGTCCATCGTACGCCAATGTATCTTCTTCATCCGCAAGTCAGGTATCCGTCCTGCACAGTCTGGCTTGCAAAAGCTTTTGAGCCGTCTCCTTGCATGCTATCAGAAGATTTCACCAAAGAACAGTAATGCAGAACCTGAGACAACACATTTTATAGCTGCGAGCACCATCCATCCGGTCCTTGCGCCAGTAAACGATCCGAGTCAGAGCTCACCTATCCAGGCAAACCAGCTTCAAGTTCAGGTCAGTCAACATCCTGCTCAAGGTTCCAGCACTTCCATCGATTCCCGGTCACCGTCTACGTTGCCAACGGAATGGGATTTTAAAAGGTTCAAACCGTTGGCTCCGCAGCTTTGTCAGAGATACAAAGGAAGGGTACTTGTGTATGCTTTTTTTTCTATCAGGTTCTCTTGATCTCAACTATTCTATTGGTCATGATATAGAAGGAGTGACATTGAGACCAAGCCTATCCCAGCCAAAAAGAAGGATTTTTCAGAAACGCCTGTTGACGGTTGGGAAAGTGTCGTACATCCGGAGGGAGCGCTGTACTTCTATGATGCCACTCGGGTATGTTTTGGTGTCTCATTTTGATTATTTGCCTGCGTTTATAATTTTTCTAAAGCACGTTTTCACGGACGCAAATTTGAGGAGCAAAAGGCTTCTCAAGGCCATCAATCATCTGGCTTACCAACTACTCTTGAAAGCCAGTGATATAATCGATGACTCGACACATCTGGTTCTAGAGTTGCAAGCGAAAGAAGACGCATGTAATTATTACTTCGTGCAACACGATAAACGACTCTTGTTTTGGCTGCAGGATTTCGATGAGCCCATATGCATCTACGAACATGTCAAGGGTGTTAAATCGGATACTCACATCAGTGGGTGTCTCTTGACTCTCTTGAATAAGGTTAACTTATCGGCAAACAACAGAAATCGCCCTTGAGGCACAGTATTGGTTCGTCGATTGCATTGTGTACGTAGCTTATCGCTCATTTTGCCCTACATCTCTAACGATGTATTCAGTTTAAAAGTTATCGTTGGCCGACATCATGATCGTGAAGGATGCACTGTGAACTATACCCGAGCAATGCTCCCATCCAGCCTCAGATTGCCACAGAACTCAAGCATGTTCTCCTTCACGCACACTCAGGTTGGTTATTCCCAGCTAGTCTTCGCGCAACGATGAATTGGGACATCTTTGTAGACTTTCTGACATCCGATACCTCTGTTGCTCCCTATGACCTCTCTACGCTACAAAGCATGCTGGACCTTTCAAACAATCTCGTGGAATACGTAGGGCCTCTAACACCATCTAGTGATGAGTGTGTGGAATTGCCTGCTCATCTCATGTGTGTACTAGGTGCGCTATATATTCCTCCTGAAGCATTCTTCCACTTACACACCGGAAGCTCGCCTGATGCGGTTGTTCGGTGAGCATAGAAACCGTGCAAGAGACAATGGGCAAGGTCACTGAATCGACCCTTCAGCTCGTTCAAAATTCTTGAACTTCTATGGACAAGCCAGCGCGCGTCTCAATGCTAACCAGTCGGTCTACGAAGTCGAACAAAGTAGACAAAAAGGCACATTTCGACTTAGGCTTGCGAACGTGTTCCTCTGGGGCGCACCAGCTGCACAGTACAAATTCCTGAAAAACACATGGGTAGACAACATTTTGAACTATCCTAAGTGGTACAAGCACATTAACAGACTCAATGGCGACTGGAGCAACGTTACCATCTTTGTAAGCGGTTTTCTTAAACTACCACTTGTCATTATCAACTTTTTTTTGGTAAGTCCACTGTGATGTTGGCAGTTGATGTTAGTTTTCTGTGCGCTCCCGGGGTTATCAATGCAGCAGCCATGGTCATATATTTGTCCACGATGTGCTCTGTCAGTTCTTTGGTGGTTTCCATACTTCTCGCTGTCGAGAGCCGCGGATGGGGCACAGACTCCGCTGAAGGCGCCGTGCGTTGCCTGTTGCATGCTAAAAGGTGTATAATGCTCATTTGTCCTTCAAGGCATCGTTCATGGCCCGAATGATCCACACACAATCAGACGTCGAAGCGCTAGCGATCATGTACAGCCTTCCATATGCATACTTAATCTGGGGGTAAGCAATATTTGTGCATCGCATGATTCAAGGTTTATTCACGTCCACGCAGAATGTTTTGCTTCGTTACCGCTCTGGGCATTTATGTTTTCCACTCGACAAATCCAGCAACACTGGTTGTTGTAGGTCTTTGCTGGGTTGCTGCTACGGCCTTGACACTATGGCCCGCGTGGTGGGGTAAATTCGTTATAACACCATGGTCCGTTCCATCCAGGAAGGGAGGACATGTGAAGGAGACTGTTTGAGCTTGGTCGTTGTAGGGCACGGGGTATGGAGGATGAGTGATCACGTACCCTGGGACACGCAGGCTTGGCGCTGACCCCAGACAGCGCGCACTCGTCGTAGTCGGCGACGTGCGGAGGCCTGAAACTCGATGCGTAGTTACCAATTATGCGCATTTCAAGATGACGTCCCTTCATACAAGCCCGGTGATACGATCATCATGGCGACCGAGCTGCATGATGCTTTGGAACAAGCTGTCAGGCTTGTGGAGGACAGCTCTAGCAGATACACGTAGCTTTGCCATGGCAGCCCCGCGGCGAATGTAAGATGATTTTGTATATCATTTATTCTGACTCGGAGTTATGACTATTCCACTGTTTCCTCTAGTTCTAGATATTACTATGTAAGTTTTGTATGGATATTGATGTACCCTCCTCCTTGTTAATCCAAACTCTACCATCTCCCCGCTCGAGGATACCTTTGGCGTCCTTCAGTACCTTGACCTTTTCATCTGAAGGGAGCACAGAATTGTAACTGTTACTCTGAGCGCGATCCGTAACAATTTATTTGCTAGCAGGAAGATGATATGTCCACTCTGCCTCCTCCTGGGGATGGAACAAGGACTCGGGATACTCAGGTGTAGAGAACGGGGTACGAAAAGCTATGTACATCACAGCAAGTAGTAGGCGGTTTGTCGAATGCTGGACTATCAGTCGATCATCTGCTATTTCACGCAGTGGTTCAAGTAGCTGAGCTACGGAAAGTAGTCACATTCGCGAACAACTATCAGCCAAAGAAGTTTGAGCTCGTATTTTACGTAACGAACTTTCTATTTCGGGTCTGGTAATGGGGTTCGAACTCGAACAGAACTTAAGTTTAACAGGCCTTATCATTTGGTCCACACGAACCTATAATCATGGCTTGGGTTCGAAGGTGACTGGTGAGGCCTAGGAAGCATAGCTACTAGGTTCGAGTTCAACGAAAATCTACCCGAACCGGACAACCGGAATACAGCAACTCTAGCCCCAGCTAAACGTTGCTGAGCCCCTAATGCCCGGCCCGCGGTGACTGCGCAACTTAATTGTCGTGTCACAACCCCCGAAGAGCCGAAAATACTAGTACGCTTGTCAAGTGTGCCAAGACAAAAACAAAGGTAATATGCAGCCTATCTGATCTCTACATCGACTGATTCATCGCACAGTACAAATATTAATCGAACAGGCAGTATTACAAGAGTCATGAATGTGAAATGAAAAATGCAGACCACGAGCAGACTTTGAAGGCGAGGCATTTAACAGCACATCTCGCATGGGCAGCCTGAATGTCACAAGTCAGCGCCGTTCTAACTGTAAAAGGGACGTAAGACGCACAGATGATATCTGCGCCACACTCGCAACATTCCTGAAATGATGGTCGCAGTCAGATTAACCCCAAAAGAATCGCTATATCCACCAATCACCTTGCAGCACTCTATATGAGGAGTTTTAGTCGACAGCTTCCAAGTATCATTGGGGGTCTGGACTCACCGAAGCACAGGAAACACTCGAGTGCACCAAGGAAGCAGTCCTAGGTAAAGCGAGCAAAGATCAACCACCATTCTCGACCTTCAACTTTTGAGAAACTGTACTTTGGCAGCTCCTCCTCCTCGGAGACGCTTAGCGTGGTGCTCCTGGTGGCTCTGACTGTTCTTGGCAGGAGCAGGGTTTACAGCATCTATTCAAAGCGACCCGTAGCCCATGAATGATATGTCTTATATTAGTTGCAAAAAACATACTCATTTGAATGGCAGCCTGGGGTTGGTTGGTGGTAGCTTTAGCGGTGGACTCCATGTCGTTGTTGAATGTGATTTTTGGGGTAAAGGGCGAAATTCGGGAGAGAAATCAAAGGGCTGGTTCAGTTGTAATTGTGAGGGCCTTATATGGTGCCCCTGGTCCCACATTACGCGACAGAACCGGAAACACGTGCCTAATGATGTCAACTAAAAGCTACGCGATCACCTTGTGCGATCTATTATAGTCGCTTCTAAAAATTGTACCCTAGCGGCTATGTAGCTCCCCGTCGTCATCCATGACGACGACTGTGGAGGCCAGAGCATGCGCAGCGATCAGCGATACATCTTTCGGACGAACCATCCACCACTGGGAGTAGAAGGGTTAGCGCACTGGAAATGCGTGTACTTGTCCTGTTGGCAGTTGAAAGAAACGTGTATCGGCGATCTAACGCTGTAGGCCCATGACACCCTCATTGCCAACCGCAGGGTGCCTACTACCGACAGTAGCCGAATGCCCTGCAACCCTTCTTGGTGTTCAATCAAATCATAGCCGGAGTATCTTCCGTTCCGACCCCGTGACGGGGCAATAGGTTTACCCGTCGGATCGCACTGTGCCAAACACACAAGCCCTAGTTGCATACAAATTTCAAGCTTCCTTCGGTGAGTCGAGTGTTTCTTATTCTCTGCTTCTTCAAGTTGGCTACTTGGCAGCTGTGAAAGCACTCAACATTAAGATTCTTGCCTCATGTGTAGGGTCCTGCATACTAGGCTTGTCTTCCAATTCAAGATCTGCAACCGATGAGACGCAGGTCTTGTGAGCAGCGATATAACAAGGCTCGTTATCGTAAATCATACACTAGATTGACAGGTATATGTTTCAGCTTGAAGCTATTTTGGTACGGTCTCATGTATGCTGCAGATAGAACACGCGTTCGAGTTTTTTTACAGTTTGTCCCCAGTGTCAAGGAGGGTTTCTTGTTCAAAATCATGTAACATCGGTGGCCTACTAAATCATCTTGCTGTAAGGATCTCTTGTGTATGACGTCACGCCCCTCTAGGACTCGAGGTTTAAAAATATCCTAACATGTACAGGCCCTCCCACGAATAACATGATGGTGTTTACTTTGTGGTGCTGCAGACGATAAGAACCTTGGGAATATCCTTTTCCCCCACAGACACTAGAGATGAAGCTCACCTTCAAACCACCTCATGTGCGTAACACCGTGATTACAAATGAACAGGGTCATGTTCTGTACTCGACCTCGACCGCCTTCACGTTCGATACTCGTGTGACCGTCGTCAAGAAGCACGTCCCAAACGAATTCAATATCGGCAAAGTAGAATCGTCAGAAATCCTCGCAAAGATCGAGTGGCACACATTTGCCTCAACTGTCATCAAGTATGACGGGATGGATTTGTTGGCGTCTCAGTTCATTCCGAATAAGGGGATTCTTGGACGGTGAGAGCGTAATACATATGAGCCGTTTCACTTGTTTCAATACTTTACAGGCGGCGTGTTTTCCGAGGTCCCGATGGACTGTTATACAAGTGGAAGATCGGCCCGCGCAATTGCACTGTAAGTCAGCTGCGCTTATTTTCAATCGCTTTCAACAAAAATGTATAACGTGATGCATAACTGTCAGCTCATGCTCGACGGCAAGGAAGTCGCACGGCATCACCCGATGGTTATTGGTTTCAACAAGCCAGGACATGAAGCATACCTAGAGGTCTTTTCGCCAGTCGAACATATGTTGGACCTGGTAGTGCTGACGTTCATATATGTGGAGAAGCTGCGACGAGGAACTCAGGAGGCCCCTGGAACGGATCGCATGCATGCACCGATTGAACCAGCTAATTAGCTTCAATATGAAAGGCTTATGCGAAGAAGGTGAGATGAACTATCTCCGCATCATGACCGATGCGAAGGCTGAATAGTTTGCAGAATATTGTACATCCCTCTACGATCTTCGCAACGCCTGCTTGGAGCGTTTTACACGCAGGGGGACGACTGATCGTGAGTAGTATTAGAGGCAGACGGGGGCGCGCGAGGGAATACCTTAGCACCAATGTGACCCAGAACAATTGCCTACCAATGTAAAGAGATGTTCTAGTAATTGTGAGGCTTGTGTCCGAGTCATGGACCATACGTAGGGTTATCTACGATCGGTACTCAAACGTTCATGCATACATCAGGTACAAGCATCGAAGTGCTTGATCATGAGCAAGTTCTGTGCTTTTTCTGGCATGATACAGAAACACTTGAATTACGTCGACGTCAAACAATCAAGTATACACCAGCTCTGTCGTGCCAGGACGTTTGTCGACTACGATGGCTGTAACCTGAGTTCTGCCGCTCAGAAGAGTGTCCGCGGAAGTTTGCATGAACTCAGCGGTATTGTTGCATTGCGGTTACTGGATGATCGATACATTTCCTGGATGCATGCTGATATGCAAGTCGTGGTCTTTGGGTTGTCATGCTAGCCTGCTGCATGCGATGCCCTAGGTTCATCCAAACAATATCATAATGCGACCAGTGCGAAGACACCTGAAACCACGAGCTAAGAAATCAGCTGCAGAAGATCTAGAGTCTTCTTGGGCGTATTGTGATCTGTGACAAGATGTTTCACAAGGCAGGCAAAATAAAATCAAAACGTGTTTACGCATCTTCTTCCATTATGCTTCGTATCCAGATGTACTACGATCTCGTCCGGGAACGGGGGCCGTTGGCAGTATCGCGAGAGTGGTCCGTGTGAAGCGGAGAAAAACTTGAAAGCGCGAAAGTGGCAGCAGGATGTGCACATTTTCTAGCAGATTGTTGTGGAAACAACACTCTGCACGAAAATGTGCACAATCGTGAAGTGGCAGCGCCGGCGAGGTCCCGCTACTATCAGAGTTGCTACAGAGTCCAGACGCTGATACAGTGAAGACAAACGAATCTCCCAGAACAACTTGGCCAACAGCTACAAATAAAGAGACTACAAATAAATAAGATTACGAAGTAACGGCTTCCGGAAGAACGCTTTCTATCTGAAGTTGATCCAACCCCAGAGCCCGCAGAAATCCATCTGCCAAAGCATAATATCAATGGCTGCATCACCTCAACCTTACTCAGGATACGCTTTTCCGATCACGGCTACTCCGTGTACCTCGTCCAAGATCCCGCCGAAACCGAAACCGGTCAACGTATTCTCAAACGATGGATCATTTCTGGAAAGGTTCCAGAGGAGCAGGAAGGTGGGCTCCCGCAGATATCCTATATCTTTTACCTAGATAATTTGCTGATGTATTCGGTCGTCTGAGTAGGAGGAGGAGGATAAACGGAAAGCTGAGGAGGCGCTCGCGAGGCAAGTTTGATCGCTTTTTGTATTGCTTGACACCTTATCATATTTGTGTCTCTGCAGGAAGAGGCAATTTGATGAAAGATTTGTCAGTACTACGCGTTATTTCGTTCCACATCGGCCTGACTCGTACCCCAGAGAAAACGAGGCAAGCGTCAACAACCTGATACTTCTTCTATAGTCACCCAAGGAAAACCTACAAAGAAAGTCAAGTTTGACGGTGCCCCATTATGTGAGTACGCGTTTTTGTAAATGACTTGTAACTCACTATGCGAAAGGATACATTGTCGATAATGATGCATTCTCTTATGCCCCAATAGTGAGTCTCATTGTTTGATTGTCCGCGCTCCCCCACGTATCATCAGTACTAATGACACGGACTTGGAGCCAGCCAGGTATCAATGCGCTCCCATGATATCTCCATAATGTGTGCCTTTACTCTGTAGTCTTGAGCTCACTATCACTGGCAAAATTAATGATAAATTTGAACACAATGTGACCGAAGACAATCTTCATCCACTTGGTGAGACTGGTGGAACATCATGAAGGCCGCTGAAGGAGTCCATTCCAGCCCTTGGATACCGTTCATTATCCAGAACATTTATATCTACTGACGCTAGCACGAACCGTGCTCGATTTGCGAACATATCCTTTTTGCCCACGGTCAATTGTATACAGCGTTATCGAGAGTAAGAATGCGAAGAGACACGTGCTTATTTTCAGAGGCGAACGAACAAGACTGTACATGCGAATATTGTATTTCCTGATTTGCTACTGTAAATACATTGAATGGCACCTACGCCTTCGTAACTCCATGAACACAGAATGAGGGCCGGCAGCCGACGGAAGTTGTAAGAGTATAAGCTCAGAGGCCGATGGTACCGCATGCTAGTACACCTACATCCTCTCAAACTTCACTGGTAGTACCTATCCTACTCATCGACATCGACGAACGTCGTAATTAATTTACCTGAGCGTCTAATGTCATTACTAACATGGACGGTACGCGGACACGTTCATTGCTATCTCGAAGACGGAATAGAATTCGTGATGCCAGGACGCTGTGAACGACCAGCTGTAGCCTAGTGCAGCGGGTTCGAGATCAACTAGTAGTCAGAGTGCAGGCGATGACGTACGAGTTAAACATATTGCTGTAGGTGCTCTGCAGAAAAGAACAGAAAGTTAGCGAGTCGTAGGATTCGACAGACCAGACACGTACTGGAAGGGCACCCTCAAAGATAACATTGGCGAGTGTGACGGCTTCCTTAAACGCGTTAGTCAATGACATCTCGAGAGCCAACTATTTCCACGCACCGAGGATGCACACCATGTAGAACATGCCACCGTGGTATAGGGTTACTACAAGTCCGCTCTCAAATTCTTTATAGTCGTGAACCCTCTTATATACATTGAGGATTAGCATCACTGCCAAGTTGTTATGGGTAAGAATGCCGATAGATAGCTTTGGATGCTCACTGACCACTTTCGAATATCGCCAAGATCAAGTACACGATCGCAGCGTTGCGTGTGCTCTCAAAGTAGCAGGTTCCTAGGGGGGGCTCCTCTGATAGTCATATTAGAATGACTTTCATTCGTGAACACCAATGAACTCACCTCCTGGAATCAACATTGTAGGAGTCAAGTCTGCGGCAATGGCGGCGATAATTGACAACTGTGCAATAATAAAGTCTATGCTATCATCTTTGCTCTGTAAAACACGCACCACACCATAAACAAGTAACCCGATCAGCAATTTTTTACTCCTTTGCCAGAATGCCCAGGTCCGAACAACCAGCAAGGCTACCAAGGAAGTGAGGCCCACTGCGCTCTTAACATGCATGTAGAACGCACACCTTCCGCAGCAACGATACTTATGACGCGAATGACTGAAATTCACATTGTTCAAGTTGCATGAATTTATGAACTGTTTGGCAGGTAGACTCACTATATCCTTCCACAATAGATGTACACTTTCCCCATGCAATCAGCTCAGCGTAGAAACTATTCGCCGCCCAAGCTTACCTGATCGCTGACACGTAGTGCGTCTAATATATGCCCATCAGCAACACACAAGATAAGGAGAATTGAAGTGGGTCACTCGCCATATGCAGTCATTCCAACACCGTATACTTTGATGCCGGAGTTGTCCCAGAGCACTGCACCCACCATTAGCTTATTTAAAGAAGACCATGGTAAAATACTCACTAGCATAAACACCGCCACCAATTCCATTGAACCCCGATGCAAACGAGACGCTCGAGTTAGAACGAATTCCACACCCCTGGTTACCAGTCTGAGCTGCTGAGCAATCAGTAGACGCAACCAATGTGCCAGACATATTAAGCAGGGCACTGTTAGTGGAGGGTAATGTACATCCTGGGTTGGTGTGAATCGTTGCTTGATTGTTCGTGTAGTTGCTCACGCCCTCGATGATGTCGATCTCGCCTCCGGCTGGCCAATTAGGGCCATTGGTCCAAAAGGCTAACACCGATGTCAGAAAAATCCGACAAAATGAAACACATCGCTATACACCAGGCCACGTTGCACATCCAGTAGGCATATGCACGGCGTCCATCACAACCAAGCCACCATAAAAAGTGGCTTGAGTCGTAATTCGCACACTCTGCCGATTAGTCTGGACTTGTGGCGTTGTTTCAACACGCATCACGGCGTTCCCGTTCGAGTTAATCTCGATGAGACCTGCGCTCTGAGCGGTGCTTTGATCTACATACTGAACATTCCCACTTGTCGGGTCTGCCGCAGTGAAGAATGTTTGCCCACTGTAACTATTTATTGCCTTCCAAGATGATGATGCAACACTGGCGCAGCCGTTCCAGTGGAAGTCGCATTTCCGTTCATGTTTGGGGATGAAGATGAGATGATGAATATGACACGAGTTACATCCCATGGTCTAAACCAGGTCCATTGCACCTATGGGGAATGGTCAGAACAACAGTCGCGAACAGACAGATATTTCCTCGACCTCTTCGGAAAAAGTGATGCAATAATTAAACACCTGCAACGTCGAAAGAAATTTGAGGTGGAAACACAAGAAATGTGTTTGATACTCACGAGGATTGCAAGACTACCCACTAGAAAAATAGTCAATGCCGCCATTCAGTTTTTAGACGATCCGCGGACACTCGTAATTGGCGTACTAAATTAGACGTAATGTCAACCTCAAGTTTATCAGAGGCAAGTCGTCTTTTACTCACCTTGACAGTCTGCAAATTCGTTAGGTCTGAGACTGATAGCAGGGAAGACAAGATTCCACGTTACACGGTGTTGCCGCCGAGCGAAGCGACTTCGAGTGTTTTCAGCAATTTGCAAAATGGTTGGCACTGTCACATTCGTAAATATGGGATAATTCTAATGAGAAACCCCCTTACCTGGGGGTACTTGCTTAGTCAGCAGAAACCCTTCTGACTTTCAATACTGTAGCAGGGTTTCTGACGGCCGGGGCCCACCGCCGGTCCGCCACACTCAACCAGCGCCGTACTGCTAAAAAGGGCCACAGTGTGAGTAGATCAGTTCGAGAGCATCATTTATCTGGTGGGTAGTATTAAAACTAGGAGTTGCTGCATAATTCAGAAATAAGGCTTGTGTGTTGACTAAGTTTGTTTGTCTGGTACTTAATTTTCAGTATGTTCTCAGTGCTCACCGCCGAGTTTTGGACATGTTTTTAACCTAGGGTATCCCCAGGGTAGTTATTGAGAGGTTATTGACACCAACCATATCGTGATTTTTGTGCTACAGAGTTTGAGAAAGGCCAAACTTCCAGAAAATGTATTTCAAACTTTGCATTGCAAATCACCCACAATGGTCAGACGATGTTACAAGAAAAAACAACTGATATTTGATTACATAGAATATACACACAAAAGTAATTACTGTATAGCTACAATTGACCGCAAATACCTAATCATCCCTGGCTTAGATTAGCAAAGCCGTACCTGTTGCAGCAAGAACGAGTGCAGACAAGCACATACAAGTGTGAACATGTGTGGATGAGCATAAGCTAATAAAGCTACATTAGTGAAACATGCGAGTGGATTTATAGAAAAGACGTACGGTGACCCCTCGAAGGAGGATCGACACGCTGCGAATGGCAGACAACGACTTTGATCAGCATGGCTCGAGCTCGAAGGAGGATCAACACACTCACCCGCTGCGAACGGCAGACAACGACTTGGATCAGCATGGCTCGAGCTCGGAGGTTCGACACACTCACTTCCTGTGAACGGCGGATAGTAATGACTTGGATCAGCATGGCAGTTGCTCGAACGACGATCGACGCACTCACTACCTGCAAACGGCGGACAACAACTTGGATCAGCGTGGCGGTTGCTCGAACGACGATCGACGCACTCGCCTGCTGTGAACAGCAGACAACGACTTGGATCAGCGTGGCTCTGGCTGGAACGAGGACCGACACACTCACTTCCTGTGAACGGCAGGCAATGAGTTGGATCAGCGTGGCTCTTGCTCAAACAAGGATCGACAGACTCACAATCCAACGACAAAACTCGATACCTAGTTTGTAGTTACAAATGTTAAATAGAACTTTCAAAAAAAATACCTAGTATCAGCTTGATGATTGAGGCTGACGACGTTGAACGTTGAGTTTCGGTGCGCACGGCGGAGACAAACGGCGGTCTTCATTAGGTAAGCAGAGGTTTCTACTCAACGTTCCTGTTGATGTCGGGGTTTCTTTCCCACGGGGGGTTTCTCATTAGAATTATCCGTAAATATGACGCGTTCCCTTGTTAATGTCACATCATTGAATTACCTTGCCATTTCAGGCAGCATTTCAACGGCATCTAAATGGACACCCATTGCAACTGCTTTCGCAAATTTTCGACATCTAGCATGTTTCGCTGCACACATAGAACAATGCAGCCCCCATCAATAGTGCCCAGACAATGCATATTACTCTCGAAAGTTCATGCATTATTTGGTATGGGGTTTTTAGTGCATAATGGCTGCGCCCACGATGGGACCCTGCCAAAGCCGATGCATTATCTAGGATATGCATAACTGGGATGTGTACTGTATATTATGCGACATGCTGTACAGTGACATTGTCAATCTCGGACTCCGAGGGACAGTACCTGGTTGTGGCTTGCCACGGTTAACTTAATGATCGCCTGTGATCAAGGACCGACAATACTAGTTGATACGGTGCGCAGTATTACTTCAACTTTCCGCGCAGTACTAAGTTCAACTATTCCGCTGTGTTTTCATACAAAAGGCAGACCAGTCTGACAACTATCACATCATTTTCCATATTCAATTTCTTGAATTTTCTTCCTCCTTCCTCAATTCCAGAAAAATGGCTCTCGACTCTCAGGGAATCCTTGCAGCGGTGACCATCGCAATATATATTCCCTTCCTATTCATTGCAATCAAGTTGGTGATGAAGTACGGCAAATCGCGAGGTGATGGTTGGATCTTGTTGTTGGCATTTAGCATCAGTAAGTTGTTTAATTTATTGCAGTTATAGTTTTAACCCTGTTATAACTTCAGTCCGACTATTGGGAGGTGTTTTGCTTGTCGCAGCTGAGGCTATCACGCCCGCAAACATTTCACTTTACACCGGCGGCTATTCCCTAGAGTCATCTGGCCTATCCCCACTGTTGCTTTGCACGCTGGGTCTGTTGCACTCAATGTAAGTTCATCCAGTTGTCATCGTAGATCGAATGTGCTGAACACTATTATAGGTTCCGAACTCCCGATGGCTCGTCGAGATATAACAAACAAGTTCGCCTTCTTCAACTCCTCGGCATGGTCGCTCTCCTCCTTACCATGATCGGCACCTCCGATGACACAAGTTCCAGTGGGAACACCATGCGCAGGGTCGGTGTGATCCTCTTTTGCGCCCTATACATCATCCTTGTCGGCGTTTGCGTCTACGTATGGACCCAAGTTGGCTTTGTCATGAGATACCACAAGCAGGTGAGCTTTCCGGAACGCCATCATCTGTTCGACTTATTTTCTTACGCCTTATCTTTAGCTCTTGAAGGCTGTCTCTATCGCACTTCCATTCTTGGCCATTCGGACGCTCTACGGCGTTCTGTCCACATTCTCTTCGAGCACGGTTTCGGTAACCGGATCCACTGAGTCCAACACCAGCGATCTGGCAAAATTCAACATGATCACGGGCGAATGGCAAATCTACCTCGTAATGGACATGCTCATGGAGTACGCCGTTGTGATCATCTATGCTGTTGCAGGCATCGTGCTTCCCCTCAACGAAGATTACAAGTCTGCAAATTCGCATCAAGATGAGTACCCCTTGAGTAGGCCTCAGATGTGAGCACCGATGCGCCAGTGAATGACAGTCATGTTCAGTTACGAAGCAGGATGTCGGTTTAATGGGCCTAATGATACCGTCTCCATAATGCGTCTGTCTACAAGGTTACCTACCGCTCGTAGATATGTTGATAGGTCTTTTATTCAACGGTGGTGGTGTAGTGTTGATTCATATTATGATCTAGATCTATGACGATGACATTACCTCTGAGGGAGTAAGGACACTGAAAACAAAGAGCGAAGGCCTTCAGGACATTATTACCAAGTTGACTGACATTGGCCTGGCAAATAGCTCACGGACAAAAATGGATGTCCGAGTCCGATCGAAATCTGACGGTGCGCATCATGTCCTTATAAAACACGTTACACAGCAAATAACTATGTCGATAATGAAGCTAGAGCCCAGACATCTACCGTCTGCCATATGTAAGGACTAATCGTTCCATGAAAGCAATTCGCATGATTATTATGTGCGGGTTCCACATGAGGTCGTCATACTTGCATCAAGAGATAACACATAGGAAGTAAGAAATTGTCCTAAGAATTAATGACGACCGTCAGTATACTTATGAGAGGCACAACAGATAAAAAGCCAGAAGCGAATCTAGCGTGCAGGGTAATTTATCGTCACATGAGGAGTAGCGCTCGAAGTTGTATCACCGACGACGAGGGGCACCATAGAGACAGCAACATGCGATTGCGAAGACGACTGTGTTTGAGGGGACATTGAAAACAGATGCTGAAGGCCTTCAGGACATCAGTCCTAGGTTGAGTGGGTGAGACGGAGTGGCTCACTGACAGAAATGTACATCCGAGTCCGACCGAAATTCGACGTCGCACATCATGTCCTTATAAAACATGTAGCAAATAATCATGCCGATAATGAAGTTTAGAAACCAGATCTACCATGTGTAAGGACGAAATGTTCTGTGGAAGCAACTCGCGTGACTTCACCACCTACTATATGAACGGACGAAACGTTTCGTAGAAGTAATCCCATGTGCGGGGCTCCAGGTGAGGTCCCGATAATTACATCAAGCATGCGATAAATAACGATATACCTCCATTGTATATGTTCGAGGAATATGGGACGTGAGAGATCGTGGTAAAGATTAATGATAGCCGTCGGTATAATTAGGAGAGGTGCAACAGATAGAGTGCCAGAAACGAGTCCAACACCCGACACTTTTTATCTTCGCATGAGGATTAATGTTTGAAGTTGTACTAGCGACGACGGGAGGTACGGTGGAAGTAGAGACGGCAAGATGGGGTTGCGAAGACAACTGGATTTGAGTTGCGCTGTTGAATTTCTGTGTGAAACCTTGAGGTACTCCAGTTGAGACTGTCAATTGTTTGACAGACAGGAGTCACAGGACGTTGTGTAGCTTCAGCCTAGAATACATGAGCTTGGGTACAATGAGAAAAATTTGCGAAAGTATCACATACAGGGAGCACTAGGAAGGTCGTTGAAACCAACATCTCTTACTATTGCAGAAATATCCCGCTTTGGTCATTGCCACCGTCTCAGAGTTTGTGTCAAGAATCCGAGTGTCCTGAGGGCCGGCAGCTTGTTTGTCCTCTTCCGACTGGAAAAGTGGCAAACTGACAGAAAAATGCTCCATGAGTTTTGAAAAGATATCTGGCTTGAAAATTGCCCATGAGTTTTCGCTGTCCTTAGATACAGTGACGAAGTATGATCCATAAAAACAGCTTTGACACCCTCAATGCTCATAAGACGGATGGGAAGTAGGGACGCGCTGTAAGAGTCGGAGAGCACCTTCGCCAATCACATGAGGTGGCGATTCACGACGATCTTTAACTCCGCGGGATCGAACGGCGAGTGATGGGTATGGAACAACAAACAGGATTTGGAGACCGCTCCGTTGGTGATCTCTTGCAGGCTCGCGGTTACATAGACCAACATGGGCAGCTCGTAATCAGTATGCCAGATACGGACTACAAACTGTTCATGTTTCCATCTCGGTTGCCTCCGCCTTTGAAGGGCTTCCGTTCGAACTGTTCTAACAAGTAAAGATATAAGTTAGCCATCCGAGACAGTAGTATATGACACGGATAAGTAGAATGAAAATTTGTGCGAAAGAGGAGTCGGGGGCTTGGGGCGTGAGCGCCGTTACGATTTACATAAGGCGTCAATGTCATAGGTTACTAAGCTAGAAGAGTACCGATGTCCGACTCATGCATCGGGGTTAAATTTATTTAACCAAGTTGAATCAACACGCGACGCTGGTTCGATTCTGGACCTCATGACTCAGCGTCACCCCTAGAGGCCCCTTTCGAACTTGGACATAAGTATCTCACTGACGTGACTCCTTTCTGCACGTCGCTTACTTGTCCTCAGAGCACCGTCTGCTCGTGCACATCCTGCACCAGTTGTTTTTCGTCTCAATTGAATTCTATAATATTGAATTCGGTCATACTTCCATTTTATGTCAGACCAAGCTACCTCTAGTCAAAATGCCACCAATACGTCGCAAACCCAATCGTCTCTTAGGGGACCCGCAATGCGAGGGTCTTCACTTGATGCCGAGTCTAATGGAGCGCATTTACCCGAACAAGTCATGGCGAAAAGATGCCTTGACATCGTCAAGGACTTCAGATCATCCAAAGTCACTAAGTTTGATGCCATATACACCATCTCATGTAACGTCAGGGAAAGTTTACCCGGTGACTCAGGCGAAGATCCCGCTACGGTTGCGGCTATCTACCTCACCATGCTTGATGAATGGGTAGGGAATGACATGGGTATACCCATGGGTATGACATGAATGATTGGTACTACACACTTAGATATCTTAATGAATGTTGTAGTAGTACTGGAGACAAATATACTGCTAGTCTCACCTTGTTAATTGGCAGTCATTTGAGAGAGATATAAGCTAAATAAAAACCCAACATCAGTAAGTTTTTTACATACATACCCACCGTGTGGGTGTGGGTAGGGGTGTGGGTATCCTAAGTGCCTACCCCCACCCATACCCCTGGGTACCCACACCCACAACCCACGGTGGGTGCTAGATACCCATGACATTGCCTATGAATGGGAGTCCGAAGAAGATCACGCCAGACAGAGAAGGGCTGGAACGGTTAGAGAACGACGTTCGGATGAACCAACGTCTACCTCACACCGTGAAGAAGTCACTTCTGCACAGACTGTCAGGAGTCGGGAAGCTACCCCTGAACCAGGAGAGCTCACTCGCAAACGAGCAAAGCTCAATTTCTCAAGCCTGGACCTCAAACCGGATGTACTTGAGGAGCCGGCTAGACCCATATCTGCAAACCTTAAACGAACCATTCGGATCCTTCAGAACTGGGCGCAGGATCAAAAGCAGGCCAAACTCATGCTCATGTATCATGAACGAAGCCCAGAATTCTACGAGTCCGGATGGGCAGATATTGTCGCAGGACGAAGCCTTAATCTTGATGCAATCCACACCATCATCACAACCTCTCGCTCCGTCGACAAACATAGAGAGTCCATTGGAGATGTCGAGTTCACATACGGGGTCGCGGAAACATCTACGAAAAGGATTGCCACCCAACACCATTGGAACGCGGCATGGAACAGAGCGGCTAGAGCCCTCAAGTTCGCTTTCCCTTATTGACAGGCTGAACTTAACGCCTATTCGGAACATATCAATGAGCAATTCGACCAACAACTTGAAAGCTTTCACGGACGAGTCCTTCGAGACCTTTATAGCTCACACTTCTCAGCCGGAGGGAAGTTGCATAATGATGGAGGAGAATCCACCAAGTCCACACCTGGAGGACGAGACTCAACCGTTCGGCGAGATCCATGTCAAAAGTGGAATAACGGAGAGTGCACCCGCAGCGCAGCCTCCTGCCGTTACGCCCACGTCTGCAATGTCGAACAAGACGGCCGAGTATGTGGTCGCCGACATATCAAAACAAAACATATCGACGAATCAAAATCAAAATCAACTTGAAGGATACCTACCGCGTCCACGCTTTCGCCGAGGATTGATATGGTCTCCATTGGACCCCTCATTTAGTCCAACGGCTCGTTCGACTGAGTACGCAGACCCTGTTCCGTCGGCTCCAGCGTATCTTGCAAACAGTGACTCAGCTCGCACGGTCGCAGATCATCCTCACCTCTTCAAGATAGTCACTCCAATTAATGTTAACCGTTTTCAAGACCTGTTACTTGATCATCCGAACCGAGCCTTCGTCAGTTCGGTTTGTCGTGCCTTGCGCGAGGGCTTCTGGCCATGGGCTGATTGCTCTGACGAATCCTACCCGTCCATCAACGATAATTCAATGCGCACATGCGCTAAATCAGAGGAGCAGGAGAAATTTATAGAAGAGCAACTCAAAGATGAGATTAGGCAAGGTCGAGTCTCTCAGAGCTTTGGTTCAGATCTTCTCCCTGGGATGTATAGCGTGCCTATGCACACTGTCCCGAAGCCGAACTCAGACAAGCTGCGGCTTGTCGTCGATCATACAGCCGGGGATTTCTCGCTGAATTCCATGATCGCTTCGGAAGATATTAAAGGTACCAAGTTGGATGGCCTGCATTCGCTTGGCGCTTCACTCCTCGAGTTCCGTCGAAATAACCCTTCAGAAAAGCTCGTCATGTTTAAATCTGATGTTTCCCAAGCCTTTAGACGTCTACCGATGCATCCTCTATGGCAAGTGAAGCAAGTGCTTACAGTACGGGGTCAGCGACACGTGGATCGCAACAATAACTTTGGCGGTCGGGGATCTCCCAAAATTTGGATATCATTCATGTCCTTGGTCGCTTGGATCGCCATTCATCGTGCCTTCATCGAGGCTTTAAATCTCTACATGGACGACTCGTTTTCGTTTGACGTTGCCGGACGCATGCGCTATTACGCACCTTACAAATGTGACTTCCCGGAGAAACAGACGCGCTTACTCGAACTATGGGATGAGATAGGTGTCCCGCATGATCAAGCTAAACAGCTTTTCGGATCAACTCTAACAGTCATTGGGTTCGATATCGATCCTAACACTATGTCAGCGACTCTACCGCCTCACAAGAAGAATGAGCTTATTCAACACTTACGACAGTTCTGCGGAAAGAAATTCCGATGGACGCTCCGCGAGTTCCAACAACTCGCTGGCTGGTGTGAGTGGAGTTTCAACATTTTCCCGCTGTTGAAGCCAGGACTTTCAGCGGTATATGAGAAGATATGAGGGAAAGATAAGCCTCTTGCCCGTCTTCACATCAATAATCATATCATCCACGAATTAACTTGGATGGCCAACCACATGGAGAATCTGCCAGGTCTCTTATTCTACAAGTCCCTGGACTTTGACCCACGGTCGGATGACGTCGTCGTCGCCTATACGGACACATCCAGATTAGGCCTGGGATTGTGGTTTCCTAACGACAACTTCGCAGGCCAATCAGAGTTACCTATCGCACCACCAACGGAAACTATCTTCTTTGCCGAAGCTCTCGCTGTCTGCTCTGCAATATATGCCATCCCGAACATGTCAGAGCCGCCTGCGCGAATGCTGATATACACAGATAACGCAAACACTGTGGCAATGTTCAAGTCCTTACGTGCTCACCCTCCATATAACTCTATCATGCTCGCAGCAGTCGACGTCTTACTCAAATTCAGTGTCGACTTGCGCGTCGAATTCATTCCCGGTTGTGAAAACGGGATCACCGATGCCTTATCGCGCTATCAAAACGAGAAGGTGTTGGAATTGGCTCCAGAAGCCAGCTTTTACGACTTTGAACCCCCTCGAGAAGCGCTGGGGGCAGCCAAAAAATGATTACAGTGTCCGCTGCGTCCAGGCAACCCGATAGGGTTGCCTGGACATAGGGCTGTTCGCCGTACGCCGTATTACGGAACTGTACGGGGCCGTAATACGGTCGCCGTATCCGTACCGTTGGCTGTTTTGGCCTTCAGTTGACGGTTACGGTGTACGGGTACAAAAGTACCGTATGTTGCCGTATTTGTACGGTCGTATACGGCCGTAATACGGGGTAAGTATGGGTTTCTATAAACAATACATGCCTTGACGCTACATGCAGTAGGCACATGTCTTATTTCTCAACGAGTCGTTCCAGACCTGATCCTCGATCAGTTGCTCAATGTTCTATTGGCTGCTGGAGACACTGTGTGTACTTCTTCTTCCTTCAGCGCTCATTTTCTGAATGTCAGCGCCCCCCTCTAAGGTGTTCGAAAAGCACTCCACACGCTCTTCACGCTTATATTTTCTTGTCATACTCTCGCTCACCTCCACTTTCGTTTTGTTTCCATCACGTGTGAGCTCAGTTAAACTTGGTCAAACCAGATCGGCTCAGTTTCGCAGCTGTCAGTTTCTATCGTCTCCAGCGCTTTGCATTGCAAGCTCAAAACCAAACTGTATTTGATTTTGCAGTATGCTAAAAGTAACAAGCCTGCAACTGCAGGACCAGCATCTATCATTACGACCAGCCATTGACAATGTGAGTTTACCGTCGAGGTATTGAAACTGTTCCCTACAATTTGAAGCTCATTGGTGAAAATTTGCAGCTCGCTTTGAACTCGCCTTCGGACCTTTGAATCTTGACATCATCGCCTACGATAACCAATGTCACAAGGTCATTGTCTTCAACAACCTTGACCATTTCTCGACAACCAATGATATCCAGGTAAGGGCATCCTAGTGTTACCTTTAAATATAATTGGCTTGCGTTGGCAGGTTTTCGATCCTCATCGTCGACGGCGTAGATGGAGTGAAGGCTGGAATCTGGAGGACGCGAGTAAGCGAGAGGGACAAGATGGTGAGTGCATGACTCATTCTTTTTTGAGCTGGGGAGTCGGATATATGGGTGATGGGAGTGCACAGTTGGTGTTTTGGATTGATTTGATTTTTACAAGTTGATACAGGGTACATATCTGTGTGGGCACATGAGGAGCTCATCATATCTGCATGGCCTCTTCCTTGCACATCGTCCGCCTATCTCGGTTTCTATTTCCTCACGCAACACCATGAGTTTAAGGCTCCGTATGTACCGTATACGGCCGTAAAGTGCCCCGTACCGTACCGTCAGCATGTTTTTTGTAAACCGTAATAGACGGTTACTGTTTGACTTCATACGGTTGTACACCGTATACGGTACGGCCGTACGCCGTATACGGTACGGTGAACAGCCCTACCTGGACAAGAGAGCGTCTCCTATATGAACGCTCTGTTGCTCTCGGATTCGCTATCGACTCTACCACCGCTTCAGCTTACAATTCCCACCTCAACTCCTACATCACTTTCTGCCGACTTCATCACCTTCCAATCGACCCCACGGTCGAGACTTTGTCTTTTTATGTCGTCTGGTTATCACACCACATCGAGCCACGCTCGGTGGATTCATACTTATCGGGCATCGCAAACCGACTGGAGGATACGCACCCAGCCGTTCGAGAAGCCAGACGTTCTTCAGTCGTAACACAGACGCTGAAAGGGTGTAAAAGGAGGATGTCAAAACCTGTGCAACGAAAGTTACCTCTTTCGTTACATAACCTGTTGCGCGTGAATGCGTCGATCGGGAATAATGCAAATCACGACGACTGTTTGTTCCTCGCGCTACTATTCACAGGGTTCATCACGCTGCAAAGGTTGGGTGAACTTACTTGGCCAGACGCAGCTCAACATCAATCCTATCGCAAAGTCGCGCTGCGCCACACGCTGTCCTTGACGTCCACGGCGTTCTCTTATCTCCTGCCTTATCAGAAGTCCGACAGTCTAGGGAGTGGGACTACCATCCTTGTCCTGTCGGATTCAGTCGTAGGTTTCGACGCACTGCCATTGCTGAAAAGATATTTGGCTCACCGGGATCAGGTGTTCCCATTCAGACCGGCCTTGTGGTTGACTAGTGCTGGGAGGATACCAACACGGAGTTGGTTTCTACGACGGCTACATCAGCATTGCGGGTCAGAGATGTCGGGACACTCGATGCGTGCAGGAGGTGCTACTGCTCTCGCAATCGCAGGAATGACTCCAGATCTGATTCAGGCTGCCGGTCGATGGTCCTCCAACGAATTTCAGAAGTATGTGCGGCTGCACCCTTTTCTACTCAACGCCCTATTGCATGGCTCAGCACGAGCGCCATAATCAACTATTGATCTTGATCATTCATTCCTCCTACCTTCAATTTCAGACAATGAAAAGGCACCAAGACCAGAAAATAAACGACAACAGATAAAAAAAAAAAAAAAAAGAGATTAGCCCTTTAGCATGTCCATCGTGCCTTTCGTCACTCACGTTTTTTCCTTCTTGCCATAGTTTTAGTTTGCTCGCTCAAGTTTCCCCTTTTTCGTTCGCTCACTCGAGCTTTCCCTTTTCGGAGCCTTGAGCTCTTCGTCATCGAGCCTCGCACCATTTTGCTTTACGCCGCTCTGTATTATATTTGACTCGTGGTTCGCAATAAAACTTGTTCGAGTCCCCCGGGCGTAGAGCCGGGGGACTCCGCTTGCCTAATCACCACGAAACCTTAGCGTAAATTGATTCAACAACTTGTATTAATGTTGTGCGTGCACGGAATACCTAGATGAGAGTCCACATGGAATTATACAGTTCCAAATATAAATGAAATCCAAAGTATTACACGATCCACCTTCAAAATCCGTACATACAAAATTGCTCATACTTGGGCCATGACACGAAACACCTAAGCATCGCAACACAGAAAAAAACCGGATCAGCAAAACCCTCAACCAAAAAACAACAGAAGATAACGCACCTTAACAACCCCACTCTTCAGATCCTCCAACCTATAACTCACATTCTCCACAGTCTGCGTAGCCTTCGGTGTCAGCGCGTTGTTCGGCCTCCACCCCCATCTTCGTAGTAAACTCACCTGCTGACCGACATGCTGATTCGCTTGCCATATGCGAACTTTGCTTTTTTTACTCTCCACCTCACTCACCACACCTACAAGCGGACCGTTCTCCCCTACGCCAACAGTTTGGCTATACGTGTGAAGCCCCTTGTGGCCCTTGAGCTTCGCATCCCAAAAGGCGATCACGTCACCAGGCAGGATATCAGCAACGCGGCGCTGCACCGAGCCGGCACTTTGCACGTAGATCGTGTATCCCCAATCCTCACCCTCCCCTGAGGCGCGTTGCGCATCGGGAACTTGTGCCAAAACAGCCTTTACAAATCCCGCGTACGAACCGTCGCCAACAAGCGAGCGTTTAGATTTTTCGAACAACCCCGTCGCAGACTCCACCACCTGCACTCCAATTTTGCCCCAGAGCACCATGAGGTCGTCTGCGCTGAGCTGCTGGTCAACGGGACGAGCAGTCTGCCCTGAGGTACGGCGAGAGTCGGATTGACGCATTGGTGAAGTGGATCCATGGAACGTCGAGTCTTCTGAGAATCTGGATGAAGCTAGGTCCGTTTCATCTCCAAATTCAGATGTAGCCTGGGGGATCGACGGGAGCTCCCACTGAGTAGTGCTTGTAATCTGTTCAGGAGGTTCGATGGCGGATGGAGGCGGAGGCGGAGGGAACGAGCGAGGAGGGGCGCGACTGGAGCGGCGACGTGGAGGCACAATAGGCTCTTCCTCAGTCTCTGGTTCAGGTTCCACCATCACATACTCTGATGGGGTACCAGAATCTGATGAGTCCCTTTCCAAGGGTAAGGCTGTGTGTATTTGCTGCTTCTGTACGGGAGTTTCAGTCGCACTGGAGTAGTCAACCGAGGACTTTCTAGAAGACGATCCCGTCGCAACACTAGAGCGACGGTTAAGTAGAGCAGCAGGGATGGATGGAATTGGAGGTCTTCCAACAGGAGGGGGCGAACGCGGAGGAGGGGTCGGAAGTACCTCTGCAGAATTCAACGACCGTCGGGGCGGAGGCAAGGGCGGGCCCTCTTCCTCAACCGGCTCTCTAACATCCGCATCTGAATAATACGCCTCCTCGACCTCGCTCTCCTCCATTTCAACACGCACGTCGTCTTCCGACCATGTCTGGCGGGATTCCTGCTCCGGATCGACCTCAACAGGTGGCAATGGCCGACGTGCGGGTGCAGGTACAGGAAGCGCTGCGTCCTCACTCTCACTGTCATCCTGCTTCGGTGCAAGTCGTCGAGCAGTGGCAGGTGCTACACCCGCACCATGCGGCAACATCCCAAATCGCATGCCACCCATACCTGCAAGTTTTGCAGCGATCCGCTGCTTCCTCGCAGCCTCATCTTCTACTGTCTCGTCTCTTTCCTCGGATTCCTTAGCATCAACTTCAGGTTCATCAGGAGGGATAGATGTCGGGGGAGGTGCACGAGGAAAAGTAGGTCGACTAAGCGGCGTAGGGACTGGTGGTGCACCAAACCGGATCCCGCCCAAACGCGCCATGCGCTCTGCAATGGTCCGTTTACGCACAGAATCCTCATCCTCTTCTTCAGGCTCCTGAGCTCGCTGAGGCTGAGAGGGTGTCTCACCATCTGAGAACTCTGCCAAAGGAAACTGCTATTAGAAGTTGCCACGATACTAGCCCGACAACAACACACCTTGCTCAGGATCCTCCTCGTTCGTCGTCACAGGAACAACAAGCGGAAGTGTGGTGATTATTGGTGGAGAAGTCGGTCTGCGCACCAAAGGGCGAGGAGAGGTCGGCACAGGGGGTGGTGTAGGTGGAGCCTCTATATCCACAGACTTCACGCTTGCACTCGTACGCCGAGCAATGCGGGGGGGTGGAGAAGGTGGCTCCTCCACATTCACAGACCTGACACTTGCACTGATACGCCGAGCGATGCGGGAAGGTGGGGAAGGTGGCTCCTCTTCCATATCCACAGACCTAACACTTGCACTGGTACGCCGAGCGACACGAGGGGGTGGGGAAGGCGGCTCCTCTTCCATATCCGCAGACCTGACGCTTGCACTCGTACGCCGAGCGACACGAGGGGGTGGGGAAGGCGGCTCCTCTTCCATATCCGCAGACCTGACACTTGCGCTTGTACGCCGAGCGACACGAGGGGGTGGAGAAGGTGGCTCCTCTTCCATATTCGCAGACCTGACACTGGCACTGGTACGCCGAGCGACGCGAGGGGGTGTGGCAGGTGGCCCCTCAGCGGCTTTAACTAACGAACTATGATCTCAGCGTCAACTTTATGCACGTACAATGATCACGTACCACTCTTCACAGGGGGAGGCACAGGTCGCGGTGCAGGCGACTCGGGCCTTTCTTCGTCAGCTTGGAGCGCATACGGCAGTTTGGGAGGTGGCGGTGGGGATGATGGTGTAATCGAAGGCTTCGATGAAAAATTGACAGGTGGGGGTGGAACTGAACGTGTGATACGAGCAGGGGGCATCTCGTCGTCGTCCTGGTGTTGGTCTGGGATTATTTCCGGTACAACTTGAAGAAACTCGGGTGTATTATCTGGTGCTGAGTCAACAGCATCTGTAAATACGGCCTCCTCGTCCTCGGTACTTGTACCTGGTTGATTCGGATCACCCTGGCCGGGTTGGTATTCTTGCGAGATAGGATTTGCCGGTGGTAGAGTATCTAGAGTGTGCGACTGTGATGCAGGCTCCCAATCTTCGGGTTCATTCAAAAGCTGATCCGAACCATCATATCGTTCTTGTTCGTCCATCTCATCGTGATATAGCACGCGACGAGTTGTCCCCAAGTCAGGCTGAGATCCATGGTCGAACTCGGCTGGTACAAAAAAGCAACCAAAGATCGATTAATACACTACAACATGAGTACAGGTGGTAAAATTAGGATTCACCAGCACGAGAAGCGGGCTCGTCTACTTCTCCTGCTTCTTCGGCTTGTTCTAGTTCTTCCTCGACGTGGGACTGGGGCGAAACATAGGCAGCAGGGGGAGAGGGGGTTGCTTCATCAACGTCGAGAGGTTCTTCTACCGAGACAGGCTGAATGGTGATTGAGTCACGTCTAGCAGTAGAGGGTATGGAATCCTGGTAGGATACAGGCGGAGGTCCCGAAAATGGGTTAAACGCGCCCATCTTAGCAGCCACGCGTTGCCTACGAGCCTCTTCTTCTTCTGCTTCGTCTTCTTCCTTCTGCTCACGCTCTTCATATTCCTGCTCTTCTTCCTCCTGGTCTTGTTGAGCAGGCTCATCGGCATCGACACGGCAATGTTCCTGCTCGAGCTTGTCTGTGGGGTCCACCTGGGCTGTGTCAAGCTCGACACTCACGCCTACTTCACCAATTTCCTTCTGTACGTCACAGATGACGAGGATCTGCTCTGCGGATGGGGCTGGGACTTGTTCTGGACTTTCGACCACTTCTTGTGATATCACCATTACAACAGATGGTCTGGCCTCTGGCTCTAGTTCAGGTTCAGTAGTAGCCGTGGGTTCTTCTATGGATTCAGAGTCCGGGGCCTCTTCAGAAGCTTCTGCTGCCGCAGCAGGCACAGGAACCTCTGGGAGCTGGGATGCCGGAGGGGACTTGTACGCCTTCTTGCGCGGGGGAGCTGCGCGACGTGGACCGGCGGGTACTGGCATTGAGCGGGGAGTTGCTGCATTGGATGGGGAATCTGAGAAGGAGAGCGAGGAAGAGTCGGAGTCCTTGTGTGTAGGGGCGGGGAAGAAATCTGTAGAACTTCATTAATACTGACTTGAGAGCAGCGATCATAACAATGACCTGGATCAGTCTGCGCCTCTTCCCTGACATCAGCGGGAGGGCTTATAGCCTCCGCAGGAGGTGGAGTCACTAGGATACGCGTTATTTCATACAATAAACTAGAGATGGCATGACATACCCTCTGAGTCTTCAAGGGTCACTTCCTCGTCCTGCCTAGGCTGAGGTGGAGGGGTTACTGGCTTCTTGGGAGCTGGTTTGTTGGCAAACAGAGGCGGGCCCATGCCAACACGTGCACCACCAAGACGAGCCATGCGAGCAGCGATCGCAGCACGGCGCTGCCTCTCTTCTTCCTCCGGATCTTGTTCAATCTCAGCGGCATCCTGCTGAGCCTCATGTTCGCCTTTTAGGTCGGTAGGATCAGGATCACCCGTAGCAGGGGGAGAGGACCCTTGGGCATCAATCGCCTCGTCTTGTGAAGGAACCTGATCTTCAGGAGCTGATACTTGCGGCGGTGGTTTCCACCTTGGTTTGTCTGCAGGTTTGGGGAGGATCGGGGGCGGGGTGCCGCCGCCAAACGCACCCTTGCCCTGGAGAGCAGCCATGCGTTCCTTGAGACTTCCGCCTCTGCCGATGCTTTCCATCGCGTCTGATGCAGACATCCCCGCAGTCTTACGCTCAGATTCTGGCGACTGAGGTGGTGAAGGTACCTTTGGTTTCCACGATTGGAGGGTCGAGGGCTTTGGGCGCGGTGCAGGCCCAGAGGCAGGCGCTGCACTCTTGTTAGCATTCTCGAACGCGGCGATCCTGTCGCGCAGTGAGCCTGGTTTTGGTTTTGGCGGTGTTTCACTCATTGTTGGTTTCGTAGATTAGTAGATGGAGATGGTGGCAGCGGACTGCAACAGCGTAGCATGTTTGGCCGCGTTCAATTGACACGAGGCAACTCGATGCCTTGTGTTTCTCACGCTCGCGTATTTTAAGTACATGTACGACAGAGTGAAAACGCAACGATCAATATTATTGGAGTCCATAGAAGGGGAAGGGACGAGAGATGCCTGTGAGCATACTTAATCAAGGTAATGGAACACCCCTGGAACGCTTCTTCCAAGGTCTGACTAAGTTAAGCCCTATGATTGCGTTATCCAAGGGTTCTTCAGTGACTGCGAGATCTGGGCCTGTTTCCAGAGGCTGTGATTCGTTAGCTGCTGGACGAATTGGACCTAGGCTACTTCACAGGGAACCCATCGAGTAATCATTTAAGAGGTCGACATCGTGGCCGCCGTATACTGGTGGTGGTAGCTTCTGGAACCAGCCGAGGTAAAAGAAGAGTGCACTGATATGGTCGCATTCCGTCATCCACACCAACTCAAAAAATAACTCATTCTCGATACCTTCTACGAACGTCTCTGTCTGTCTTCTCTCTTGAAGATGGGTCTTGTCCCTTTCGCCGACACGTCCTACTCTTGCTCCACCTTAACAAAGGACTGGTTTCAATCGACTCGATTATCTAAGACAAATGTGGATGAAGGATAACTGCCGAATGATTGGAGCTCGAGTCTGGGCACATAGGTGAAAGGTGAAACTGGCCAAAATTCGCTGACACTCAGGGGGGTGGTTCATAATGAGGTCATGATAGGTCCACTGCCACATGTCAAACCCTCCACAAGACATAGCCAACGGACCATATATCATCGAGTTCTCCTAGCAGTTCCCGGCACCAAAGCCCATAAGACGATCATTAACACCATCATCGAAATGAGACTTTTGTGCCACCAGTAATCAATTTATCAAGCACAGGCACAACTATAAGGAACACCCACAATGGCTGTAAACTCTTGATTCCCGTCTTCGTTGCAATGGCACCGTTTAAGAATGGCAAGAGCGCAGAACCTGCCTGCCCGAAACCTGCTATCCAGCTAATTGACCCTACATTCAGGTTTCAGTTGGCCATATTCGTGCTACTAAACGTGAAATTACCTGTGACGAGCCACTCAGGGAGAATTCGTACCGCGTGCATCATAGCGATGGGATACATCGGCCCAAAAATCAAGCCAATTATGGAGATCGCAACGCCTCCACCAATGATCGAAGGCACCAGCCATACTATTAGCTCCAGCCCAATTGCCAGGATGGCGTAAATGAACACAACGCGACGTTCCCCAACCTGTGACCTTTGGGATCTATGCTGTGTGCTATAAATAGGATAGAGACTTGCCTTTTTGTTCACCCACAAAAGACCGACACGTCCAATCATGATACCTATTTGCAAATCAACAGTCGAACCCCTAGCATGGCATCTGGGAAGGCTTACCTCCGAAAAACCCTGATGATATATATCCCGAACTTGGACCTCCTCCGCGCACGTCGATTATGTACGTCACCATCCAGCCTGGAGTGATATTCTGGATGAACATCTTCTCCACTTAAGATGTATACTTACCGCCCACAGTGACCTCCACTCCAACATATATCAAAATGAAGAAGGCGAGGAGGTGCACTTCTCTGAGCCGCAATATCTGACTAAACTGGCTCTTTTCACTCGTTCCCTTTTCGCCTGCTGGCTGTCCAATCTGAGCGAGGCACTCTGTGAGATGCTTAGCAATCGTCTCAATAATACAAGTGCTTGTCATACCATCCTGTGTTTTCAGCCCAAAGACTGTAATCAACAATACAGTGTTTATGAACGCAATACCAAGGCTGCACAGGTAGTGAAATGACCAATGCGGAAGCTGAGCAAATTGTGTTGCTGCCAAAGGAGACGACAAAGCGCCAGCACCTGAAAAGTGAAGATAGGAACATGCGTGACGTTGCACCGCCATGAAAGAGGTACAACATACCGTATACCTTTCAATAGCAAGATAAATCGAGAGTTCACAGACAAGATGACACTTACTGCATGGAGGATCCCCATTTTCACCTCGGGGTTATCCTTGAGACTAGCCACAAAACCATTCGATTGTGTGAACTAGTTTCAGGGTCTATCCGGGCATATAATCGATTGGACTTGTATAACTTACCTGTAGAGCCAGTCCAAAGCCATTGATGGCGTAACCTAGCACGAATGCAGGAAATGGCAAGGCACTCGCTTCTATGGCGTATGCTATAACCTGACACGCAGTTCCTGAGCAACGATAAGGCGATTATGACCTCTGCTTGCAATCATCTGCCCTCACCCAACACAATCACCTAGACCACGGAGCGCGACTCAGAGATCGTAAAAAATCATCGAAAATGAAATTACCTTTCCGAAACCGAATCTGCCGTCTAGATATAGGTTTGCGAATGCTCCAGATAGGAAACCCTATCGAGTAACTCAGACTGACCGGTGAATCTTGCACGATGTAGTGAAATCTTACAACACATGCGAACACAAATATCAAGGATACGACAATGAAATTCAACTGTCAAGACAATATGAAGGTAAACTTAAAAGAGAACTGCAGGTGTTTGAAACCACCTACGCCATACACTTTCTGTATACGGGGGAGCAATGGACCGGTTGTCCCATCATTCCATCCGGCTAGGTACATCGACCCACAGATTGTCGCAAATTGTACTTGTGCACGCAGCCGCTGACGTTTCGTTTGGGATTTCAGGTCAGAGATAGATCCTGCTCTTGAATCACTTGCAGACGACCCCACTCGCACTTCAATTCGTTCGTTGTGTTTGTCGCTCTCTTTGAGATTGTGATGGTCAAATGTCGGATGATGCGAAACCGTATGGCCCTCGCTGATCGTCGTCGTCTGCATAATGGGTTCTGAATCCGTATACGTGAACTGCAACCTAAGGATGTTCCTGGATCCAATGTTATGACTCAAAAACGGAACTTGAAGATTGAGTGCGTTCGAGTAAACGACAGAGGAGGTACTGATAAAGCACTTTTTGATCTTCCTCTAAAAGGTATCACATTGCCTAAGAAGAGCTGCGAGTAAAATATTTCAAGCCACGGGGCCCGCAAAGACTCTGGAGACTTGATCATGCGGGTGAATGTTATGATTGTTGATGACCATTTTATAAGCCAAGACGTAAATAAGTGTAGAACTTACTACTAATATAAGTGCAATGCTAGAAGCACGCTAAGCCCAGGCTCTTTCCCATCGCTGCTTCGAGTGTAGAGGTAGACTGCCACTGGTCTGCGAGGGCTAGTATATGGTCGTCCGGAGCCTTGCGTGACTCACAACTCGGGTGTAGATCTTGATCCAGCATGTGTAGAATTCGATCCACTAGGATTTAATAACTTACAAAGTCTGATAAATGTCGCCGGGGCCTCTGTAAAAGCAGGAACACAATGAAATTACTGACACACTCAGAATCACATGCATGCAATCGTAGCATGTCGCGTAAGTAGTCCTTCCGATCAGTTGTCTGAACGTGAATGAAATGTGCGTGAGCGATAATGGCCTGATTGTCACGAGTCTTGTAAGAAAAATTCTCCGTGGCGTGCCGTAAAGTAGGAGGAGTGATGGGGAACAAACATCCAACCGGAGACTGATCACGAGCTGCTCGTCGAACTCGAAAAACGACAAAGAACTTGTGCAAAACACCTGTCACAGACTCCGCCGGGGGTCCTTGTTTGGCCGCTCGGCTCAATTTGGTCGGAGTTTTGTTACGTCAGCTATGGTTGACGTTGTGAGCGCTTCCTTTCTCCCCCTCGATGTCTTTCGTGCGCTGGCCTCATGATACGTCGTGGTCACTGTGGTTGTGGCCGCATGCGCGATGTGTCAGCCATGAATGGAAACTCCGACCGAAGCCATTGAATATCCCCGATTATCTGGAGTCACGGTAGCGGTAGTACTAGCTTGTAGTACTTCCTGAGTATACAGGGCAACTTGAACGGAGGTACTTGCTTTCACGTTTGTAATTCCGAGTCTAACACTTTGAGCTTGTTCACATGTAGATTGGCGTACTCTTTATCGACGAGCTAGCAGCGACCGCCGAAAAGTCATCGAACCTTTGGTCACATTCATCGCCTGTGGATGATAAATAAGTACACGCGCGATAGGCATGGATACCGCAGCTATCCGTAGCTAGACGTATTAAGTTAATGCATCGGGACTTTGATCACAAGCAGTGTACTATCGCCATGCTGTAGCACCGTTGTAAGTAATGTCCTCACTTGAACCCGTTTAATGTCGTTGATTTAGGAATTGTTTGTCTCTTGTATCTAATCTTACCTCGCGTGGACGCAGACTGGTTACCAAGCCAATGATAAAATTAGGATTAGGCAGCCGCGTGGGATCTTTTAAAATTAATGTTTCAGCCAGTCAACATGCCGGTGATCGCGCCTGCAATGCTGCATTGCATTGGAACACGTAAAATGACCTGCATCTTTCATCTGAGTCATCTTCTCGTACCACCATGATTGCACGGCAGGATGACGAGGAAACGCCTCTTCTGCAACGATCAGAGCAGCCAACGACTAAGACACCTCTACCCTGGGATCAATTTTCGATCGTACTGTTCTTGGAGACGTTAGATCCTCTTTCTTCTCAGACCCTTTCCCCGTTCACTCCCCAAGTGAGTATATTCCCTTTGCTTAGACTTATATCTCACAACAAGTGGAACTTTGCTAAGCTCATTAGAGACATTGGAGTGACTCACGGAGACGAGTCTCAGGTTGGTCGTTATGTCGGCATCCTTGTAAGCATGTCTTCGTCGCTCCTCCCCCTTCATTCGTTCCTGATATTCTCCCGAGCAATCGTCATACTATGTAGCTCATGCACTGACTATTTTTCATTGGAGTCAACTGTCCGACCACATCGGGCGGAAACCTGTAATACTGATAGCTCTATTAGCAATTTCTGTCTCGATGTTTTCGTTTGGGTTGTCGAAGACTTTCCTTGATCTGGTGATTAGGTCAGCTTGTTCAACTTAATACTTGTGATCATCGATTACTGATATTCTTGACCAGTCGTGTTGTCTGCGGAGCATTTGATGCGAGCAATGGTATCCTCAAGACCATGGTGATGGACATCACTGACATGACCAATATGCCTGAGGCATACGGTTATGTTCCAATTCCGTGGATGATCGCAAACTCAGTTGGGTAGGCATACATAGATACACATTCCATTTTTTCTCTCACTGAAGTTCACGACATCTAGACCACTCATTGGCGGCTCGCTCTCCCGACCAGCAGATGGATTCCCTAGCATCTTTGGGCGATCAGAACTCCTGAAAACCTACCCATATCTCCTACCATGCTCTATTCCGGCATTGTTCGCATCAACAGCTTGGCTAGTCACGTATTTCCGTCTTAAAGAGGTGAGTGTGGCGCTGAAAATCCATATCTGGACCACACTAAGGGTGGTTACAAGAGCACTTCTACCAGGACATCACTTTGGGAGCTGATTAAAGGAGGATTCCTCGGACAGTCATACAAACCTCGCCAGCCATCGAGCAATGCTATAGTTGATCCTGGCGAAGCGGATCCTGGCGAAGTCCAATCAAAGCCGCTTTCGCTGCGTGCCTTGCTAACCTCGAAAGTGGTGAACGTAACAGCAAATTATGTCACCATGGCCCTGTTTCATATGGCGTTCAATTCGGTCCTACCTGTTTTCTGTGCGACACCGATTGAACTTGGTGGTCTTTCCCTTGACCCTCCTCGCATCGGCGCTTTGCTTGCGGCACAAGGTGTCGTACATGGCATATTTCAGCTACTTTTCTTCGCTCGTTTGCATGATCGCTTCGGTGCAAGAGCTATTCATATCGCCGGCGTTACCTCCGGTATACCCATCGCCATTTTATTTCCAGTGATCAACGCTCTGGCCCGAGCCCATGGGATAGGTATGGCGGTGTGGCTGTGTGTTGCCGTTCAGCTTGCGCTGTCGATTAGCCTTATCATGTGCTACCGTATGTCAATCCAACACTTCCGACGTTTTACTTTACTGAGAAGTCGTAGCTTCCATGGCATTGTTTATCAGAGCGGCCGCTCCCAACCATGCTTCGCTCGGAGCAACCAATGGAATCGCGCAGATGGCTGCCTCGGTAGCTAGGATCGTTGGCCCGGCGTCTGCAGCTTCGGTCTTCTCTTATTCGATACAGGAAGGGCATCATGCGTGGCTGGTATACTATTTCATGATCACGATTGCACTTTTCGCAGTAGGTACTGCTCTATTCCTGCCTCGTAGTCCTAGTGTGTGGGAAGATGATCAATAATATCATCGCGAATGGCACGGCTCAACATCGTTGTATACATTACGGTTACGTAGAATATTGAGGAGCTCTCCCAAACTACAGTAATTTGACACTAAACAGATGCTATGCATCACGGGCGTTCCGTACGTGGGGGAATAGGAACAGTTTTCCTTCTGGTGGTGGAAATAAACAGATAAACAATGATTTAGAGCAAATGATAAACGAGCGTCAATTGACAGTTGATGGTCACGCACGGTGTCTGCTGGGAGTATATGCGATTCACCACACCATTTGTATCAGGTGAATGATAAATCGGTCGTGAAGATAACGGGCATTATGATTCGCGATTCCAGTCGAACATTCCTCCGAGACATAAAAATTCAAGCTCAAGAGAACCGCAGACAGCTTGGTGAGCACTGGTCAGCCGATCACCACTATAATTGCTCACGAACTGCGTAAGAGCCTGCTGATACATCAGACGCCTACTGCCACGAGTCATGGCTTCTAGATCCTCTGCAAAGCAAACACTTTAAAAAAACTCGCAAGCAGCACAAGGCAAAAGACGTAATCAAAATGAATTCGAGGACTGTCGTGACTCACTCGTGAAGATGTTATTGGTGATTTCATCTTCTTGCAGGACAGCACACATATGTTATAAGCGGTTCTGGAGATGCGGCACCATGCCCGGTTGGAGCTGTGATGCACTAGTGGGAGAACCGTGGAAAAGGGACGGTGCAAGCGTGTAGGAGAACATTGGCGCTATCGCTGGACGGCAAGACACTGGGTGCTACTAGTACATGCCAATTACCCGTACAACGTGATCAAGTATACGGGGTTCGTGCGTGCTTGGTTTTACGTGGAGGATCCCGGACATTGAGCTTGTTTTGTAGACTGCCGTACTCCTTATCGACGAGTTAGCAGCGACCGCCGACGCCGTGGAACGACTTCTCATCTAATAAGCCCGAACCCCCGTTGTGTTAGCACTTGTGTATACAGTACAGTGCACCACCAGCTAGGCACAGACCACAAACAAATCAGTCATAGGAAGGTCCTGTGGCGCCTGAATCGGCCTGATAAACAGGTACGCGCGCAAGTCACAGTGCCTCTGACATGACGAGCCAATGTAAAGCTAAAGTGACGACTATGATACCCGGGTGCTAGGTGCCGTGTGACTGATTCTATCTCAACTGGTCAGGTTCTTGTCGAGTCGGACTGCCGTTGTAGGCCTTATCGATTAGCTAGCCAACAAGCCGGTCAGCAACCGCCTTATTGGAATGACTTCACGTACTAATTATGGGGGTCGTAGAAACCTTGTCAAGCAAGGTAATATAATGCAGTTTTGCGTATTTAGACCGTAGAAAATCAGCCGTTTTCACAATCAATGTCTACGAAATTGGCTATAGAATTTAGACTGAACTTCTGTAAAGTATGGTTTCACTCGATACCAAATAGATCATTAGGAATGATCGACCCAATTTCAGTGATTTCAGAGGGGAGGTTTTTCCTGACGCGGCCACGGCAGTTGGATGTGGTTGTAGTATGTCGCTCGGAGCTTTACATTCTTGCGTACGTGCAGGTTACACACAATCATGTACTATATGTGACGGACTCTGAGTAGTAAAGTTCATCCTTCGAGATCACTGCCGTGGTCTGGTAGTCAGCATCAGTAAAAATGCGATGTGCAATATAGTACTACAGAGCCTAGTACAGAATATGTATAGCTTCGTTGCAACCCCTCCTCAACATAGCGCTATATACTCAATTCCACTGTGGTTTAGGAGAGCTGTCGATATCCTGCATAACTTTGCTGCAGCGACGTTGAGCCATGCCGTTTGCAGCCATTCACAATAATATCATTGACGATCTTCCCATACACTGAGACAACGGGGAAGCAATAGAGCAGTACCTACTGCTAGGGATGCCATGGCGATCAAGAAGTAGTATATCAACCACACATCGTGCCCTTCCTGTATTGAATAAGAAAAGACCGAAGCTGCAGACGCCGGGCCAATGATCCTTGCTACTGAGGCAGCCATCTGCGCGATTCCATTGGTTGCTCCGAGCGAGGCACGATTGGGAGCAGCCGCTCTGATAAACAATGCTATGCAAGCTAGGACTTCTCAGTAAAGTAAGACATCGGAAGTGTTGGATTGACATACGGTAGCACATGTTCAAGCTAACCGTCAGTGTAAGCTGAATGGTAACACACAGCCACACCGCCATACCTATCCCATGGGCTCTGGCCAGAGCGTTGATCACTGGGAATAACATGATGGTGGGTATGCCGGAGGTGACGCCGGTGATATGGATAGCTCTTGTACCGAAGTGATCATGCAAACGAGCATAGAAAAGTAACTGAGATATGCCATGCGCGATGGCTTGTGCCGCAAGCAAAGCGCCGATGCGAGGAGGGTCAAGGGAAAGACCACCGAGTTCAATAGGTGTTGCATAGAAAATAGGTAGGACCAAACTGAGCGACATTTGAAGCAAGCCTGTGGTGGCATAACTTGCTATTACGCTCGAAACTTTCGAGGTCAGCAAGGCACGTAGCGGAAGCGGCTTTGATTGGACTCCGTCAGGATTCGCTTCGCTAGGATCAACTATAAGATTGCTCGATGGCTGGCAAGGCTTTGCAAAGAATCCTCCTTTAATTAGTTCCCAAAGCGGTGTCCTGGTAAAAACGCTCTTGTAACTACACTTAGTGCCTGGTCCAGAGATGGGTTTCAGCATCGTGCTCACCTCTTCGAGACGGAAATACGTGACTAGCCAAGCTATTAATGCAACCAATGCCGAAATAGAGCATGGTAGGAGATACGGGTAGGTTTTCAGGAGTTCTGATCGCCCAAAGATGTCGGGGAATCTATCTGATGGTCGGGAGAGCGAGCCGCCAATGAGTGGTCTAGATATCGTGAACTTCAGTGAGAGAGAAATGCAATACGTATCGATATATGCCTACCCAAGTGATTTTGCAATCATCCACGGAATTGGTACATAACCGTATGCCTCAGGCATATTGGTCATGTCAGTGATGTCCATCACCATGGTCTTGAGGATACCATTGCTTGCATCAAATGCTCCGCAGATAACACGACTGGTCGAGAATATCAGTAATCGATGGTCATAAGTACAATTTTATGTTTGATTGAACATACTGACCTAACCACGAGATCAAGGAAAGTCTTCGACAGCCCAAACGAAAACATCGAGACAGAAATTGCTAGTAGAGCTATCAGTAATACAGGTTTTCGCCCAACGTGGTCGGACAGTTGACTCCAATGAAAAATAGTCAGTGCATGAGCTGCATAGTATGATGATTGCTGGGAGAATATCAGGAACGAATGAAGGGGAAGGAACGACGAAGACACGCTTACAAGGATGCCGGCATAGCGACCGACTTGGGACTCGTCTCCGTGAGTCACTCCAATGTCTCTAACGAGCTTGACAAAGTTCCAATGGTGGTCAGATATGAGTCTAAGTAAAGGAAATATACTCACTTGGGGAATAAACGGAGCAAGGGTATGAGAAGAAAGAGGATCTAACATCTCCAAGAACAGTATAATTGAAAATTGATCCCAGGGTAGAGGCGTCCTAGTTATTGCCTGCTCTGGCCGTTGCAGAAAAGGCGTCTCCTCGTCATCCTGCCGTGCAATCATGGTGGCACGAGGGAATGACTCGGATGAAAGATATACTCATCACCAAAACTCTACAACCTAGATATGGGAAGATAAGGTCATATCATGAGTCGCAATGTACCAGCAGGTACAACAGGCACAGAATTCCAGTCACGGCGTGACGGATCGTGACCGAATGGAAGCGAGCATGATGTGTGCATGATGGGTGCTTCGAAGAAGCTGCCGACCCTGCAACTCACGACAAATCTAAAGGGCTGCTCAATTCTAAAAGTTCGCGTTCACTTGGGAGCCGAGCAAGTTACGACACTGATTAGCGACGCTTACAACTCCTTGTTTGGAACTGGATGCCGGCCGTTAGCCGGTGACTTTCGGAATCACGCGTTATCAACTTGATCAATTCCCATCATTCAATGCGTTGTTCAACATTCAACGTTCAATGGTGATCGATATGCCCCGCGCACACCGACAAAAGCAAGACCCTAGGGATATTTTAATTTTACATTCTGTTGTGGCTAGTACATTGGCCGTATCTAGGCATAAGCAAGGCCACCTTGAGGAGCTTTTCACTCCAAATAATCAAGATCTCGACGACGACGACGAAGGCAATGAACGGCTCACCCATTTTTTGCGTGGGACAGCCATGGGCCTTCATGCTCTCTCTCTGATGATATCTGTGCCCGGCTCTCGTGGTCCCTATATCCAGTGGTGGAAATGCAATGAATTCTTTGATATATCATTGAGCAGACCCTTCAGTCACTTTCCATGTAGAACCCTGGCTCCGGATGTGCCAAAAGTCTGTAGAATCATGGCCAGCCAGTCACTGGCCGGAGTATGCAAACTCCAGCTGGCCGGAGTATGTGGAATCAGTGTTGACTGGTGTAGATATATACATATTAGAATTACTGTAAACACAATAACTAGCCTTATGCCTACAAAATGTATAATACAGCTGGCCGGAGTATGTAGAATTAGTGTTTAGTGTTAATATATATATAAATGATTACCATCAGTGGTAGTGGCTAGCTTTATGCCTGCAAGATATAGAATTCAGCTAGCTAGTTGGCTGGCCTGATTTCACTGCAGGTAGAATCAAGCTTGCCAGTATGCAATTCTGTAACCAATGACTGACCAGCCTTGACTAGGGAACTGCATGGGTATGGGTAACCCGCAGCGGGTCACGGGTACGGGTACTGCCGGGTATGGGTACGGGTCAGGATTTTGTGACCCGCACAAATACCCGTACCCATGATGTACCCGTCACAGTCGCAGTGTAGCCATTCTATGCTTGGGTACATTCACAGCGCGCGCACGCGGCGCATGTAGAGTCGACTCTAGATGGGGAGTTAGTGGTATTAGGGCTGCAAAGGTGCGTGTTTTTATGCTACTTCATCACGCTAACTGATCATTTTTAGTAACTTATGATTACTCTTGTGCATACCACCACTCGCGCCCTCTCATTCTTCCCATCTCGTTGCTCATTGCTCTCAGTCGTTCGCTGCTTGTTCCAGGTGCGCATGTTGTTTTTTTCTCGTTTACTACTATCTTTGACTTTACAGTGTGCTACTACCACCACTCGCGCCCTACTACCACCACTCATGCCCTACTACTACCACTCGCGCCGTACACTGCATCCTACCCTCCATCTCGTTCTTCCTGTCTCGTCCCTCCTTCCACTCTTCTGGCGCTCTCCAGTGTCCTCCGCATATGTCTGAGCCACGTCAGCATTCGCTGACGTGCGCCAGGCGTGTGCGCTAAGCACTGGTGGCTGCTGGGATCAGGTGGGGGAGGGTACACCCGCCATGGGTACACACCCGCACCTGCACCCGTACCCGTGTCTACGGGTACATACCCGTGGCGGGTACGGGTACGGGTTGGCCTCGAGACACCCGCGGGTTTACCCGTGCGGATCCCTAGCCTTGACTCCACTGTTGTAGAATCAAGAATCAAACTGGCCAGGACACAATGTTGAAACTGATAACTGGCCAGTCTTGGTTCTACATGTTGTAAAATCAAGTCAGCCAGTCACTTGTTATTAAGTTGCATACTGGCCAGATAGCCTGTGCAACATGTAGAATCAAGACTGGCCAGTTATCAGTTCCAACATTGCATCCTGGCCAGTTTAATTCTACAACCATAGAATTAAAGCTGGCCGGTTTAATCCTATAGAAGAATCAAGCCTGGCTAATTATTGGTTTGGGATTTCTATACGAGTACTAGTCATTAGTTACAGAATGTCATACTGGCCAGTTATCAGTTTTAATATTGCATCCTGGCCGGTTTGATTTTACACCAGTAGAAACAAGGCTGGCCAGTTATCAGTTCCAACATTGCATCCTGGCCGGTTTAATTTTACACCAGTAGAATCAAGGCTGGCCAGTTATCAGTTCCAACATTGCATCCTGGCCGGTTTGATTTTACACCAGTAGAAACAAGGCTGGCCAGTTATCAGTTCCAACATTGCATCCCGGCCGGTTTAATTCTACAACATGTAGAATCAAGACTGGCCAGTTATTAGTTTTAATATTGCTCGGTTTAATTGTACAATAGTAGAATCAAGACTAGCTAATTATTGTTTTGTAATTTCTATACTAGTCATTAGTTACAGAACTTCATACTGGCCAGATAGCTTGTACAACATGTAGAATCAAGACTGGCCAGTCATCAGTTTTAATATTGCATCCTGGCCGGTTTAATTGTACAATAGTAGAATCAAGACTGGCCGGTTTTCAATCACAACATTGCATCCCGGCTGGTTTAATTGTACAATAGTAGAATCAAGACTGGCCGGTTTTCAATCACAACATTGCATTCCGGCCGGTTTGATTTTACAACAGTAGAATCAAGACTGGCTGGTTTTCAATTCCAACATTGCATCCTGGCCGGTTTAATTCTACAACATGTAGAATCAAGACTGGCCAGTTATTAGTTTTAATATTGCTCGGTTTAATTGTACAATAGTAGAATCAAGGCTGATCAGTCATTAGTTTCAGATTTGTATACTGGTCAGATAGTTCCTACAACATGTATGATCAAGACTGGCTGGTTATTGGTTTCAACATTTCATACCGGCCGACTTGATTCTGTCTATTGTAGAATCAAGGCTAACCAGTTATTGGTATCAGAATTACATGGACTGCATAGGGTAGATATAAGCTAGTTATATACTCTTATAAGGGCCAGCCATGTACATACATGCTGTAGGAACCATCTGGCCAGTCCATATCTTAAATACAATTATCTCGGCCAGCTGTGGACTACATAGAGTGGAGCTAGTGCTAGCTAAGCTACCTTGTCATTCATTAGCATTGAGAATTATCCTGTCATATTTTTCCTAGCAAAGACAGTATACCAGATCAAAGTATAAATTGACATCCATTGAAATTTTTCTCTGCCTCCTCAACAAATCTTCCCCACATCAAGACCTGCTGATAAGCATAGGCTTGATGACCAGGTCTGGTGGCTTGGCCACCCCTTCTCTCCCATTCATTCTGGTGGTACTTGAACCAGTTTATGGTCCAACCCATTTCATGTCTTACCAGCCTTAATTCCTCTTGCCATCTATTCCATCTAGCCTTAGCCTTCAACCAGTTCACCCTGTAGACTAGATCGGTTGGAGCTTTAGTGACATATCATAGAGATAAAGATTTTTTCTTACATTCATCTATCCAGGCATCGTCTTGACCTTGGCTTGCATTATTTCCCCTCCAAAACCAAGCCAGCCTGTCTGACCCTTGTCCAAATCTATTTTCTTCTGTCACCTCTTTGTCTATACTGAGCTCTGTAGGCGATATTGGCTGATAAAGACTCCCCAAGGTGGCTTTGTCCATGCCTAGACCTTCCATTGCTGACCTTGCCCTCTGATAGCTTCTTACACACTTGTCAATTTTGAGCTGACAGCGTTGAGCTTCTTGCTTTGACCTAGTCCCAGCCCATGTAGAATTAGCACTTCGAAAATACTGACGATAGATGATGGCCTTATGACCAAGGGCCATTCGAAGCTTTTCGAGGCAGTCATTGGCTTGGCCCTTTCGAAGTTCTAATTCTTCAGCTTGGAGGGGACCCAGTCCGAGAGCCAATGCATCCTGGTAGGGCACTGATGATGGCATCCAGATACCTATCTCTTCAGCCAAGATTTCTTCGTCAATATACTCTGAGATCTCTTCATCTGAGACCTCTCCCCAACCATTTTCATCATGACCTGCATAGCAGAATCTAGGATCGTCGGAATGCACTGTTGCAGTTCCAAGATCCATACCAGCAGTCATGGCATCGGCTGTTTCATGAAATTTAGCTATCCTAGCTGTCAATCTCTGTCGCTTCTCTTCTATAGAAACTTTCTGTCCTGGGGTTGCATCAGTAGGAAGTTGTCGAATATCTGCCCTTAGTCCATCCCTAAAATAGTACTATGTCAAACGGTTTCTCTATTTTTATTGGTTACATACTGTAAATCCTCCAGATTGATGCCAGTAATGAGCCAAGAGACTGTCCCAGGTTTGCTAGTGTCGGTATTCTCAGACTCAGTTAATTTGAGTCTAATCTCTGCCATAGTTGGAGCTAGATACAAATACTGATCAGATGTCTATACAAGAATAGCAGCCTCACAACTAGACAGAGTTCACTTACCTTTGTTCATCTGCAACTGATAGATGTCAAGATACTCTCCACGTTGTTCCATGGCCTTTTTCTCATCGATCTTCCATATCAAAATCTTCTCAGGGTCCAGAGACAGAGTGAGCTCGTCAAAGGGAGACTTTGTGTTATCAACACCTTTGAGAGCCCGTTTGTACTTTTTCAAGAGAGTCTTCACTGGAAGCTCAATCGTCAAGCTTGTTCAAATGCAAAATTTGGAGGGCTTACTTATTCCCACTATTTTTTTCCAGTTTGAGTCTCGCATATGATCATCAAGAACTTCTTGACGGTGAGCCTGACTCATTGACCGAGCAGTTGGGGAGATCTTATTGAATGGTGCCCACAGAGTCTCCAAAATCTCCCCATCAACATGTCCAGCCCCTTGAATAAAGTTGAGGCTGTACCTTGCAAAGCAAGCTAATTTGTGAGCGCTAAGATGGAATTTTCCAACTGCTGGAATGATGTGCATATTTTCAGGTACAGACAAGCCCTTGCTCTGGGCTACTCTCTGTAGAAAATTAATGCTCCACTGACACCCCACATCATAAATGATGAGGGAAGAGTCTATACCAGCTGAATGATAATTCAATGCATTGCATATTGAGTAGTCGATATTCATGTGTCTAAAAATTACCTGAGCTTGCATAACATGTTGATTTGGAGGACATACACAGACCTTTCGCCCTTCTGAAAATCAACTATACTATGAGGAACAAAGCATCCATGTCGAGCACAAGCAGTTGCTCCTACACCTGTAGCTCGAAGATTGCTCCTGCTGATATTGGCTGCATTTACTGCACGATGATTGCTGCAAGAAGACCGCTACAAAGATAGTGAAGCATGAACGAAAAGTGGTTGTCATGAGCCAACTCACCTCTTTACTTTCTACAGCCGATGACAGATGAGTCTGGTATTCTTGATCTTTCACAATATACCCAAGCCCGTCTGACAAACTAATGTCCAACTGTGGTTTTCTCATTACCATATGTTGAGCAGTGAAGTTCCCGTCTACCACATATCTTTGTGAAACAAGCCAACTGTACAAACAGGTAAGCATAAGGTTAAAAATGTGCAAAAAAGAAAAGTAGAAGTCTCTCTCCGGACCAACTCTCTGGCTGGCATGTCTTTGAGTGACATCTATGCACCTCAGTTTAACCGGCCAGCATGGTTATGCATGCTATCTGTGTCAAGCTAGCAAGCCAATTTAATGTGCCGGCCGGCCTGGTTTTACATCCAGTCTATGCCATGCTGGCCAGCTTGATTAGAACATAAGTCAGTCCGGCCGGAGCTCTCGTACACTATGCAGTGTAGGGCTAGCCAGTGAGTATGATATTCTCAAGTGTGGTAGAGAAATTGAGTCGCCTCTCCTTAGAATGAGATGGATAAATGACTTGCCTTTCATATCTGGCTTGCCAGTCAGGAGGTAGGTTAATCCCAGGCTGTGGACAAGCAGGGCAAAACCAAGCCAGATCACCCTTGTCCGGTTTCTGCTCATCATTATGGGCAAAGCCAAACCATTTTCGACTCATCAAGTCTCTCCACAGTCGAGACACTCTCATAAGTTCTCGATATCGATTCTAGAAAAACAAATTGGTACTGTTAGTTTAACTTTCACCAAGAAGACTTATAAGACTTACAGGAACAGTATCTGGGAAACAGTTATTGGTCATTCGACGGATTTTTTCAAAGAAGCTGGATGCTGAAGTCTTGCACTCCAGTGCGTCAATTAGAAAATGATTGAGGACATCAAAAGTAAAGGCAGTCTGTGGTCGAGTGGTACTGGCTGGAAATAATTTAGCTTTCAGCAATTGCAAATGCTGCTGACAATCGACCCCAGGACAGCTGCACCAGACAACGTTGTGCAAAAACACTCCAGTGGAATGTACAATGGTCAACTTGGTTGGTATAGTTGAACCATGAACTGTCTCCATTGGTGAAAAATCGGCCTCTGCGTCCATCGGAATATTCTCCCATGCATGCATGTCGTCAGAAAATGGACATGGTTGTCCCCCATGGCCCATATACCAGATAAAACCCAATTCTTCAAGTGATGTGTCGTTGAAGCATTTCCCAGTCCACTCTTGAACCTTGTGGAAGGGCAAAAACTGGTGAGCATTGACAATGCAAGAACGACAGAATGTCTGATCTCCACTGCAAGTCAAACAGCGGAATTTCCCTTCACCAATCTGACAAGACTGGCACTGGGATACATCGGAGGGTTTCTCCAAGTCAAGGAGAATATCCAAGTACAAGTCTCGGAAAGGCAGATATTCTTGGATGAAGTCATTTTGTGTCTGGTCGTAATAATCTCTATTTAGTACATCATTAAAAGACACTGAATCACTATGCTTGCCTTGGTTTTTCTTTGTGAGTTCTCTACATAGGAAACAAAGTCACCAAGGGTTTGTCTATCAAAATCTTCATGACTGTTTTGCAACCCTTGAGTGTCTTCTCTAATACGTTTACGAGGGCTGGAGGATGGAGATGGTGTTGGGGCAGTGTCATAAAGGCTATCAGCGCATGATTCCACCCAGGTTGGCTTCCTTCTCTTTCCAATGACTTGTTTATGAGACACATAGGCAACATCAAGGTCCTTGCCTTTAGACAAACGACCTCTTCCTTGGAAGGAAAATGTAGCTGCCTTGAGTCGAGTTTTTTTCTTGGGAGACATAGGGTTACGTGTGGGGGGAAAAATTGATATTATCAACATTCTATTTTTGATAGTTGAAACCATTCATAGGAATCACTAGATCACATCAACTAATCTAGTAGGTATACTGTCAAACACTTGATTTGTCCCATTCCACCCCTCCTCCTCCAAGAACCACTCCTTTCTTATCATCTACTTGTCACAACAAATAACTATCCTGCTGCCCCACCATCTGCAAAAAATAGGCCTGTGTTGGAAAGGGGGGTCTGGATACCCCGCATCTAGAGTGGATTTTATCCCTCATAAAATGGGCAATAACGAGCCTTTCTCCCGGACCCCATGGACCAATAGAATGTTGTAAAACCTTCCCGGAAATGAAGACCATTGTCCCAGGGTAATAATCCAGTTCGGCCCCAACATCTGCTAATGTCAACTTAGCCTCATGGCCACTGCCTAAACTAATCAGAAGATCAAAAAGAGAAGGTGCGCCACCAGAATCTCTGTGTGATAAAGTTGTACGATTTGCAATTATTTCCAATCCTGAGAAGATCGAGGGCCAATCACAGATGGGTGGTGATGTTCTATCAGAACCTTGAAGTTCCTCAATAATACGAGTGATTGCCAAGGTGCCTGCTTCGAATAGATCTGGAGCCGATACAGCGGTAATGGCATTCCAGAAAGATTCAGTAGCTGATAAAGCAGCTAGCCACTCTTGGACTTCCACAGACTTATAGGAAGCCGAGGTAACCATTGGGTCTTCCAGTCTCTGCAAATGAAATCAAACAAAGTCAAAAGTAGCTAAACAACCACTAAATTTGGCCTATACCTCGTGTCTTTGCATAAAATATGCTGGTGATACTGTGACTCTGCCTGCTCCAAATTCTCCACCCCCCTCTGGGACAACAAAGCCTTGAGATCGCCAAGACTGTTGGGTGGAGGACGTAATTGTTTCAAGAAGTAAAGTCCGTAAACCCTTAGTGGCTGAGTTCACATATTCCTAATTTAATTTATCAATTGATGAGGGGAATTCCCAAGGAAGAATGAACATACAACCCGAGAAGAAGACAGAATATTTGGCAAGTAAATTGTTAAAATTTTACCTTGCCTGTCCACAATAGTAGCTGGTACTGAAATTTTACCGATCATAGCTGCAGAAAAGTACTTTGGTAGCTGATTGGTATTAGCGAGGGGACCATCAGATTTAGGTGTAGAGACTTTGGCCATTTCGGCAAATCTGTCAACATCCCAATCCACATAATCTGCAAATGATGTGAATTTAAAACCAGGTGATATCTTGCAGAGTGAAACAACTCACAAGGATTTACCATTGCATGGGCAACTGTCAGTGCAGCTCGATTGATCTCATATTCTGAGATTGACGCAGAAGCATGGAAGTTGACATCACGTGTTGCTAAGCAACTGTCTAGCTCATGTCCAATTCTTAATCTTAAGTGAGACCATTTAATAGAGCGGATCAAATAAGGCCCTAAATATAACCTCTCACCTTGCTTTGTGTAGAAGGTGAGTTTGCAATATCCCCCCTCTGAAGATCCCTGTTGCTGATGATTTTCCCATAATTTCCTTGATCCTTGTGGTCAGAGCTGCTCTCAGCTTGATTGATTGACTCATTTGTTGGTCCATGGTGAGCAAGGAAAATTTTCAACCAGCTCGTTCGGATCAAGACTCAATTTAACTTATATGAAATGATTCCGAAAAAATTGTCCCGCGATCAAATTTGGATATATGAATGGAATCTACTGATGGAAGACTGATTAAATGAAGTCTTGCCCAGATTGTGACATAATTAGTACTGTAATAACTCGCTCAGATGCTGGAAGAGTGAAGACTAATATTGGCAGACTACCACAGAAGAATGAATGATATTCTGAATCTGGGACTACACTGTGGGATCCCTGTCTCAAATAACAGGAGACACTTCCAGCTGGAGTTCAACGCCTTGAGAGACAGCAAGGACTCACTTATTAAGAATGCAATCACAAAAACAGTAGTGTATAATAGTAAATTGGCATCCGGAGGACACCAGGACAAGTAGCAATGACGCCATATGATACAAACTGCCCTGCACCATCAGAAGGCTGACTCTTCCCTTCTGACCATGGAGGGGAGATACCTCTGAGGTTACCTCTGAGGCATATACTGGCTAGCCCGCCCTCAAAACTGTTCGTGTTAAGAGTTCTGCCTCAGAGGTAATACTTAGTTAGCTACACCTATACTGTAGGGTATTGAAAATGTTTTCTTTGTTAACCGAAGAAAACATTCTCAATACCCTGCAGTATAGGTGTAGCCAACTTACCTCTGAGGCAGAACTCTTAACACGAACAGTTTTGAGGGCGGGCTAGCCTCTAAGTGGCCTGTAGGGTATTGAGAATGTTTTCTTCGGTTAACAAAGAAAACATCTTCAATACCCTACAGTATATGCCTCAGAGGTAAGTTAGCTACACCTATACTGCAGGGTATTGAGAAACCCTGCAGGCCACTTAGAGGCTAGCCCGCCCTCAAAACTGTTCGTGTTAAGAGTTCTGCCTCAGAGGTAAGTTGGCTACACCTATACTGCAGGGTATTGAGAATGTTTTCTTCGGTTAACAAAGAAAACATTTTCAATACCCTACAGTATAGGTGTAGCTAACAAAGTATTACCTCTGAGGCAGAACTCTTAACACGAACAGTTTGGAGATACCTCTGAGGCATATACTGGCTAGCCCGCCCTCAAAACTGTTCGTGTTAAGAGTTTTGCCTCAGAGGTAATACTTAGTTAGCTACACCTATACTGTAGGGTATTGAAAATGTTTTCTTTGTTAACCGAAGAAAACATTCTCAATACCCTACAGTATAGGTGTAGCTAACTAAGTATTACCTCTGAGGCAGAACTCTTAACACGAACAGTTTTGAGGGCGGGCTAGCCTCTAAGCGGCCTGTAGGGTATTGAGAATGTCCGTCAGTCCAAAATATGCTAGCAGCCCAGGCAGATGGTGACAATGACGCCATATGATGACTCCCCTCTGTGGTCAGAAGGCAATTTCAAAGAAGAATCAACCTTCTGACCGGGAAGGGAAGTTTGTATCATATGGCGTCATGGCTACTTGTCCTAGTGTTCTGCCACCATCTGCCTATGCCAATAGTATATTTTGACTGGCAGACAATAATCAATGATAGCGTCCTTCAGCATGTCAATGGTGAGCCGCATCAAGGCAGAATTGAGATCTACATAACACATTATCTATCTAAGACATGTAGTAGATAATAGTTGCTTTGGTCTGTGCAGCGTTTGATTATTATACACTACTGTGCTTTTGCGCTTGCTTTCTTAATAAGGCTCTTTGCTAATATACACACGGTCACGTGACCTTTTCAGCCGGCAGCAAATAAAGTGCATCCATCAACATACATTTTCAAATACAAAGTACGAGTGACAATAAATTTTACTACAAGTAAGCAAACAAATAAAGTAACAAATACAAAAGGGGAGGCGAGACTTCAATGAGGGGGCCCTCCTCACCAAAGCCTCAACACTCCAGGTGAAAATGTATGTAGCAAATATATATATAATACAATACAAATTTGTCCTGTAGAAACGTTAGACCAAAATTTAAGACAAGATTAACACTTAACTAGAGAGCACTTGCCACACAAAAGTACCGGCAGGTTCAGCAGTCTAGAGAACAAAACAGATCAGTTAAGGTCATCAGGAATTGAGCGCTTACCACCATTAAAAAGTTGGAGCAGGCTATTAAAAAGTCGGAGCAGGAGCCACTGACAAGTGGCATGCACTGCGATACCGCCAATTCCAAGAAGCAGGAGCCACTGACAAGTGGCATGCACTGCGCTGAGCCCCAGTCCCAATAAGCAGGAGCCACTAACAAGTGGCATGCACTGCGCTACCGCCAATTCCAAGAAGCAGGAGCCACTGACAAGTGGCATGCACTGCGCTGAGCCCCAGTCCCAATAAGCAGGAGCCACTAACAAGTGGCATGCACTGCACTACCGCCAATTCCAAGAAGCAGGAGCCACTGACAAGTGGCATGCACTGCGCTGAGCCCCAGTCCCAATAAGCAGGAGCCACTAACAAGTGGCATGCACTGCGCTACCGCCAATTTCAAGAAGCAGGAGCCACTGACAAGTGGCATGCACTGCGCAACCCCCAGTTCCTATAAGCAGGAGCCACTGACAAGTGGCATGCACTGCGCAACCCCCAGTTCCAATAAGCAGAATACTAAATAGAACAGACATTAGCAAACGGACACAAGAGAAGAAGGACTTACGTTTAAGGAACTGGAAGGCGCTCAAAGGGAGGAGTGGCTCTAACTGCGCCATCCAAAGTCCTGAAATTCGTAAGTATAATACTAAATAGAACAAACGTTAGCAAACGGACATGAGAGAGAAAGGACTTACGTTGGGAACTGGAGGGCGCTCAAAGGGAGGAGTGGCTCTAACTGCCATCCAAAGTCCCGAAATTCGTAAGTATAATCCTAAATAGAACAAACGTTAGCAAGCGGACGCGGGAAAAGAAGGACTTACGTTGGGAACTGGAGGGCGCTCAAAGGGAGGAGTGGCTCTAACTGCCATCCAAAGTCCCGAAATTCGTAAGTATAATCCTAAATAGAACAAACGTTAGCAAGCGGACGCGGGAAAAGAAGGACTTACGTTGGGAACTGGAGGGCGCTCAAAGGGAGGAGTGGCTCTAACTGCCATCCAAAGTCCCGAAATTCGTAAGTATAATCCTAAATAGAACAAACGTTAGCAAGCAGACGCGGGAAAAGAAGGACTTACATTAGGGAACTGCCAGGAGGGCGCTCAAAGGGAGGAGTGGCTGTCACTGCGCCATCCAAAGTCTCCAAAATCCTAAGTACAACAGACATTAGCAAGCGGGTGTGAGCAATTAAGTACTTACCTTGAGAAACCTCAAGGGAAAGAGAGTATATGTAAATGAAAACAGTTAGTAAGTAGGCGCACCACCAAAGTTGAACTTACTATGTTTGAAGGGCGACTGTAGGGTAGTACCTTTGGATTCTTGCAGCTGCAGTCTGCAAGAACCCAAAGGAGTACACCGGAAGTCGCCCTGAAGTAACGGCACTGGCAGAAATAAAGGATGAAGGAGAATGATGAAGGTAAGACGAAAGAAGAGATTGAACCGTGAGAACTGATTGTTGTTGTTCATATTCACGTGTCAGTTTGTTATTGTTTGCAAATAGTCACGTGATTATCAACAATGAACTCAACAGCGTCATAATATTGGCTAATCCACAATTCAACGCGTCGCGTGTCAAAATCCACTCAACACGTGCCGGCGCGTAAGTCACACGTTATTGTTGATAAACATGGGTGTTCAAATTAATTTCGGCTAGCCACCCTCCTACCGCCTGTACCAGCCTACCTGCAATTTTTATCTTGAATCAATTATCAAATTGGATATATTGAGACGGTCAAATTCACATCAAGTAACAAGATTAAAGGCACATTATACTTCCATTGAGTGGAGTTAGACAGTGTAGATAATAGACAAATTCACATCAGGTAAAAAGATCCAAAACACATTATACTTCCATTGAGCGGTGAGGGTATCTAATCAAGTAAGATGAAGAAAAATGAAACATGAAGGGATGTAATGTCTACCGACTGGTCTATTGCCTTTAAGCCAATTCTCGACCTTCACTCTAAGGCCATTTTTGCTGCAGGTTCCTCATCTGTTGGAAAGCCTGTGGTGAGGAAGATTCGGAGGGCCATACTAGCTGCTCAAGACGAGCAAGAGGAACCCATTGCCTTGCCTACTTCCTTGAAAAAGGTCACAAAATTCTTATACTGTACATGTATTTAGTTGTCTGATGATATACATAAATGTTACCTACAGGCAATAAAAGAATACTATGCCAAAAGTCTCAAAGACAAGGAAGAGGCAGACGAACGTGAGGCAGCGAGTCGCCCAAGAGAACCATCTTTCTATAAGAAACCCCTGTCTGAGTGGGACGTAGCACAGAAATTATTTAAGCAGGAGATCGACTCATATGACAAGGCCCAACAACAGAGTAAAGGCTTGGAGTATTCAATCAAGTACCGCACTGGGAATGCCAGGGAGTGGTTCAACAACATGACACCTTCACAACAGCAGGAGGTCAAGTTTGCCATGAAGAAATGGAATGAGGAGGGGGCGCCAGAAGAAACTCAGGCAATGTAAGTTTTACTTCAAATCTACAGTTATTCCAGTCTAACACTTTGGCTTGAGATATCGTAAGAATAACCTCAAGAAAACTCTGGAAGATTTTGCAGAGCAAATTCGGCGCACCATGGGTTGTCGCATAGTAATGCTTGTTAATCATAAGAAAAAAGCTAGTCAGACATTGTCCGTCAGTCTGTAAGTCATCAAATCAACATGGAAATCTCAAGACTAACTAAACTACTATAGACACGAAACTATGCCTCAGAATGCCAAGAAAAAATTTTCTGTGAGCTCGAGTGGTATCAAGGAGTGGGCTGCAAATGGATTTGAATCCTTTGGAGAATGGTCTAAGACTGAATTTTGTACGTGTTTCATTTGATTTTAAATATCATGCTCACTGACTATTAAATTGATAGACCCTTCAGAGGATTCAGACCATGCGGCTTCAGACTGTGAGGATGGACCTGTCTTACCTGAAATCATAGTAGATGATGAGGGGTATGCAAAACTTCCTCTTCGTGATGGTATTGGCCTCAAGGGCCAACATGAATTGATTAGAAGTATCTTTCATACTTCATACAGTAAGATCTAACATCTTCAATATGTGCATGACATTTGATTGACTCAATGGTTTGTAGAAGTCTGCACAGGTGGCTCTAGACCTGTACCTTGGGGCGTGATAACTGCCAGCCCGTCCAATTATTTGGAACCTGGTTCAGTTCCCACAGGATTTGTGGTCAAAGACCCTTCTCATATGAAGACAGAGGAGGTAAATTGTCTATGGATGCATTGGGAACGACATTCTGCTACAAATCAGAAGCTAGTTGTCTTTATTAAGGCCAAGGATGCTGATATTCGGGTCACTGGGAAGTCCAAGACGAAAGTAGTGAGCACCCTAGACTTAGATGAAGAAGATCAAGGCCGGCCGGCTCCATTTGCCTCTCATTTCACAGAACGTACAACACAGCCGGCCGCTCATGAGACAACACCAGATGATGTTGCCATCAATGACCGATACACATTTTTAGAAACCCTTAGCAAGAATGAAAACTACTTGGAGCTTGTGGACGCCACTAGGGACCTGGCAATATTAGCCAAACAGAATGTTAGTGTCACTTGGTGCTGTTTTCAATTTTATGGCTTATATGTCCAATAGCCAATTTCAGAGCGACACCAAGATTTGCCTACCTGGGCTGACTGGTCTTGGAGCGAAAATTATCTTTCCGAGGACATTCACACCTCATATGCGACATTGATGGCTAGCTTAAACAAGCTACAGACCTGTCCAATCTCAGGGCCATCATCGGCAATGCCAGTAATACTAGGAATTGGGCTCCTCTATAGGGAGTCTAAGCGTGTGATAGAGTATGAGGAAGACGAGGCTGATCCCAATACCCCTTTCTACCTACCTCATTCTGCTATTGATCTACAGTTCTTGGTCGCTCTGGATGAGGCTGTCCGGGAAGTCTTATTCTCAGTTGTTGGTCAGATTGAGAGGCTGAACAAAGAGGGACTCAGTGACGAGGTTGAGGATGAGGAGATGAGGATGGTGGTAGAGAAGGAAAGGCATGAGGTTGAGGAGAAGGATGTTGAGTCAGAGGAGAATGTAGTTGGGGGAGAAGAACAGCAGGAGTAGGAGGTTGAAGAGGTGGTGCAGAAAGGGAGGAAGAGAAAAATTAACCATGCTTCATCAAGTAAGTCCAAGAAGCCTAGGACTGAGCCTGTGGTTCGTAGATCAGGTAGGGCGAGGCAACCCTCTAAGAGATCCCAGAAGATATGATCTTGTATCCTCCATTGTCTTCATTGCTAGTCAATCTTGTACAGTAATTACATATGCTTGTCTAGACTCTCGCACTGCCTGGTGATAAGTTATGACTTGAGTATAAACTGGCTTTCCTCGCTCTATGTACATATATATTGGCCAGCCTGACTCCTACATAGGTAAATGCAGGACGGCTGGTATGCTAGTTTAATACCTGCAAACAGACCAGCCTGGCTCCTACATAAGTAAATGCAGGACGGCCGGTATGCTAGTTTAATACCTGCAAACAGGCCAGCCTGGCTCCTACATAGGTAAATGCAGGACGGCCGGTATGCTAGTTTAATACCTGCAAACAGGCCAGCCTGGCTCCTACATAAGTAAATGCAGGACGGCCGGTATGCTAGTTTAATACCTGCAAACAGGCCAGCCTGGCTCCTACATAGGTAAATGCAGGACGGCCGGTATGCTAGTTTAATACCTGCAAACAGGCCAGCCTGGCCCCTACATAAGTAAATGCAGGACGGCCGGTATGCTAGTTGAATATCTACAAAGTAAATGCAGGATGGCCAGTATGCTGGTTTCATACCTACAAACTGGCCAGCTTCATGGCTACCCAAGTATATGTAGGGCAGCTGGTATGCTAGTTCAAGCTTACAAACTGGCCAGCCTTGCCTGTACGTAGGTATATGCAGGGTGGCTGAAATGTTGTTTTAAACTTACAAACTGGCCAGCCTGATGGCTACCTAGGTGGATGCATGATGGCTGGTATGCTAGTTCAAAACATACAAACTGGCTAGCCTTACCCATACATAGGTAGATGCAGGGCGGCCGGTTTGCTAGATTAAGACCTACATACTGGCCAGCCTGGTTTCTACTGAGGTAGAGATATGGTTGGCCAGTATAATCTTAATCCCACATATTGGGCCACCCCACGTCTGCCTATGTAGAAGAAAGGCTGGCCAGTTACAAATATAGATGTGAAACAGTCAGCATCCTAATACACCAGCAAGCCTTGATATTGGTATACCTACGGCCGGCAGTTGTCTTACATCTACTGGCTGGTCATGCTTTTACAATAGTATGGTAGTGTATTATACATGTGGACTACTACTATACAAGGCCGGCCAGCATGTATTCTACATAGACCGGCCGGGGACTGGCTGGCCATGATTCTACAGGGTTTTGGCACATCCAGGGCACTGGTTCTACATGGGAAATTGACTGAAGTATGTGCTTAGCGAACTTCTGTTGGACAAGCCGGTCCTTGCTGTAGTATGTGACACTTTTTATGATCAGGTCCTATTTGCTGATATCCTATTGCAATTGAACCTATTCCTTCTAGGTTGATGCTACACCACGTCCAGTTCGTCAGCCAATCATCATCCCCCAGCGCCGAGTGCCTCATGGTTTTTTTGACGACATACCACATCGGGCTCACGTAAGTCATTAATGTCTAATCCAGGACTGTTTTTCCTGACTTGTGCATGTTCTCAGCACGCATCGCATCCAAGCACCCTTCGTGACCGACTTTCCTCTTTATTCCACACCGACGCCCACGATACGTCTTCACGACCCCGCCCTTTCCACTGGGTTCGAAGTCGTCTCTCTGGGAGACCAACCGGTGAAGACATCGGGCTTCACGGGCATCCCTCAGCAGTAGTCGATGTTCCGTATGCTAAGGGCAAACGTGTATGTTGTCTGTTTACTTCTCGAATATTCAAACTTCCTCTCATACAACACAGAGGAATGCATCGGCAAGAGAAAGACGGATGAAAATACCTCCGTTGAAACCTGGGAACACTGCCGCAAGCACCTCACGTCCTCCCAACAGCAATACCACACAACACTCTAATAGCGCGTCTCAAGCCCAGTCTTCGCAAGCACAGGCTGCTGTCTCCCCTTCCACCGCACCTCCCGCCGTCACTCATACATTTTCAAGCGCTAATCCTCATGTAACAATAAGACATGCTGGACGCTGGACTCGCTTCTGGCTTCTTATTTGTTGCACCTCTACTGAGTATACCCATGATCATCAGTAATGTATCCCGTGCGTTTCCTTGTCCTTTGCGAAGGATATCTCCCATCTCATCCTTCCAGTACATAAAATGGAGACATAAATTTAAGGAACACTACATACCGCGGTCGATTATAGGTTTTTGTTGTTGCCAACAAGCCTTCACTGATCAGAAAAGCGACTCTTCTCAATAAACATGTGTACTACTGAAATGAAAAATACTTGCACTTGCGTGCTCCAGAAATGATGAACATGTAGATTGGCTCCGGTCACATAAAGTAGGTAGCGAATCAGTTTACTCAGGCGACAGAAACACTTGCCTACAAGCAACCTATGCTTCTCAATGTCTCGAAAGCGCAACCTTCCCTCCAACTTCAGTGCATCCAGGTAAAGTTAGTTGAACCATCGCGAGATCCCCTCTTACGCCAATTACCTGCCCACCAGCCAATGTCGAACCAATGTTAATCACTAGGAGCTCGTTCTTGGCAAATTTTGAGACCTGTTTCTTCTCTGTACGAACATCCAGCAAACAGCGGAGAAGGAACGAACTATTTTCAAGCTCTAGATTCTCTTGAAAATGCAATCATGGCACATCCAAAACGAGGATGCTCACCGGTATAGACCTTCAGGAGCTTCCCAACCGCACTCAACACCTGACCAACGAAACGATCCACTCTCAACAGCGTCGGATTAAATTTGGTGCGAATATCAATCAGTCCTCCTCGAAACTGCAAACTTCACGCGATTGTTCTCAGCGCGCAGAGGATCCTGCTGGAAACGGGCTTGCACGGTTCCGGCCCTGAGTGTTTTTTGTTACCATCACCGGACAAATCTTGACTTGTTGCCCTGGCCCGTGAGGATAGAACCACTAGCAACACCACCTTTGAGTTCGTGGACCTCAGCACCAGGCTTGTTGACATCGAAGGAACGGATGAGACCGGGATCGAAAGCAAAGTCGCGGACTGGGATAGGTGGACGCTTTGCAATGATTTCGTTGACAGCGTCGATGTCGTATTCCAGTTGCGTATCGGGACGCTGAGCGACGGCTCGACCACCGTGCCTGTTAGGAGAATTAATATAACAGTGGATGATCCATGCTACAGAAGACTCACCCTTGATGAATGCAGCGATTGCGATTGTTGCTCAAGAGCTTGATCAAGTCGACCTTGTTCTGAAGAATATTGATGCTTTCCAGCTTCATTCAACCATAAGATCGAAAAGAATACGGGAGGACAGTATCATCTGCAAGACATAGCAAAGGTAGTGAGGCGCAATTTGGTGTATGGACCGACAATGAACATGGGAGTTAGGACGGCGAGGTTGATCCGAAACGAGGCTTGGGCGCTTCAGTTGCACAGCCTGCTAGAAGCTGTGAGGCAAACACGAGGACGTCGCAGTTTAAACTTCCAGTGCACTGAGGCTCGTTGTGTCTTGCTGTCAACACGTCGTGACCTGCTGAGGGACATATCGTTGTAAGTGGTGATTCTAAACTTTGTGGGATGAAGACTGAAACGAAGCTCCGTCTAGATGTCTTCAGCTATCGTTGAAATACAGGAGACCTCGAGCAGAATGCCTCGTCAGAAATTTGAGGGACATACCAAAGATGTCTGGAGTGCCATACATCTACCAGGCGGACAACGGATAATGACTTGTTCAAGGGACGGCTCGCTGCGGGTATGGGACTTGAAGAGTGGGAAACAGATAGGAGACGACTGGCGGGACGGTGACGGTCCAGTGTACACCATAGCGTTGTCTCCGGACGGGAAGAGAGTGGTCAGCGGGAGTGAGGATGGCGGAGTGAGGTTGTGGGACATGGACACAGGCAAAGTCATCGTGACATGGATGGGGCATACAAAGAGAGTGAGGACTGTTTGCTGGAGTGGAGATAGTCAGCGAGTCTTGAGCGGATCTGAAGATGGGACTGCAAGACAATGGGATGTAGAGGGCGGAGAGGCCAACCTCGCACCCATCAAGACAGGGCACGAATACGTGTTGGCAGTCGTCTACTCGCCAGATATGAGCATGTTTGCAACTAGCGGGCTCGGACAGCGTCATGCCAAAATTTGGGATGTCAAGACGGGCAAGCTTGTCGCCACTTTTGAAACAGCTGATGTGCTGTGGTGTCTGGCTTGGACTCCAGATGGAAAAACACTTATATCCGGGTCATACGATTCCTCGATTAGGACATGGAGCACCACAACTTGGAAACAGATCGCAGTGTTGCATGGGCACACTTCTTTCATCACATCCATTGCAATATCTCCGAATGGCCGCATCCTCGCAAGTGTATCACATGACAGCACAACGAGATTATGGAACCTGGACAACAACCTGCCTATCGGTCCGCCCCTCCGAGTCCAGGATCCAGATTGGCACTACGTGCGTTCTGTGTCGTTTTCGGGAGATGGAAAGCTACTAGCCACTGGCTGCTTCGACCATAATGCGTATATATGGGACATTTCTGGGATACTAAAAGAAGCTGGCCTTAGTGAACTTCTGTTGGACAAGTTGGTTCTTGCTGTATGTGTCACTTTTTATGATCAGGTCCTATCCTATCGCAATTGAACCTATTCCTTCTACTAGGCTGATGCTACTACATCATGTCCAGTCCGTCAGCCAATCATCGTCCCCCAGCGCCAGGTGCCCCATGGTTCCAATAGCAATACCACACAACATTGTAATGGCACATCTCAAGCCCAGTCTTCGCAAGCACCGGCTGCTGCCACTGCATCTCCCGTCGTCACTAACACAACTCCAAACACCAATCCTCATATCATAATCAGACATGCTGGACGCTGGACTCCCTTCTGGCTCTTCATTTGTTGCGCTTCTGCTGAGTATACCCATGATCATCAGTAATGTATCCCGTCCGTTTCCTTGCCCTTTACGAGGGATATCTCCCATCTCATCCTTCCAATACATAACATAGAGACATAAACTTAAGGAACACTTTACATACCACGGTCGATTCTATGTTTTTGTTATTGCCAACAAGCCTTCACTGATCAGGAAAGCGACTCTTCTCAACAAAGATGTTTACTACTGAAATGAAAAAAAAACACTTGCATTTGCGTGCTCCAGAAATGATGAATATGTCGATTGGCTCCGGTCACATCAAGTAGGCAGCGAATCAGTCTACTCGGCCGACAGAAATACTTGCCCACAAGCTACCAATACTTCTCAATATGTCTCGAAAGCGCAAACTTCCCTCCAACTTCAGTGCATGCGGGTAAAGTTAGTTGAACCTTCGCGAGATCCCCTCTTACGCCCATTATCTGCCCACCAGCCAATGTCGAACCAATGTTAATCACTAGGAGCTTGTTCTTGGCAAATTTTGAGACCTGTTTCTTCTCTGTACGAACGTCCAGCAAACAGCGGAGAAGGAACGAACTATTTTCAAGCTCTAGATTCTCTTGAAAATGCAATGGCACATCCAAAACGAGGATGCTCACCAGTATAAACCTTCGGGAGCTTCCCAACCGCACCCAGCGTCGGATCAAACTTGGTGCAAATACCAATCAGTCCTCCTCGAAACTGCAAACTGCAAGCGATTGTTCTCAGCGTGCAGAGAGACGATCGTGCTAGAAACGGGCTTGCACGAGTCCGTCCCTTAGTGTTTTTTGTTACGATCACCGGACAAATCTTGACTTGTTTCCCCGGCCCGTGAGGATGGAATGACTAGTGGCACTACCTTAGAGTTCGTGGACCTCAGCACCAGGCTTGTTGACATCGAAGGAACGGATGAGACCGAGATCGAAAGCAAAGTCGCGGACTGGGATAGGTAGACGCTTTGCAATGATTTCGTTGACAGCGTCGATGTCGTATTCCAGTTGCGTATCGGGACGCTGAGCGACGGCTCGACCACCGTGCCTGTTAGGAGAATTAATATAACAATGGATGATCCATGCTACAGAGGACTAACCCTTGATGAATGCAGCGATTGATGTTTGTTGCTCAAGAGCTCGATCAAGTCGACCTTGTTCTGAAAAATATTGATGTTTTCCAGCTTCATTCAACCCCGGCCAAGTACTCCGGTATCTGCAGCCAAGAGTATGTTACGTTTACTGCGATTAGTAGAGCAGCGTCCATGACGAGATCGAAAAGAATACGGGAGGACAGTATCATCTGCAAGACATAGCAAAGGTAGTGAGGCGCAATTTGGTATATGGACCGACAATGAACATGGGAGTTAGGACGGTGACTCGGTTAATCAGAAACGAGGCTTGGGCGCTTCAGTTGCACAGCCTGCTGAAAGCTATGAAACGAACACGAGGACGTCCCGGTTTAAACTTCCAGTGCACTGACGCCTTCGTGTCTTGGTATCAACACATCGTGACCTGCTGAGGAACATATCGTTGTAAGTGACGATTTTGCACTTTGTGGGATGAAGGCTGAAAGAGAGCTCTGTCCAGATGTCTTCACCCATCGTTGAGAGACAGGAGACCTCGAGGATAATGCCTCGTCAGAAATTTGAGGGACACACCGATTCGGTCCGCGGCACCATACATCTACCAGGCGGACAACAGATATTGACTTGTTCAGCGGACGGCTCGCTGCGGGTATGGAATTTGAAGAGTGGGAAACAGATAGGAGACGACTGGCGGGACGGTGACAGTCCAGTGTACACTATAGCGTTGTCTCCGGACGGAAAGAAAGTCGCCAGCGGGAGTATGGATGGCGGTGTGAGGTTGTGGGATATGGACACAGGCAAAGTCATCGTGAAATGGATGGGGCATACAAAGGGAGTGAATTCTGTCTGCTGGAGTGGAGATGGTCAGCGAGTCTTGAGCGGGTCTGACGATGGGACTGCAAGACAATGGGATGTAGAGAGCGGAGAGGCAAACCTCGCACCAACCAAGACAGGAAACAAATTGGTGTGGGCAGTCGTCTACTCGCCAGACATGACGATGTTTGCGACTGGCGGATCCAAACAGCATGCCAAAATTTGGGATGCCAAGACAGGCAAGCTTGTCACCACTGTTGAAACAGCTGATGCGGTGTGGTGCCTGGCTTGGACGCCTGATGGAACCGCGCTTATATCTGGGTCATACAATTCCTTCATTAGGATATGGAATACTACAACTTGGAAACAGATCGCAGTGTTGGATGCGCACATTTCTTTTGTCCGATCCTTTGGAATATCTCCGAATGGCCGCATCCTCGCAAGCGTATCCTGGGACAGCACAGCACAATTATGGAACCTCGACAACAACCAGCCCATCAGTTCGCCCCTCCAGCATCCACATGCCGTGGCTTCTGTGTCATTTTCGTTAGATGGAAAGCTACTAGCCACTGGCTGCAGCGACAAAAATGCGTATTCATGGGACGTTTCTGCGATACTCAAAGAAGCTGGCCTTAGCGAACTTCTGTTGGACAACCCGATCCTTACTGTATGTGACGCTTTTTATGATCAGGTCTTATTTATTGAGATCCTATCGCAATTGAACCTAAATATTCCTTCTAGGCTGATGCTACACTATGTCCAGTCCGTCAGCCAATCATCATCCCCCAGCGCCGGGTGCCTCATGGTTTTTTTGACGACATACCACATCGGGCTCACGTATGTCATTAACATCTAATCCAGTACTGTTTTTCCTGACTTGTATGTTCTCAGCACGCATCGCATGCAAGCACCCTTCGTGACCGGCTTTCCTCTTTATTCCACCCCGACGCCCACAATACGTCTTCGCGACCCCGCCCTTTCCACTGGGTTCGAAATCGTCTCTCTGGGAGACCAACTGGTGAAGACATCAAGGTCCGCGAGCGTCCCTCAGCAGTAGTCGATGTCCCGTATGCCAAGGGCAAACGTGTATGTTGTCTGTTTGCTTCTCGAATATTCAAATCCCATCTCATACAACACAGAGGAACGCATGTGCAAGAGAAAGACGTATGAAAATAATTCCATTGAAACCTGGGAACACTGCCGCAAGCATCTCACTTCCTCCCAATAGCAATACCACACAACACTCTAGTGGTGCATCTCAAGCCCAGTCTTCGCAAGCACAGGCTGCTGTCTCCACTGCCACCCCACCTCCCGTCGTCACTAACACAACTCCAAACAACAATCCTCATGTCATAATCAAACACGCTGGATGCTGGACTCGTTTTTGGGTCTCTATATTCTGTTCCTCTTCTGAGTATACTGACGGTCATCATTAATCTACTCTGTTTATTTCTTCATCTCTAAAAGATGTTCTTTGTCATTTCTTATAATTTCGTTGCGCTTCTACTGAGTATACCCATGATCATCAGTAGTATATTTTCCTTTTCTCGTCAAATACATATGTAGATTGGCTCCAATCACATCAAGTAGGTAGCGAATCAATCTACTAAGTCGACAGAAACATTTGCCTACAAGCCCCCGATACTTATCGATGCTTCTCGAAAGCGCGACCTCCTCTCCAACCTCAGCACGCGCGAGTGAAGTCAGGTGAACCTTCGACGAATGCCCAGTAAACGGCAGAGAAGGAACAAAATGAGATCGCTTCTTGGACCTGAACCAAGTGGCACCCCGACTAGGACCTCGAAACTCAAATTTCAACATCGCGCTCAACAGCGCCAAGGTTGCCAAACGGCGCCTTTGCGCATCCATACTAACTCTTAGACCTTTCTCTTCTATCTAGACATACTCCAGAAAACTCCAAAAACAATCAAATAAGTATATAAACCATGAACAACACTAACAGACAGACTCTACAGCTCATGGCGCCCACTAAAGCGCCAGAGAAAAAGAACCAGCCAACTACGCTACCTCACACAACTAATCATAACCCCACCGCCCAAAGGAATCAGATGTTGCAGGATGACATTGAGGCGTTACCGGGAGCAGTCACGGGTTTGGACTCGGCTGAGAAGTATCTCACCAATGTTCTCCTTCGCCAGGCTGACGAACCTCTCTCCCTGCTCCACCTGGTGGGCATCCTTTTCCAAGTCACCCAAATGGCCAAACCCATCCCACTTGCCGTCACCAACGCCATCAGAGCTGTAGCCTTCATTCTCAAACAGCAAGCCGCCTCGGAAATAGCGGACGTAGTCGCCAAAGCGGCAGCCAAACAACTCACGAATTCCCTCTCGACCAACATCGTGAACAGTGTCATAGCAGCTATCGCCCCTCAAGTGGCTTCCATACACACCACTGCAGAATCTTTGATAGGAACGTTGGCGCAATCGAAGCAACTTCACGACGCAATAGAAAGGGAAAAAGAGGAAGAAAAGAATGATCTCAAAACTGCAGCTGAACGCATCGAGGATGCGGTGGACACCCTATACGAATCCATCGAGGACTGCAATAACTCCTACAAGCTCCTCACACCGTCCCTCAAATTCACTCAGGACCGTCTCAACAACCTCGCGACTCAGCTCTCCCAACCCCCACCAGTTATCACGCAGCCAACAGTCACTCCCCCAGCCTTCCCTACCTACAGCTCAGTAGCAGCTGCCAATCTCCCCCCGTCCATTGACCAAGCGGTAGCCAGAGCATCTCTTCGAGCCAAACAGATATTGCTTGACCCAACGCCGGGCCACTCTCTCTTCCTGGCAGAAGCCACTAATGCCACCATTGCTAAGCGCATCTCTGATATCCTCTCTGAAATACGTGGCGAGGGAACCCCTACAGGCGCAGTCCGCGCGGTCCAGCGCCTTCGCAATGGAGGTCTGATAGTGGAGCTCGACAATGAACAACTAGCGGGCTGGCTCAAAGGCCCTACAGGCCGAATGCTGCTCGAGTCTCAACTGGACTCGCCGGCATGCATACGGGATAGGACCTATTCCATCGTAATTCAATTCCTGCTGATCACTTACGAGATAGAACATGATGACTTCCCTCGTCACATCGAAGCTGAAAACCACCTCCCCCCTAATTCGATAGCATCCATCCGCTGGATCAAGCCCCCACAACGTCGTACAAGAGAGCAACGCACCGCCTTCGCACTCCTCCAGATCACGGACGTCGAAACCGCCAACAACATCCTGAAGGAGGGCATATGTATTGATGCCCATCGCTATGCTGTCAATAAGGACCACAAGGAACCCCTACGCTGCGCCAAATGCCAGAAATTCGGGCACATGGCTCGCAACTGTTCCTCTCCTCATGACGTTTGCGGCACATGCAGTGGCCGTCACTGGACTACACAGTGCAACGCGTTCCGAACCGAATGCTGCGTAAACTGCAAGAGCCAAAACCACACCAGCTGGAGTCGCAAGTGTCCGGAATTCATCCGCCGTTGCAAGACCTTGGACGAACAATACCCGGAGAACAAACTCCCCTTCTTCCCTACCAGCTCCACCTGGAACCCAACCATCCGTCCCTCAAGGGCACCAACCTTGACGCCCAATCATTCTACTTCTCCCCGCACTGCAGAGCTGCACACACCACCCCCCGCTATCAACACAAGCAAGCCACTCTCCCCTTCAAACGCGTTGACCCTCTGCAGCCAACTGCGACTGCGCCTGTCCCCCCGATGAGCTCTCACCCCCCCTCAACTCCCTCGACTACGTCCACTCCTGCGACACCATCAACCCCCTCGTCACCCACACCCCCTTCTACTCCGGTGTCGTCACCTACTCCCTCGTTGTCCACCTACACGACCCCCATTGCCAGCCCCAACTCTCTCCTCCCAAATGTCTGAACAACCCAACCCCGCCCCAGGCAGTCTTAGGATATGGCAGCAAAACCTCAACGCCTCGCTAGCGGCTCAAGAGTCGCTGATGAACAGCCGGGATATCACTAACCACGATCTTCTAATAATTCAGGAACCATATATTAACTTCCTTCGTAACACTCGCGCCAGCCACCGCTGGCATGTCCTATATCCTACTAACCATCTCACTCACCCTCAGGAACGCTCACGAGCAATCACCTTTGTCAACACTTCGCTCGACACGAACACGTGGCGACAAATTCCATTCCCGTCATCCGACGTGGTTATTGTACAAATGACTGGTGACTTCGGTGCATGCACCATTGTAAATATATATAACGACTGTACCCACCAGAATACCCTAATTGCCATGGAGACCTTCCTCAGTCAGAACATTGCTCTGCTCCGTCCAACGGCAGATGACCACATGCTCTGGCTGGGCGACTTCAATCGCCATCACCCCATGTGGGAGGACATTCGTAACTGCCACTTATTTAACTACCCGCTCTCTCAACCGCTTATTGACCTGATCGCTGACTATGGTATGCTACAGCTACTTCCTTGCGGCATCCCCACCCTCCAATCCAACAGCACTGGCAATTGGACTCGGCCAGATAATGTACTCGGCACAGAGGGCACTCTCGACGCTGTCATCGCATGTGACACTGAACCAGCGAAACGAGGCCCCAAAACGGACCACCTCCCTATTATACTAATGCTTGAACTAGCAGTCACCCGAAAAGACGACGTCCCTCGCCCCAACTGGCGTGAGGTCGACTGGGAGAAATTCAAAGAGGTCCTTAGCGCCACACTCGCACCCACCCCTCCACTCCCACTCGCCTCAGAGGAAGAATTTCAGCAAATGGCCAAATTTGTCACGCGAGCCATCACGTCCACCGCTGAAGCATGTGTACCTCTAGCAAAACCCTGTCCACACTCCAAACGCTGGTGGACGCGTACCCTCTCCGACCTACGCAAGCAGGTCGCGAAGCTCAGCCGAAAATCCCACCAGATGCATGGTCTCCCAGATCACCCATGCCATCGGGAACACAAGGCCCTCAAAAACCGCTATGCCGATGAAATCGCTGCCACCAAGAAGCAGCATTGGCTGGAATGGCTAGAGGATATCGAGGGTAATGATCTCTGGACCGCTAACCGCTACATCTCTTCCACTCCGAGCAACGGGGGGAAGTCGCGCATACCCACCCTTCTTGCCAAACGACCAGACAGCAGCGAGATAGAAGCTACCACCAATGCTGAAAAGAGTGCCGTCATCGCAGAAGCTTTCTTTCCCCCTCCTCCTATCACTGACTCTGTCCCCACTGACTACATTTATCCAGACCCAATAGCTCCCCATACTCCCATCTCATCAGCCCAGATCACTTGTGCCATCTCGAAGCTTAGCGGATATAAGGCCCCAGGGCCCGACAGCATCCGCAATATCGTTTTCAAACAATGCTCTGACGTACTAACCCCTTATCTAGTCCATCTTTTTAATGCCGTTTTCACCTATAATACTTACTATGCCCCTTGGAAGACCTTCACGACGGTCGTACTTCGAAAGCCCGGCAAGCCGAATTACACAGTACCGAAGGCCTATCGCCCTATCGCCCTTCTTAACACCACATGCAAACTTCTCACTGCCGTCGTCGCTGAACAACTAACCTATCTACTAGAACACCATCATCTCTTGCCGAACACCCACTTCGGCGGCCGCCCAGGACGCTCCACCACCGATTCTCTCCACCTCCTGGAACATACCATCAAGAACGCATGGCGCTCGCACAAAGTCGCTTCGGTACTTTTCCTGGATATCGAGGGTGCCTTCCCGAATGCAGTCACCAAACGGCTGCTGCACAATATGCAAACCCGGTGTCTGCCTTCAGCACTCGTCAACTTCACGGAACGAGTCCTCACGAATCGCAAGACTCAGCTGCACTTCGACGGATTCACTTCAGATTGGATCGATATTAATAATGGTATAGGACAGGGCGACCCTCTCTCAATGATTCTTTATATTATTTATAGCGCTGACCTCGTAGACATCGCGAAACCCAGACGAGGACGCGCATCTCTCTCAGAACTAACCCTTGCCTTCGTTGATGATACAGCCCTGGTGGCCATAGGTAAAGATTTCAACAATACTCATCACATCCTCAAGAACATGCTAGAACGGCCGGGCGGAGGCTTTGATTGGTCACGGGACCACAACTCCAAGTTCGAGACCAACAAGTTCGCGCTAATCGACTTCTCCATGAATAGAAGAAAGGATCGTCCGGCATTACTCCTTCGTGGAGTGGTCATTCGTCCCTCCCCTACTCACCGTTTTCTAGGCGTCATCATCGACCAAGAACTGCGTTGGAAGGCTCAAGTTGACAATGCCCTGGCCAAGGGCCTAGCCTATGTCCTGCAGCTCCGACGATTGTCCACCATGTCCAAAGGTATCCCGCTCCGTCTCATGAGGCAACTCTACCAGGCCACAGCTGTTCCCAAAATGCTCTATGCGGCTGACCTCTGGTTCACACCAGCATACCGTGAAGGCACTGACACACTGCAGCATGGCTCCTTAGGAGTGGCCAAGAAACTAACCTCCATCCAGCGCATTGCTGCCATTGCCATGACCGGAGCCATGAGGAGCACCGCAACTGACGTGCTCGAAGTACACGCTAACCTACTACCCATGACCCTCCTACTCCAGAACACTTGTCACCGAGCGGTCACCAGAATGGCTGCCCACCCAGACACCCACCCCCTCTACTCTGCCCTCCGAACAGCTGCAAGCCGATATGTCTCGTCCCACCGATCCTCCCTCCACCGTCTCACCCGATTCTTCCAGATCAACCCATCCGACATCGAAACCCTTATCCCAGCTCGACGTGCACCTTCCTCCCCCAACCTATATGACACGCACATCGCCACCTCTTGAGAAGAGGCCATCGCCGAACACCATGACCTGCCAGACAACATCCAAGTATACAGCGACGGCTCCGGACACGACGGACACATAGGCGCAGCTGCCATACTCTTTCGTGCAGGCAAATCCCCCGTACCCTCCGTTACTATCTGGGCACGGACGAGGATCATACCGTCTTCGAAGCCGAAATGGTTGGCCTGACCTTAGCCGCTAAGTTGATTGCGACTGAACAGAATCTCACCTTCCCACTCTCCATCTCGGTTGACAACCAGGCGGCCATCCTATCAGGTGAGAGTTTCTACACTAACCCAGGTTCCTACCTAGCTGCGAAATTTCAGAGAATACTAAGGAAGATCAAGCGCGCGAATCCGAATTTCAAGCTAACGCTCCGCTGGGTTCCTGGACACGAGGGAGTACACGGGAATGAGGAGGCAGACAAAGCGGCGAAAGTAGCAGCAGAGGGAAGGAATCGCAACAGCCCCCGTGAGCTTCTCCCCAAATATCTTCGTAACAACCTACTGCCGCTCAGCCTCTCAGCCATCAAGCAAGCTCACAGAGAACGTACCCATGCCAGATGGGCCACATTATGGTCCACCTCCCCCCACTTCCAACACATCCAACGCATAGACCCCCTCGCAATCAAACGCTCATTTCTCAAACTCACATCATCCTACTCGAAACACCTCACCGGACTCTTAATAGGACTGCGCACCCGTCACCTCCCTCTAAACCAACATCTCTTCCGCCTAACGAAAACTGAATCCCCCCACTGCCCTCATTGCCCGCAAACCGAAGAAACTGTTCACCACTTTCTATTTGAATGCCCTCAGTACCTCGCAGCACGTCATGTCATGTCCCGTGCCCTAGGGCGGAAATCCACCTCGCTTTCTCACGTTCTGGCAGACTCAGACGCCATCACTCATCTCGTTCGGTATGTTAATCAGACCCGTAGATTGAAATCCACGCTAGGTGAAATTTCGATGCCCACAGCATGACCACTCTGACGCACTTTGTCCAGTTATCACTCTACGACCACTCTAATGCCAACACACCATATCCCCCATCCTACCCTATCACGACATAATCCTCACCTAATCCCTACACCTCAGCTCGCCCACACGAGATCCCTGGTCTCACCTTGGGGACTACGCCAGTAACCGCGGATACATGATGTACCGACACGTTGGACGACCCGTCTCCTCGTCCAACCAGGAAGCGCACCTTAACTTCCATGTCCCTTACCTTATGTCTATCACTCACTTACTGAACACCCCAACTGATCTCTGTTTGGTCCGCGACAGCGGCCGAGCACGCGTTATATATTTCACGATAGTTCTTACCCACGCAATCTTACTTATAGTCTTCCCTTAGTCTCTTACATTGCCCATCTAAAACGGCCGGCAGGAACGGCGGACTGGTGGGGTACGCCTTACACCAGTGCATTTGGGGATGCGACAACGGGACGGAGCACAGGGCTCCTTGGCTAGACAGTACTGTCCTACATAGAGTATACCTCTCAATGGACAATAATTGGATAAAATAAAAAATAAATAAAAATAAAAAAAGGAACAAAATGATTTCAAGCTCTAGATTCTGTCAGAACGCGAAAGGATATCGATCGAGGATGCTCACCAGTATAGACTTTTGGAAGGTTACAATCGCACCCAGCACTTGATCGACGAGACGGTCCGCTCTGCATAGCGTAGGGTTAATCTTACCAATCAGTCCTCCCGGAACTGCGAACTGCAAGTGATTGTTTTCGGCGTACAGGGAGACGATCTTGCTGGAAACAAGCTTGCACGGTTCCAGCCCCGAGTGTCTTTTGGTAGAATCCCCGGACGAAGCTTGAATCCTTGCTCTAACCCGTAGGATGTCTGTGAGGATAGAACCACCTTTGAGCTCATCGATATCAGCACTAGGCTTGTCGATATCAAAGGAACAGACAACGATAAAACTGGGATCGGAAGCAAAGTCGCAGACCAGGATAGGTATATGCTTTATAATGTATTCGTTGACAGTGTCGATGTCGTATTTCGGTTGCATATCAGAACCATGAGTGACGACTCGACCACCATGCCTGTTACAAAAATCAATACAACATCGGATGATCCATGCCACCGATGACCCACCCTTGACGAATGCAGCGATTGATTTCTGGTGTTCAAAAGCCTGGGCTTCCACGATTAAGTCGACCTTATATGATGTTTTCCAGCTTCGTGATTTTGACCGTGCCAAGTGCTCGAATATCTGCAGCTGAGGGCATGTTTCGTGTCTTGCGATTAGATGAAGAGCAGCATCCATGACTGCGGCATCGTCAAGCATGATAGACATCAGAATATCGTGACCGGGACAGTCCATGAAGGAAACATGGCGAATGAGTTTCATCCTCTGACCGCATCCTGACCGTTCGCAAAGAGGATCTTCTTCCTTGTCTGAGTGGTACTATCGATGGCAGCCTGGGCAGGGCATGCCTCGTTCCCGCATTTGTAGATCTATGAAAGTGGTTCTCGAGATCGACAATGGATAAAATACAAATCAGAAAGGACATACTTTTAAATGCCGTCAAATCAACAACAACAGCGAGCACACAGGAGAAACACATTGTATAAACGAGGATCAAATGAATCTGAAGGGGATAGGAAGACGCCTTGCTTTATGTGCTTTACGTTGGCGAAGCCGCAAAGGAATCACCTGGAATTCCTCAACAAACAGTTGACTCCATCTGCAATGCCAGCTGCAGATTGCCACCACCTTGTGAAGCACAGTCTGCCAATAACAAGAGTACTTTTTCGAGCGAGTCGTACGCTTGGTGGTTTTTTTAGACTCCGCGAATTTGCCACACCAGGGCCGAAAGCCGTACTCACACCACGATCGAATTCCAAATCAACTAACACTGTATACCAAGGACGCGGATGATGGAACTGTTTTCTAGAGTTCGCAGTGATGCTCAAAGTCCTTGCAGCGGCAACCAATTCCGTGCTCCCACCTAAATACTGTTCGCACCGTTCATTTCTATCCTTTTCATTGTAGTGGTTCGCGCATTTGCATAGGGCGCATGACAAACTGTGAACGGGGATTTGTATGCCAGTGTGGTCCTCCTCACGGTACGTATATGCTACCATCACATGTGTATCTCAATCACTCGCTTTTTTTTTCAAGGTCAAAAAAACTTTGCTGACCTTGAGAGAAAATGTCTGTTACGAGGGCAATCTATCAGTTGGGCGCTGTTCAGTGCTCTGTTAGAACAATGAAACGATATCATTGACGGACTGAGGTGGAATCCCTGTGCTGTAGCAAGGATACCTCGAACTTTGTTGCCAAATCACGAACATTCGATCTTTTGTGGCGTCCGAACATTCTGCGTGAGGCTCTGCTTTATCATTTGATCTCGTCAATATATCCCTGGATGTAGATCCCTTTTCTGCTTGGATTCATGCTGAAACACTTACTTCGATCAACCAGACATCATCACTCAAATCTCACTTCGGCGATGTCAACACTGGATGGTGGTGGTATATCAAGCACGAATGCATTCGTTATACGTCCACCATCCCTGCTCGCCCATACCCATCCTCTAATAGTATGACCCTATTCTCGAACGATCCTAGTTGGTGGCCAGTTATCAATGCGAATATTATTAGCAGCTATTTTGTAGGTTCGTGGAGAGTCAGCCGCATGATGACCGTGATGACTCGATTAACCTTGGCTGCGGTTTCGCAGTTGCCTCCTGTGCCGCGGTAATATACGACTGGGGTGAGCAATATCAAGTATGAAAAGACCATTGATACTATGTGATTTCTAGGACTTATGTTTGGACAAGAGGTAGGTAGACACTGTTACAGGAGCAGCCATCTCGCTGACAACACTTTTATAGGTGGAACTGATCTGGGTGAGCGGATTCTCACATCAAAAGAACGATGTGAGACTATGACAACTAACTCGTGGCAGAGGCAACGGTGGTCCATGATGACAGTTTTGTATCTCATTGTATGTAGCTTGTATTTTCAAGCGTGGTTAGCAAGTTGTACTAACGCAGACATATCCTAGGCGCGATATGTTGGAATAGGATATATCGTGTACGTTTCGACATCTAAGCCATTGGTGTTGCACTCATCGTCCGTCTCTACAATCAGCCTCACTATGTAGAGTATGTCTCCTCGCGTAGAGTTTCTTTCTTTCTTCTGACGGGCCGCATACAGTTAGTGTTCCAACAATTTGGACGACAGATGCAGTGAGTATCCCACACTGATGCCTTCCATTACCGTCCAAACAACTGAAATACCGTGTAGGCGTGAGTAAAATTCTCGAACAACTCGTTGGTTCAATATAATGACTTCCACAGCTGTGAGTTTATTTCGAGCCTGTGATCATCCAAAACTGATAAATAATGCTGCTGGATTCGTCAGGCCTTATCATATTCAAGGCACGTAGTTGGACGTCTGAAGTTGTAACTGTGATACTGGGCGGTGAGCTATACACCTCCGTGATATTGACTTGACTGAAATATCATCAAGTCATCATGATCGCTCGGTTACATGCCATGTATCAGCAATCCAGAAAGGTGCTGATATTTCTGGTTGTCATCTTTCTGGCCACCACCATCCCCAACGTAGTGATGATCACAATATCGATGATGGAGCTTTCGGGGGGTAGGCTTTAATTTTGTATGAAATGTTTGATCAGGGTCATTGACAAATACCAGAGGAATTTGTTCTCTCCGGCACCTATCAGTGCAACCTTGGCTACAGTTCTGGAGATGTCCTACTTTTGCTTTCCGTGACTTGGATACTTAACACTGTTTGGGAGGTCCTCGCTCTGTGTCTCGCGGTCTGGATTACTGTGAAGCACTTACGTGAATTGCGACAACACTCGACAAGAGGTATTATCGGGGACTGTTTCACGGTCTTGATGCAGACTCACATTAGTTACTTTGCAAGGTAAGCTCATGATGTGAATGTGGTTCTCTTGTTTCACTGAAGTTTTGTACGCACTAGTTTTTTGGTTGTCTCTTGCTTCCAGATGGCTGGTTTATTCTCTCCGACGTTCTCAGCGGTATGTCGGTCACCGACCTCTATGTGCACACATGGTTAATCAATTCTATAGGGTGAATTGTCCCTGGGTATTGAGATTTATTATGGTTTCGTTTCAATTTTCGAGATAGCGCAGATGTCTGTGCTGGGACCACGCCTCATCCTTGGTGTTCGAGAATATTATGCAAAACTCGTGGCCGACTACGATACAGCAAGTGCTATGACTTCAGTTGCTTTCGAGGAACGTGTCCATGTGGAAACTAGCAGTAGCGTGTAGTGTAGACCATTCTCGATATAATCGTTTTGCAGTAGTCTGCAGGGAGTGGGATATTTTTATTTATTTATTCCAGGTTTTGTTGTGATACTTATTTATGTAAGTTGTTACTTGATAGAAATAGGCCATACAAGAGGATTTCGAGTAGATCTCTCTCAAGAGTGAGATGTTGAATGAGCCGAGAAGCATAAGGAACTGAAGCAGTATACCGTTACTCGACTTGGCTCTCGCATGCCCATTCGCTCAAGGAATCATAAGAATGATTGCCATCACGCGGAGAAAGGAAATACCAGTGCTTGGTGCAAGTGTAGATGGGCAGCTAGTGCCAGCAGCGATATCTGATTGAGAGCACATAGCAAATTACTCAGGTAAATTTTTTTGTATGTCTCTTTGGAATCTACTTCGGAACATCAAATCACTTATATCGATACCATCACAAAAGCGAGACTAAATAAAAACACATTCCCCTGCTCTTCGTAGAGCACCAGACAGCCGTGAACTTCACAGAGAGTTACACACTACTGCCAGTCGATATATGCACGCGTTCCTGGAAAGCAATTGAGGCCATACCAGTTGCTGCGTCCGAATCGGTCACGAGCTTGGCGTGATATTCTCGAACACTAAGAATCAGGCGTGGTCCTAGCACAAACTGCACGATCTCCAAAATCTGAAGAAACCCAGCATAAAGTAGAGTGTTCAAAGTATATTCCTATAAAAACGATGAAACATGGTAGCATGGAGAGGTCGTAAGTGAAACATCGACGTACTGTTGAGAGTGTTGGAGAAAAATCAAGAACAAGCTCGACGCAAGAGACGGCAATAAAGCTAGGACGTCCGACCCTTCAGTAAAAAAAGAAACAATAATCGCAACATGAGCTTACCTAGCAAAGTAAACAATGTGAGTTTTCATTAACACCGTGAAACAATCCCCGATAATTCCTCCTGCCGAATGTTGTCGCAGTTCACGGAAGTGTTTGACCGCAATCCAGACTGCGAGACATAATGTGAGGACCTCCCACACGGTGCCGAGTATCCAAGTCATGGAAGACAGAAGTGGCATATCTTGTGTATAGGAAAACGAGCACTGATAAGTGCCGGAGAGATTGAGTTCCTCTGGTATTCATCATTGAGCCCCATACACGTGCATTTTCATCACAATCAAGCGTACCTCCTAAAATATTCTTCGTTATAATTGTGGTTACTACTCCGTCGTAGATGTTGACGGCCAGGAAGGTGACAATGAGAGATATCAGTATCTTTCTGGATCGCTGATACATGGCATACAACCGAGTGATGATGATGACTGGCAGCATGTTTCAGTCAGAAAATATCATCGAGGTCTCACAAGTCCCAAGCTCACCCCACAGCATTGCAAACACCACAACACCCGTCCAATTCCATGAGACGTACACAACCCAGCCTGGCGAATTCAGTCAGTGATCGGCCTCGGGTAGCGGACTCCAAACACACTCACATCTGTGGAAGTATAGCGTGACAGTCATTAGGAAACCAAGAAGTTAGTAAAGAACCGCACTCACTCCTACAGGGTGCCATGGTTAACAAGAGGCGAATAGTAGGCATCTGTGCAGAAGACTCACTGTATCTGTCAGCCAGACGGTCGGAATACTGGCTGTATGCCGTTGGTCAGAAGAAACAAAGACAGCGAATATACCAAGGAGACATACCCAGCACGTTCAGGCTGATTGTAAGAGATAGATAATTAATACAACATCGAGTGTTTAGCTTTCTGAGCATACGCAGCGTGTAAGATTCCAAGGTAGCGCACCTGAAATACTTTCAAGTCAGCACGACATGACAACCGTGACAAACGAGCTACATACGCCGAGATACAGAACTGTCATTAGAGACCAGCGCTGTCTCTGTAATTAAGTTTATTTTCATGGTTGTTCCTCTGACATAAGACTCTACTCACCCAGACCAATTCAACCTACCAAAGGTTTCTTAGTGAGAGCTGCTCCGGTCATAGCATGGACATACCTCTTGTCCGAAGGTAAGTGCTGAAAATACTCGTAAGACATCAACACTAGTGCTGCAATATTATCATGCTCACCCCAATCATACGTCACTCCAACGAAGGCGGCAACTGCGAAACCGCAGCCAAAGTTAGATCGAGTCAGCTTCAACATCTAACTGCTCTCCACGAACCTAAAAAATAACTTAAAAAACGATTGGCATCGATGATCGGCCACCAAGTGGGGTCATCTGAAACTATGGTCATGCTGGTAGAGAATGAGTGTAGGTAAAAGGCGAACTGGGAGGACGTATGACGATGACATTCGCGCTATATATACGTATACCACTATCCAGTGCTTGGATATATCAAAAGGTGACATCTGTACACTCCACGTAGAAATTGCAGTTGCGGGAGCTGAAAACTACGCTCTCTTCCTCAGTCATTGGGCTTTCGTATCGTAAGGACGCTAAAATGGTTAGTGCAGAATCTTCAATTTGCAACGTGGGTGTGAAGGTCGATGACCGTCGTCCGCAACGTTCACTTGATTGTGGAACCGTAGAGTGCCATGAATCCGTGTATTCCTTAGATTTAGTTACAGGGTCACCTGTAGCGGCTGGAGATATTGGGCTATGCATAGAGTGTGAGCTCTTGGCAAGTAGTTGAATGAGAGATTCGGAGGTACGGCAATTTTTGAACGTAGGACAAGAGACAGAACTAGGGTGCTATGTATGAGTGGTTTACGATAGTGACAGCTAGAAAATTGAGATAGACGAACCGAGAAGCACAAGATATTTGGTCCACTTCTATATGCTAAGCACGGATTCATTGTATCGTACAAAATCGACATCTGTCGCTGAATCGCCACGCATATGCACTATGTATGAGCCCTTTCCACACATCATCATCTTAACCGAACGATACAGTGATGCTCGCATCTAGAAAAGGATACGTTATCGGCACCTGCTTGAGGGACAGCAGCGACAAGGAGGGCACTTTCCAAGTGAATCCATGGATCTCGATGACTGGAGGCGCGAGCTTTAGGTTTGTAAACCCGTGTCAGATGGTTGAGTTGTTCGAGTCTTGACCAAACCTAACCTTGAAGACATCCGCCGTACACACCAAGGGCCAACACATCATGACATTGATCACGTTGTGTTGCTGTACCGTACGCTCACGCACTGTCGCTATGTGCCTATCCAACCGCGAGGGACAGCCCTGATAGACTTTGGGGGGTTGATTGATGAAGAGTAGGATGAGGTTGCTAGCGTAAGAAGGGGGTGGTTCAAGTTTTGCCAGTTGCATATACTCTGTTGCGCTCGAGTATGCTGGCCTTGAGACAACAAATGTAAGTCCCTATATGGCAACATTGTGTTCAGTAAGTACTAGGTCAACATACGACTTATTTATCAGACGACAATTCATTAACATTCTTGAACGACAGGAATGGTCCATGTATTTCGAACACTCACTCGATAGCAGGAAGACACGCAAGCGAACTTTGAGTTAATTATAGGATAATACTACGCGTCGACCGCGCGCGTTTTGACAGCCATGTTGCGAAGTAAAAGTGTCCAAGTTGGTCCGGAAGGATGCGATGTTTTCGGAACCGGAAAAGCTTGGATAAACAGTGTAGGATCCGACGGGATTCGGGAAGATGCGATGGGATGTTGCATGTCACCTCCGTTCACTGCACACCTGGACACTTACTACCCTACTGCCATCAGGCTTCGTGTTGTCGTTGTGGTGACCGGTCCAGTGATTTACCTCAACATTATTAATTGTAGCGTTTATCAGGTACTCAACGTTGCAATGATTGTTTCGATGACGCAACACCCTCGAGTCTTTCATCAAACCTTAATACATTCTCGGAGCCGTAGCCCAGGGCTACCACGTGCACTGAAACGACGTCAAAGGTTTTTCTCATTGTATCACGCCTTGTCCATCAATAGTCTTTTCCCTCATCCTTAGGCTCCCCTTCTCGCTGCGAAGAAACCAAAGATTGAATCCCATTCAAATCCTTACCATGTCTAAGATATCCCACCTGTCCTTCCTGAATAGTTGACTCGATTGTATTTGTCCACCAGCTCCGATGACAAAATGAAGCAAGCAGATTACCAGTATGACAGTTCCAGTACTCGACGAATGTGTCCGATCGTCAATCAGACCAACTTGAAATCGTTCAAATCACCCTCAAAGCATCACTCGCCTCTACGATGCCTCCGGTATTTTGGAGTTGATCTGCCCCTGGTCAGTCCTGGTACTAGATGGCATGCAGTCCCTTTACTGTATTGCTTGACTGGCATATCATTTACCTGCTTGTGCCACATACTTCTTCTCCAGCAGCACTCTCGCATTCTCAGTGTTCAAACAAGGCCCTCCGCTGTAGCCTCTAATGTGTCTAACGGCCACTCGCACCGTTCTTAACAACATTTGGGAGAACTTTTCTTTCTTGTTCGTACCCTCAAAGTCCAATCTTGATTCGGATAGCTTACCGCAATGTCACGATGCTTAACAGAAACCTTGCTTACGCTCAAAACATGTACGATATACCCAGACCTGTAGGTTCCCTACCAAGTTTACTTAGAATCCATATTAGATAGTTTATACTTATGGGTATCACAACAAAATCTTTGGACAAAAAACGAGTTCGCTCCCTTTCTAAAAGAATACGGCGTGCGGTAAACACAGCAAGCGTTTTCCATGCCGCACGCTGATGCTGGTCGACACATGCACATGCTCTTCAAAGGCAATTGAAGTCGTGCAAGGACCTGTTTTGGGGTGGACACGAGCTTTGCGTGATATTTTTGAACGCCAAGGAGCAGGCGTGGTTCCAGAACGTGACTATGAAGCTTGAGCAAAACGAAAATAAATCTGACGTTCCGCAACGATTGCGTCCTGTAGGGATGATGAACCCCAGTGAAAACTGACTATGACGGGAGAGGTCTATATGTGCTGAGACGTGAATTACCGTATTAGTACTGTGCCAGGTGTGCTCATTTCTTATATTTTCGTCATTTATTAGCTTTGCAAAGTTCGCATTGCATAACATCTTCGTGTCAAGCTATGTAATAGCACAAATTCCGTATCGCAAAGCGCAAACTGCACATCGCAAACACAAACTTTGCATCAATGTCATTGCAACTTGTGCAAGCTACGAAGGTCGTGCGGCACCCCAAAGCAACATAAATTGTTGGGGCCAAATTTCTGTTGTCCCACCCTTCTTTCTCCCCACCATCAGGAAATTCTCACATTTACTTGATGTGCTTAAATGACTTAATAAGCACAAATAAGTAGGAGCGCTGGATAAGCAAACACTGACTTATTCAGACCAGTCGATCTCTTATTTTCGTCTTAATTTCACTTATCGCTCTGGTAGTAAGATGAAAAAGTGATCATTCAGTACAATAAGTGAAGTAATGAAACACGACAAAAAGTCAATTAAAATAGGATTTAGAAAATGAGTGAATACTGTTAGACAAAGCAGTCGAAATTGCGAGTGAACAAAACTTCAACTGTAATACTACGATGAAGAGCAATATGAAGGTGGCGGCAGTAAAAACTTGAATGGTACAAAACGCCGTGATGCTGACAGATCCAAGTTTTCGCTGTTGCCTCGCTGGTGAAGTGGGAGGTAAGCTGCAGACCTGCGACTGGTGGGAAAGGACTGTGATCAGCATGGCTTAAACTCGAAGGAGAATCGGCACACTTACAGTCTGCAAACGGTGGGCAACGACTTCCGAGAGGTGGGTATTACTATCAGCATGGCTTGAGCTTGAAGGAGGATCAGCACACTCACAGTCTGCGAATGGCAGGCAACAACTTCTGAGATGTGAGAGGCGGGTAACGCCGCGAGTAGTAAGCATTCTTCTGGTGAATAACAAAAAGGTTGCATCGACACGCTTATTCCTAAACGTGCGAAATTCAACTTCCGTTCAAAGCTCCGCCATCCACACCAGCCACATTAATCGGTCTTATATGGGTGAGCGGCTTCCACACTTTTGTCCCTCCTAGAGTTAACACTCTAGGGACAGCCCAACCTAACCAATCGCACCACACAAGACTCTGGTTCAGCGGTTCGCACCTCAGATGTTGGCCTTCGCATGCACGGCTGAGGTGAGGTACTCACAGTTTCACATATTCACCTTTACTTACTTCGAGTAGTACACGTTTACCTTCGTGCGCACGCGGCACAACTGAGAGTGTCTGTTTGTTCCAGACCCGTGCGCGAAGTATATTCATCTTTTATTGTTACCAATCGCATACTAACATATTTGTCAAAAAAAAATGTATTACCGCACTTAATTCACTTTCGCGTCTTATACTACAATATTGATTTGAACCAAGTTTGTAAAAAGTGAAATCAGTAGAATCAGTAACATCAGAGGTTTCCTTTTTTTACTTAGCGACTTTTTTCAGAGCAATAATATGAATCAGACCGAAAAGGAAATGTGAGATATTGCTGATGACCCTTCTTCCTCCCCACCACATTCCCACCTCCGAGTTAAAGGTCTCGCTATTCTCCTCCACTGGTTCTGCCCTGTGAGTGTCTCACATGTCGCTTATCCGACGGTATGATTGCGCTGACCACACGAGTTTAGAACAGCGGGATGATATAAAACTGAGGCCACTCTATTGTTGCGTGACCTTTTTTGTTTGTTGACGTTGTTTTAACCGTTCGCTTGCAACAGGTTACCAACGATTCTTGGATGTTCTGGACCTCGGGGGGCAAGCAGTTTGCGACAGCCAACTCTACTAGTGAATCTCCCGTAAGGTAAGTCTCATCTACTAGGTCGCTTCTGATACATGGACTAAATCTGTCTCCGAAGGATGTCTCTATTAGATTCAGCACGATCCGACATACACATTTCCTACAATGTTTTCGAGTGCTTTCGAGCCGTTGTCCGCGCGTGTCATGTTTTCAAGCCGCTATGTGTTTTTGAGCTTTTTGTACCACTTTTGTACCACCATTGCTACAGTGCCTAATATTATTCGAGCATATTTGCGCACATTTTCAACCATCTGGCAAGGGGAACGAGTATATGCGTTCAAATGCGCAAATATGTTTTACGTTAAAAAAGCACCTATGTGCATGAGGAAACCCGCCCCCGCATATATTGAAATGTGCGGATTCGCTCACTACGTGTCTTATCATGTTCTCATATGTTTTTCTATCGAGCTGCTGACAAAATCACTTATCGTCACACCACGACTCCTCCCGTCATAGTCAGTTTTCACTGGGGATGAACGATGGTCACATGCGAAAGTCAGTGTCACATTGACATACCGCTATGGCCGTTCGAAATGCAAAGGGAGGATGAAGCCGGAAACGGCAACAAAACTGAAAGTAGAGACATCAGTTTTCGTTAACACCGCGAAACAGTCTCTGGCATTAAGCCATCCTGTCAGTGGTCGCTGCAGCTCACGGAGGCGTTTGAAAGCAATCTGGACTGTGAGGCATAGTGCGAGGACCTCCCATAAAGTGGGGAGAATCCAAGTCACCAAAGCCAGAATAGATTACTTGAAAGTCAGAAGCATATTGAGTGATGCCGAAGAGAATGAACGCCTCTGTGTTTGCAAACGAGCCTTGCGCATTCTAGTCCACCATTCACCAAAATTAGAGCTTACCTGACGAAACACGACTCATGACCATTGCGGCGATCACTGTCAGCGATGTTGACAGCCAGGAAGATGACGCTGAGAGATATCTGGATTGATGCAAGGCATGCCACCGAGCGATCATGATGACTTGCGCGTTGTGTCAGTCCAGTCAAGGTAATACAGCTGCGTAGCTCACCACCCAATACTACAGTCACGGCAACATTCATCCGACTTAGTGCGTCGAACATTATACGACCTGAAAAATCAAGCAATGTCGGTTAATAGCCTCGCATGATAACTTTAAACAAACTCACAGCTATGGCGATCACTATATCGAACCAGGAGGCTCGGTAACTCACTCACGCCTGCAGGGGAGTACAATTAATTGGATATGAATAGCCAGCAGAGGTCAAGAATACTCACTGATTCTGTTACCGAAATTCTCGGAAGAGATACTGCATGCTGTCGATCAGAGGAAACATATGATGTGAGTGAGTAGACATGCAATGCATGTTAATGCTGAGTATGCAAGTCAGCTAATCAACAAAACATCAATTGCTTAGCCATCCAAACATACATTGCATGCAGTATACCAGCATAGCGAACCTAGAATGTCGTCAAGTCAGTACAACGTCTCAACCACACTTGCAACACGAGATACGTACACTGAGATACAGAACAGTCATGAATGACCAATGTTGCCTCTGTCGTGCATTAATTGTATTACCGTGTGTTTTCTGATGCGAGACTCTGCTCACCCAGACCAGTTCGACCTGTAAATACGTGATCAGCGAGATGGTTGCTCTAGTAATGACACTGACATACCTCTCGCCCGAAAATCAATTCTAAAACGCACCATAAGTATACCAGTGACACTTGAATACTATCTTGCTCACCCCAATCATACCTCAACCCCAAAGAGAAGGCAGCTGAAAGGCCGCGGAGCTACTAGATCATCATATGGTCATGCATCATCTAACTGGTTCTCTACGAACCAACTATATAGCTTGTAATTGGGTCGAAAGCGTGAACGGCCACCAAACGGAATTCATTTGATACTAGGGTCATGCTGTTAGAGGACGAACGCGAACCTGGTGACGGGTGGTGTTAGTCCGTGCTGAATATCCCACCATGCAGCGCTTTACTGCCGAAATAAGAACTAGAGGAATGGCGCATATCCCTGCTTTGAATGCCTGAACACCGATTAGTTCTGTCTCTACTTTGCTCACCCGGGTAAGGGAGCAAAACAGCTTGTCCAAGGTCACTCGACACGGTCACATTCTGTTGGGATGAAAGGAGAAAAGTCGGAAACGAAAAGTAGGGGAGATTCGAATGAAGCGAAAGGATAACTTAACTGTCTCACCCGGGCTGCTCTCAGAGCACACTTTTACATACCCAATTCTCCTACTCCTCGTTGTTCTTTGTTGCGGCCATCGGGCTATGATGTCACAAGTACAGACAGCGCAGTGTGGCTCTGATGTAAAACGCGATTTTGCGTAACACCAAATCAATCATACACATGATGGGTATCTGAGATATGCAAAATTGCAAATGTCACATCCAAATTAGGTCGCAACTTGCGCCTTGTAGTTTCAAATTCAGACGAAATGATGTGCTCGTCGATATCTAGCATCGCCATCAACAAACGAACACGAAGATTGAATCAAGTGTTTTTTCTGACTTACGTGATGCAAGCCACATGGCACTTTTTCCTTGAGTGGTGACATCACTCAAGGAAAAAGTGCCACGTTCTCTCGGTCATGTGACAGCATCACTAATAGTTTACCAGATCGGTGTGATGCAAAAACTGATGGGCCTTTTGACAAGTTCACTGCATTAATTCGGACCTACGGTTATCATTTTGGCATCCTTATGATATGATATCAACCCGTTTGGATCCAAGCACTGCATGGCATATTTAGTACGAACGTCTTCATCATTTATCCAACAAGTTCTCCGCTTCCTCGCACCCACCTTCTAACGCTATGATAATCTCGAATGATCCCAGTTGGTGGCCACTCATCAATGCGACTCGCATTGGCAGCTATTTTATAGGTTTGTCGAGAGCTAATTGAACGATGACGACGGTGTCTCGATCTAATGGTCTATGGTTACGCAGTTGCTATTTGTGCTGGGGTGATATACGATTGGGGTGAGCAAGATAATCTTTCACAAACGTGCTCATATTCATGGTAATTCTAGCCCTGACACTTGCACAAGAGGTAGGTATATTCCATGATCAGAGCAGCCATCTAGCTGAAGTTGGTTTTATAGATCGAGCTTGTCTGGGTGAGCACAGTTCCGCACCAGAAGAACAACGATTGATTCGTGACAGAGGCAACGCTGGTCCCTTATGACCTTTCTGTATCTCAGTGTACGTAGCTTGCGTTAGAAGTGTGGTTGGAAAGTTATGCTGACTTGAAAGTATCATAGGTGCGCTATCTTGGAATGTTATATGCTGTGTATGTTGAGAAGGTTCAGCAACTGACCTTGTTCTAATGATCCATCTCTCACAATCAGCATCAGTATGCTGTGTATGTCTCTTCACACCCACTGTGTTCATCTTTTCTGACCGGTGGTATGAAGTTAGTGTTCCAACAATTTCGGTAACAGATGCAGTGAGTCTTCTGCACGGGCCGATACCCTCTATCCACCCCAATTAACCGCAGCGCTCTGTAGGGGTGAGTGTGAGTCGCGATCAGCTCATTGGTTCGCTTCAATGACCACCACAGATGTGAGGCTATCTGGAGTGTGCGATTCACGCGAGGTTGATCTCTAACTGAATTCTTCAGGCCGGAATCTGTACATCGTACAGGATTTGACAATCGTTGTGGCATTTCCGATACTTTGCGGTAAGCTTTGCAGTTGCAAGACCTCAGTGGTATCTATTTCACTGAATCATCCTGCAAGTCATCATGATCGCTCGACTATATGCCATGTATCGACGATCCCGAAAGATGCTAATATTTCTCGTCACCATCTTCCTGGCTGACAACATTTTCAACGGAGCGGTCACCGCAATAGGGATCAAGCATACTTCGATGGGTACGCTTACTCGTAGATCAGAGTGTGCATGATACTCATCGATGAATACCAGAGGCATTCATTCTCTCCGACACCTATCAATGCATGATCAACAATATGGACGATACCTCACTTCTGAGTTCCATGACTTGGATATTCGCTATTGTGTGGGAGGTTCTTGCACTGTATCTCGCAATTCGGATTGCTGTAATACACTTCCGTGAACTGCGACGACATTCTGCTGGAGGGATTATCGAGGACTGTTTCACTGTGTTGATGAAATTTCACGTCATTTACTTTGCAAGGTGAGCTCATAATATGATTCCGGTTTTGTTTTCCTACTGAAGCTCTGGACATCTTAGTTTTTTTGTTGTTTCTTGCTTCCAAATCGGTCTTTTGTCCCCAACGCTCTCATCGGTATGCCGATCTGCTGGTGACATTTGTGAACATGATTCATTATTTCTATAGGATCAATTCTCCTTGGAAACGCAGATTTATGTTGGCTTTCTTCAAATTTTCACGTTCATCCAGATATTTGTGCTAGGACCGCGGCTGATCCTCAGTATTCGAGAATTCAACGCTAAGCTCGTGACCGACTCTGACACAGCAAGTATCATGACTTCAATCGCTTTTCAGGAGCGCGTGCACGTGCCAACTAGCAGCAGTGTATAATGGGAAATGTTCGTTGTAAATTACACTTGTTGGACATGCTCTGCAGAGAGCGGGAGAATTGCTTCTATTTATTCAAAGTTACGGACATGTGGAGCGGCTGTTTAGACGATAGGTTGCGAGATATAGCACGAGCTTCCCTGTTTTGATCGATCGAAGCAAATACGCAGGAAACGCACAAACCTATATCTAGTCGATCTGCATTACATGAGACTGCAGTGATGATCCATCAGCAGTCTTCAAGCGCCTGTACTCAGGCCTCGAGGCCTCATGTTGTAGCCAGAGAGGGAATAAGCCCCAAGGTGAACAAACATCAACAAAATGACCTAGAAACCCAATAAGAATAACGCGCCACTTGCCTCTGTTTGATCGCCCCAATCAGCCAACTCCGAACATAAACACAACTCTGCAGCATTTGCGCGCTCTTACTAGTACATACAATGACCGTGAACTGTAATCATAAATTTATCGGGAAAACGCAACAACAGATTCTTCAGTTTGAGCTTCAAAGACGAGTCTGGCCTCGCGCTCGCATCAATACAAATGAACACGAAGATATGATCATACTCACGTCCAGCTCTTCTTTTCCTCAAATACTGTCCTCTTTATAAAATCTGCGCCGTATCTTCGGTGTTTAGCAGAACATCAACTAGGATATATATTTCTATTTGTGATGGACTGATGGGCAATTCGGACCTACGGTTACCATTTTGGCATCGATATCAACCCGTTTGGTGATCCGGTCAAGCACTGTGCGCATGGCATATTTAGTACGAACGTCTTCATTCAAATATTCACCATCAAGCGTTGATGATAAGAGCGGTATTAATCACCAGTGGTGTACCAGGCCTGGCTTCAGGCCTGCAGGCTTATTGGCTGGGCGGTCAACCGGTCAAGGACATTATTGATTTGTATGCGCTTAACGAAGCTCGTACCACGATTCTTCCATCACGAATCTCGATAAGTGAAATCTGCGATCGTCGACGTCTATTGGTGAACACGTGTAAGGGGACGTAAAAGTCATGGTCATAGGGTATTTGTAAGGAATATACTATGCTTGCACTCATTGAAATTGAAATATGTACTTCGTCACAGTCATCCATCGTCCCCGACCTGCACTGTGCAGTGTGCACACATAAGCTTCATCGACATCCACAGCCGACGGTCATGCACACCGCAGAGCAACCGAATGAGGTTGAAATTCAAATGGTTATTTATGGCTTAGGCCTTACGGCTCGCAACTGCCTCCAGGCTTCCTTGAGGCATGCAACAATGGTTTACGTGGAACCTTCGTATCGCTTCGATTCAACCACCATTCACGATGAGCAGAGGCGGTCATTCATCGAGGGATTCAACCCAAGCAATCCAGACATCTAGCAAAGCAACAGCTCGTGAAACCTCGGTACGAGGATCTCTTAGTTCACTCCACTCCAAACGCTGACATCGACGCATCCTTCGTCTAGCATAGACCCCGTGGTAAAATCGGCCAGTTTCTGAAGAAGCTTAAGGAAGATGCGAAAAAGTTAGGGAGGGTGAGTCCACGAGCATGTGTAATGAGTGTCCTTGAATACGACTAACATTGCAACAAGCGCTCGAAGGATTCCCGCAGCCATAGCCCTGCTCCCCCAAATACCTGTCCTGAGGAAAGTGCTTCATCGACCCCGAATATTGAGGTGGGTTCCCATACCTATCCTTTTGTTTCTGTGCTTTCTCTAAATTTCGGTGGTCGCGCAGGCTCAGGCTGGTCCGTCTGGTGTAAAAGTGGAGGATGATATCCAATCAGCACTTTGGGATGCACAAGGTGCTATGGAGCAAATGCATTCACCTTCGGGACGTGCGATAACTGCTGCATCTGCTGGCAAGAATGCACAAGAGGATCTCCATATCGCAGACAAGTTGGAGGACACATATCTCCAACCACTGAGGATATTCGATGCTGTTGTCGGAAAGATCTCGGATGTATGGGCCTTCTCCTCTATGAGAACCGAACTAATGCTGTCCCACAGTTACATCCATATGCAAAGATGGCGCTGGGCGTGTTGTCTTGTGCAGCTAAAGTACGTTCTCTTTTCATCTCTTCCCATCTTACATCGCTAAGCAATCATTTGCGCAGATCATTCTAGCTCAAGCAGGCCGCGACACAGCGGTACTCAAACTTCTCGAGAAGTTGTGTCAAGTTTACGGCTTTATAACACAAAGTCAGATGCTTGACCAAATCTCGTCGATGCGCATTATCCTCGGACAGATCTCTCAGCAGACCATTGAATGCGCTCAATTTATCAAAAATTATTCGGAGACCAAGAACTTTTGTGAGTATTAACAAACTGTTACACTTTGCACCGTCTCAAGTTTCTACTATTGTCACAGGGAAGAGACTCGAAAAGAACATCGTGTCAGAAACAAATGATATGATCCAAAAGTACAGTGACGTGTTGGATACGCTCATGCAAAGATTCCGGGACCAAGTGGCTCACGACGTAGCCATACATATCCACCGTATGGGTACGCGTTCAGACGTGCTTGTGATTTGACATATACTCATACCTTTTCAGGAGACATACTGGATCTCAGTGGTATGACTTATGCAGCTGGCGCAGGCCTGGATACCAGGAAACAATGTCTTCAAGGGACGCGCACAGAAATCCTTTCCCATATTATGGAATGGGTCAACAGCACTGGGGACAACGATCCACGCGTGCTGTGGTTATCCGGCCCTGCAGGTACGGGAAAGTCGGCCATCGGCCACACCATCGCTAAGTGTTTCAACGACGTGGGGGGGCTCGGTTCGTGCTACTCTTTTGACCGTCAGCGAGAAGCGGACCGTCGCCACGAAAAGATCTTTTCCACAATTGCGCGCGACCTCGCTGACCGTGATCCGGAGATGAGGCGGGCATTAGCAGATGCAGTTCAGACCTCGAGTTCGCTGAAGAATACGGCGGATATCACCCAGCAGTGGCAGAAGCTTTTGATCGAACCGCTGGAGAAGTCATCTGGGCCCACCGCGGGACCCATTGTGATCATGGTCGATGCGCTGGACGAGAGCGGCGGAGCAGAGACGCGGAGAGACCTCCTCCGCATTCTAGCTGGCACACATCAAAATTCCGACGTTCCCAAAATCACGAATCTCCCACACAACTTCCGCTTCATCGTCACCTCTCGCCCGCTCGGTGACATCGAAGACGAGTTTCGTGGCGTTGAACATATTCGACAGGTGTCCATGGATGATATTCCAACAGCAGACGCAAAGCGCGACATCCATACTTACGTATCCAAGGAGTTGGAGAAGCTAGATTTCCGGCACAGACAGCTCGCGGTCCTCGCTGAAAAAGCTGACGGACTTTTCGAGTGGGCGCGTCTTGCCTGCGAGTATATCAAAGAGTCCCACGTAGGACTATCTCCAAATGATTGCTACAACGCCGTAGTGTCACGCGATCCTGCTGAGAGAAGCATGCTGTTGCACAGCATGTACGGCCTCATTTTAACAAATAGCATGCCCAAGGATACATCTAGCCATGTCCAGCATTCACAGAAATCGCGTTCGATGGCGCTAGCGAGATTCCGCTCGGTGATGGGACAAATACTAGCCACAGCAGAACCCCTTCCTTTAACTTCCCTGAACGCCATGAGGCGCTACTTTCCAACTCAAGAGGACAATTTCGACGTGGAGGTTGTTGTAAAAAACATGGGCTCCCTCCTCAGCGGTACCACCAATCCAGATTCCCCAATCCGACCCCTTCACGCATCCTTCCGCGATTTCTTGACAGATGAACCATCCAGCGAGTTTTTCGTCGACTTATCAAAGGCTCAACGTAACCTTGCATTCGCGTCGCTTCGAGTGATGGAACACGGCCTACGCTTCAATATCTGTGATTTAAAGTCATCGCATCTACCTAATAGTGAAGATCCTGGACTACAAGAACGAGTCGAAAAATGTATCCCCTCAGATCTGTCATATTCCTCTCGATTCTGGACGTCGCACGTACGAACCACAGCGTTCCACAAGGAGCTCGCCAAAGAAATGAAATTGTTCTTCGACCACGAGCGGGTGTTTTTCTGGCTCGAGTTACTCACCCTGATCGGTGCTCTTAGTGGTGCCGTTTCTGCCATTTCGCTCATTCATCAGTGGCTAAAGGTGAGTACATCGCTACGGAGTGTCAGATAAAGCGCTGACGCGCAACATCAGGGCCATTCCGACTTCAAAGATGTCTCGTCGACTGCAACGGATGTCCAGAGATTCATTCAAGTCTTCGGCAGCATGATTTTACACAGCACACCGCATCTGTATGTATCAGCACTCCCATTCTTGCCCACCAACTCTCCGCTCTCCAGAATGGTTTCTGCGCGATTTGCGAATATTTTTCGGGTAGCATCTGGACGTGATATGAACTGGCCGGCTGTTCAGACCGTGCTCAGTGGGCACACTGATTATGTTCTCTCGGTCTCGTTCTCGCCGGACGGCACTCGCATTGTCAGTGGTTCAGACGATAAGACAGTTTGGCTGTGGGATGCTGCGACCGGTCAGCCAGTCGGTGAGCCCTTGCGGGGGCACACCAGTGCTGTTTACTCGGTCTCGTTCTCGCCGGATGGCACTCGCATCGTCAGTGGTTCTTCGGATGAGACAGTTCGGCTGTGGGATGCTGCGACCGGTCAGCCAGTCGGTGAGCCCTTGTGGGGGCACACTGATTATGTTCGCTCGGTCTCGTTCTCGCCGGACGGCACTCGCATCGTCAGTGGTTCATACGATAAGACAGTTCGGCTGTGGGATGCTGCGACCGGTCAGCCAGTCGGTGAGCCCTTGCGGGGGCACACTGATTATGTTCTCTCGGTCTTGTTCTCGCCGGACGGCACTCGCATCGTCAGTGGTTCTTCGGATAAGACAGTTTGGCTGTGGGATGCTGTGACCGGTCAGCCAGTCGGTGAGCCCTTGCAGGGGCACACCAGTAGCGTTCTCTCGGTCTCGTTCTCGCCGGACGGCACTCGCATCGTCAGTGGTTCTTTGGATGAGACAGTTCAGCTGTGGGATGCTGCGACTGGTCAGCCAGTCGGTGAGCCCTTGCGGGGGCACACTGATTATGTTTACTCGGTCTCGTTCTCGCCGGATGGCACTCGCATCGTCAGTGGTTCTTCGGATAAGACAGTTTGGCTGTGGGATGCTGCGACCGGTCAGCCAGTCGGTGAGCCCTTGCGGGGGCACACCAGTAGCGTTCCCTCGGTCTCGTTCTCGCCGGACGGCACTCGCATCGTCAGTGGTTCAGACGATAACACAGTTCGGCTGTGGGATGCCACCACGATGCAGCAGTCACAACAGTCCACCGAGTCAGATCATCCATCATTGTCAAATGAACATCCCAATATCGAGGCCACCACTACCATGACGTTGAACACTCGGAGCAATCACTTCATTTGCTTCTCCCCCAACTCCATCCATGCGCTGCGCAACACCTCTGAGCTAATGGAGGGAGCATCCCATGACGACCGCGGCTCGACCCGCTTTTTACTGGATCGTGACAGTGGGTGGATGGTTGGGCCCAAACATCGGCTGTTATTCTGGGTGCCACCCGCTTCTCGCCACCCATTCTATAGTCCTCAGACTGCATTGGTGATACCTAGAGGAGGCGCTGAGCTTGATTTGAGCCGCATGGCACATGGACAAGATTGGCAGAGGTATCGAGACGGGTGAGTCTCTTCATAGTCCTTTCCAGTTGTCGCATTTGCTAACATCAATACTTGTAGACCTTAGTACCGGCGATGACCGAAGGAATATATCCATCATGGAGATTTCAGATACATTTTAGACGTGACAGCGAGTGTACATTGTATCATACGTTGTATTCTATTCTATACCTAACATCCGGTCCACGAGCGAACCATTTATTGAAGAGCTGACTGCGTAACTCATGATTGCTGGCTTGTCAGAGCACGTAACGATGGACAAGGCAATGTAACGAGAAATTCTCCCATATCTAGTCGACCTGCGTTGCATTAGTGGGCAGTGATGATCCGTGAGCAGTCAGAAAGCGCCTGGACTTGGTAACGTCATAGCGAGGTGGCGAAGGAGAGGCGAAAAACCATCATAATCCTCAAGGTACACATCATCGACAAAATGACCTAGAAACTCAATAAGAACAACACCCCGCTTTCGCTGTCTGATCGCCCCAATCAGCTAACTCCAAAAATACACACAACTCTGCAGCACTTGAGCGCGCTTAATACATACAATAATCGTGAAACAGTAATCATAAATTTATCGGGCAAACCCAACAACAGATTCTCCAGTTTGAGCTTCGAAATGCGATGGCGAAGCAGAACTCCTCCAGGTCTGCCCTGCTTCAGGACTGTCCTGAAGTCTGGGGTATGGAGGCAGATTCATGGCAGTTTCATCCGTCCGTTCCATGATACCCCGACGGACTTTAACTCCGTCGAACAAAGCGGCGGTTTCTTCGAGAGTGCGAGCTGAGGAAAGAAAACACACAATTTATGAGAGCTCGACGAGTCGAAGAGATAACAATCACCTCTCGTGTCGATGATATACACCATCGCGAATAGGAGTTCCAAGATAAGCCATCCGCAGTAAAAGAGGTACTGTACGAGAAAAAGGTCGATCAATCAATCGCATGAATGAGATCTGATGACTTGCGTATTTCCATCCTATGGTTTCCAGTGCCACTGGATTGACGAGCGAGTTGAAAGCATTGGTCGAATAGAGAACGATGTTCTGTATGCAACGTCAGGCAGCGTTCAGAGAAGAGACGAAAGCGACCGACCATGATTGCAAACCCTTTAGCACGGATATTATAAGGCAGGATCTCGAGCGTATACAACACAAGCATCGAAGTATACGCCAAGTCGTAGAAGAAAAAGTATATGAAAATGAGCGGCACGGTAGCTATTCGAGCTTGATCATTAGCTTGCGTCAGCGTATATGCAAGGTGTTGAACATGCCTCTCGCAGCTGCTACATTTCCGGACTGACTGAAAAGAGCGGTCGTGACCGTCCACATAGAGAAAGCTGGACAGATGATAAGCCTTCGATTCAGCGTCACGGAATAGTACTGACCCGTCAGCATGCCAATGTTTGAAATCAAGAAAGTCTTCCTTCTCCCTAGTTTGTCCACCACCATCACGCCCACCAGCGCACTAGCTAAATTGAAAATCTGAACGCATGAAATGCGCATCAATTTTGAGTTTCGCTTCTGAAAGACCATGATGAACCTGCAAACCGCCGTTAATGGCTGCTTTCGTTCTAGTCTGGGTGATCCCGCTGTTGAAACGTATATCAGGCTATGTACCATCTGAAATCCTCGAAAACGTACACTTTATCCAAGACTGTGTTGAAGTAATACGACACCAGACCATTACCGCTGAGATACGAAGATCAACGACAATCATCAAACCAGAACGAAACTGATCAAACCTCCACTGCGAGAATACTGCGATCCATATAATGGTAAACATGCGCTGTCTGTTGCCGGGAGTCGAGAAGCACCTCAGGTAGGATTTGCCGGAGGCGTACTCTCGTTCGAGGTTCAAAGCATGTCGGATTTGAGCCAACTCAAAAGCTACTAGAGGGTTGCGTTCGTCTCCCCCGTTTGCATGGCACCGAGCGAGAACACGGGCAGCTTGCGATTCCTGAAAATAAACGATGAACGTTGTATGATCTACTTGATGGAAGGTATCCTCGTGAATGCTCACCAAGCCTTTGGCCATTAGAAACCGAGGACTCTCTGGGATAAACCTGAAGGCGCTGAGTCACTTTTAAGTAGGGCATGAGCTAACAATCTTACCATATTAGCGACATCTGAATGATAGGAATGGCTGCTTGAACGAATGAAGGGACCCTCCATGACCATGCTGACGTCCCCGAACCATCATAACTTCCTAGGCAGATCCAAGCCGCTGACAGACATGTGAGAAGATCAAATGTGTGACGCCGGATCTCACTTACAAATGACGCTGCCAGAGTACCACAACGAATTGTAGAGAGAGGTCATTTTTCCGCGCTTGAATGGAATTAGAGTTGAAGAATGAGATACGAGATGATTTTGCGCACATGCGTTGGATAGCTAAGTTCGCTGATGAGTAAGGGAGCAGCATTGATAGAAAAAGCCATCCCTAAGCCGACTGAGAAATGGAGGATGAGTAAATGGGTGGACTTTTGATTGCGCATCATACTAAGCACACGAGCGCCAAGGAAGACTTGGATGGTCGTACATGAGGCTTGGGTGAGAACGCCAGCTAGCATGACGGCTGCCCCGATAAACATAGCTGCTCGCCGTCCTAATAGGTCAGACACGTAAGGAGAAAATGGAGTTCCCTAAGAACCAGTATGAGCTTTGTAGCGATGCGAACAGTGCTACGGTTTACGCTGAGGATGCCAATACTATGTGCGGAGTTGATGAGTCCTAACGACCGTAAATAGAACTGTTACAGTAAAGCGAGCAGCTGCGTACCTAACTTCATGCCGTGCGGTTTATGGAAGTACTCTTGCCAACCGGGCAAGATTTGCAAATCTAAGGGAGCACAAGTCAACAGTCCACGATCATGATAAAAAATGTTGCGTGACTTACTATTCATCATGGATGAGTCAAAGCCATTAAGGGTCGATGATAAGAGGGGTAATATCAAACAGATATTTAGTATCAGGATGGCTGGGTAGTCAAGGACATTATTAATTTGTATGCGCTTAACGAAGTTCGTACCACGATTCTTCCACCACGACTCCCGATAAGTGAAGTCTGTGATCGTCCATTGCGGGACTGGCATCAAGATGGACTGACGTTGAGTTGGTGTACAAGGGGACGTGAAAACCACGGTGATTAAATGATGGTTTGTGGGGTATTTATAAGGAATATGAGACCGCGGACACACTTTTCCTGGGCAGTGTTGAAAGGATCAACCGTATTCTGGACCTCGCTGTGTGTAGTAGGCTATGCAGTACATTTGAAGGGAGGTGAGATCTTGAAACGTGGCATTACGGTGGCGAGGGCACCAATCAATAGATATGCGCTGGAGCCTGGGAGGTATGTCACAATACCTTGGTTTCCCTTGTTTCCCTTATTTACCCGGGACTCCCTACTTGTGCCAACCAATCATGGTTACACAGTAGTACAGGCTTTAAATGAAGTCAAGTGCGCAACTTGACTTTGCTTCAATTTTTGTGTTTTGAATGACCAGGACTCGGATATGCGCCAGACCAATGAGAACCAATAAGAGTAATAGCGCCGAATCTTTGATTTCAGCGTCAGTCTCTCCTGACAGCAGCAATGAGAAACAACAAGGCGGCGCATGATGCATGATCACTACCCGATATATGTAGTACAGCCTTGCAGTCCTGCAAGGATGTTGTGTAAAAAACTGCAGTACAAGAAATTTGGCGTCGCTACTTTTATCGGGACCTTTAGAAGATCTAAATGAGGTCAAGTGACGTGACTCCTCGTGGGCAGAAACTGGCAGAACTTGGTAAAACCATGTTTTGCCAGTGGCACTCCAGGTGTGCTACGTTGATGTGTCTCTAGATAGCCAATCCATTCCGTGACTGCCGGCACTAGTCCCTCGTTAACACCCCCGGTGGTTTCGCAAAGTCGAATGCATTCTCCACAGTCCCCATGCCCCCATTACAAATATGTTCTATGGATTCTGGACAAGATCGTAGCTGACGCCACTGGAGACCGTGAAATCGGTCTCGGTAATCATCATGTAAAGCTGGCCTACTTGGATATGTTCTCTCCCCAGTCCGCCTTCACTCGGCAAGATTCATCGACGGCCCTTGGTTGGAACCGGATGCCGGCTGTTAGCCGGTGACTTTCGAAATCACGCGTTATCACTGTCAGTTCCCATCATTCAACGTCCCAGTTCAACGTTCCAGTTCAGCGTTTCATACGTTCCATGTTGAACGTCAACGTCACGTCAACTTCAACTGTCTTACGTTCCATGTTGAACGTCAACGTCAATTTTCGACGGTGAACAAGTGTACAGCAATGAAAGCAAGGCCCTCATAAGGAGCTTTTCACTCCGGATTTTGACGAGCAAGTCTATGAACGGCTTGCTCTATCTTCCACAGGACAGTCACAAGTCTTCGACGGCCCTTCGTACTTTCTTTAATGCTATCCCTTGGCGGAAGTGCAAATTCAATATATCATTGACCAAGACTTTCGTTATGTGTATCGGCGAGCGTCTCTTTTTCGATATTCTTAGCATGCCGGTACTCTGGCAGTGTTGGTCCTGCAGCTTTTGATCGCTTGTTTAGAGCACAATCCGATCTTTGCATCAACGGGGAGGAAACCGTAGCGATCTGTGCACTATTGGCTTGTCTTCGTTATGGGACTTGTGGCGGCGACTGATTGGTTTTGGGATTGCGTGGTGTGTGCAGGCAGTACTTTCCCGTGATCGTAACTGCCCACTGGAGTAGAATACTGTCCATGTCCGTTGTGACACAACATAACCATCATGTGGTGACTACTTCTGCTGTTGATGCCGGACCCCACTCTGAAACTGATCATTGTTAACAGTGCGATAGACTATGAGCCAGACACATCTGGCCTTCTTCGGGCTTGGGCTAATTTACAGAGGCAGAAACGAAGCGCTCAAGACTTAAATAACTTGAGTCGCTATACTCAGTTCCCAAGTGAACACGAGCTTTTAGAATTGACCAGTCCTTGAAAGCTTGATGGGCTACAAATAAGTCAAATCTATTCCAGGTGGTAGCGAGCCGCTGAATTGTGCTAACGCGCAATGAACAGAATATAGACGAGGAAAGCAAACGATGATAATTCCGATGAGGGCACAAGTGAACGTTTCGCAGCATGGAAAACAAGAAGCGAAATGCACGCGTTGAAACCAAAGGTTCGGAGGCAGCTTGGCTCTATTTCGGCAACGTTACAAGTTATCAGATGGACCAGACCTATTTCAGAACACCAATCAATAGATTAAATAAATATCACGACTTGTAACAAAAAGAAAGAAGTCCGCCGCCCCTAGCCGAGTACCCAACATATGTGAATCACGTCGAGCGTTTCTCATACTATACACTACTGCTAGTTGACACATGCACGTGTTCCTGGAAAGCGATTGAACTCATGCCGGTTGCTGCATCGGAGTCGGCCACGAGCTTGGCGTGATATTCCCGAATGCTAAGGATCAGGCGAGGCCCCAGCACAAACGACTGGACTAATGAAGCAACTTGAAGAAAACCATAATACATCTCAACCCGCAGGGACCATGGGTTGTCCTATAGAAATCATGAACTATGGTCGCATGCAGAGATTAGTGACAGATCGACATACCATCGAGATCGCCGGAGCCAGAGAACTGAAAGAGAAGCAAGATACAGCAACAAAGCTAACACATGTAGAATTTCAGCAGCAAAAGATGGCCACATTCGCATTATGAACTCACCTGGCAAAGTAAACCAAGTGACTTTGCATCAACACTGTGAAACAATCCCCGATAAACCCTCCTGCTGATATCCGTCGCAGTTCCCGAAAACGTTTCACGGCAATCCAGATGGCGAGACCCATTGCGAGGACCTCCCATAGGGTGGTGAACGCCCAATAAATGGGAAAATAGAAGGTTGCATTGTCCCCTACATCAAAAATGCACTGATAGGTGCCAGAGAGAACATACAGATCTGGTATTCGTTAATGAGTCTGATGGATTAAGTCTTTCATCCGTAATTATAGCTTACCAGACGTCAGTTGCCTCATATACATCGCGGTGGCCAAACACTTGACAATGGTGATACCCAGGAAGATGATGAAGAGAAATATCAGCATATTTCTGCACTGATACATGGCATGTAACCGAGTGGTCATGATGACTTGCTTAATGTTGCAGTGAAGTCAATATCACCAAGGTATTACAAGCTCACCGCCTAGTATTGCCACTACGGCCAGATCCAACCAGTTCTGTACAAAAAATAAGATACGGCCTGGCAAATCCAATCAGTGATTGACCCCTGGGGACCGCATACTCTACCCAAACTCACACCTGTGGCGATCATTATCTTGGACCCACAAGTTGATCAAGAATAACTCACTCCTACATGGAAATACTGTTAATCGGAAGGACATGACAAGTATTGGTGGAGAATACTTACTGCATCTGTGATTGGGATTGTCGGAACATTAACTAGTATACGCCATCAATCAGAAGATGCAAACACGTGTATGAGGCAAAGGTGACGTACACCACAACATATTGCTGATGTGATACATGACTAGTCAGCACAGCGCCAATTACTTAGCATTCCAAACCTACACAGCATATATTATTCCAAGATAGCGCGTCTAGTTGGTTGTCAAGTCAGCCCAATTTTCAAACCACGCTGGAGCTACATACACTGAGATACAGGCCAGTCATGAGGGACCACCGTTGCCTCTGCCGCAAATCAATCCTATTTTCACATTTTTATCATGATGCGGAACCTTACTTACCCAGACCAGCTCAACCTGTAAAGCAATTCTTAGCGAGATGGCTGCTCCGGTAATAACAACCTACTTCATGTCCGAATGTCAATACTAGAAATGGGATGAGAATATCAGCAGTTCGTCAATACTAACTTGCTTACCCCAATCGTATATTAACCCAGCACAGCCAAAAACTGCGAAACCAAGGTGAGTTCAAACGTCACTGTTATGACCCGACTAGCTCGCTACGAACCTATAAAATAGCTGCTAATAAGAGCTGCATTGATGCTTGGCCACCAAATGGGATCATCTGAGACTAGGGTCATACTGCTCGAGAACGGAGGAGTAGATAAGTAGTGAATTGAGGACGATAGCAACCGCGTGCTTTTATTGCCGAAACGAAAGATGATATCACTGCTGTGATTGATAGAGGCGCTAGTGTCACCTCACGATATCGAGTCGAAAGGAGAATCACGTAAAGTAGATGTTGGTTACGAAACAAGCAGTGTGTTTCTCAAAGAACGGTTCATGATTTCAGCAACATTCTTCTGCGATGCCAATCTCGAGATATAATTGCTACACCTGCATGATATCAGCGAGATTTCATCCATCTAACACAGGCCTAGGTATGATGTGACCATCGAAGCTGCCGTCTTGATAATACTCGATAAGCTGATCAGCACTCGAAGGTTTGAACAAGGTCACATTCTGTGGGTATAACAGCGGACATGAGATCCGAGTGGAAAAATGAGAACAGCTTGAACGCCACTCATCCCTCCGATCACACCTCTCCCTGCTCCGATTTGTCTTCAGCGTCTAAAACTCATTCTCCTTCTCTGCCTCATGCATCGAGCATCAATCATATCATAACGATGCCAAATGGCAGTGGTGAGTATTGGTTCGAATCTGACGGAAAACGCACCGCACTGAGCCGACGCGATGGTAATGTATCAGACTCAGCCTCAACCTGTGATTGATATCTGTCGGAATATATATAGACAGCACCGCATATTCAGATTACAACAGGAATGACAAGGCACTAGCTGCAAAGCCGAGATTTGGATGCCCATGTAGCGTGTACGGCTGCGTGGTCCAATGGATTGTGCTGGACCGAATGCTAACTCGCTCGGGGTGGACGCAAGCAGGTGAAGCTGCTGGGAGGGCGGGATCCTGCTTGTGAATTGATCTCTTTGAGTAGCTTAAAACAGAAGTATGACTATAATCACCTACATATGATGACTTGAAATAGCCGCCAGTATGCTATATGCACACCTGATCAAAAGGAACCATTGAGTACAGCTTTTTGTTTCGGTGTAAATGATGGGCGGGAATTGAGCGGGACAGTAAAAGACTGAATGTGTGGCCCCGGGTTATTCCGGGGGCCTCAGACGAATGATCCACGTTGTGAACTTTGCATCTCATCATCCGGCGAGCTAGGTCGATCCCTGCACATTAGATAATTTCTTGGCAGAATCAAGACCCTCTGATACTGTATTGTCAGTACAGGTCGCCAGGAAGCTCCTCCGTGCTCATGGTGCGTCTTTTAGAATCGCTAGAAAGCTGACTCGGATACACGTAGATTTTCCAATGATTCTCCGCCCACACTGCTGTGTGAAAACTCCCCGACTGCTCACATATGGTGAACCTGTCTCTTGCTTCCATTTAATCTTCCCTGGCTCTGTAACTCCTATATATCTTACCCGACGGTTACTTCGATGACGCCTCCAACTCTCGAGTCCGTCGACTTCCACCTAATAGTCTCTTTCAAGTCGAACTTGCTACTAGGAAACATGTATCCCAAAGGCTGATCTTGCGATATCACTCGGACAGCCCTACCTCCCTGCGTGCGTCTCCTTCATACCGAACCACTTCCAGTATTGCGCTACTCGAGCGGTTCTCAACAGCAAATTGAGAGAACTCAACTACCATCTTTGCGTCCGTCGTACCATCTGAGGCCTGCCCACTGAAGGAGAACGGGAATAGGAATATCACGATCAGCATATTGCTACTCCCTTGCAGCTCGTCAAGTGTTCTCGGAGGGAATGGAGGTAAGATGGAATGATGACGCAAATTCGTCCATTATTACAGGGTATCTGACAAGTTACCTCAGGCTTACTGACCTGGTCCTTTGGGTATGTAATGTCGCCCAGCGTTTAGCTTGCTTATTCTAACAAATCTATAAGTCAGGAATCAATATCGCCACACCGATGAAAGGGAATGACTGTTTTCAGGTAAATTTATTAGACGTTTCAGCATGCAATGTGGTACGAGCCCAGGCAGCTGACGCCAGCGGCAACATTGTCTAGGGCTATGTTTCTTTCAAATATATTTTGCAACATGAAACAACCTGAAATAAGTACCACGACGAAACTTGGGAATAAATTAAGATAGAACACGCTCCCTACAGAATACCCGCCGATTGTAAGTCACGTCGAGCATCGCCCATACTACACGCTATAGCTAGTTTCCACATGGACACGCTCTTCGAAAGCAATTGAAGTCATAGCGGTTGCTGCATCAGAGTCAGCCACTAGCTTAGCATGATATTCTCGAATGTTAAGGATGAGGCGTGGTCCCAGTATGAATACCTGCACGGGTTCCAAGATTTGCACGAACCCAGTATAAAGCTGATCTTCCAGGGAATATCCGTTCTATAGGAATGATGAATCATGACTGCATGTAGAGGTTGGTGACAAATCAGCATACCGTGAAGATTACTGGAGAAAAATGACTCATTTGAAACGAAGAAACTGCAACAAAGCTTGCACGTACAGAACTTCAGCAAAAAACAAGAGAACCACGTTCATATTATGAACTTACCTCGCAAAGTAACTAACGTGAGTTTGCATTAACACCGTGTAACAGTCTCCGATAATACTTCTTGTTGGGTTTCGTCGCAGTTCACGGAAGTGTTTGACAGCAATCCAGGCTGCAAGACACAGTGAAAGGACCTCCCATACAGTACCAAGTATCCATGTAACGGAAGCCAGAAATAGGGAATCTCCCGCATAGTCAATCATGCACTGATGGGTACCAGAGAGAACGAGTTCCTCTGGTATTTGTCAATGAGCCTGATACACTCGAGCATTTCATACATAATTAAAGCTCACCCCCTGAAATCTTCATTATTATCATTAAGGTCATCACTTCGAGGGCTATTCTGATGGCCAAAAAGACCACAACGAGAAATATCAGCATCTTTCTAGATTGCTGATACATTGCGTGTAACCGAAAGATCATGATGACTTGCATGATGTTTCAATCAAGTTAATATTACAGAAGTGTATAGCTCACCGCCCAGTATTGCATTTCCAACATCATTCATCCAAGCAAGTGTATCGTTTATCACAAGGCCTGATAATCGAGCAACATTAATTATCAATCACAAGCTTGAAATAGACTCACAACTGTGGCAAATGTTATATCGAACCAACCGGTTGTTCGAAAATCTCACTCACCCCTACATGGTAGTTCAGTTGTTTGAACGAGAATGGAAGGAATCAGTGTGGAATACGCACTGCATCTGTCGTTGAAAATGTTGGAACAGCAACTGTACGCTGTCGATCAGAAGAAATAAACACGGTGAATGGGAGGACACATACACGATATGGTCATCCTGATTATGAGAGATGGGTAGTGAGCGCAACACCAATTGCTTAGCCTTCCTAACGTACACAGCATAAAATACTCCACCATAGCGCACCTAGGATGCTTTAAGGTCAGTTCAACTTGCTAAACACAGCTGAAACACAAGTTACATACAATGACATACAGGACGGTCGTCAGGGACCAGCGTTGCCTCTGCCGCGAATTAATCATGGTATATTGTTATATGATGCGGGAGTGCGCTCACCAAGATCAGTTCAACCTGTAAAACACTCTGAGTGAGATGGCTGCCCTAGTAATGGATGATGGACCTACCTCTTGTCCAAACGTGAGTGCTGGAAACACCACAGTAAGGATGTTAGTGGTTCTTTCACACTTGGCCTTGCTCACCCCAATCGTATATTACCCCGACATAGGCAGCAACTGCAATATCGCACCCGAGGATAATTGAATCATCATGGACATCATGCAGCTAACTCTCTACGAACCTATGAAATAGCTGGAAACACGATATGAATTGATGGATGGCCACCAGGTGGGATCATTCGAGACTACGGTCATACTACGAGAGGATTGGAAGTGAGGGGGCGGAGGTCTTAGTGGACGTACAATGATTGCATTTGTGCTTGATATACCACCAATGACCATCTAGCGCTCGTAAGTCCTGACTTATGGGGATTGGGCGGGTCGGTACAAATAAGTGACCTTAGACTCAACCGCACTGCGCGCGCAGTGATCAGCTGAAAAACAGCAAGTGGGTTGCCATATCCAAACGTACATACTAGTCTGTGAAATATGTTTGCGCATGTATTTTTTGACGTAAATGAGGAGGCAGTGATCTCACTAAAGTGACAGGGTTACAGAAACTAGTAAGTGAAGCCTCATCTAACGACTTACCTTTGACAGCATTGTAGTGTCTTGCACAACGAGGGCTTCATTGCTTGACAACGAAGGTTTGCCTATAGTTGGTGATAGTAGTATATATATATCGACGGTTTCTGGGTATGATGATAGCAGTCGTACTATTAGAGTACTCCCCAAGTTATGATGATGACTTACAAAAGTAGCTAGTATGAGCACATCTAAGTTTGGTGTCGCCCCAACAATAAACGAAAGCGGCTAGATGATTTTTTGAGATTTAGGTCTATCGATATGAAGATAGCTGTAATGAATGACATCTGATTGATCGAAGAAAGTATTTCAGCATGAATCCACGTATGAGAACAAAGGGCATCCAGGGATATCGATGGGATCACGGTAGAAGTTGATAAATCCAAAGGCAGTGACTCACGCGGGATGTTCAACGCCGCAAGAGATCAGAGAACTGCCTGTGATTTCGGCAATGTGATGGTGCGGTCTTCAAGGCGTTGGTGACATTACGGGGTTCGGTCTCGGCTCATCAATAATACCGTGTCTATCCAGACCAGATCATTGATCTGACATTGAGTTTTAAACGGCGCCCAAGTTGACCTCGTGGGTTGCTCGCCAGTGATAGACATTGTCTCTGTAATTGTGATGCGATTAACGTCTGTAGCGATGAAGGCAGTCGTGCAAAGCAGGGGGGAAGGGGCGGTTATATAAAAGAGGAGGTTAGTTGTACATAGAAAGAATGATCAAGGAATGGAGACAGTGAGAAAAAAGCGATGAACAAGGGACGGTGATGCGTACATGTTTGGATGCGAAGTTAAGGACAAGAACAGAACCTTTGGTGGATATGATGCTGGAGAAATGCGACCCACCCGGAGAGTCCAGACAGCGAGACTGACTCGGAGGGAGGGACCCGCGGACGAATCAATGACGGCCACGTTTATGTAATTTGAAATTGCTTCCCACAGTAGCTGGCACGCTACAACTAGACTAGTGCTAGTACTTACTGTTGCCGAACCCCGATCATGTCAGCCTATCCCAGTACTCCGACTTGAGTAGTTAGGTGTTGTGGCATCCCGGTCTTTCAAAGTCAAACCGAGGCCAATTGAGCAAATCTAGATCTACGGTGAGCACCCCGCCCTTTTCAACTGTTTTTTCCCGCTAAGCAAGCCCATAGAGAACCGGATCCGTACAATCTTTTAGCTCAGTGCGAAGACCCTGACGCCACAGGACTACTCAACCTTCGACAACTTCTTCAAAGAAAGTGAATATCATCCCTGCTGCATGATCACCCCAAACCTCGCCTCTGCCGCCACTCACTGTCGCGACGTGCCGCTCAGGCTGCCGGCGTAATTTTCAGCAGGCTAAAACGGCTCGCAGACAAGGTTCTTATTCTAAGGGACACAGGTGAATCATGTGGTTGAATCCTTGTTGCACAGCGACCTGCTCACACAAAAAAGGTCATGACAGCATTCTATTCCTTCGCATGGCATTCCCTCGGTCACACATGCACTGACAAACATAGATGCTGTCAAAGCAACGATAACGACGAGTAGGGAGAAGCGCATTTTCTGTGTGAGGTGATATGGGATCTTCTGAGGGGGATATCTCTGAGGATGAGGGATCATTGTAGGACGACGACCAGCTTTTATATCCTGCATATGCTTATGGGCACGATTCTCATCGATTTGGCAGATCTGTTGTCACATGGAAGAAATTTCGGCAGAACCTGCGGGAGCGTATTCAATTAACAACGACAATTGAATTCCAACCTGCCTGCAGGCATTGACAATTCTCTTCTTCGTAACCACGGAACTCTCGCTGGAATCACCGGTCTCTTGTCCCAACTCCTCCCATAGCCCTTATCCCACCCCAATGATCGAGCACCCAATCGCTTCACCTGTCGTGTCATCAACTATACTGGACAGACGTGAAAACAGAAACGTGACTCACTGCCACACTAGAAGTAGCATACAAAGAAGATCTACCACGCAGGTAAGTTGTTGGGTCAAATATAACTCACTCATACTTACACACAGCGCCCCATCAGCGCAGCCCGAGCACTGGCTAGGAAGAAAGCAGATGGGAGGACATTTTTTTTCACTGACAACGTCAGTGGCAGATATCGAGGCTATCAAAGCAGCAACGATGACGAGTATAAAGGGGAAACGAATTGTTCGTGAGGATATGGGATTCATATCTGAAGGGAACGTAGGAAGGCGCCTTGTATGTATGTGCGGAATCTTGTCCTTTATGGCAATGTCGAAGTACTAAGTCCACCTGAAATCCCCTTTCGAACTGATGTACCTCCAATTCCAGCCGATTGCCACCTAAATCTACCTCGTGAAGCGGGTCTATTGGCAATTTGACGTGGAATGAGACGTCATCTCCCGACGCAAGGTCAATGCCAAGCGTATTGCCACCTATAAGACCTACCTTGCGGAGTAATGTCTACCAGCAATTTGGCGTGGAACAAATTTTCATCTTGCGAAGCCAACTCGCAACAAGGACTGATCAGCTTGTTTGGAGTAGGACCATTTTTCACTCGTTGAATGCAACAAACCTATGTGATGCAGCAGCCTGTCGTATGACATCCCACCGCGAGCTAGACACATCGTTAGATGTTCGTAAGTACGAGAAAGGGTAAGACCTACATCAGTTCGTGAGATATGGAAAATTCGACGTTTGAACACGAACTGAACAATGTTGCAAAACTCAGTTATGAATCACAATACCCCTGACATGTGTCAGAAGCTCGAGAGTCGACATCCTCCCTTGCCGAAGTTGTACCGCTGCCGACGAACAAGAACCGGGAGGCGTATGATCGAAGAGATGAAAAAGATTGTTGAGAGGTCGTTGTGTATGACTGACGAAAAGAGGAGGAATTTGCCTAAGAGCGCAAATCGATATGTGGCTGAATGGCGTATTCTGAGCGGGTAAAGTAAGTCGGTTAAGAAGCACTTGTCGCCTACTCGACCACGTCGAGCTTTGGTGGCATTATCGACCATCAACGTTTCAACACGCGGCGCGTGGCACTGCATGGAAAAAATCTAGAGATGTATATTATACTTCGATCTTGGGTGCATCATCCAAACGACTTGAATGATTTGATCTACTTACAGTTTTTTATACTCGTATACGGCTACGACAGCGGTAAACCAGGTAAGTCGTCATTATTAGTCCCGACCCCAGGCCGGTAACAATAGCTGCCAGCGCATCGCCAATCCATCCCTCGTCTTACCTCCGTCCAACATCAAAGAACCATCGTTTCATGAGCTGGGAGGCAACGGCAATCGTCTTATCTTCGTCTTCCCACCCTCATTCCCCTTCCTCTTCGATACGATCCCTATCAACATCTCCGATGGTACAATATAATAGACGGGTATTGCCAAATGGGCATCGAGAACAGTGTAAAGAATGCATCTTTGGGACCGTGCAGATGATGGAGGCGCACGCAGCCTAGGTCCTTGGTACCAGGGTGTCTGAGCATTGAAAAGGCGATAGATGCGATGGCTCTTGCAAAAAGAGCTCTGAGCAGAGAGAGAGATCGCGGAAAGATGATGAGAATAAGAGGATGTGAGAGACGTAGGATTCTTGAGCATACACGTCGCCTAAGCCTTGCGTTGACAGAGCTGAGTCAGACGGATGAGAGAATGGAAGGCCAAGGGAATCGAGGACGTTTCATCTTCGAAGCCGTCACTAGGTGGGTTATATGCTAGAAGACATGAGGTCAATTAAGTCAACGGTTCGTCGCGATAGATTCCGGTACTTGAACGTTAACGTTGAACGCGCCTTCCAGGAGTGAGATTCGTGTGAAAATTTTGACTTAGCACGTGAAAGTTTTGGTGCACAACCTGCGAGTTATGAATTTCCTGAAAGAGACGGAGCCTCACGATCAGTTTCACCTTGTAAGTTGTCACGCCAGCTGGGGTGAGAGATTTTCACGAATTTGCTTGATATATAGACGGGACGAATATCGCAACATTGTTACGTCATTCTGCATACGAGTTCCCGGAGGAATTGAAGGAATCATATGAACTTGAAGATACTACCTCTGGACTTGAGCCGGCAGGCTCGAGCATGGTCACCTGAGATAGGTTCAGGAGTCGGACTCACTAGCACTCTTCGGAGTTTTTATGCGACTTCCGTCCGTTGGCTCGCGCATCTCTTACCCCTCAAATTAAGGGCTTCCACACCGTGATCTGGAAGTTCGGTGGCATCGACGAGGGGTCTTGTTATAGTCAGAAGCGCCCGCTCTCTTTTGTTTCTGGTCTCAAAGAATATTGATGCATGCGACCTTAGCTTCAGCAAGAAGCCAGGGTCTATTGGCGATCTGACGCTTATTCATCGAATCGCCCACACATTCTTGTTTACTCGCTGAGAACGCCGCGAAGGCTATCACTTCATCGAACATCTCGGTGTCGAGAAGTCAGTTTGGAGTTCGCAACCTGACAGGCCCCGTTCATTTTGTGTTGCGTACAACACCTTCCTCATCAAGGCTGTCGAGGACAGGGGTGTCTCAGAGAATAACTTTGAAGAAGAACAAGACGCATTGACTCAACCAAAGATATTGGCATGCTTTATTGGGGGTGACCCACTCCCTCATCCATGCAGGACACGCCACGGCATCCCGGGCATGGCTGCTGAAGGTAAGCGGTGCCATAAACGGATCTCATGTAGCGCTACGCTGAGTAATGGACGATTGACTTGTTACTGTCAGGCGGAATCGAACGTAAAATGGAGAAATGTATTTGGACCGTTGAACATTATCCTATACGTTGCAGATGGGGCAAAAACAGAGACTTCGACTCGCACAATCTTAATTTGCATATAGGACAAACCACATCCAGAATACTTAAAGTGTCAATACCGGGATTACATAGGAGTTTCGAGTTTCTTGACGAATTGGCAGAATTTTGTAGGTGGTTTTTCGTACGACGGGCCGTTGAATTTAAAATTGCCTCCTTCAGCAGTAGCTGTGCGCGATATCGACGATCTTTTGCCTCAACTGTCCAAATCGCGAAATATATCATGTATCAGTAGTGCCACGATGAAACTTGGCTTAAAAACTAATGCTCTGCAGAGTACCCGACAAATATAAATCACATCCAACCTATTTCCTATGCTACACACTACTGCTAGTCGACACATCCACGAGCTCCTGGAAATAAACTGAAGTCACGCCACTCGCTGTATCAGAGTTGGCCATGCTCTTAGCGTGGTATTTTCGAACACTGAGTATCAAGCGCGGTCCCAGCACAAACAACTGGACGAGCAAGAAAATCTGAGTAAGACCCGGATAAATCTGACTCGCGAGTGTAAATGGGTCCTATAAAAATGATGAACTGCGGTTACATGCATAGGTCAGACAGATCGGCATACCGCTGAGACAGCTGGAGACAAATAACCGAAGTTGAAACAAGAGACAGCAACAAAGCTAGCACATGCAGGACTTTAGTGGAAAGGAGAAACCCATTCACATTATGAACTCACCTCACGAAGTAGACCACATGACTCTTCGTTAATGCCATGAAACAGTCACCGATAACCCATCCGGTCGATGGTCGTTTCAGTTCACGGAAGTGTTTTACAGCAATCCAAATTGCGAGACACAGTGCGAGGACCTCCCATGCAGTGATGAACATCCAATACATGGAATAAGCAAGACTTGTGTTATCCACAAAGTTAACAAAGCACTGGTAGGTGCCGGAGAGAACAAGCTCTTCTGTTATCCGTTAGTGAGCCTAGGGGATTAAGTCTTTCATCCGTAATTATAGCTTACCCTCTGACATACGCATCGTTATTATTGTTATGGATACTCCATTGCCGATGGTGACAGCCAGGAGGACGACGGAGAGAAATATCAGCATCTTTCTGCGCTGATACATGGCATGCAACCGAGCGACCATGATGACTTGCATGGTATTTCAGCCAAGTCAATATCACTGGTGAAATGCTAACTCACCGCCTAGTATTGCATTCACGACTGTGATCATCGAATTTGATACAACGTATATGATATGGCCTGGAAAATTCAGTTCGTGATCAGCCTCGGAAGACCACATACTCTACGCAAACTCACAACTATGGGAGTCATTATACGGAACCAAGGAGATGGTAAAGGACTTACCCCTATATGACAATGCAGCTGATTAGACGGGAAAGACCGGTATTGGTGCGGAACACTCACCGCATCTGTCAAAGATATTGTTGGAACATATACTGTATGCCATTGATCAGGCGAAATAAATACGACGGTGTATATGGGGAGACATACTCAGCAAGCCGATGCTGATGAGATATGGTTAATTAGCACAACGCCAATTACTTAGCATTCTAAACATACGCTGCATATACTAATCCAAGGTAGCGTGCCTAGGAAAATTTCTGGTCAGTACAACTGGCCGGCAGACCACAAGGGATAACCAAGCTACATACACTGAGATACAGACCGGTCATGAGGGACCAGTGTTGCCTCTGCCGCAAATCAAATATTGGTTTTTATGATGTGGGATTCTGCTCACCCAAATCAGTTCAACCTATCAAACCATCCTTAGCGACATGGCTGCTCCGGTAATGATATAAACCTACCTCATGTCCGAATGTCAATACTAAGAATGCGATGAGGACATTAGTAGGTTCTTCAATGCTATCTTACTCACCCCAATCGTACATCACCCCAGCAGAGGCCGCAACTGAAAAAGGTTAGATCGAGAAGTTACTACCTGATTGGGTTTCACGAACCTATAAAATAGCTAGCGATACGATACGAATTAATGGAGGGCCACCAAACGGGATCGTCTGAGACTAAAGTCATACTGCTCAAGGATGGTGGGAGGGAGTAACGAACGTCAAGATAGTGGATGTGTACGATCGCGCTGTGCTCACTCGATACTGGATAATATACCATCCTGCAGTGCTTTTATAGGCCATTATGGCTTAGGCACTGTCATAATTGATAGAGACACGTAATGTCACATGGAGTCGAGTAGAAAGGGGAAACCGTTTCAGTGGGCTTTGATCGAACCAAAGCTAGTTGTGAAACCCTGTCAAAAGCACTCCGCCGTTAAAAAAAATTGGAATAAATCAACTGTTGGTAGATGTGAGCGTGGTAACTTGTCCCAAGATACCAAATATTCGCGAGAATTTTATAGTCTATTTGCGCGATCCATCGGACGGGCCCCGACCCCGTGATATGATCACGCCGAAGTATAAGTGAGCATATCGAGAATTCCTGCCGTTCCAATCATCGTCGACAAGTATAAGCAGTCTTACCACTTCGCTGAGCCACTGACGGTTTCCCTGGGCATAGAACGCGCGTAAAGCCTGTCAAGATATCACCTACTAGTATATATTGAGAAATGCAATGTAGGGCAGGTTCAAGTGGAGAAAATAGACAACTCACTTGTCTGCTAAATGTCAACACAGGGTTTTCACATCGATGGCAAACATAGCCAAGCTGTATTGCGAAGCTGTGCAGTAACAAACCATCGAGTGCGTAGTCGGTGATGATGCCATCATTCTTTTAACTCAGCCACTAGGATAATCATCATCCGAGCCCCATTGGCACAGAAATGGGAGAAGATAAGACCCGGATAGCTTGTACGTATGTTGTACCTGGCTAGGCTCCATGGCCGAGGAGTCGGCATCAGTAAAGAGCGGTAGTAGACAGACTCTCGCGAGCACTCACAATAGGCACGTACTAGTAGGCAACCGCTTATAACGGTGATGATAGGGAGAAATAACCAACTAACCAAAACTGTTCTCTCGCCGATCAATGATCATCCCGACTCATCCCCACTTTCTCCCCACACGATATTGCATTTAGACTCCACCGACCTCCGAGTTATTTGAAAATGACGCAGAGGAGGTAGCCTGACTTTTTGGTCGCAGTGTTCCTGGGACACGTGTAGAATTGTCTTCACCTCGCTGGCCCGTAGTGGAACCACATAAATCCGACCGGGCTCAGCTGTAAGGTGAATGTGCCCGGTTTGGGCGGACTCCAAGTCTGTGGAGTCTGGGATCATCGTTCATCCTAGGCCAAGCGGAGTTTAGATAACACAACTGCCTAGGCTGACACGCCGCCACACTGCCCGTCGCTATTGGACAACTGCATGGCGAGTATCGTGAGTCTCCCGGGTCATTGAGCGAGGGATCCATATTAAACGTCTCGAGAGTCGAGAGCAAGGGTTAATACAAGCTCTCCATAAAATTACACAATACCGGTACCGTGACATGGCAATAAAAAAGTAACCGGCACGATAAGGAATATGTATTACATAAAAATACACATTTATAACGTTAACCCAACTCCGCATCAATTCGCACTCTCCGCAAGTCCCTCTTCACGCACGACCACCCCTCAAAAGTCTTCGACAGCTCCTCCTGAATACGCACCTCCATCTCTATTTGCTTCTTGCTCTTCTTCAGCGGCGGGGGGTCTCGGTAATGGTATTAGAGGTCCGTTGGTTGGGGGTGGAGCGGTGCAATGTGCGAAAGTATCATTCACGAAGGCTTCACCAATGACGAATATAAGGTTCCAATTTGAGAACGGTGGATTTGGGTTGACGCGCCGGATGAGCGCTAGCTCTCAGTGATATTGGAGTTGAGATGGGAATCTTCTGATGGAAATCGGGCACCTTGGTTAATTCAGGGATCGCAATTCAAATTCCTTCTTGGGGGAGGTCTTCGTCACATCAGGCAAATGGCAGCTTTGCATTGTGGAAAGGAACGCCCGTGAATTTAAGTAGGACAAAACATTGATTGAAAATCAATATAGGGAGAGCCGCTGAAACTAAGTATTTAATGGGTCAGAGTCCTGGCCGTCATCAGCGACACATTATTACTTATGAGAGGTTCACGTCCTCGGTGGGGAGTCCGCACTTGACTGGTAGTAAATGAGGCAGTCTGAATGAATGACGCTGCAGAATCATGATCAGCCAGCCTGCGGTACAGCCCATTCAGCTTGAAGAATTCCTGACGCTGTGGTATCTTTTCCGGGCCTGTAGAAAATGGGGTTCCGCTCAAGCCTCAAGAGGCCGCTTTGGTTTGAAGCAATTTGGAGAGTTCGTAAAGCATCTTCGTCTTCCCTGTCAGTGGCAATGACAACAGTGTCATGTATCAACTTCCGGCCACTCAGCAGTAGTCCTACTCGGTACAGACCATAGTGTATATCGGACCTTCGAAGGCTATACATGGCACATTATACAATTTTCTGAGCGTCTACCCGCATACTACGTACGATGGGAGCTGCCAAAACTCGACACAAGATGAGATTTATACATTACTAACGTATATATGCACTGTATTGAAGGTATACATGCACGTGATCGCGTGTAAGTAAGAAATTCCGAGCCTCGCTCAGACTCGGACCTGACAATTCCATACCCCCGGAGTCTGTGACAGACTTACTCTGGGCCAGAATGTCCCTTTCCTTACCATTTCCTGGACGTTCTCATGATATGAATCAGTACAGTTTGAAGAACAACAAATCAGGTTTTATGCAAGTCACGGTCATATGACTCATATCAGTGCGCCCAAGTCTTCTTTTCTCCGTGTCTTTTCTTATTGCTGTTTAGATAGTACTAGTGCTATCTGTCAATCTGATAGTGTTTCTCAATTAGGCTATCTCTGGCTAGACAAACTGATGCCCGTCAGCACCGCACCAATGTCCGATGCAGATTGAAGATTCTGCATTCATCATTGTTGGCAACCTTACAATATGAAACACCGATAATCGATGCAGAGAGCAAGAATGTGCGCATGAAGCGACAGATAGCCCAACAACGAGGAGCAGAAATGGTCAACATTGAGATAGTACTATGCTCGCGCACGAGAACGTGAGTTTACTTCGTGTGAATCTTCTCTACTTTTGACGGTTTATTTCTGGTATGGCCTTGGCATGCTGACACAATTTGTCTTCTATATTTCAAGTACTGTGTCAGTATGTCAAGCGTCCCGCCCATTGAAATGTTTCATGACCAATCTTTACGTTGAGCGCTAGCCCCTGGATTTTTGGGCAATCAACGCCGGAATGGTTGTCATCCCTCAATTTCATTTTGGTGGCCCAAACACTGGACGGTGGTATATAAACTATCACCATGCGTGAACCAAGTTCACCTTTCACCCTCACTCCCATTCTCTACCAATATGACCATAGTCTCAAATGATCCCACTTTGTGGCCGACCATCAATGCATATAGTTTTTCCAGCTATTTTTCAGGTCAGTGGAGAGTATTCGTATTCTGAAGATGATGTCTCGATTTAACGTTGGCTGCGGTTTCGCAGTTGCCGCCTTTGTTGTAGTGACGTATGATTGGGGTGAGCATTATAACATTAAAGGACTGCTGATATCTTACAAGTATTTTCAGCACTTACATTTGGACAAGAGGTATGTCAATACTATGACCGGAGCAGCCATCTTGCTAAGAATCCTTTATAGGTTGAATTGGTCTGGGTGAGTATAGTCTCATGTCAGAGGAACGACCATGAAAATACGCCTAATTACAGAGGCAACGTTGGTCCCTGATGGCAGTTTTGTATCTCGGTGTATGTAGCTTGTTTTTCGTGGTTGTCATGCTGTGCTGACATGAAAGTATCCTAGGTGCGCTACCTTGGAATTGTATATGCTGCGTATGTTCGCAAAGTTAAATAATCAATGCTGTGTTGATCGTCTATCTCTCATAATCAGCCTGACCATCCTGTGTATGTCTCCTTAGTACATCTACTGTCTTCGCTTCTTCTGACAAACAGTATACAGTCCATATTCCGACCCTCTCGCTGACAGATACAGTGAGTCTTCTGCGCAGATACCTGTTATTCTCCTCCAATTAACTGTGGTTCCCTTTAGGAGTGGGTGCGGTTCTTTACTAACTACTTGGCTCTCTACTGACTGCCACGCTATACTGCCACAGATGTGAGTCTGTTTGGAGTGTGCTACCTGAGGTTGATCACTGACTGGATTCGTCAGGCTGGATCGTGTACGTCCTATGGAATTGGACGGCTGTTGTAGCATTTGCGATGCTGTGTGGTGAGCTTGACACTTGCGAGACCTCAGTGATATTGACTGAAACACGCTGCAAGTCATCATCGTCACTCGGCTGCATGCCATGTATCAACGATCCAGAAAGATCCAGATATTTCTCGTTGTCAACATCCTGGTTGTCAACATTTTCGATGGAGTGATAGCTGTAATAGCAATGGTGCATGCTTCAGGAGGTACGCTTAATTATAGATGAAAACTTTAAACGTGCATGGGGCTCACTGATGGATATCAGAGGAAGTCATTTTTTCCGGCTCTCATCAGTGCTGGATTACCTTTACGGGAGATTTTCTACTTCTGAATTCTGTTGCTTGGATACTCGCAACTGTGTGGGAGGTCTTCGCACTGTGCCTCGCAGTCTGGATTGCGGTAAAACACTTCCGTGAACTGCGACGACATTCGGCAGGAGGGATTATGGGGCACTGTTTCACGGTGTTGATGAAAACTCATGTGCTTTACTTTGCGAGGTAAGCTAATCTTGTTGTTGTTCCCTTTTCCCACTGAATGGTCGGACTTGGTAGCTTTGTCGCTGTTTCGTGCTTCGCACTCATTCTTGATTTCTCTCCGACATTCTCAACGGTATGTTGATCTTTCACTCACCTATACATGCTACAACGATTCATCATTTCTATAGTTCCAAAATTCTCTAGGAATCCAGACTTTTTATGGAATGCTTCAGATTTTGCAGACCATACAGTTGTTTGTGCTGGGACCACGGCTGATCCTTGGCGTTCGAGAGTATGGCGCTAAGCTCGTGGCCAATTCCGACACATATATTGGTATGAACTCAATCGCTTTCCAGGAGCGTGGGGACATATCGAGTGGCAGTAGTGTGTAATCCGTCCTCGATTCATCTTCTTGCCTCATTCGACGTCCCACTCCCGTCTTTTCACCCGACTGACGCCAACTGGCTTACGGAAGATCCGACCAAGATGATTCCAAGGTGCGCGAAGCACGGTCGTGCATGCGTAGCTTGATGATGCGAGGCATACTTGATGAGGTTGATACTTGTGGAGGAGCTTGTCTTTCACTTTCGTTCGACGAAGCGGAAATACGGGTATGAATATGAACTGTCTCGGATTGTCACTGAAACACTACTGGGTGATACATGTGCGCTAATAGACATTGTGCTATGAAGACCATGATTCTTCAGCTGGGACCCAGTGCTAACGTCTGGGAATAGCACACTAATCATCAAACGGTTTGCTGACGTGGTTCTAAACGGTGACAGCGTTGGACCAGGAACGGATATACAGGCACCACTGGGACCAGCAATAGACTAATAGTGCAAGAGTCGAGCATCTGCTGCTTGATGCTACATAGGTTGTAAATATGATAGCGAATTCGACACATGAAGAGGTAAATCTCCCGTGGCTGGTTGGTGGAAGAGACCGTCTTCAAAATGACACAGAAGTTGGGGCCCTGAATTAGATTTTCGGATATGAAAAGTTTGAGTGCTCAGCGCTCAGGGTCGTGGTGATACTCTGGGAGATTCGAATATTGAGAAAAGGAAGGTTTCATGATCTTTGAATTCAACCGGGCACGAATTATCATAAGAACGTGTTGACCAATGGTGTCGGTGAGATTTTGAGACTCTGCCCGCCTCACTCTTCACACTGTGACAGGGCGCCCGTCGCTATTGGACAATTTTATGGCGAGTCAGCTGTATCATGATGAGTATCCTGCCATTGGTTAATATACAAGCTCCCCATGAAGTTGCACAATACATAGTAATAAAAAAGTAAACGGCATGACAAGGAATAAAAATACACTGGCACGACTCGCAATCATTCATAACCCAACTCAGCATCAATTCGCGCTCTCCGCAAGTTCCTCCTCTCCTCGTCAGTCATACACGACCACCCCTCAACAGTCTCCGACAACTCCTCCTCGATACGCTCCTCCATCTCTATCTGCTTCTTGCTCTTCTTCGGCGGGGGAGGTCTCGGTAATGGTGGTGGAGGGGTCCGTCGGTTGGTGTGGAGTGGTGCAATCCGTGAAAGCATCGTTCGCGAAGACTTCACCAATGGCGAATAGGAAGGCCCGTTTGAGAACGGTGAATTTGGTTGTGAGTTGACACGTCGGATGAGCTCTGACATTGGGGTCGACTTGGGTTTGATGCTGAAGGCGCGTGACTGGAGAGTGACAGACGGAGTCTGCTTTGGTGGGGGAGCTATGCTTTTCGGTGGAATATTCTAGGTAGAATGTAAGTGAGGATATCGAAGAGTACGGAAATGTAGTACCTTGGTTATCTCAGGGGTTACAATGATTTCGGACCCCTTGGGGTTGTCGTCTCGAGAGTCTTCGTCCTCGGGCAAATGCCTACTTGGGTTAGGTGACCTCGAACGAGGAGGGTCGTCGTTGCCGTCCTCATTTTCACTTTCCGAGAGAACCGCTTTCCTTCTACCTTTTGCCTTAGGTTTCGGTTTCGGTTTTGCAGTGGAGGTGGGTTTCGATAGTGCCTTCTTCTTCGATATAACTGTCGTTTCCTCTTCCTCAACGAAATCGTCGTCTTCGAGGGCATTATTACCTGCAGCTGGTTCATCCATGGGGGATTTGTGCGCAAGATCGTCGAGTTCGACTCTGTCAGCCTGCTTCCTACCTTTTTTCTTCCCCTTCGCTCGAGAAGACAACTTTGTGTCCTTTTTCTTGCCCTTGTTCGCAGCAACGATGATGTCTGCGTCCCCGTTTTCATCTCCAAGTGTGTGCGAATTGTCCATTTCTGCGACGACGGGCGACAATTGTGCAGAGAATAGAGGAGGTGCTATAATAGAGGATGACGAAGTATCGGCGACGTCTACATCCATCTTTTCGCCATGAACTTCTGACTGAAGCGGGGAAACCTTCTTCCGTTTACGAGTTATCTGGGGTGGAGAAGAGGGCGGAGAGGACAAATCGGGTAAAGCAGGAATAGAAGACGGGAGGCGTGATGTTGTAGAAGATAGTTGAGACGGAAGCACTGGCTCGTGCGGTGCAGGAAGAACCACAACGTTGCTCGGCTGAGTATCGACGATGCTTTGTTCAGGAACCTTCAGTAAAGGCGATGTCCTAGCTTTAGGCTTCGGTTTAGGCCTGGGTTTCGGCTTGGGCTTGACGGGCTTGTCTTGAGATTTCTGCCGCTTCCGTGGAGGCTTGAGTGATAGTTCGTCGAGGTCGGAGTCGGACGTTAACTCTATCACATCATGGTTGACAGGCACGTAAGTCGGCTTCTTAACCTGAGTCTTCCGAGTGCGCGTCTTGGCTCGGTCGGCAATGCTAAACGCAGGATCGACTTCCTCGATGAGATCTGAAACCGCAGATGGTGTGGTTGGAGGGCGGATGCTGTCTGCAGCCAAGGTACTAGCTGGGATTACAGAAGCAGAGTCGATGAGTGAGCCAGAGGAACGAAGTTCATCGTCTTTGATGAAGTCGTCATATATGGTAGTCGTAGTTCGAGACTTTCGCGGCATAGGACGTGGGCGCGGTTTAGACTTCGGTACAGGTGTTCCCGCGCCACGAGGAAGTGACGGAGAAGGATTTGGTGGTTCAGAGTCTTGGTAGCCTGGAGGTGGTGTAAATAGAGACACATTACTTGTGTCGAGAGGTTCACGTCCTCGCTGGGGAGTCTGTGCTTGACTGGTAATAAATGAAGCAGTCTGAATTGTTGACGCTGCAAATCCGTGTCCAATTAGCATGGGGTATAGGACAAGAAGCTTGAAGAATTCCTAACGCTGTATGTTTTCCGGGCCTGTAGAAAACGGGGCTCCGCTCAAGAGGCCGCTTTGGTCGGCAATTTGAAGAGGTCGTAAAGCATCTTCGTCTTCGCTGTCAGCAACAATCCAGTCGTCTGCAACATCGGCCATGTTTTAATTGATAGATATTTGCAGTGATTATACTGGGTGTCGTCGATGAGTATGTAGAAGAAGTTAAAAAGAGTAAGACAAGACTCTCATCCGGGACACATCAAAGGTGGCCACATGCACGTGATCGCGTCACTCATGAATTATGAATATATGAATACTTACCTCCAACTCTTGGGACCGAAAGTGGGACTTTACCAAGACATAGCATTACCAGCGCTATACTTCACAAGAGGTGATGTGACTGCTCAGCGCTCAGATCATGGCCAGAAATCATCAATCTTAATCAGTGCTCAGTGATATCCGTGTTACAAAATGTCTTCACATTTGGTGCCAACACTGCTTCTGCCAAAGATGGAATCTGTCTACTATCGTCGCGTCCACGTCAACACCTCAGAACAACTACTGAGCTCAAGCTTGTACCGTTCATTTCTTCGCGTTGTCAAGTTATTGTATCGATATCCGAATCTCGTACTTGTCTGCTTGCAAAGAGTCATGTAACACTCTAGGCACCGCCCAACCTAGCCACGGAACTTCCAGGGATCAATTTTCTATATAAGGAATACAAGAACCGCCAACTGGATCGGATCGATCTATGCAGTGGAGTGCAAAAATATTTACCTTGATCTTCGGTTATCAGTGAGCACGGATGGCAGTGATATAGCGCGAATGTCCGAACCGCTATACCAAGTTCACCTCTCACCCACACCCATTCTCTAACAATATGGCCATACTAGTCTCGTATGATCCCACTTGGTGGCCGTCCATCCATGCATATCGTTTTTCCAGCTATTTTGGAGGTTCGTGGAGAGCAGTCGGATGTTGAAGCTGAGCGCTGACTCGGATGTCTCAATCTAACCTTGGCTCCGGTATTGCAGTTGCCGCTTTTGTTGGGGTGATGTATGATTGGGGTGAGCACGATAAATATTAAAGGATCGCTGATATCTTACAAGTATTTTCAGCACTCACATTCGGACAAGAGGTATGTCGATGCCATGACCGGAGCAGCCATCTCGCTAAGAATCCTTCTATAGGTCGAACTCATCTGGGTGAGCAGAGTCTCATGGCAGAGGGAACACACATGAAAATACACTTATTTACAGAGACAACGCTGGTCCCTAATGACAGTGCTGTATCTCAGTGTATGTAGCTTGTTTGTTGTAGTTGCCATTCTGTGCTGACTTGAAAGTATCCTAGGTGCGCTACCTTGGAATCCTATCTGCTGCGTACGTTCGGAAGGTTAAACATTGGTGTTGTGCTAATAGTCTATCTCTTATAATCAGTTTGTCCATGGTTGGTATGTCTCCTTAGTACATTCACTGTCTTCTCTTCTTCTGACCGACGGCATTCAGTCGGTGTTCCGACAATCTCTCTGACAGATACAGTGAGTCTTCTGTTTAAATGCCTGCCATTCCCCTCAAATTAACCGCGGTGTTCTGTAGCAGTGGGTGTCGTTCTGTGCTGACTTCTCAGTCCACTAATGGCTGCCACGCTATACCACCAAAGATGTGAGTCTTTTGGAGTATGTGCTACCTGAGACTGGTCACTGATCGAATTTGTCAGGCTGGATGATGTTCACTGTGTGGTATTTGACGAGTCTTGTGGCATTTGCGATGCTGTGGGGTGAGCTTTGTACTTGCGAGATCTCAGTGATATTGGAATGACTGAAACATGCCGCAAGTCATCATCATTACCCGGTTGCATGCCATGTATCAACGAGACAGAAAGATCCTGATATTTCTCGTTCTCACCTTCTTGGCGATCAACACTTTTGATGGAGTGACAGTCTTAGTGTCAACGATGCATAGTTCAGGAGGTACGTTTAGTTATAGATGAAAACGAACGTGTATATGGCTCATTGGTGGATACCAGAGGAACTCATTCTCTCCGGCACCTACCAGTGCAGCATTGGCTATAAAAGAGATACCCTAGTTCTGTATTTTGCTGCTTGGATACTCTACAATGTGTGGGAGGTCCTCACCCTATGTCTCGCGGTCTGGATTGCGGTAAAACACTTCCGTGAACTGCGACAACATTCGACAGCAGGGATTATCGGGGACTGTTTTACGGTGTTGATAAAAACTCACGTGCTTTACTTTGCGAGGTAAGTTCATATTGTGAATATTGTCCTTTTTTCCACTGAAGGGTCGGACATGATAGCTTTGTTGCTGTCTCTTGCTTCGAGTTCGTCGTTCAATTCTCTCCAACGGTATGTCAATCTTTCACTTACCTCTACATGTGACCACGATCTATCATTTCTATAGAGCCATTATATCCTAGAAGAACAGACTTTGTCTGGCTTGTTTCAGATTTTGCAGGCCGTGCAGATGTTCGTGCTAGGACCACGGCTAATCCTTGGCATTCGAGAATACAATGCTGAACTCGTGGCTGACTCCGACACAGCAACCGGCATGACCTCAATCGCTTTCCAAGAGCGTGTGCATATATCGACTGGCAGTAGTGTGTAATACTCGGTGAAGTTGACACGAACCGTTGTCTAGTGCTTGCAGGGAGCACGGGAATTTATTTATTACAAGCGTCGTTGTGGTGCTCAAGTAGTTATCTGGTGTCACAAAATAGATGTCAAAGAGACATAGGTTTAGGCAATGTTTTCGTCGTAGTATTTATTCGAATCATTTGCTATAGGTCTTGACATTGACAATGACTCAACCAATGTCCTGAACATATCTACTGTACCAACGAAGGAAAGCAGTGCCCAGAACGGGAAAGTCGAGGAGGAAGAGATGTTTATAGGCGATGTCACCAGAATAGATGCAAGTTTCTATTTGCTCGTGCTTCTCATCCTCGAGGACAACTTGTGACCTCTCGCGTATCGGAGGCACTATGGGGTATATGGTGCGACGGTCTTATCTACATATTATAAGAACGTACTAAGTATATATCGCAAGTTGAGCTGAACGTTGAACAATTACTATTGTTAGCTGTACAGCCACTCGACACGTAACCGCTCTTATTATCTAAGCCGCGGCCCACATCCTAAATTTTTGCATGTCGTCTGGAGGACGATTTGCACCTTACAAAAATGCTCTCACCGCGATTTCTAAGAGGGCGGGAACACCACTACCTTCTCTCATAGTTTCTTTTGCCATCCTTCATGAATTAACTGCCATCGTTCCCATTGTGGGCATTTTTTACACAGCACGCAGTCTAGGTGCAGGCGAGCGCATTGTCAACGCTGTTGCTCTCCAACGAGATGGCTCTATCGATGACCAGTATTGGGTGAACACCCGGCTGAGATCGTGGGCTGATGAAGGCGAGCAATGGGCTGGTCGCGTTGGACGTCGATATGGCATCTTCGGCTTTGAGAAAGGCAAGGTCGTCGACCAGACCCAGGCGCGCGAGTTGTCTGGTAAGCTAGCGGGGGACGTTGCTAATGCAGTTCTGGCTTATGGCGCAGTCAAGGTTTTTTTTTTCTTTACTACGGTTGGGATAGTCATGACTGATATTCGTTCAGGCACTTTTACCCGTCCGCATTGGTCTTTCGCTATATATTTCTCCAATTTTCTCTCGGACAGTTGTGGAGCCGATTCGATTGGGTGGTCTTCGTCTATTAGGACGCAGACCGAAATCCATGTAAAAGGTGGGTGACGTTCCTATATTTTCTTTTCATGATGATTTCGCTTGCCGCCCCAGTCGTAGCTATAAGCGTTGACGAACGGTAGAGCATACAGCCAAAAATTTGCACCACTGATTCTATCCTTGCCTCTTTCTTTCCATAATTTCGAAGCTTACCATCTGTCTCACAGGTTATCGTTATATAAGCGGCACATTCCTACTAGTAATGAGCATACCCTTTTGTCACTTGAAAGTCGTCTTATGCAATGCTCATTGATGATTTCCTCCGATGTGTTTGGACCTTTTTTCCCTCCCAGTCAAATTGGCTCTTCAAAGACTCGTAGCATATATAAGTATCATGCTTTTTCAGGCTTCATGAGCGCACAGACATGGACAGTAGTACACGCATGTAATCCAGTTGGCGTGAGTCGAGAATGGGAGGTTGAACGTCGAAATTGACATGGTGTAGTACATGAATGAGTTGCGAAAGTCTGATACAGACCACTGGATAGGCGGAGTGGTGATTGCGGGCTTTGTTGATCATGCGGCAAGGCCCTCGACATCCTCCTCACGTACTTCAACATTGCTTCGGTTAATTTAAGCATTCCAAAAAGCGAAGGAGACGCGTCTGGCAGGTGAAGGTGTTCAATGAGTAATCAAATCTTCTAGGTAGAATGTAAGTAAGGACATCAAAGAGTATGGAGATGTAGTGCCTTGGTTACCTCAGGAATTACAATGGTTTCAGAATTCTTGGAACCGTCGTCTCGAGAGTCTTCGTCCTCGGGTAAATGCCTACTTGGGTTAGGTGACACAAGGAGGGTCGTCGTTGCCGTCCTCGTTTTCACTTTCCGAGAGAATCGCTTTCCCTCTGCCTTTTGCCTTGAGTTTCGATTTTGCAGCGGAGGTGGGTTTCGATAGTGCCTTCATCTTCGATGTAACTTTCGGTTCCTCTTCCTCAACGAAATCGTCGTCTTCGAGGCAATTATTACCTGCAGCTGGCTCATCCGTGGGGGATTTATGCGCAAGATCGTCGGGTTCGACTCTGTCAGCCTGCTTAGTCCGATGTCAACTCTATCACATCATGGTTGACAGGCACGTAGGTCGGCTTCTTGACCTGAGTCTTCCGAGTGCGCGTCTTGGCTCGGTCGGCAATGCTAAACGCAGGATCAACTTCCTCGATGAGATCTGAAACAGTAGATGGTGTGGTTGGAGGGCGGATGCTGTCTGCAGCCAAGGTACTGGCTGGAATTGCAGATGCAGAGTCGATGAGTGAGCCAGAGGAACAAAGTTCATCGTCTTTGATGAAGTCGTCATATATGGTACTCGTAGTTCGAGACTTAGACTTTCGCGGCACAGGACGTGGGCGCGGTTTAGACTTCGGTACAGGTGTTCCTGCGCCACGAGGGAACAGCGGAGAAGGATTTGGTGATTGAGAGTCTTGGTATCCTCGAGGTGGTGTAAACAGAGATACACTACTTGTGTCGAGAGGTTCGCGTCCTCGCTGGGGAGTCTGTGCTTGACTGGTAATAAATGAAGCAGTCTCAATTGCCGACCCTAAAAATCCGTATCCAGTTAGCATGCGGTGTAGGACATGAAGCTTGAAGAATTCCTAACGCTGTAGTATGTTTTCCGGGACTGTAGAAAACGGGGTTCCACTCAAGAGACCGCTTTGGTCAGCAATTTGAAGAGGTCGTAAAGCATCTTCGTCTTCGCTGTCAGCGACAATCCAGTCGTCTGTAACATCGGCCATGTTTTAATTGAATGAGGTTTGCAGTGATTATACTGGGTATCGTCGAAGAGTATGTAGAAGAAGTTAAGAAGCGGTCACCACATGCACGTGATCGCGTCACTAATGAACGGTACCATCACTTTCAGCACATATTTGCATCTAAAATTCATCTAAAGCTATCGAAAATCCTATCTAAGCAGTAAATTTAACTCTCGATCTCTATCTTTTTTCGTCTCGAAAAGTCCCACATTTCTAAAGGGGTCGAAACATAGCGAAAATGTTCATTGCCTAGCATCGATCATCGATGCATCACCGGCACCGGTGCACCATCTGAGATCAATCAAGTACTGATTCATCGCCACAGCATGATGGCCAGAAACCAGTGATATTCGTGTTACAAATGTGTTCACATTTGGTGGCAACACTGCTTCTGCCAAAGATGGCATCTATGATCTATCTACTATCGATCGTCACGTCCACGTCCACACCTACTGAGCTCAAGCTTGTACCGTTCCTTTCTTCACGTTGTCCCACGTTAACAAGTTATTGTACCTCCGAATCTCGTACTCGTCTGCTTGCGAAGAGTTATGTAACACTCTAGGCACAGCCCAACCTAGCCACAGACGGAGCCTTCCAGGGCACAAAGTTCATCACTTTTCTATATAACGAATACAAGAACCGCAACTGCATGTGGAGTGCACAAATATCTACCCTGATCTTTTGTTGATCTTATTGATATTTCGGTTATCAAACTATAGTGAGCACGGATGGTGGTGTACGTACATACGTACATATAGCGTGAATGTCACCGCTATACGTTTACCAAGTTCACCTCTCACCTCACACATTCTCTCACAATATGACCATGGTCTCAAATGATCCCACTTGGTGGCCGGCCATCAATGCATATTGTTTTGCCAGCTATTTTGGAGGTTCGTGGAGAGCAGTCGGATGTTGAAGCTGAGCGCTGACTCAGATGTCTCAATCTAACCTTGGCTCCGGTATCGCAGTTGCTGCCTTTGTTGGGGTGATGTATGATTGGGGTGAGCATGATAATATTAAAGGAATGCTGATATCTTACAAGTATTTTAAGCACTCACATTCGGACAAGAGGTATGTCGATGCCATGACCGGAGCAGCCATCTCGCTAAGAGTCCCTTTATAGGTCGAATTGATCTGGGTGAGTAGAGTCTCATGGCAGAGGAACACTCATGAAAATACGCTTATTTACAGAGGCAACGCTGGTCCCTAATGACAGTGACGTATCTCAGTGTATGTAGCTTGCTTGTCGTAGTTGCCATTGTGTGCTGACTTGAAAGTATCCTAGGTGCGCTACCTTGGAATCCTAGTTGCTGCGTATGTTCGGAAGGCTAAATATTTGGTGTTGTGCTAATCATCTATCTCTTATAATCAGTCTGTACATGGTTGGTATGTCTCATTAGTACATTCACTGTCTTCTCTTCTTCTGACCAACGGCCTTCAGGCACTGTTCCGACCATCTTGCTGACAGATACAGTGAGTCTTCTGTATAAATGCTTGCCATTTCCCTCAAATTAACCGTGGTGTTCTGTAGCAGTGGGTGTGGTTCTTTGCTGACTTCTCAGTTCACTAATGGCTGCCACGCTATACTATCAAAGATGTGAGTCTGTTTGGAGTGTGTGTTACCTGAGACTGGTCACTGAATCGATTTGTCAGGCCGGATGATGTACATTATATGGAATTGGACGAATGTTGTGGTATTTGCGATGCTGTGGGGTGAGCTTTGCACTTGCGAGATCTCAGTGATATTGGGATGACTGAAGCATACTGCAAGTCATCATCATCACTCGGTTGAATGCCATGTATCAACGATCCAGAAAAATCCTGATATTTCTTGTTGTCACCTTCCTGGCGATCAACACTTTTGAAGGAGTGACAGTCGTAATATCAACGATCCAGACTTCAGGAGGTACGCTTAATTATGGATGAAACCCGAACGTGCATAGGGCTCATTGATCGATACCAGAGGAATTCATTCTCTCCGGCACCTACCAGTGCATGATCAGCTATACAGGAGATACCCTACCAATTCTGAATCCTGCTGCTTGGGTAATCTACGTTGTGTGGGAGGTCCTTGCACTATGTCTCGCAGTCTGGATTGCAGTAAAACACTTCCGTGAACTGCGATTACATTCGGCAGGAGGGATTATCGGGGACTGTTTTACGGTGTTGATGAAAACTCATGTGCTTTACTTTGCAAGGTAAGTTCATATTATGATCATTGTCCTTTTTTCCACTGAAGGGTATGATAGCTTTGTTGCTGTCTCTTGCTTCGAGCTCATCGTTGAATTCTCTCCAATAATATCAACGGTATGTCGATCTTTCACTTACCTCTACATGTGACCATGATCTATCATTTCTATAGAACCAATTTGTCCTAGAAGATCAGGCTTTTTTTGGCTTGGCTCAGATTTTCTCAGTCATGCAGATGTTCGTGCTAGGACCACGGCTGATCCTTGGCATTCGAGAATATAATGCCAAACTCGTGGCTGACTCTGACGCAGCAACCGGCATGACCTCAATCGCTTTCCAAGAGCGCGTGCATATATCGACTGGCAGTAGTGTGTAATGCTCGGTGAAGTTGACGAGAACCGTTGTCTAGTGCTTGCAGGGAGCACAGGAAATTTGTTTTTTGTTTATATTCCAAGCCGGTGCTCCAGTAGTTATTTAGTGTCACAAAATAGATGTCAAGGAAACATAGGTTTAGACAATAGTTTCGTCGTAGTATTTATTCGAATAGGTCTTGACATTGACAATATTTCTACCAATGTCCTGGATATCTCTACTGTACCAACGAAGGAAAGCAGTGTACAGAATGGAAAGTCGAGGAGCGAGAGATGTTAATAGGCGATATCGCCGGAACGTTAGATGCAAATTTCTATTTGCTCCTGCTTCTCATCTCCGAGGACAACTCGTGACCCACCGGTCGTCGTATCGGAAGCATTGTGAGATATTGACTTTCGTAATATGGTGCGGCTGTCTTGTAGCATATATAGCTTTTTCAGGCTTCAGGAGCGCACAGACATGGACAGTAGTGCACGCCTGTAAGCCAGCTGGCGTGAGTCGAGAATGGGAGTTGAACGTCGAAGTTGAACGATGGCCACGGCCCTGCTGCACGAGCTCAACTGCCTGTCGTAGATTGACATGACGTATAGCACATGAGGCTGCAGCTACGGGCAGTGATCTGACATAATGAAAGGCAGCGGCAGCTTCGTGTCGTGAAATTGTCGATGATCGCGTTGCGAAGTGACCGTCAAAAAGGTTGAAAAATGTTGTGTAGGTCTCCAGTCCAGATGCATGGTTGTGCTCCTCTGCTGCAGCAACCCAGCGCAAAGCTGCCTTGATACGTTCCGGAAAGCCTTGTGTGGCATGTCCTGATGCTAGTCTGAAGTTCTCTACAGCGAGTGACAAATCAGCAGGGTCATGTAGAATCCGGTAACAAGACAAATAGGCTTTCTGCAGCCTCATGTAGCTGAAATACCTGTCCGGGTGCAGTGAAGACAAAGCTGACAATTATTGTTGGCAAAGAGTAATGGCCTCCTCGACATCTTCATTCTTCTGAGTTTGCGTGAAACGAAAACAGAGCACCGAGCTCAAATTGTGAAGAGTTACATTGCGCTGTGGAAGGTCAAGCCTTCTTAACCGAATGGATTCGCGATACAAACCAATGGCCTCGTTAAGGTCCTCACTAACATGCGATTTGCGATATCTAGTGTCGAGCGCGATGGCAAGGTTGTTGAGCGTGGTGTCACGACATGGATGCCTAGGTGGGTGCAACGTCAGTGCCTCGCGATAGAGGCTGATAGCTCAGGTGATGTCATCAATGTCACCACGTTTGTTGAAACGGGCGATGGAGGCAAGCCCTAGGGTGTTTATGAGTAAACACGATATTGGTGCCCAACAGTGCAGCACCTCTTCATGCAAAGAGATAGCCTCATTGAGGTCATTAGGTTTGCCTTGATGACGGAAGCGTGACGTGAGTGAAGAGGCCAAGTTGTTCAGGTAGGTATCGCGGTCAGCATGTACCTCGAGGCACAGAGACACGGCCTCACGACCGAGTTGTATGCTCGTGTCAAGATCATCGATGCTACCGTGCTGATCAATCAGCACGGCAGCATCGATGATCAAGCTCGTCGAGGGCTCTGGGACGGAGTTGATGGCCCAGAGGACAGAGCTCGAGGACGACTCTTCGAAGGTGGATGCCTTCATCGGATGCGTCTGTTGGAAGATTATTGCATTCGTCGATCACATAATTGACGCCATTGCCTGCCGCGATGTTAGGAAGGTAGGTGTCCTCTGGACAGAGAGGCAGTAGTTCATGATAGAGTTGGGCGGCTTCGCGGATGTCGGTAGCAGTACTTTTCTTGATGTGGTGCCAAGTCAGTGCTTCGGTAAGATTATATGGAGATGAGGGATGATCGGGATGGTGCTGCGGACGCAATGCAAGGGCGTCGCGGAAGAGGGAAGTGGTGGCATCGATGTCTTCGAGATCATTTCGGATGTAGCCTAAGAGGTGGACCCACGCGAGGTTGGTGAGAGCCGTTGCATGATCTGGATGGCTGACCGGACACTGGTCCAGAACCAACTGAAAATGCTCTACAGCATTGTTCAGGTGAGAGACTGTCTTGCTCGTCACGTATGCGGTAAATTGTGCATGGCCCGCATCTGTGTCTCGAGCAATCTTGCAGTCTACGAGAGACTGCAGTTTGCGTTCTGTCAGCAAAAGCTAAAGGACAGATACCAGCGTCACTCACATCAAACAGTGCATCGTCCTGATCGTCGCAAGCATGTACGATAGCGGCCTTCAGCTCGATGGGAGGGTGAACAACACGCGCAGGTGGGAAGGCTAAATTTACAGGACGTTGGTGTATGTGCGTGAATAAGAAGCGAATCAATCACCGAATGACCCATGTCCACGATTGAGTAGCTCATCCCATGACATTTGAAGTCTTCGAACGACCTCACCACCGCCTAGCATTATACCAAGCTCATAAGATGCTCTGATCGACAACGCAGGCGAGGAGTGTGATGATCTATAAACCAAGGATGAGTTCTTGCATAGCATCAGAAAGTCACCGTGGACTTTACAGTGACAGAATTCCCCCACACTACAGATTCACGATAAGACACTGATGGCTGATTTCCAGCGTCTCCGGGAGTCGATATGTAGATGCTAGCGGGAATGCGCTTGGAAGGAACTTGAAGATTCTTCCCGCTGATAACTGTAGGTCGAGTGCGAGGATGATGAAACAGATGCAAGGGTAATATAGAGGGACTCGCCTTCAAGTCTAATATATCGTTCTTCTAGACCACTACGTGTGATCGTGGGACAAAACAAACGACGAATGACACGCAGCATCTGAAATTGAGATAGGTTCAGAATGAGCAGTAGGAGAAGGCGGAGGGTGGGTGGAATGAGTCAGAGTGTGGATGGAGTTCGGCTGAGAGAGAAGAGGTTGAGGGTTCAGGCCATACTGCACGTGTATTTCCATGTTGTTGAGCCCTGAAGTATTATAGACGCTGGTATGATTGCACTAAGCGCTGGGAAAGGAGATCATCGACCAGGATTAGCGGAAGAATCTAAAGTAGCCAATGTCGAAGTGGGCATGGGAGTCTCAGGGTGATTGGACTTGCATCGTACTGCTCAGTTAGCACACCAAGGCAAGATGTAGAATCGAGTGTATTTCGTATGGTAATGCGAACAATGTCAAAACCACTGAAAACGGCACGCCAAGAAGAACCGAATGATTGTATACGACTCGCCCAAATGAGCTGATAGAGCTATGGGGGGAGGATGATCTTGCGTGAACAAAGGAATAAGAAAAGAATGTCGACTTGAAAGCGAGAATGCAACCAACTGCATGCTTGTTCGGTGAAGGATGATTGACGAATGTTCAGGAAGCTGTAGCCGCTGCCAAGAGATATCAAACTAAACATTGTGGGAGAGAAATACTCACTATATCATTGTCATCGGATGAAGAGGCTAGCAGGTCCATCGTGTAGGGAAGCCTTGAAGGCAAACACTTGAATGTCTCAAGAGTGTAGCCTTCGATGGAGGGTGTGAGTGAATTGGAAAATAAACGTAACATGAATTTCCGCAATAGGAAACACAACCGTAGCTTGAATTTTGCCAAATATTACGATCCAGTTGGCTGGGCTTGCTCGAGTGCTCTCTCATCCATTTTGTACGTCCAAATTTAATAATAATAAGCCTGCGCATTATATCTTACTATTTTCATTATAACACAACGTTCTCTTCCATCAGGAACATATCTATCCTCGATCGTCATCAATGCATATGCATCCTCGATGCTGGCCCATGTCCTCAACGATTCCTTTCCTGTCAGCTCATCGATGCCTTTCCGGATCACATATATGATGAGTTCACGTTCAGCACATTCACAACTTATCAAGACAACTAGTTCACAACGCTTCTTCAGCATCTTTCACTTGGCTCATCCTCAATCTACCATATCGTCTCATCATTAGTGGCTTGGCGGGCCAATCTGTCTGACTTGAAGGTGTGTTGCTCGACATATGACCTTGTCATATGTTTGCTGAAATTCAATAACACAAATTCATAGGTGCGAAAATTAATCAAGTTCTCATGCACCGCAAGCATATTCATGTTCATCAAGCTCGACTCATGATGACAATGGAAATTTCCCGTTCGAGTCTCATCGTCAGGTATCCCTCATATTGTACTCCAATGCCACAGCCAGGGCGACTCATATGACTGAAGGGGTAGGATACTAACATTCTTTCTGCAACTAGCAACAGTTTACTGCTTCTCATCGAGAATGTTCGCATAGTGGCAACAACCTGTTGGAGAGATTAGTAGAGATGGCTTGAAGATAGTGAAAGAGTTCACAAGCGACGCCCGCATGGAACATGGAGATTGAAAGTTTGTCCTTCGTTTATGTTTATCTCGTGCATGTAACGTCTAACATCTGCCGTAAAGCGTTGAATGTTGCCTAGCCCGTATGTCGCCATCTAGCTTCGTCATCCACGATATACTGCATTGATGCAAAAGACAGATATTGAGCATTATTGAATGATTATTCCGGACGATAACGAGCAGCAGAGGGCATCGAACGCGGGATTTCCCTTTCACATTGGCTTTGGAGGATGTGGCCACCAACCCTGGAGCTCTTTGATTTTGGTGCTGGATGCAGGCGGACTAATCTTTGACAGGAGCACAGACGACACTTTGATAGGTTCCGCTTGGTGTGTCTCACAAGCCAATTTCACAATGTACAGAGCTACACCTACCCCTTCGAATCTATCTGTCTGAAATACCGACAGCCTTTCCGATATCCCGCTACAATTTCTGCACGCGCATCAGCCACAAGACGTCCCAGAAAGTCTGACAGCAGTCAAAGGCGCATTAGTGAATGCTTCTATCACAGGAAAACGTCACTACTTCGTTATAACGTTAACGGGAGGTAGGTTTGAGGATGAGTCGAGGAGATGCCGAGCACTTCACAAGTATGAGTACGTTTTAAATCATTAGGCCCTAACACGACACATACTATACTAAGTGCATGTTTCATGGGCAGATTAGGTCTGATTTCGGAGCGAATGCAAGCAGTACACATACGGGCCACAAGTCGAAGCGAGAGTCTACTGGTACAGCAGCATAGCGGTCAAGTTTGGAGCGTCGCGGCAAATACCGCAGCAGCCGCATACCATTTTCCTAGTGCCCGGAAATTCCGGAGCAGCTGGCGTCATATGATGTCCCCAGACTCGGACCCGACAATTCCATACCCCCGGAGTCCGTGACAGACTTACCCCCAGACTGTCCATTTCCTTGCCATTTACCGGACGTTCTCATAATGTGAGTCAGTACAGTTTTGAAGAACAACAAATCAGGTTTAATGCAGTCACGGTCATATCAGTGCGCCCAAGTCTTCTTTTCTCCGTGTCCTTTTTGATTGCCGTTTATATCTAGTAATGACACTAGTACTATCTGTCAATCAGCGTTTCTGAACTAGGCTGTCTCTGGCTAGACAACTGATGCCCGTCAGAACCGCACTAATTTCACGATGCAGATTGAATATTTTGCACTCATCATTGTTGGCAACCTTATAATATAAAACCCCAATGACCGATGTAGAGAGCAAGAATGTGCGCATGAATCAACAGATGGCCCAAGAACGAGGTGCAGAAATCGTCAACATTGAGATAGTACTATACTCGAGAATGTGAGTTTACTTCGTGTGAATCCTTTCTACTTTTGAGGGTTTATTTCTGGTATGGCCTTGGCATGCCGACACAATTTGCCTTCTATCTTTCACTGTTAGTATTTCAAGCGTTGCGCCCATCGAAATGTTTCATGATGTGGAGCGCTAGCCCCTGCATCTTTGGGCAATCAAGGCAGGAATGCTTATAATCCCTCAATTTCATTTTGGTGATCTAAGCACTGGGCGTATATAAACTCAGATCACCATACGTCTATCAAGTTCACCTTTCACCCTCACTCCCATTCTCTATCAATGACCATAGTCTCAAATGATCCCACTTGGTGGCCGACCATCAATGCATATCATTTTTCCAGCTATTTTTCAGGTCAGTGGAGAGTAGTCGTATTCTGGAGATGATGTCTCAATCTGACCTTGGCTACGGTTTTGCAGTTGCCGCCTTCGTTGCAGTAACATATGATTGGGGTGGGCAAGATAACATTAAAGGACTAATGATGTCTCACAAGTATTTTTCAGCACTAACATTTGGACAAGAGGTATGTCGATGCCATGACCGGAGTAGCCATCTCGCTAAGAATCCTTTTATAGGTTGAACTCATCTGGGTGAGTAGAGTCTCATGTCAGAGGAACATACATGAAAGTACACTTAATTACAGAGACAACGGTGGTCGCTCATGACAGTGATGTATCTCAGTGTATGTAGCTTGTTTGTCGTAGTTTCCATTTTGTGCTGACTCGAAAGTATCCTAGGTGCGCTACCTTGGAGCCCTATCTGCTGCGTATGTTCGGAAGGCTAAACATTCGGTGTTGTGCTAATCGTCTATCTCTTATAATCAGTCTGTCCATGGCTGGTATGTCTTCTTAGTACATTCACTATCTTTGCTTCTTCTGACCAACAACATCAGACGGTGTTCCGACCATCTCACTGACAGATACAGTGAGTCTTCTTCACAAATGCCTGCCATCCCCCTCAAATTAACCGTGGAGTTCTGTAGCAGTGGGTATGGTTCTTTGATGACTTCTCAGCCCACTAATGGCCGCCACGCTGTACTACCAAAGATGTAAGTCTGTTTGGAGGCTACCTGAGACTGGTCACTGATCGGATTTGTCAGGCTGGATGATGTACACTATATGGAATTGGACGGGTGTTGTGGTATTTGCGATGCTGTGGGGTGAGCTTTACACTTGCGAGACCTCAGTGATATTGGAATGACTGAAACATGCCGCAAGTCATCATCATCACTCGGTTGCATGCCATGTATCAATGAGACAGAAAGATCCTGATATTTCTCGTTGTCACCTTCCTGGCGATCAACACTTTTGATGGAGTGAACGTCGTACTGATCACGATGCGTACTTCAGGAGGTACGCTTAATTATGGAAAACGAACGTGCATAGGGCTCATTGATGAATACCAGAGGAACTCATTCTCTCCGGCACCTATCAGTGCACGATTGGCTACACAGGAGATACCGTGGTTATGGATTCTACTGCTTGGGTACTCTCCATTGTGTGGGAGGTCCTCACACTATGTCTCGCAGTCTGTATTGCGGTAAAACACTTCCGTGAACTGCGACAACATTCGGCAGGAGGGATTATTGGGGACTGTTTTACGGTGTTGATGAAAACTCACGTGGTTTACTTCGCGAGGTAAGTTCATATTGTAATTATTGTCCTTTTTTCAACTGAAGGGTCGGACATATGATAGCTTTGTCACTGTTTCGTGTTTTTCCCTCATCCTTGAATTCTCTCCAACAGTATCATCGGTATGTCAATATTTAATCTTTCACTTACCTCTACATGTGCCTACGATTTATCATTTCTACAGAACCAAGTTCTCCTAGAATATCAGACTTTTTTTGGCTTGTTTCAGGTTTTGGAGGTCGTGCAGACGTTTGTGCTGGGACCACGGCTGATCCTTGGCGTTCGAGAATATAATGCTAAACTCGTGGCTCACTCCGATGCAGCAACCGGCATGACCTCAATCGCTTTCCACGAGCGTGTGCATATATCGACTGGCAGTGGTGTGTAATGCTCGGTGAAGTTGACGCGAACCTTTGTCTAGTGCTTGCAGGGAGCACGGGAAATATGTTTTTTTGTTTCCCTCCGATGCGGTGCTCAAGTAGTTATTTAGTGTCACAAAATAGATGTCAAGGAGACATAGTTTAGGCAATATTTTCGTCGCAGTATTTATTCGAATCATTTGCTATAGGTCTTGACATTGACAATTTCTCGGTGTAGCTGGCTGATGGACTCAGAGACCGTCTTCAAAATGAGGTGCCGAAGTTGGGGCCTCAATGAAATCGTCGTCTTCGAGGGCATTATTACCTGCAGCTGGTTCATCCATGGGGAATTTGTGCGCAAGATCGTTGAGTTCGATTCTGTCATCCTGCTTCTGACCTTTTTTCTTCCCCTTCGCACGAGAAGACAACTTTGTGTCCTTTTTCTTGCCCTTGTTTGCAGCAACGATGATGTCTACGTCCCCGTTTCCGTTTTCGTCTTCAAGTGTGTGCGAATCGTCGATTTCTGGGACGACGGGCGACAATGGTGCAAAGAATAGAGGAGGTGCTATAATAGATGACGACGAAGTATCGGGGACGTCTACATCTCTTCGCCATGAACCTCTGACTGAAGCGGGGAAACCTTCTTCCGTTTACGAGTTATCTCGGGTGGAGAAGAGGGCGGAGAAGACAAATCGGGTAAAGCAGGAATAGAAGACGGGAGGCGTGATGTTGTAGAAGATAGTTGAGACGGAAGCGCTGGCTTTTGTGGTGCAGGAAGAACCACAATGTTGCTCGGCTGAGTATCGACAATGCTTTCTTCATGAACCTCCAGTGAAGGCGATGTCCTAGCTTTAGGCTTCGGTTTAGGCCTGGGTCTCGGCTTGGGCTTGACAGGCTTGTCTTGGGATTTCTGCCGCTTCCGTGGAGGCTCGAGTGATAGTTCGTCGAGATCGGAGTCAGATGTTAACTCTATCACATCATGGTTGACAGGCACGTAAGTCGGCTTCTTGACCTGAGTCTTTCGAGTCCACGTCTTGGCTCGGTCAGCAACGCTAAACACAGGATCGACCTCCTCGATGAGATCTGAAACCGCAGATGGTGTGGTTGGAGGGTGGATGCTATCTGCAGTCAAGGTACTGGCTGGAATCGCAGATGCAGAGTCGATGAGTGAGCCAGAGGAACAAAGTTCATCGTCTTTGATGAAGTCGTCATATATGGTACTCGTAGTTCGAGACTTAGACTTTCGCGGCACAGGACGTGGGCGCGGTTTAGACTTCGGTACAGGTGTTCCTGCGCCACGAGGGAACAGCAGAGAAGGATTTGGTGGTTCAGAGTCTTGGTGTCCTGGAGGTGGTGTAAACAGAGATACATTACTTGTGTCAAGAGGTTCACGTCCTCGCTGGGGATCTGTGCTTGACTGGTAATAAATGAAGCAGTCTGAATTGTTGACGCTGAAAATCCGTGTTCAGTTAGCATGCAGTAGGGGACATGAAGCTTGAAGAATTCCTAACGCTGTAGCATCTTTTCCGGGCCCGTAGAAAACGGGGTTCCGCTCAAGAGGCCGCTTCGGTCAGCAATTTGAAGAGGTCGTGAAGCATCTTCGAATTCGCTGTCAGCGACAATCCAGTCGTCTGTAACATCGGCCATGTTTTAATGTTGGCAGTGATTATACTGGGTGTCGTCGATGAGGATGTAAAAGAAGTTAAGAAGAGTAAGACTCATCCGGGAAAGGTGACCGACATGCACGTGATCACGTCACTAATGAATCCGAAGGACCCATCGATCGTGAATGTCAGAGATCTGGCCAGTCTGGGGCCAAAGTCTGGGGCCAGAGTCTGGAGGACATCCGGGAAATGGAATTTTCCGGGTCCGTCTGGCTGGGTCCGCCCGAGTGCGGATCCGTCCGGTTCACGACATGATGCGCCATTGGTTATCTTTATGCTTTATCTCTTGCTTTCAACCAACCACTGCCGCCAGCACGCCTTTGCACGTCCGCCCGGTATGTGTTCTCTCAATCTCTATGCTACCTGTAAGTTTCTAATACGACCTGTATTTCCTGAGTACTAACTACTACATTCCACAGCATGTCATTCATTTCTCAATGTTTATGCGATCCTCAAGCTACTAGATAACATTGGTAAGTTTATTTTTGTGCCCGCCAGATGAATATGGCTGATATCCTCCGATCACCAGGTTTCTTGACAACCATGAATACCCCATCCACCTCGCGGGGTGCACCATCATGGCAGGCTGTCCTCGATGCTCGACTGGCTCAACCCCAACCTGATTTCATCCACTCATGCACCAACTGCAAAGAGGAGGTTCCTTGGCGACGGTGCAAGTCAAACGAGAATGGAAATGAGGGCCGTTGGGTGGCAGTGGTAAGTGCTATCTTTCCCAGACTCGTTCGCTGCTGAATTTCAACTGACTCCAATCACTCAAGTGCAAGAAATTTGCTGGCGAGCAGCAAGTGCCATGCAATTTCTTTCGCTGGGCACGGGGCTCAACCAGTCCCTCCAGCTCCCCCACTTTGGCTGCAGCTCAATTAGCCCCAACCACTATCGTCCAGCCAGCTCAGCTAGTCCCAACCGCTGTCGTCCAGCCTGCTGCCTTGAGCAATGCCACATTGCTCCTTATGTGTGCTGCCCTGGTCTGCAAGAAGCGCCCCCATGCACATTGTGAGAACGCTGCATGCCGAACACATTGCAGCCTGTTGGGTGGTTGTTCCGTCAAAGGACATACCTCCGCTGTTGTGTTGGATCTATCATTGGCGCTTCGAACACCTCATCAGCCTCAAGCATGTCCACCTATGCCTCCACCCCCACCTTCGCAGCCAGCATTGATTCTTGATGCTGCACCCTCTGACTTGGACGTCCGTCTGTCCCCACCCTTGGCCTCTTTATCGGAAGTTCCTGAGCCTCCTGCACAAGTCCAGAAGGGCAAGGGTCACGCTGTTGAGCTTCCAGATGCTAGTGAACCTGTGCAGCTTCCTTCACGCATGGTTGCTGGCCCATCACAACCCAAAGCCTGAGCAGCACCACGCTATGCAATGCAGATGCCTGCCATCTTTACGCAGCAAAATGCTCGTGAAGAGGAAATGAATGAAGAAAGGCGCCAATGTGAACTTGAACGTCTTCAGGCTGCGGCTCGGGAGAAGAACACTGTTGTGGTGTACGCATGGACTCAGAATGGTGTTGAGCCCATAATTTACGAATTTCAAGACGGCTTCAAACTACCCAACTTCTACTTCACACTCTCGGTCCTCCAAAAATTATGCATGACCTCTGAGGTCCCCGATATTCCTGCTCCTGCAAGGATTGCTCCTATCCAGCGGTACAACCGTGCCCTCGACACATGGACACGGTTTGATGTGGACCACATGGTCACTCTGCATGAGCGCGATGCTGGCATCCTCTTTGTGAGGGATGCACGTGTCAGGGAGTGTGTAGACTTTGACCGGCACCTTCACAGACTGACACGCCCAGTAAGCGCTAACCTCATGACAGACCTGACGAGCGAACGGAAGTATGTGCGTGCTGCATCTCTTGCACGGAGCTCACGTACACCATCTCTACCTCCTACCAATCCTGTGCCACATACTCGCAAACCTCGCTCTGGTATGCCCTCACTGTCGCCAGTCGCATCAGACAATGAGCATGAAGTGCCTAATGACTCGCCAGCTCAACCAATCAAGCGGCGCTCATTCAAACCACCAATCAAGCGGCGCTTTTCATCTATCTTGTCATTGACAGATAGTGATGGGGATGACACGACAAAATCTGTCCACACAACCAAGCGGCACCATTCTCCACTTCCTCAGGCTCCCCGCCGTGTTTTACCATGCCGCAAACAACACCCTTTTGCCGACTCATTTGATCTTTCTGATGCCTCCGACTCTCATTCGCTCTCATCATCTATCTCATCAATGCACTCAACACCGATCGTGAAGAAGGAGGATTCGGGAAGTCTTCTTTCATGCGGATCATCAAGCCATGATGCCATTGTCGTCGAAAAAGTCGCAATCTGGCCCGTTGACTTTTATGTGGTTGACATTTCTCGTGGTTTCAATGCTTGTCAAAGGGCGGTTGATGGACGACGCAGTGTGGCAGATGCATTTGTCGGCCACTTTGGTGTACCATTCAAGGCATCAACGTTTTATGACAACTGCAAGGTGTGGGACTTCAAGCCCAACACATCGCTTCGCCAACGCTACATTGATTATGGTCGAACAGAGAAAGGAAGCTGGACTTCCTTCATGAAGAAGGCGAAACGGCCGCACAAGTAGGTGCACACAACTCTGATTGTTAAGACTTCATTCTTTAGTTTTGTTCGCATTGCCCACAGTCTACACTTGTGTCCATTTAGTTCCTGTAGTTTTGTTTCTCATAATTAACATTCACCATCTTCCGAGCCTCTGATGTGTGGCCGAGGACCGAGTAAAGTGGTCGTGCAGACTAAACGTGTCTATGGGCGTGCGTTTATGACCTCGGGATATCCTCAATCTCCTCTTGTCCCGTGAGCGCGTATTCTCCTTCAGAAATCCTACCAAACATAAAATAAGCACGCGTTGGTGGACGAATCGACGTAGCACTTACATTCACCACAGACGACGCGCCAGCACATGATTGACTTGCTGCAGGTGGGGATATATCTGCCAGACAACGATCAGTAGCTAGAAATGAAATTTGACATCTCATTTACTCATTCCTAAGATAGACAAGATTAGTTTGAGATACGCATAAGATAGAAACACTGATGGCACCAAGTTTTTTGCACGCGTTGAGCAAAGTGTTGATGAAGCGACTGATTGTTTGGTATTAACCCTTGAGTAATTGAGAATCCCCCAGGACGATAGACTCTTCGGCTCGTGGAAAATCTGGTCGATGACGTTCCAAGAACCATTTCGTGGTTGCTGTAGGTCAAGAATCAGATCATTGCGCCCCATGCATGCTGACATCCTGGACTTACCACCGGTCTACTAGTGGCAGCATTACCGTAATGGATTTCACGTCCAGTGACTAAGATAGGGTCAGGAGATACAGTGATCCCTGCATCTTGCAAGAAAGGAGAATTCTGATAATCCAGGGTCTGTGTGTATCCATCCATCCAGCCGCTGTATCCACAAACTCATCTTCTGCTTCTTCATCTTCTCTATCAGACACGTTCCCTCCTACTTCCAGTGCGTTCCCATCGGTACCCTCCGCTCTCGCTGAGTATTGCCCAGTCTGCTCTGGTGCTGTGGAATTGGGAGGAAGGATGCTTCTCGGTGGCTCCTGAGCGTTCCAGTGGTCTGCGACGTCTCCTGGAGTCCTGTGCAGTTGCTACATTGATATCAAGTTTACTGGCTTTCGGTGGGGTGCATACGTCGGTGTCATATCCAAACCTAAGCTGAGCCAGCGTGGGATTGCTATATCGTATTCTTGTGAGTTGATGGATGTAGTAGAACTAACAGGAACGCACGAGCACAATACAGTGTTGATGACATATAGTTCGACTTGGTGGAGGTTGTTGTGTGAGGCGACAGGTTGAGTAGTACTGTCTGGTGCTAGATGATGGCGAAGGCGAAGGCGTAGGGCAGCATGAAACACCCGGAGATGCAGAGGGTGTCGAAGCACTTGGAGGCTATATCGACCAAACCCTTCGCGCTCGTATGCTGAACCAAGTATTTAGAGGTTCCTTACGCGTTGCCACCCGTTCGCTTCCAGGACCCAAAGCCACTACCTCCTAATTATCAATATGAAGACAAGGACTACATTTATGAGACCAAGCCAACTTTGCTGCGCCTAGTGAATATCACGTTGTAAGTGGGATGCTTGGCTGAATGTAGAAAACACACATACCAGTCGTGGTGCAACCAATGATATCGATGTTGCGCAGTAAATTTCGATGCACCTAAACAACTATTCGAATCAGCTGATGGCTGAAGTGAAACAGCCACGCACCTCTTCTTGGCCTTCGTTACATTCTCGCAGTATACCCTCGTGAAGCTCGCGAAGGCGCGCAAACTCGCCTGTCTGTGTCTCAGCCAACTCTATGCGCGTATTTTCAACCCAGAAATGATGTAAGTTCTGCCGTTCTGCCCTGCTCATCGTCCAAACGTCGCCGACATCTTCAAGAAGTTCATTCAAGGGGCGACTGGAAATAGGAACGACAGGCCATTGCGAGCTAAGTCAAGAGCATTTCTATTGGCGATCTGAGCGAGGAGTGGTACCTTTACGCGATCGCGCACCCGGTTCAAGGTCCACAGGATGTGTTCCCTAACATCTTGCGGTACTTCCCACGCCCTGTCGTTGAGAAGCTCGTGAAGAAGTATCGGACGCTCCCAAGTACAGCAACTGTTGAAGAATCGATGAGGCAGATGGGTGATATTCTAAGTGATGGACAAGTGCACATCCCCGTGAGGATGTTTGCAAGAGATTTCCAACAGGCGGGGTTCCCAATTCTCAGATATACGATTCGCTGGACTCCAGAACAACTGCGTCCAAAAGGTATATCAGTATCCATAGAGTTGTGAGATGATTACTGAAGCTCGTGCAACAGGGTGGGTCACGCATGCAACTGACCGCTGCTTCTGGGCTCTCCGTATCCCGAGCATGAATTATCCACAGATGAAGAAGGCGATCCAGGCAGATCTGCATGTTCTGCACTATAAGATTTGATGTGAGAGTACCATCTGGCAGAGTGCGGGTATTTCGATGGCTCTGGTGCCATGAGCAAGTTGTAAACGTGGATGTCTGCCTGAGAGGGTGTTATTGCGAACGGCTCGCAGGACTCCAGGAGAGTGTGTGAGGCAAAGCGAATTTGGGGGGGGCAAGTCAGAGAACTTGTACATCTCACAGTACTAGTACAACTTGCTACACCCGAACCATTGGCGTCCGTGCTAGCTTCCAAGCCGCACTGTATGTATCGCCTCCAGTTCGGAGCTGAACAAGTCATATATTCGTACGTGTGTACATACATGATATCGCAGCATGTGCCGATCTAGCATCTGACCGGTCTTGGTGAAAATTTCGGTTGTAATGATCACGTGACCATTAACACAACCTAACTGTGAAGTCATTATACAGCGATCCTGACTTCGCAAGATTTCTTACTTTTGCCCCGGAGCGGCACTATGCCGATGACGACGAGACTGTTCGTTTGTTTCACGACATGCATACTGGCAAATGTTGGTGGGAAACGCAGGTATGAATGACTTGATATGATATCAGAATTCATTACTTAATGTCTTTAGAAAAAACTTGACGAGCTTCGTCCTGGTGGAACTATCTGTTTGAACAACTTATCCGAATATGAAACCACTTTTTCAGCGAGCTTTCGCTCAGTCAGATGCGCATTAATGCTCTGCTGTTTGTCCTTGCGGGCCTTGACGTCACCGGGAAGCATTGACTCAAACGAATGTTCTTTGGCCCATTTCCAATACTTGCCAGGGAACTTTGCCTCAGCGTGACGACGGAGGGTAGATATTTCGTTCACAAGAATACATGCTTGCCTATTGAGCATGCATCAGTGTGTGAGTATGAATACAAGTGAGCACACCTACGGGCACGTCTTGCACTTTCTGTGCTTTTTCACCTTCCCTTTGGCCCCTGCATGATCAAAGGTAGCACCAAAGAAAGCATTGATGTCGGCAGTTTTGGCTTCTTGCGTCAACACTGGTTCAACTTCCGTGAGAGATTGAACGTCGATGTCGATTAGAATACCGTCAGCGTCAACCAATTCTGGTTCAGTTGGGACAGCGGCCGTTTTGCACTGCTTTCGAGGCTTGGGATTAGTACGTGCATCTTCACGCTCATCATCACTAGGTTCCCTGTCAGAGTCTTCAGGGTGCACCCTTTTGTGGGTGTTGACAGCAGATGGCGATGGTGGTATGGGAGAGGTGGATGGAGATTCTGTGGTTTCGGGGGACAAACGTTTAGCAGCGCGCTTAGCAGCCTCTGCAGCGTGGAACTCGTTGATCGCCTTGGTTTGGGATGGCAACGCTGCCTTCTCGGCATGCTGAAGGAGGGCGGCTGTTGGCTTTGTTTTGCGCACAGGACGTGCAACACGGTGCTCGGCATCTGTGCTTGTCATGGGTGGGTAGTAAGTAGGGATGTTAGAGGAACACGTACCGACATGAATCAATTGAAAGATATTGGGTGCGCCGTCACACTTGCGAAGGTGAAGCAAAAAAGGCTTCAGATTTACGAAAAATATTGATCTGTGAAACTGAGATCTGGTTTTCCGACAGCGGAGTGAGTTATGTCGAGCTCGCGAAGCAGAGGACATGGCGCTGGCACTCACCGTGACTTTTCCATAGCAACAGACAAGAGATAAGGCGTTGAAATTGCTGGATATGTTGGCCAATGCAGGCTTTTTGACTGCAACATGTGGACCATCCGAGTCGAAGCTGATAGAGTTGATGGAAGTCAAAGAAAGACAAAAATAGAGTCGGGAAACGTACCTCCGGCAAGGCTTCTATGGCAGTGCCACTAAACATGCCAAAGCCACGGCTCAGGCCGGCGGCTCAGGCTTCTCGAAATCCAAGCCCAGGCCCAAGCCTTCCTCAGGCCGTGACGTAGGCCTGGGCTGGGCCCGGCCTATTTGGGCCCGGCTTGGGCCGGCCCAGGGCCTCAAGCCGGGCCGTGCACATCACTAGAGTCGTGTCATATGCACATTGATATCCACTCATATTGCAAATACGAACGAAGGAAAAGCTACAGAGGCCAGTTTCCAGGGGACCGTTTTTGACTAGCTAACTTTACTTTCAAGAGACGGTTCTTCTGAATAGACGATCACTGACGGGAAAAACAAAATATCTAGTAAAGGTTGTGGCTCGCGTCCTGCTAAACCTACGAAGCATGATGTCGGTGATGCAGAGCAACGGATGCAAGATAATATAGCCTTGGGTATTCATGGTTACTGACTACTCAAATACCTGCTGACATGGCCATATGCGTGGGTTGTGTCCATCCTTGCCCAGCTTCTCCTCTGTCCGATGATTCCTCCGTAAGATCAACTCATCACAAAAGAAGTTGAATTTGTGAGCTAGCATTTCACGAGTGATGGGGTGATACTTGCCGAACCAATTGTTTGTTTGTTCTGCCACGGAGGAATTGAACCGCCAACCCTTCCCATCATCGCTATGGAGCTCAGGGAATGCTTCTGGGTTGCAATTCTCCTGGCAGAATGTGTCGGTCTGTGAATGCTTGCATTTGAAATGAAAAACGTCGACGGACAAGCCAATGTTGTCAAAGAAAGGATCGCCCATCGCAAGTTTTGCAAGGGTGCAGTTGTTGTCGAAGAATATGTGATTGGGCTTGACAGCGTCTTCGCCTGCATAGACTTCTTTGATGAATTGCTGCAGATAATCATGAGTTGAGGAAATGGTCATGGAATGATGATACATACCTTGACACTGGCTACTCCCTCCGCTCCAAAGAAAGTCCTTCGAGCAATAATCATACCGCATGGAGCAACAATCAACTGCTCGTTGTGTGTGCGCCGGCGGCCAAAGACTGCCCTGAACTTCTTCCTTCCAGGTCTGTCCTGGGATGAACTGGTAGCAGGAAGTGCTCTCCTGGTATTCTCATTGAACTCATACTCTTCTTCGTCTGGTGGATCATCTGTGAGAGATGTGTTGGTGGCAATGGTAGTTCTGGCACGAGCAAGGCGCTCCTGGAGCTGGAATCTGGATTGACCACGCAGCTCGTGAGTATCCTCGACTTGACGATGTTCCAGTGTTGAGCAAGTGCGTCGGCCACGTACAATGGGCAGGTCACAGCCGATAATCACGCACTTGTCATTTTGACCAGAGTGTAGATAACAAAAGTGATGGTGGTTGTTAGACAGCGGGGTGTGGCAGTTATAAACTGCGCAGCATGGATGGCCGACAGTGACACCATCGACGACGACAGCGGACACTTTATGCGTGACTGTATATATCTTACGACTTAGCCCCGCATAGCCTCAAAACTATTACACTCACCGACACCTTGCTCATCTTCATACATGCTTGTGCATCTATTGCAGTAGTGGCGACGGACTTGCTCATAGCCATAAAGCTGAATGCGGCGGTTCCTTGCGATCATGGCCTCCGTGAATTGGTCTCGCTGTTCACCAGTGTGGGGAGCAATGAGGGTGTTCATGCGACGCTCGCAGTCCTCCAGCAGTGAAGTTATTACATAACCATCCCAAACATGCTCGACAGAAAGCTCAAACTTGACTTTAAAGTCTGCAGGTGTCTGCTTACCATGTGAGAGGCAAAGGTTATACAACTTTGCACAGTTCGTAGCTGAAGTCCTGGGTGCAACCAAGTTTTATAGTCAGATGGGAGAGATCAAGAGCATAGCATATAGCGCACCATGAGAAATCCATTGCAGTCCTAAAGAGCTCAATTACACTCTTCTCGATGAACACATGATCTGCAGCCTGAACACTATCTGGTTGGTGCTCGTAATAGGTGCGCTCTCCTTTAAACACACTGTAATTATGGTGGTAATCAATTCCACAAGCTAGTTGACCTTGTCAATGACAAAAATAATGACTTAAAGCAAGAGTGCGGAGTGCAAGTGCTTACTTTGACAGTAGAGATGGACGGATTTTGCAATGCATGGGCCTTTCGTCAGCGTGAACAACACCACATAGGTTTGAGCAGCCTTCTTGAGAGTCATGCCCTTTGTGCGACGTTGGCAGTCGGGATGAAGGCATGAGTGGCTAGGAGGATAGAGCAGATACTCAGCTGGGGCCATTCTATCATTAGATAAAGAAACAGAGGTGACAACACAATCAAATGAACTTACCTAGACCCCTTTGAGTGCCATGTGTCTCCCATAGCCGTCCCACATCAACAGTGATCCCTCCACTCCAAATGACATCCTTGAGGAGGGACCATGCATCATTGACTTCAGCTGGAGAGATTGAACAGCCTGCACTAAGAAACACAGTGACTGCAGGTGATAGAACAAATGGTGGATCTGAAGTTGGACTCAAGGAAGGCTCCACAAGGATGATGTCGTTTTTAAGCCGGGTTGCAAGAGTGATGAACTGGAAAAGAGAAGTGAGTGAGGTGTTACTGATTGTGCCTGGCTCTTGTTCAAGATGGCGCAGCAAGTGATTAAACGCTGTCATGTTGTTCTACTGTTGCCACCAATGCGAATCAAATTTGATTTGAAAGTAAAAGCTCGATAATTATGATTGTACAGAACGCCAACTGAGTGACGCAGGTGGACCCGGACGGTCCCGGAGTCTGCCAATTCCCTGATATTCTGAGAGTCTGGGGCGTTTGGCAAACACGGCTGACCCGGGCTGAGTTTGAATTGTTTTTGTCACGTGTTTGCTTTGTGACAATTCCAAAGCCACCCGCCATCATCGTGCCTCCTGCCAGTACTAGTGTGCCCGTTGTAGATGGCTAGCGGCTGCCGACACACCCGCCAATCTACTCACCACATGCAGTTAGCATGCTATGTTCGTGCTTCTTCGCACCAAAACCAGTCAAAATTATGATCGTCAATCCACTGTCCCAATACTTGTGCTTCCTCAATGTGTCTTGATTCTGCTACCAGTGTCTGCTGCACCTTCGTTGCTGTGTTTTCTGCTTCCCATTTTCGATCTCCTCCGCTGTCTACTCTCAACATGTTTTCGATCTGCTCTGCTGTCTACATCCTTTCTGCTCGGCTCTCGATGTTTGCGATCCGCTCTCAGGCTGTTGTCTATTTCGTTTATGCTCGGCTCTCAACGTACTTTCGAGGTATACTCCACCTGTTTCGCATCGGTTTCACTATTTTCCAGCTGCTTTCGTATACCGATTGTATTCCGCATAATACCTACTAAGCAATCAAAGCATATTTGACACTATTTAAGCACATTCTGGGAGGACAGCGCGAGTGTGCGTGAATGCGCCTAAATGTGCACAATATAAAAGAAGCACAATAGAGCACATGGGGCACTGCCCTGTCTTATAGAAAATATGCTGTCAGTCCGGATATCGAGCGAAATGCACGAGTATGTGCGCTGTCTCTCAAACGCACATTTCAACACATTCAGCCCTATTCGAGCACAGCTGATTCTCACTGGGAGTACTGAGTACTGATCATTGATGTCACCAAGTGCAGTGCGGCCTGCAAGAGGTCACAAAGGGCGGGTCACAACTCACAATGGACGGGTCACACTGGTATTGCAAACGTGACCAGATATAATTGGAACTCAGAATTAAGCTCCGCACGCGTCAGCCGCAGCCCCAGACTTTGACCCCAGACTCCGCCCCAGACTTTGGCCCCAGACTGGCCGTTTCCTGGATGTCCTCCATCGATCCATATTTGTGTTACAAAATGTGTTCGCATTTGGTGCCAACACTGGAATTTTGCCAAAGATGGAATCTATCTATTACTATGGCACCGATCAGAGAAAGGTCCTGGGCGGGCCGCCCGCCTGCGAGAAGAAGATATTGGAATATAAAGCAAGCTTATGACCATGTAAAAGCACCATAATCAGCATAATCCCCAACAAGAACTCACCGGTTTACTGATGCGCCCGCCGCCCGCCTGCCATCGTCGCGTCCACGTCAACACCTCAGAACAACTACTGAGCTCAAGTTTGTACCATTCCTTTCTTCGCGCTGTCCCATGTTAACAAGCTATTGTACCTCCGAATCTCGTACTCATCTGCTTGCGAATAGTTATAATGTAACACTCTATGCATAGCCCAAGGCAGCCACATACGGAGCTTCCAGGGAACAAGTTCATCAATTTTCTATATATAAAGAATGCAACTGCAACTGGAGTGCACAAATATTTACCTTGATGATATTTCGCTTACCAAACTATAGTGCCAAGCACGAATAGTGGTATACCTACATATAGCGCGAATGTCACCGCTACTATAAGTTTACCAAGTTCACCTCTCGCCCATTCTCTAACAATATGACCATAGTCTCAAATGATCCCACTTGGTGGCCGACCATCGATGTATATCGTTTTGCCAGCTATTTTGGAGGTTCGCAGTCGGATGTTGAAGTTGATGTCTCAATCTGACCTTGGCTGTGGTTTGCAGTTGCCGCCTTCGTTGGAGTAACATATGATTGGGGTGAGCATGATAACATTAAAGGGTTGCTGATATCTTACAAGTGTTTTTAAGCACTCACATTTGGACAAGAGGTATATCAATACTATCACCGGAACCCGTCTTGCTAATAGTATTTTTGCAGGTCGAATTGGTCTGGGTGAGTATAATCTTATGCCAGAAGAACATACATGAAAGTGCACTCAATTACAGAGACAACGGTGGTCGCTCATGACAGTGCTGTATCTCAGTGTATGTAGCCTGTTTGTCGTCGTTGCCGTTTCGTGCTGACTTGAAAGTATCCTAGGTGCGCTACCTTGGAATCCTATCTGCTGCGTATGTTCGGAAGGCTAAACATTTGGTGTTGTTCTAATCGTCTATCTCTTATAATCAGTCTGTTCATGGCTGGTATGTCTCCTGAGCACATTCACTGTCTTCTCTTCTTCTGACCAATGGTATTCAGGCCGTGTTCCGACCATCTCGCTGACAGATACAGTGAGTCTTCTGTATAAATGCCTGTCATTCCCCTCAAATTAACCGCGGTGTTCTGTAGCAGTGGGTGTGGTTCTTTGCTGACTTCTCAGTCCACTAATGGCTGTCACGCTATACTACCAAAGATGTGAGTCTATTTGGAGTGTGTGCTACCTGAGACTGGTCACTGACCGGATTTGTCAGGCTGGATGATGTACATGATATGGGTTTGGACGAGTGTTGTGGTATCTGCGATGCTGTGGGGTGAGCTTTTCACTTGCGAGACCTCAGTGATATTGGAATGACTGAAACATGCTGCAAGTCATCATCATCACTCGGTTGCATGCTATGTATCAAAGATCCAGAAAGATCCTAATATTTCTCATTGTCACCTTCCTGGCTGTCAACGCTTTTGGTGCAGTGGCCGCCATAATGACAACGATGCATACTTCAGGAGGTGCGTTTAATTATGGATGGAAACGAACGTGCATAGGGCTCATTGATGGATACCAGAGGAACTCGTTCTCTTTGGCACCTACCAGTGCGCGATTAGCTATACAGGAGATCTCACAGTGCTGTCTTCTGCTGTTTGGATACTCTCCGTTATATGGGAGGTCCTCGTACTATGTCTCGCAGTCTGGATTGCGGTAAAGCACTTCCGTGAACTGCGATTGCATTCGGCAGGAGGGATTGTCGGGGACTGTTTTACGGTGTTGATGAAAACTCACGTGGTTTACTTTGCGAGGTAAGTTCATATTGTGATTATTTTTTTTTCCACTGAAGAGTCGGACATGATAGCTTTCTTGCTGTCTCTTGCTTCGAACTCTCTATGATTTTCTCTGCAACATTATCAACGGTATGTCGATCTTTCACTTACCTCTACATGTGACCACTATCTATCATTTCTATAGAGCCAATCCCTCTTAGAATATCAGACTTTGTCTGGCTTGTCTCAGATTTTGGAGGTCGTGCAGATGTTCGTGCTAGGACCACGGCTAATCCTTGGCATTCGAGAATATAATGCTAAACTCGTAGCTGACTCCGACGCAGCAACCAGCATGACCTCAATCGCTTTTCAAGACCGTGTGCATATTTCGACTAGCAGTAGTGTGTAATGCTTGGTGAAGTTGATGCGAACCGTTGTCCAGTGCTTGCAGGGAGCACGGGAATTATTATTTTTTGTTTCTATTACAAGCCTCGTTGCGGTGCTCAAGTGGTTATTTAGTGTCACAAAATATATGTTAAGGAGACATAGGTTTAGACAATAGTTTCGTCGTAGTGTTTACTCGAATCATTTGCTATAGGTCTTGACATTGACAATGTTTCAACCAATGTCCTGAATATCTTCACTGTACCAACGAAGGAAAGCAGCGTACAGAACAGGAAAGTCGAGAGGCGAGAGATGTTTATAGGCGATCTCGCCGGAACGTTAGATGCAAATTTCTATTTGCTCCTGCTTCTCATCTCGAGGATAACTCGTGACCCACCTCTCGTCGTATCGGACCCACATTTACTTTCGTAATATGGTGTAGCCGTCTTGTAGCATATATAGGTATCATACTTTTTCATGCTTCACGGACGCACATACATGGACAGTATGCACGCGTGTAAGCCAGTTGGCGTGAGTCGAAAATGGGAGGTCGAACATTGAGATCAAATAATAGCATGGTGTAGTCCATAGATGAATTGACGTCTAATACAGATTCTTGCAAAGGCGGACTGGTAACAGCGGGCTGTGGTGATCATACGGCAAGGCCCTCGACATCCTCCTCACGTAGTTATTTCCAAAGGCAGAGGAGGCGCGTCTGGCAGGCGAGTCGAAGAGGCAGGACGAAAATACTTGAAATGGTCGGAGCAGGTGTAACGGTCGACTATGTGGCTTTGCTGGCCGCCAAAGCTTTTGAACGGTACGAGCGTGCTTCAGAGTGCTCATACGACGTCTCACCACCATGCAGAGTGCTATCAGTGAGCATTGTCGAGCAGGGGAATCTGAACATATCCAAAGTACTGACATCGGAGCATCGGACAACAATCATGAAACGGCTTGTTGATGTGGCTCCAACACTGTAGGGACATGCAGGGACCGGCACCAGCGATAGTGAGTGAGGAGTCGAGTATCTGCTGCTTGTTGTCAGGCTGTGGGGGTGATGACGACTTCGAGACAGGGAGGGTGAACACACATATGCACATGGGAGGGCGACTATATCATTAAGAAGATGTCAGGCGCTGACGCACGCCTGCAGCAGTGATAAGACACGAATCAAAGCACACGCACCCCATTACATAAGGTGGTAAACTTTAAAGTTGAACGTTGAGTACTGAGTACCAGCACTATCGCATTAATATCATCGTGTCCCATGTCAACACCTTGATCAGAGCAGCCACTGAGCTCTTCGTTAGTGCACAAGTAATAGGTGTGTAGCCGAAGTTTGTACCGTTCTTTCTTCACATTCTCAAGTTGTTGTACCTCTGAATCTTGTACATGTCGCTTGCGAAGAGTCCTAGTCAACACTCTGGGCATAGCCCAACCTCTCTAATTGCCCACCCAAACCCCAGTCCATCAACTTTCTATATAAATAATACAAGAACTCACGGCACCCGACTTGTTCACGATCAAGTGATCGTCGAGACTCGACATTGCAAATTGAAGATTCTGCACTTCAAGTTAGCATTCTAATTATGGCCTATCATGTGTCTCAGATTCAATTGAGAATTCCACCAAGTAAGGTCTTGTTACGCCTGGTGGACGAAGAACCCCGGGAGCATCCATTGATCTCAGTAGGGAGTTGGGAGCCTGTTGAATGATGGTGTTATCGCACTGCGCTAGCGATGAGAGCGAGTCAGAGTCAAAGTCATAGCAGAGCACCTTCCATGGATGCACGAACTCCGAAGAGCTTACAGGTGCGATTTCTCGCCATTATGTGATGAGTCATACCTTATGTTTCAGGCACTCTCCTCCCTTCCTCCCAATCACCAAACGCGCTTGCGCACTCAAACGTTCAACTATGCTCATATTCAAGTATCGGACGAGAGTCAAATATTGCACCGAGGGTTACCAATAACCAACCATATCATCAGCCACCCGTCTTTATATGTCTGCAGAGCGTCCATCTCCCCATCTAATACCACGCTGCAGAATCTCGCTAACTTACCACCCTACAGATAGCTTCTCTATTCTTGGGTTCGCTCCTCCGGAACGCGGAGCATACCGAACAGGTTTCCAATGTATTATATGGTGCATTGTGCGTGGCCGACGGCTAAACTTCAGCGCTCTTGCACAAACCCAACATACTCAGGCTATTACTATTCCGTTTCTATCCACAACTCTACACCACAAACCGTGGAAGTTGTTTAGTCCCTACCTTCCATCCTAACAACGTACAAGACTTAGATACATCAATATGATGCATTGAGCGTAGCGTGCGTTTACATCAGAGTGGCACTGCCCTTACTGACTCACCCTGTGATATTGCAACCTAGGTTGACTCAGAACCCAGCTGGCCGGCACTCATCAAAAGTACGATCATCAATATTTCATGGCATAATTTGAAGGTTTCCTGCAATGGTTGTAAGAACCATGCCCGGATCTTGGCCTCTCTCATTTTTGTTTGTAGTCAAGGGGTCGTCTTGTGTTCACCACACATTAATCAAGGCTATGAATCAGGCTGTGACGTTTGATGCATCCACATCCCATCAACCGCACGCTGCAAATTGAGTGCGGTGTCTTCTATCAGATTCCGCAAAGAAGGTGGGCATATGCTTAAGACGCGGATTATTCATTGAAAGGGTTGTACAGGTAAGTAATATGTCCGCTTCTCCCTTTTTGTATACATCCAACGTCTCTGCCAGATCAACACAAGCTCCCCTTACTGGATGTCTTGTTGTGCTCGGGAACTGCCGATGCTCATTGAGATTCATCGATACAGCAAGCTATTGCGAAGGATCGCATCACGCCTAGACCTACCTTTGTAAGACCAAGTTTTGCATCGGTTTTCATTTGAATAAGCGGTGCATTCAACATTGGCAACTGTACAGCTACTCGCTCCAGTTGTTCTTTTCTGATGGCATGGCAACCTGTGCCAGCAGAATGTTACTGCCGACTGAATTTGGTACTTCTCATACACTTGAGAGTTCATGCTGCTGAGGCTCGTTGATCAACTTTTACGAAATAGGCCTATACAAATTGACGAACAACAAGTCAGGCTTCATGCAGTCATCGGCGTGCCCGAGTTTTCTTTCTCTATGTCCTCTCAGTCCTGCTTGAATCTAGGGGTTGTATCTATCGATCATCGATTCTCGCTATCTCCGAGTTTGGCTGTGCAAATTGATGCCCTGTCAGCACAGCACCAACTCCACGATGTAGATCGGAGATTTTGCGCTCATCATTGTTGGCAGATACGAAAGGCCGATAACTGAGGCAAAGAGCAAGAAGGCGCGCACAAAGCGACAGATGGCCCGAAGACGAGGAAAAGGGATAGGGCATCGAGATATATGCTCGCACACAGGTCGAACGAGTTGTATGTTTGCTTCGTATGGCCCCTGCTATTTGTCATGGTTTATTTTTGATTTAGCCTTGGCATCCCGACATGGAATTCACTTTTCGTGTATCTTTTGTGGTGTCGTGTAAAGTGTTCTGCCCTTCGAAATGACTTATTATTCCTTAATTTCATTTCGGTAATTCAAGTGGTATATATACTATCGCCATACACTCACCAAGTTCACCTCTCACCCACACCCATTCTCTACCAATATGACCATAGTCTTAAATGACCCTGCTTCGTGGCCGACCATCAATGCAAACTATTTTTACAGTTATTTTGTAGGTTCGTAGAGAGTAATCGGATATTGAAGTCGATGTCTCAATCTAACCATGACGGCGGTTTCATAGTTGCCGCCTTTGTTGGAGCGACGTATGATTGGGGTGAGCACATTAATATTAAAGCATTGCTGATATCTTACAAGTATTTTCAGCACTTACATTGGGACAAGAGGTATGTCGATGCCGTGATCGGAGCAGCCATCTCGCTAAGAATCATTTTGTAGGTCGAATTGATCTGGGTGAACAGAGTCTCGCGGTAGAGGGAACGCACATCAAAATACTTACACTTAATCACAGAGGCAACGATGGTCCCTAATGACAGTTTTGTATCTCTGTGTATGTAACTTGTTTGTTGCAGTTTCCATGTCATGCTGACTTGAAAGTATTCTAGTCGCGCTACCTCGGAATCTTATCTGCTGGGTATGTTCGAAAGGCTAAACAATCAATGTTGAGCTGATCGTTTATATCGCATAACCAGCATGACCTTGCTGGGTGTGTCTCCTTAGTACTTTCACTGTCTTCGTTTTTTTCTGACTAACGAGATACAGTCATTGTTCCGACCATCCCGCTGACGGATACAGTGAGTCTTCTGCACAGATGCCTGCTATTCCCCTCTGATTAAACGTGGTTCTCTGTAGGAGTGAGTGTGGTTCTTTACTAACTTCTTGGTTCATTAATGACAGTCATGCTATCCTGCCACAGATGTGAGTCTGTTTGGAGTGTGTGTCACCCGAGGTTGGTCACTGACTGGATTCGTCAGGCTGGATTATGTACGTCGTACGGAATTGGACGGGTATTGTGATATTTGCAATACTGTGGGGTGAGCTTTGCACTTGCGAAGCCTCAGTGATATTGACTTGACTGAACCATGCTGCAAGTCATCATCATCACTCGGTTGTATGCCATGTATCAAGGATCCAGAAAGATCCTGATATTTCTTGTTGTCACCTGCCTGGCTGTCACCATTTATAATGGAGTGGAGGCCGTCCTGATGACGATACACGCTTTAGAGGGTACGTTCAATTGTGGATAAAAACAAATATACATGTGACTCAATGATGAATACCAGAGGAATTCATTCTCTCCGGCACGTATCAGTGCACGATTACCTATACGACAGATACGCTGATTCTGAACTCTGTTGCTTGGACACTCTCCCTTGTGTGGGAGGTCCTCGCGCTGTGTCTCGCAGCCTGGATTGCGGTAAAACACTTCCGTGAACTGCCACAACATTCGGCAGGGGGGATCATGGAGGACTGTTTTGCAGTGTTGATGAAAACCCACGTGCTTTACTTTGCGAGGTAAGCTCATATTGTGATTATCGTTTCTTTTCCCCCCACTGAACGGTCGAACGTCGTAGCTTTGTTGGTGTTTCTTGCTTTCAGCTCATTATTAATTTATCTCCAACAATTTCATCGGTATGCCAATCTCCCGCCTTACTCCTTCATGCGCTCACGATTCATAATTTCTATAGTTCCAAAATCTCACGGAAAGTCTGACTTTTTATGGCTTGATTCAGATTTTGGACGTCGTGCAGATGTTTGTGCTGGGACCACGCCTGATCCTTGGCGTTCGAGAATTTAACGCTAAGCTCGTGGCTGATTCTGACGCAGCAACTGTCATGAGCTCAGTTGCTTTCCAGGAGCGCGTGCACATATCGACTGGCAGTGGTGTATAACACACGAGACGCTGATGGTTGTCTGGTGCTCTGCAGGAAGCAGGAAAATTCGTGTTTTGTCTCAAATACAAGCTTCGTTGCAGTACCTGTATAGTTATTTGGTGTCACGAAGTAGATTTCAAGGAGACGGGCTTGGGCAGTATTTTTGTAGTAGTATGTGTTCGAATCATTTGCTATAGGTTCTGACATTAACAATTATTTAAACCAATATCTTGGATATCCCTACTGTGCTAACGAAAGCATTGCAGCAGTGTACTGAATGGGAAAGTCGAGCGACCAACCATACTGGCATCAACCACCCGTCTTCTCTTCATACGTCTGCAGAACCTCGCCAACTCACCTCCCCACAAATAGCTTAACCACACACTGCAACAAACAGTGCATGTTATCTAGTCCCCGCCTTCCATCCTAACAGCATACAAGATACACCGATTGCGCGATGGATTTAGCGTAGCGTGCGTTTAGATCAGAGTGGCACTGCCCTTACCCCTATGATAGGCCGCCTTGATCTGAAACTCAACTGACTAGCGCTCAGATCATCAATCTTTCATAGCATAATTTAAAGGCTTGCTGCTAAGAACGACGCCCGAGTTTTTGCCTCTCTCATTTCTGTTTGTAGTTGAGTGATGGTGTTGTATTCACCGTACATCAATCTGATTCAATCATGGATTGTGCATCCACTGCCACATCCTATCAACCGCACGCTGCAAATCGAGTGTGGTGTCTTGTATCAGATTCCGCACCTATTATTTATTGGCATCCTTGTGAGATTGCTAAGGTGGAGGGCGGGAAGTGCGCATATGCTTACTAGTAAGATGCGGATTATCCATTAATGAAAGGGCTGTACATGTACAGGTAGTAAGTAGTAATGTGTAACCTTTGTTTTACACATCCAACATCTCTGCCATGTCGACATAATTAAACTCCTCTTGTTGAATAGCCTTGGGGATCTTGTTGTGCTTGCGGACTGCTGATGCTTATCGAGAATCATCGAGACAACAAGCTTTTCCAAAGGGTCGCGACTATTAGTCTGCCTACCAAGTTTTTCATTTGAATAAGCGGTACATTACATAATATTGGCAATCGCAATACAACTACTCACTCCACTCGTTTTCTTCCAACATGTGCCAACAGAATGTCACTGCCTTCGGTACTTCTTAAAAGCTTAAGGGTCCTGCTGAGGCTCAGCGCTCATAAATCAACTTTTACGAAATTAGCCTACAATCTTAAGAACAACAAGTCAGGCTTGATGCAGTCATCTGCGGCAGCGCACCCGAGTCTTCTTTATCCATGTCCTCTCTCAGCGCTGCTTGAATGATAATCTAGGGATGATATTCAAGTTGTATCCATCAATCGGGGATTCTCAACTAGGCCACTTCGAGTCTGGCTGTGCATACTGATGGGCCCTGTCAGCACTGCATCAACTCCACGATGCAGATCAAAAAATTTGCGCTCGTCGTGGTTGGCGGCCTTGTGATACGAAAGCCTGATAACCAAGGCAAAGAGAGAGAAGGCGTGCTCGAAGCAATAGATGGCCTGAGGACAAGGAGAAGGGGTGGAAGGCATTGAGATATGTGCTCGCACGCGGGTAGAACGTAAGTTATCTTCCGCTTCATACTGTCTGTCATGGGTTTATTTTTAGTCTAGCCTTGGCATATTTCTATGTATCTTTTATGGTGTCATGTTAGGTGTTCCGCCCGTCGAAATGATTCATTGCATCATTCCCCAATGTCATTTTGGTGATCCAAGCACTGGATGGTAGTATATATGCTATCGCCATAGTCATAGTTCACCAAGTTCACCTCACCCGCACCCATTCTCTAACAATATGACCGTAGTTTCGAATGATCCCACTTGGTGGCCATCCATCAATGAATATCATTATTCCAGCTATTTTGCAAGCTCGTGGAAACCAGTTAGATGTTGAAGCTGACTCAATCTAACCTTGGCCGCGGTTTCGCAGTTGCCGCCTTTGTTGTTGTGGCGCATGATTGGGGTGAGCATGATGATACTAAAGGACTGCTGATATCTTACAAGTATTTTAAGCACTTACATTCATACTAGAGGTATGTCAACGTTATCACCGAAGCAGTCACCTCTCTGAGAATGGTTTTATAGGTCGAATTGGTCTGGGTGAGTAGCGTTTCATGTCAGACGACTCGGAACACACATGAAAATACACTTAATTACAGAGGCAGCGCTGGTCCCTAATGACAGTTCTGTATCTCGGTGTATGTGGCTCGTTTGTCGCGGTCTCCAAGTTGTACTGACTTGAAAGTATCTTAGGTGCGCTACCTTGGAATCTTATATGCTGCGTATGTTCGAAGGGGTAAATAATTGATGTCGTGCTAATCGTCCATCTCTCATAATCAGCCTGGTCATGCTTCGTATGTCTCTCTAGTTCATTCGCTGTCTTTGCTTCTTCTGACCAATGGCATACAGTCGGTGTTTCGACCATCTCGCTGACAGATGCAGTGAGTCTTCTGCTGCACAGATACATACTATTCCCTTTCACTTAACCGTGGTACCTTGTAGGAGTGGGTGTGGTTCTTTATCAGTTTCTTGGTTCATTAATGACTCCCACGCTATACTTTCACAGATGTGAGTCTGTTTGGAGTGTACTACCCGAGGCTGATCACTGACCGGATTCGTTAGGCTGGATTTTGTACATCGTATGGAATTGGACGGGTGTTGTGGTACTTTCGATGTTGTGGGGTGAGCTTGGCATTTGCGAGACCTCAGTGATATTGACCTGACTGAAACATGCCGCAAGTCATCATCATCACTCGGTTATATGCCATGTATCAACGGTCCAGAAAGATCTTGATATTTCTCACTGTCACCTTCCTGGCTGTCAATATTGTCAACGGAGTGGCAGCCGTAATAGCAACGATGCATTCTTCAGGGGGTACGTTTAATTGTGGATAAAACCAACGTGCATGGGGTTCATTGATGAATACCAGAGGAACTCATTCTATCTGGCACCTATCAGTGTTCAGTCAGCGTTGCGGAACACAGCCTGATTCTGACTTCTGTTGCTTGGATACTATCCATTGTGTGGGAGGTCCTCGCGATGTGTCTCGCAGTCTGGATTGCTGTAAAGCACTTCCGTGAACTGCGACAACATTCAACAGGAGGGATTATGGAGGACTGTTTCGCGGTGTTGATGAAAACTCATGTGTTCTACTTTGCGAGGTAAGCTCATATTGTGATTATTGTTCCTGTTTTCCACTGAAGGGTCGGACGTGGTAGCTTTGTTGCTGTTTCTTGCTTCGATATCGTTATCGATTTATCTCCAACAGCCTTGACAACGGTATGTCCATCTCTCACTTATCTCTTCATGCGACTACGATTCATCATTTCTATAGGACCGATTTTCCCTAGAAAGTCAGACTTTTTTAGGCTTGCTTCAGATTTTCGAGGTCGCGCAGATGTTTGTGCTGGGACCACGCCTGATCCTTAGCGTTCGAGAATTTAACGCTAAACTCGTGGCCGACTCTGACGCAGCAACCCACATGACCTCAATCGCTTTCCAAGAGCGTGTGCATGTATCGACTGGTAGTAGTGTGTAATGCTCGGTGAAGTCTAGTGCCTTTCAGGGAACGCGGGGAAATTTGTTTTTTATCTCCATTCCAAACCTCGTTGCGGTGCTCAAGTAGTTATTTGGTGTCACGAAGTAGATTTCAAGGAGACAGGCTTGGGCAATATTTTTGTCGTAGTATGTGTTCGATTCATTTGCTATAGGTCCTGACATGAACAATTATTTATTGATGTTTCAACCAATATCCTGGATATCACTACTGCGAAGGCAAGCAGCGTAGTACGTACTGAACGGGAAAGTAGAGGAGCGAAATATGTTTATAGGCGATGTCGCCGTGGCAACGTTAGGATGCAAGTTTTCACTATTTGCTCTTCAAGTTGCTCCTCATCCTCGAGGACAACTCGTGACTCAGGACTCACCTCTCGTCGTATCGGAAGCATAATCCCCGACTCCCACGTTAGTGGAGGAGGGCTTTGTCGAACACAAACGAATTCCCATGCGTCAGCCGATGTGCAAAGCTGTGCACTTGGACAGAATCTTAACTTTATTATGCATCTGCTGAGTGCTCTACAGTTTTCGGCAAATACTCACCATCATACTTTTGTCAGTAGCTGAGCGCTGAGTCTTATTACATGGATCTCACCGCTCTCGGACATCCAAACCTGCGCGACGGCAGTTCTACATCTGTTTTTTTCATTTTCACTGGGATAAGGAATTTCTTGAAGCAATTGAATAGGTTGGTCCTTGGCTCATTCAATGTCGTCTTCAGCCTGGTCCTTTATTTGTGAGACACTACAGACTTCAAAGCACGTTGATATATATCCTCAACTTGAAATACGATGACATGTGGAACAGCACAAGCGATTGTAATTTGGGTGGCAGAAGTTGTTAGCGCTTTGGTCACGAGTGCATGGTTACCATGGGGTGCAGGAGCAGGCATGGGCCTCATCAGCTTCCTATCTTGTGTTGCACGTTTCGTGGTTGCCGTGCTGCTAGTTATTTTGACCCCAACTGTAAGGCTACCTGTCTCCGTGAAGTCCAATGCTAACAGCTCGTTCAGATTTCAATAGGCGCAGGCGCAGGCGGTTGGGTAGCCTATGGCATACTGATAGTCCTTTGCCTTGTTTATCTTACGTTGTTTCTGATTCTTGTTATCAAGGTCATCGAAGCTGTTGTGCGCATTCTTGGTTGGGTCGGCTTTGATCACTCCAGACGGCCAGTCGATAGCGGATTGATCGGTGTGCTTTCTCTTTTCGGATGTTGCGGGCCACGGAGAGGTGGTCGCGAACGAAGACACTACAAAGCCACTTCATCTCCCAAGGGTTCTGGAAAGTCGTTCGTCGTTATTCGGGCACGGAAGCTTCAATCGTCGCAACCCGATACTCATCCACACATTCACAGGGTTAGATACTCAACGGACGAAACTGGAGCCTGCTAGGACCTTCTTCGCAAGCAAAATCACATGAGATAAATTAAGTTGTCGTGATTAAACCGAAATAAGATGTCTACAACTTGAAATACGATGACACGTTGCAGTGCATGTCATTTTGAGAACGAGCAGGCCGGAATCAGGCATGCAGCCCTTCCTCCATCGGTGCCTTCCTATGATTCCAAGTACAACGGGAGGACTACGCTAGATGCTCGGCCAGTACAACATGTGACTTCGCGGCTTCACCGCGGACGGACGCAATCGACGCAATCTCTTCAGCAACAGACGGGAGAGAGTATAGAGCCATAGAGACATCACATACACTCACCCTATAGTGCTGCGCGACGACCTGTCGTCGCAAGGTGCAACTGTGACCTGTGTGATCAACTTGAAATAGATATTCCACAGACAATCAAAGTGTTGCCTCCACGTGCGAGGAAGAAGAAGGCATTATGCGTGAGTCCTTTCAAGTTTGTCCTTGCATAGCTTGCCTTCGGGTAGATCGGTATAAACTACAAAAGCCAGGATAGAGAGCTTCGTGGCTGTGTGAATGATGCTTGGAACATTGCAGAATTTCTAAAATGTTTGTCCATTTTGATCATCTCTTACTCACTCAGTATTGAACAACACAACCATGTAACAGCCTTCTGGAATTACGCGAAAGAGGACATCATGGTGCTCACAGATGAGCCATACAATCTGAAATACATGCCGACGAGACGGAACATTCTTAGCGCGTTGCGATGGTTAGTGAAAGACGCCCAGCCTGGAGATTGCTTATTCTTTCACTGTGAGTCACGTATCTGTCATTTGAACAAGCGATTGATGATGTATCCAGACTCTAGACATGGAGGACGAATCGTCGACTTGGATGGTCGCCGTGTGGATGGTCACCGTGTAGATGGATTTGAGAAGGGTAACAGTCACGATAGTTCCAAATTTGAAAGTGCTGATCCGCAAACAAGCTATCCATCCAGTTGACTGGGAACGCGCTGGTGAGATTGTGAGCGAGGTGCGTTTGTATACTTGTTTGCTTTGATTATATGCGATGTTAATTCTCAAACAGGACTTATACGACGTGATGGCAAGTACTGGGAACGCGAACTGTGAGGTTGATACTAACTTTTACACAGGTCAAACCCCTACCCGCTGGCTGCTGCCTTAATGTGAGTTTGTGAGCGGCTTTATGTGTCAACCAACTTCAATTTTTTTATCAACAGGCGTTGTTTGATGTAAGTTTTAGTTGCCAATTTCAAGCTGAACAGATTGTATCATGAATACTAGTCATGTTATTCTGGATCCGTCCTTGGTATGAAGCTGTCATATAACTATGTTGTGTTTCTTTGTTGATCTGTCTCGTGCACAGATTTGCCGTACATCGTCAGTCCACAGATGCAACTTGATGCACTCGCGACTGTCTAATCATTTGCTTAGTATCAACCCAGTGATCACTTGAAACAGCATGCTGCGAACTCTCGAGCTCTTACAAAGTACCCGCAAGCTCATGTGGTAAGTGAAATACGCTCCTCAACTCGAAGTCTGTTTGACGATCAGATATCAGGTATTGTTTGCAAGCTGTAGTGACTTCCAAGGTAGCGGGGGCGTTATCATAAGGGGTGGAGAGTTTCTTGGAGCCATGTCCTCTGTGCGTAGTAATTAACAATTCGCTCGTATTATTCTGACCAAATAGTGACTATCAGGCCTTCATCTCGTCCCTTAGTGAGTATTATTCTAGTGATGACAGTCATGCGACTTATTGGCATTAGCGACCAACCCAACCCAGACATATTTGCAGGTACTTGCGTCTGTGCAGGTTATCTTACGTCGGACTCAGAGGCAGACGCCGCAGCTGTCGAGTTCGTATCCAATTGTATGTCAATCCCATACTTTCTCTCATTTACTAACGCTGTGAAAACTTCATCAGGATTCTAGTCAACAATGCCTCTTTTAATTTAGTTTTTCCTTCTACGATTTGTACATACAACAGGGAAGTTCTGTGAGTAGAAGCTTGTTATTGTTTTAGATGGAACGATCCAGTTAAGGATCGTCCCGGAGACTGCTGGAACAGCTTACCTTGCGCGTCTCAAATAGCAGACGTGTACGCCTATTTATGATTCTATACTCGTTTTTTTAGATGTGTGGATACTAATTGAGTATCGAATACCTGATCATCAAGAACAAGAACCGAGTGTTTGGTTATTAGTGAGCTGTCTGGTGTTACGAAGGCTACATGCGTTGCGTCTGTAGTAGATGCCAGGTCACAGAATAAAATAGTTCAGCAGCAAACAGAGAATTTTGAATATCCGAATTGCAAAGAGTGGAGCAGATTCGCCGAGAAACGGTTCAATGTATGCGCACAAGTCTGCCAAATCGAGAATCGTCCCCCATGATTACAGAGTGCTTCGTAGCACTCTGTAGCACGATCTGACCCGCTGATGCATAAGTGTGTCACAGTGTGCAGGATATAAAAGCTGGTTGTCGTCCTACAGTGTTTCCCTATCCTCAGAAGCATCATTCGAGATCTCTCTCAGAAGACTCCATATCATCTCACACATAAATGCGTCTCTCCCTCCTTGCTGTTGTTGTCTCTTTGACAACATCTATGTTTGTTGGTGCATGTACGACAGAGTCTGGCTATTGCAAACTATCATCAGATTGCTGCGACTCCTTGATTTGTGATCAGGTTGGGGTGAGTATGAGCAGGTCGCCGTGCAACCAGGATCCAATCACTCACCTACTCGCCTTAGCATACATGCATGCCAGGACTGACAGAGTGGAAATAGTCGGTAGCCCGAGCGGGATGTCACGTCAGTGGGTCATTTTCTGCTTTCGCTTTGGTATCATGATTGATGGTGCAATATCCAGTTGGCGGTGACACAGCCAATCAGTACAATTGTTTTTGAACGAATTTTCGTGTTGCTCGAGCAATATGATCCAGATGAATTTTACCATTGAATCACAGAAGGAAGACAGACAGACAAGACGGTGAAAGGGAAAGATAGACAGATATACTTACATAAATAACCCGACCACAAGGCAGAGCCTGCAATGGAGAAGAAATTTATGTAAGATGCCTGAGTGATGGTGGCATCATGCGTCTTGGCTGAGCTTCTCGAACCCTCGCCTGGAACCCAATAGCGCATTGCTCCAACACTTGGGTTGATGATTTTGATGCAACGATTGTACCAGACGAAATTGCAAAGGTCTTCGTAGCAAGAGCGAGCGCTGTATATAGATGTCGACATAAGACACATTATACAAGATAAATATACCGTGAATAAGAAAGACGGCAGAACTTACGAGATGCAACGGTCCGCGACAAAGACTCGATGAGGTTTACAGAGGAACGAGCAGGCCGGAATCAGGAGTTGGGGACTGGTGCGCAAGCACCGTTACGATGAGATATCGGCTTTCATCATATGTGAGAGCGTGCTGCAGAGTTGTAGTACATATATAGGCACTGTCCATGTCTGTGCGACGAATTTCATTCAACATTCCCCACCATTTCAAGGACTCATCAATTCACTAATGCTCATGTCGCGTCACGGTCATCCTAATTCCACCAAGTAGGACCCTGGAACACCTGGTGAACGAAGAACGCCAGGAGCATCCATTGATCTCAGTAGTAGGGGTTTGGGAGGTTGAATGATAGTGTTGTCGCAGGAAGCGCTAACGAGGAGAGCACAGTCAGAGTCAAAGTGACAGCTAGGTACAATATACCTTCTGTGGGTGCACGAAGAGGTACGGTTTCTCCATGTATGTGATGAGTCATCGATTCATCCTTCGTGTTTGCGCGCCGCTCCCAATCACCAGACGTGCTGCTCAAACATTCAACCATGCTCATGTTCAAGATGCACGAATATGGGACGAGAGTCAACCAATCTCGCACAGAGGACTATCAACTAATCCCATCTGACCACCAACCAACCACACCATCAACGACTGACTCGTCTTCATCCATCTGCAGAGCATCCATCTCCCCATCTACCACGCTACAGAACCTCGCCAACTCGCCTCCCTACAAATAGTTTCTTCATTCTTGGGTTCGCCCCTCCAGAACGCGGAGCATACTGAACAGGTTTCCAATGGATGATTATGTGCAATCGACGGCGAAACTAGTAGGCTCAGTGCTCTTGCACAAACCCAACACAATATCATTATCTACAGCCCTATACAAGAAACAGTGCCAGCTATCAATTCCCTACCTTCCATCCTAACGGCATGCAAGATACACGATGGATTAAGCATAGCGTGCGTTTACATCAGAGTGTCACTGCCCTTACTGTGACATCGTTCTCGCTCCTGTAATAGGAACTCGGCTGACCGGCGTTCAGATTATCAATATTTCATAGCATGAGTTGAAGGCTTCCGGATCCTGGTTGTAGTAATGGAGCTACTCCCTTAACTCGTTCCTTTTCAATGACGTGCCAATCTGTGCCAACATACCAGTACTTCAAGTTATTCCACACAAAAGCCCACGCTGCTGAGGCTCGTCCATCAACATTTACGAAATAAACCCATACACAACAAATCAGCCTTCATGCAGTAATCAGCGCGCCCGAGTCTTCTTTTTCCACGTCTTCTCTCAGCGCTGTTTGAATCTAGGAATGTCATTGTATCTATCAATCAGCGATTCTCAACTAGGCTATCTCTGGCTGCGCAAACTGATGTTCTGTCAGCACCGCACTCCACGATGCAGATCCAAGATTCTTCGCTCATCATTAATCATTCTTGGCAATCTTATGATGCGAAAGCCTGATAACCAGCACGAAGGCGCACGAAGCGACAGATGGCGCGAGGGTGAGGCAAAGGGATAGGAGGCATTGAGATATGTGCTCACATACGGGTAGAATGTGAGTTATCTCTGTCATGGTTTATCGATTATCTTTGATCTGGTCTTGGCATACCAATACAATTTGCTATCTTTTACGACGTTATGTAAAGGGTTCCACTCGTCGCAATGTTTCATGTTTCATGTCCAACATTTACGTTGAGTCCCTGGATCTTTGGTTGATCAAGGCAGGGATGATTATTATCTTTCAACCTCATTTTGGCGATCCAAGCGCTGGATGGTGGTTATATGCTATCACCATACGTCTGCCAAGTTCATCTCTCATCCACACCCATTCTCTACCAATATGACCATAGTCTCCAATGATCCCACTTGGTGGCCGACCATCAGTGCGTATCATTTTTCCAGCTATTTTGCAGGTTCGTGGAGAGCAGTCGGATCTTGAAGCTGATGTCTCGATCTGACCTTGGCTGCTGTTTTGCAGTTGCCACCTTCGCTGGAGTAACATATGATTGGGGTGAGCATGATAACATTAAAGGACTGCTGATATCTTACAAGTATTTTTCAGCACTTACATTTGGACAAGAGGTATGTCAATACTATCACCGGAACCTGTCTTACTAATAATTCTTTTGCAGGTCGAATTGGTCTGGGTGAGTACAGTCTCATGTCAAAGGAACATACATGAAAGCACACTTAATTATAGAGACAACGGTGGTCGCTCATGACAGTGCTGTATCTCAGTGTATGTAGCTTGTTTGTCGTAGTTGCCATTGTGTGCTGACTTGAAAGTATCCTAGGTGCGCTACCTTGGAATGCTAGTTGCTGCGTATGTTCGGAAGGTTAAACAATTGGTGTTGTGTTAATCGTCTATCTCTTGTAATCAGTCTGTACATGGTTGGTATGTCTCCTTAGTACATACACTCTCTTCTCTTCTTCTGACCAACGGCATTCAGGCAATCTTCCGACGATCTCGCTGACAGATACAGTGAGTCTTCTGCATAAATGCCTGCCATTCCCCTCAAATTAACCGTGGTGCTCTGTAGCAGTGGGTGTGGTTCTTTACTGACTTCTCAGTCCACTGATGGCTGCCACGCTATACTACCAAAGATGTGAGTCTGTTTGAAGCGCGTGCTACCTGAGACTGGTCACTGACCGGATTTGTCAGGCTGGATGATGTACACTATATGGGATTGGACGGGTATTGTGGTATTTGCGATGCTGTGGGGTGAGCTTTGCACTTGCGAGACCTCAGTGATATTGGAATGACTGAAATATGCTGAAAGTCATCATCATCACTCGGTTGCATGCCATGTATCAACGAGCCAGAAAGATCCTGATATCTCTCATTGTCACCTTCCTGATTGCCAACATTTTCGACGGAGTGATAGGCGTAATGACAACGATGCATTCTTCAGGGGGTACGCTTGATTGTAGATGAAAATAAACGTGCATTGGCTCATTGGTGACAACCAGAGGAATTCATTCTTTCTGGCACTTATCAGTGCCAGATTAACTGTGCGGAAAACATCCCACTTTTGATTTCCGTTTCTTGGATACTCGGAATTGCGTGGGAGGTCCTCGCACTGTGTCTCGCAGTCTGGATTGCGGTAAAACACTTCCGTGAAGTGCGACAACATTCAACGGGAGGGATTCTTGAGGACTGTTTCGCGGTGTTGGTGAAAACTCATGTACTTTACTTTGCGAGGTAAGCCCATCGTGAATATTGTCTCTTTTGTCCACTGAAGGGTCGGACGTGATAGCTTTGTGGCTGTTTCTTGCTTCGAGCTCGTTATTGATTTCTCTCCAACGGTGTGTCAATTTTTCACTTTACCACTTGCGACCACGATTCATTATTTCTCTAGGACCAAAATTCGCAAGAAAATCAGACTGTTAATGGCCTGGTTCAGATTTTCTCGGTCGTGCAGACATTCGTGCTGGGACCACGCCTGATCCTTGGCATTCGAGAATACCATGCTAAGCTCGTGACCGATGCCGACGCAGCAACTGGTATGACTTCAATCGCTTTCCAGAAGCGTGTGCATATATCGACTGGCAGTAGTGTATAATGCTCAGTAAAGTTAACGGCGGTCTGGTGCTGTACCAAGAGCAAGGGATTTCGCTTTTATTTATTCCTACTTTCGTGATGGTATTTCTTTATTTCGTGTTTCGTGTTTCTAAGTATATTTCAAGGAGACAACTATACTTCGATCTCATCTGGCAGATGCCTTGAGGCAGGTTATGGAGTTCATGGGGATTCAAAGAGACCTACAATCGATCGTATAATATTAGCCCTACTCCTAGGCTTGTTGGTTTCTTGCAATCAGACTTGAAGCTTGAATACTGAAGCGGATACTCCAATGCGGGGTACTGCTCCATGAACAATTTCACATAAATTTAAATACTATGTTTGGGCAATCGTGATTCGTGACAATTACCCCGATTTTATTTTCCTCTCGATTCGGCCACCCCAGCCCTTCCGTAGATTTGCCTCAGAAACCGCATGACAGCAACTGTGTACTGCCATCATCAAATTCAAGCATCAGCTCAAGCATTTTGTCCGGCGTAGGCTTTTGCAACGGACTCGAGAAGACATACATACTGTTCTCTAAAATTAATTTATGTGCACAGGGGGTTCATCGTGTGTGCCCCCGGGTGTGCACTTGAACGCATCGCCAAGCTCTACATGAGAAGGGATGGTCGGGACGACAGCTAATGCAACAATAGATGTTCACCCAATTACGACTACGTGACCATTGCCAGTTAGTCTCCTGGACTGACTATTTTACCCCAGCATTTTTGTAGAAGAGGTATATTTTATGCAAGTCACCGAGCATCCAAGAGTAAATACGGAAGACGTGTGGTATAGATATCTAGGCGAAGCGGAGCACATCCTTTAATCAAATCTCCTGCGTCTGTAACAGACATTCCGAGGTTTCTTTGGCATTGTGATCATGGTCTATGGAAGGATTGTTAACAATACTCAAGAGTGATGATGAACTGAATGGACGAACATGATAGTTGTGTTCTGGGATCTCTGTGATGCCATCCTCTAACCGAAGCTCAACTTTGCGGATGATGTTGGAAATCACGGTTCCAAGTTGCAGGTATGCGAACTATTGAAAAAATCAGCCAAACACGCCTCAGCAAGCAGATAATCAAGCCCACCTGCTCGCCAATACATCTATGCCTCCCGGCACCGAAGGGTTGGTACGGGCTCTCAGTTCCCTTGCTTACAGCACCGAAACCATAATCAATCTTCTCGCCATTCTCGTCAGAGTAAGTCTTGAAAGCCTGAGCAGCAACGCCCTCGGGATCACTCCACCGTGTCGGGTCCCACTTCGTAGGGTTAACCCAGATAAGGGGGTCAACCTGGCTGACGGCAGCAGAAGCAAGCACGTAGTAGCCCTTTGGAACAACATAAACACCATCTTTGGAGGGGGCAGCAAGAGTCGCGGGAACTGGGACATCGGAACGAACGTAGCGCATGATGCTGTGAATAGGCGGGTGCATGCGGAGTGTCTCACGAATGACGGAATCAAGGACTGGAAGCTGGCGGAAGCCCTCATATGTCATCGGACGGAAAGAGCCATCGGGGTTGCCGAAATGGTCGACTTGCTCCTGGTAAAGTGCTTCCCTATGATGACGATGAGTATATGTCAACTGCCAATAACGAACAAGACTCACTGGACTTCGACGTTCTGAGCAAGGTGAAGAAGGGTCCATGAACCGGAGGCAGAGCTAGTGTGCTGTCCTGCCATGAGAAGGGCAATCATGATGTGCGCGATTTCGTGGTCACGGAGAGGTCTGCCATCACGGTATTTTTGATCCATCAAGGCGGAGATCATGTCAGGTTCGTCCTACAGCATGCATAGTGAATATACGTTAGATCCCATCAAAGTAAACGCCTTACAGAGTGCCCTGATTCCCTGCGTTTGCGGATGATGTCGGTATAATATTCGCTCATTTTCTTGTGTGCTACGTCCCGACGGCGATAAGATTCCAAAGGCAAGTTAGGAAACATGAAATTCAGCGGGGTGAAGCCTCCATCCAGGTCGTTGTAAAGCGCAGAAAACGATTTGTCCAAACCACTCCTGACCTCCTTGCCTTGCAGAGTACGACTGGCAGTTAAAATAGTGATTTGAGCCATGACGTCCGTCACATCGAAGCGTCCCCATTCATTGATATCGTCCATTTGCCAGATGATGAATGCTTGGTCGGTGCGCATGTAGTCGTCGACTTCTTGCTCGAACATGCCCACGTACGCCCGGAAGTTCTCAGTTGAGAGGCCGACTTTAACGAACTTCTTTTGCTCCATGAATACTTCGTTGGGGACGTCGTATACGACATCTTTACCGAAGACGGGGGTCGTGAGGTGCTGTTCGTGGTTGAGAGGCATTCACGAAAATACAACAATCGCACATACTGTGTAAGCATCTTCTGCAGAGAACGCAGTCGATTTACCACCCAAGACAAAGTTGTTGCCCTTAGCACCGAGTGCGACGGTCACCTTGCGTCCAAGTAGAGTGAATGTGAAGACATCGCCGTACTGAAGAAAAGTATGAGACAAATCATGACATGAGAGATGTCACACGACCGTACTTTTTCCCTACACTCGAAGAAAAATTTGAGTGGGTCATCGCCGTACGCGATGGAGGACCCAACGAAAGGGATCCAGTGGAACACTTCTGGAGGCAGTGAAGGGTCTCGGGGAACAACCTGGCGACATTGCGTCAGTAGGCACGCAAACTGGAGTTGCTACTGTAACATGCTCACCAGCTGCTTAAGGATGTTCAGCACGAAGATGATTATTGGCGTATAGACGATTCCCAGTAGAACTGTTCTACCGGGAGAGGCGGTGAGATACTGCTGCACAGCATCAACAACGGCTGCAACGTAGCCCGCAGCTGGGGCGGTCGAATCGAACGACATGAAGAAACAAAGTCAAGATGTAAAGCAATGTAAATGCTCCCGCGCTGTCCAAGGAGCACTGGTAGGGTCTCACGAACGCGACTGACTTGTTTTCAGCGCGCGTTTTTATCTTCCCAGAATAGGTTGTCGAACCACGGTACGTGGCTTAGTCATCCCACATCCGAACCAATCATATCCCGAAAACTGACTTGCTTCCGACGGAGAGAAATATAGAATGAGGTGTGTTAAATCATGCAGGGGATAATCAATTAAGCTATGGTGCATTATGACGTGTAAAAATAAAAAGAAGCTATGCACCACCGCATAGCTCCACCATGAACAGCGCCTTCAAACCGACCTGTATGTCCTTGACTCTCACATTCACATATTGCCCCACCGGGATATCCGTAGTCCGAGGCGTGATAATTGTTGCTGGCAAACCAAGTGATGGGATGTGGCATTGAAATACGTTCGTCAGCAAGTCGCGCTTCCTGCCAGACTCTGTGATATATGCACTGAGGGACTGCAGAGGGTCGACGCGATCGCTGGGAGGGTTCGGGTGGTCAAGGAAGCGCTTGATGTACATGAGTGTCCACTGCATGCGATGACTCCGATCGCTATGCTTCCAAAGCTTCTCGTACTCAAGTACCTCGGTGGCGTAGGTAGTGAGCCACCCGGGAGTGAATGGACGCGTAGATGCCTTCGGTCGAAGCAGTACATCCTTGATCTGCCAGTGCGCAACTAGATCGTTGTACCGTCGTAGCGGTGATGTGACGCGCACATAACCTTCCCCTTCCGGGATACCCATGGACCAATGCATGCCTGGCTTAAGGATATACTCGACAGGTGGAATGTGCAATTTCGTCTGGAGAAGCTCCGTGTGATCCACAAATCCATCCTCATCCATTCTAGCAAGTAGCCTCTCAATATCTCTGTTATCCTCGAGGGCTATCGGAGGCCGTGCAGAACGACGCAACATCGGCACTCCCTTTGCGGCGAACCACCGTGAAGCAACGCGAGATGCTGTTTTCATGCAGTCGGCAACAAGCAACCGCGAGCCGCGCTCCATTGTCTTCTGAGAGTACACTTGATAGGTAAGGTTAGGGAAGCCACGATAATACGAAGCGTTCCAAGCTGGTGTTGTCGGAGCGCCGCGGATTGGTTTTGCAGTAGCCACAAGAGTACCCGATGGAGCTGAGAATACGAATGGATTTAGTGTCTGGCGGTTACGCTGTCGGAACTTGCGCGTCAAGTCGTCCATGAGACGCATATTCTCCACATCTTTTGATTCAAGTACAGGTACATGGGAGATTTCAGGGGTTTGGGGTGCTCCGAATGGGTAACCAAATTGAACACCTCCGTTTCCAAGAAGTCGATCCACACTATCATAGTCGACTCTTTTGACGTTGCGAATGAGACCGGCTTTAACATCGTAGTCGACCATGCTGCCTTCAGCGTTTATCTTGAAGCTGAATGTAAGGACAGGTTCAGGCTCTCCCTTCCGAGAATGCGAGCCCAAACTTAGTCGGTCATGGGTAAGGGAGGGAGGTAGCATAGGCCATGTCCTGTGGATGAAGTATGCAGAAGAGCCCATTCGACGTGCTGCCTCTGAGATAATATGAGTCGGTGGAAGGATAACAGTAGGGTCTGCAATGTGGACGTGTATCCAAGCCGAACCAGGCTCGTTAAGAACAGGTTCCACCGACAAGCCGTCGTCCAGCTCTTCTGCGCTCACATCGTCAATCACGTAGACTGGTAAGCTTCCGAAGTCGTGTCGCAAATGCTCGACGGGATCACGATCATAGAAGTCTTCCAGTCCTAATGGTTGCTTTCCCTTCGCCCGCGAGGGTCGCAGCAAAGACAGGCTCCTTTGGACAAGAGCGTGCTCATCTCTGGTACGCTGCGACTCCTCGTCTGGAGTCAGGTCCAGATTCAGCTCCTTCCTCTGGGTCACGATATCCTCCCAAGGGGCCATCTCCCCCATCTCTATCAGGAACTGCCGCAGACACACGTCGTCCACCATCTTATGAGCATGCAAGCCAATCCTCTTGATGATGGATGTGACCACTCCAGAAAAGGGATCAATACAAGTGCTACGCGTCCTGCGTAATGCAAGGTGCAAGACATCAAGGATGGTGCGATCGTCTGTGGAAAATGTGACATCCTTTACGACAACTCTGCTGGGAGGCTCATCCCACGACTCGCTAGCCTTCTCTCTGGCAGTAAGAATGAGGCCCCGAGCTTTCTCGATAAACGCCTCCAGTTCCGGACTTCTTTGCCGCACCATATCCACGACTCTCTGCAGTTTAACAACATGGTTTTCTGGCCGCACATCGTACGTGAGCGCAAGTCTCTGAGACTGCATGTGCGGCACAAATTCGATTGGGCGACCCATGATATATTTATGCGTTGCGAAAAGAGTCGGCCAGCTTTCCGGTCTATAATCGCATACTAGCTTCGCAGCCTCTGAAAGACTGACGGACCCCCACTCGTCTGGGTGCTTCGCCCGTACGTGGGGATATAGCGCTGCGTTCTTCCTCCCAATGACCATGAATGCCTTGTTTATTTCTCTCTCGGCCTCCCGTAGGTACTTCAGGATTTCAACCCGCGCATTAGTCTCTGTGCGGTCCATTGGGGTTGCGCTGGTGCCTGCGCGGAGGGCAAGGTCCCTGTCAGCTATGCGAGGGACCTCGATGTACACATCTGACTCGACATGCTGAATGACTTCGCCTGTACTGATCAAGGAGAGATGCCACATGCGGCCGTTCATATACGAATGGCCCAAGACTACACCATGTGCATATATGGAACTCCTGCAATATCATAAGCCATCAAGAACAAAGAAACAAAAGACTCATAAACTCACCTTCTAATCTCAACAAGCGATCCAACCTCTATATTAGAAACTGACGAAGCATCCCCTGGTTCTACCCCAGAGTCACCATCTTCTACATCATTTGCGAAGATAGCTTGCGTTTCTGTCATGGGTGGCTTCGGCTTCACCATCTCCAGCAGACGCATTTCGTCGCCTCGTAACGTCTTCGTGTGCTTCCATGGACGTTTGGGAGTGAATTTGGTGCCAGCGGCAACACGGACAAGCTTATCCGTTAGCTTGGCTGCTGCAGCGAGCTCACCGGGCGGTAACTTTCGAAATCGACGATTGGGGGTCTTGAAATCATTGTTCTTTATTGGCGTAGGTATCGGATATGATTTTATTGGCTGGACATTGGGCCGGATGTCTGTAAGCAGTTGGCCGGCGCGACGATGCATGAAAGGATACGGAAGAAAATGCACTTGTGGCTGTGCAAAAAGTTAAGACCGAAAATGAAATGGTCAGATGATCAAACACTGAAGCTTGTTCGATACTATCAATTCATTGAATTTCATTATTCCCTTCGTCGCTCATCACCATGTTCAAACGAGTCGAAAAGAAGCGCAAAAAGCTGGAAGAAGAGGAAGAACTAGGAATCGATGAAGATATGAAGGGGTTCATGGGGTTCAACGACACCGATTCGGATGAATCTGCATCAGACTCGGATTCTGGCTCTGACGAGCACTCGGACGCAGACCAATTTCAACCAGGCGAAGAGGACCTGGAGGAAGCTGGATCTGAAGATGGAGACGAAATGGAGGAAGATGATGCAAGCGATGATGAAGAAGAAACGCCCATCTTGCTATCAGAAGCATTGAGGGATCCCATTTATATCGTGTCGCTCGACCCAGATGTCCGAGCTTGTATATTATGCAAGGGCAAGGTCATCAAGAGCACTCAAATGTCGACAGTCCATAAAGCATCTACTGTATGTCCCTTTCTCTGAACATGCAACTGAAAAAAGACAGAGGTTCAGGCTGCCGCAGGCTCATGTACGACGTTTCGAGCGTTTCAAGACCTTCGCAGCGAAAAGTGATTCCCAGAGTGACGCTTGGAAAATTGCAAGGATGGTACAAAAGGAGGCGTCGAATCCTACTGGTACTCAGAATCGTCCTGATGCCGGATTGTCGAAGCGCGCTCTCAAAAGAGTGAGTGGTGTATCACGCTATGTTTCGAGGTGGATTTTCTTAATGCTAGGTTTTCAGTCAGCGAAGCAAGCATCAATCAAAGAGAAGCGGAACCTTCACAGTAAGCTTCGTGCAAAGGCAAAGGCAAAAAAGGCCGCCGAAAAAGTTTCATCATCCCAGGATGCAGCAGGGAAAGAGTCACCAGCAAGCAAGACGCTCGAGAAGCAGAAGTCGCAAAAAGCTGGAGCTGCGACCGGCGACAAAAAGTTGGTGAAGAAAGGGGAGCAGAAAGCCACCGGTGCAAAAGTTCATGACGTAGAAAAGTCCGACGCCTCGCTGAGCGACAAAAGGACAGTAAAGAAAAGAGAACGGAAGCCCCCCGTTTCTGAACTTCAAAACGTAGAAAAATCCGAGCTATCGCCCCAGAAGCTATCAGAACCTCAAAAGAAAAGGCGCAAGGTACAAAAGGATCAAGTCACAACCCCCTCTGCTCCACCGCAATCTCCAAAACGGTCGCAGGAGAAACCTCTCAGAAAACCGAAGACGCCTCGTCAAAAAGAACGGACAACAGCTAGGGCTTCTTGAGTAGGCAGGCAATATGTATCGATCAGTCCACGTCACAATAATCCCGTTAGATATGCATAGAGCTGCTAAATAAACAAGTAAAGGAACACAGTCCCAGTCATGGAGGTATAGTATAGTGCTCTACAACAGCGACTGTAGTACTCTGTCGGTCATTGTGATGACCTAGAGGGATTCTTTCAGCAACGTTGATACTCCTACTAGAAACACATACCTGATGAATATTCGGTCTGTCTTTAGAGTTAACTTTCAGCATACTATCAATCAAGTCCTTCAACCCTTGTGAATACGCGGAGTTCGGGTGTTTATACTGAGCGTTCAGTACAGCCATCGCAATAGAGCCACCTTGCTCCGTCGTTTGGATGTTTTCAAATGGCGAGTGTGAGTATGCAAGAGCGAAGAGCGTGCATCCAAGTGACTGTGAAGAGTTAGAGAGTGCGTGAACGGCAGCAAGAAGACCTACCCATATATCAACTTTCTCGTCAAGAGTAACGCCCGTTTTCACATCGAAAAGTTCTGGAGCGCGGTATGCCATGGTGCTTTGTTCCGCGGCAATATCCTGTGAGATGAATGTGAGATTATATACAGTGGTAAATATATACCTGCATATTATACCTGCTGTAGAAGCGCCAGTGATCGGCTATCTATCTTTATTCTTGCTTTTATAGTACTCCCAAAGTCCATCAGTATGGGTGTGACTCCATCGTCCGCGATCATGATGTTCCTGTGATGTAAATGTCAGAGGTGCAATTGCAACATATCAACAATATTTTTACCCAGGTTTCAAGTCCCGGTGGGCATATGGAACGTGTTCGCTCTTTCCCTGAAACACATTGGCATTTTGAGCGGTTTGAATTGCAGATACTTCCTCGTCACCGTCGAATATCACATCCCCATCCCCCTCGATACGGTGTTTTGTCATCAGGGGCATGTTTACAGACTTATCGTAAGAGTAGCCACCCTCACTGTCGCCTTCCGGTTGCGGGAAAAGCTCATCTTCTCCGTCAGAGTGGTTCTCCTCCACGCGCGAAGATAAACTTGATGAGGAAGGCTGAGGTTGAGCGGAAGAGGAGCCAGTAGTTGTGTGGTAATCATGCATAGCGCGCACGGCTTCGCATGTCCCCTTGAACAGCCGAATCATATCTTGCTCGGGAAAGTGCTTCCCATTCACTACGTTGAGGTTGATAGCATCTTGAAGGTTCCCGCGCTTTATCCCAAAAGGTCTACGGGTGTTCCATAGTAAAGCACGCCTAAAACATACCTGATACAACGGCAGGAAGAGGTAGACAATCTTGCCTTCGCCTTCGGGATCTTGAACGACAGCAGAGTCCTGTGCAGTTATTCAGGAGCTACATGAAGACGATCCGTTGTCACTCACAAGTATCCGGATGATGTTTCGATGTCTGAGAGCATACTTAAGACAGTAAGGTAACCGTCACTAAGTTGACTTACTTGAAACGTCTGTATGCCTCTACCTCCCGCATAGCCTCCTTCACGCCCTCCGATCCAGTAGGACATCTTATCTTTTTGAGAGCGAATTGCCGCTAGATGTACATGCCAACCATATGTGAAATGTTGCAAGGAACGAACTCGTGAGATCGCGTACCCCACTAATTTCGTCTTGTGCTAGATACACAAAGGAGAATCCACCTTCGCCGAGGACTTTTATGATATTAACTGAGATCATAAAAACCACGTTAGCAAGTGCAAACGAATGTTCTAGATTCGTTGTAAAGGGTATGACTGACACGTTCGGCCATTAATTTTTACTTTGGCTGATTGCTGGCAGAGACATGAAGAAAGGGCCCAGATAGCGTCTTTTGCTTGATCTTTGAGACTGTCGAGTGCGCTGACGACCTGAGAGAAAGCCATAAAAGCAGAGGTAGGAGCGAATTTCAGCAAGTACAGTGACAAGTCACTGCGGTTCAAACTTCACTACAGTATTCAATAAACACAGCCACAGGCGTCCGTTATGCGTCTGGTCTAAAAATAGCATTTAGTATGTAATTGAAGCACTTCTTTGAAACTTTATTTTCAAGTTCAAGTGAGTACCCGTGCAAGCATGGATAAGGGGGAGGGGGGCAAGACATTTTGCAGTAAAACCCAAGCTAGTAGCCGGGCGATGGAGAGTACTGCATTGCTGTATCAGTCGGTGACCACCACATGACCGGTTAAAGGAGATTAATTGCCTGAGCGGCGAGCGCTCTAGTAGACTTTGAACATGACTGTGGATCGGGAGCCTCGGCGATCACTAAATTTTTATTTTGCAGACGGGGGCCGGGTAAATCGACTGTCTTACCCGTGCTCATTCGAACTGTCCGGATATCCACAAATTTCTTTGGTTGATTGGATTGTGAAACTCACTATAGGCGTCAGCCCAATACTAGCGCGCAACTTTGACCAGATTCAGAGTCAATTGGTAGGGGGGACTTGCCAACTGATTATGATTTTACAGGATTACTACATGCAGCCAATTTACCGGAATGACATATCTGTCTGCGGAGGAGCTACACCCTGCAGTCGAGTCTCAACTCCTGCCATTAGTAGCATCATTACTCAGGCTACCGTGATAATGGCGTTTACATAGGAAGGTGTGCTTCGTGAGTGATTCTTCATATGGACTATACTTGATGCCACCATCACCTTTGCCACCACACCTGAAATGCGTGTACAAGTACGATGGCACTGTGCAGTAAAAGCAGTACTGCAATCGCCCTGAAAAAGCTGCGCAACCACAAATTACTTCAAGAGTCTCAAGACACCCCGTCGTTTACCGAGCTCCGCACCGTGACTCCGACAAATTCAAGTGGATTGATTACCTTATGGGGCACGAGCAGCTTTCTTTGTTTTCTTAATTTTTTTTTTCCTTCAGCTTCAAAAATGCAGGTCACAGCATTCGAAAAAAAGTATATCATGGCAACGCTCACGTTTCTGCAAGTTTACAATCACCTGCTGATTGTGGGTGGCAGTCACGGTACCTCCAGTGCAAGATGGCATGATAAAGGGCGCCACTCTACCACCTCCCACAGAGATGTTGATCCACTGTTCCTTTTGAATCTTATCACGACATTCCACAGTACTGGCATATACAATCACAGCACGCCATTGTAAAGTTGCTGTAGATGCTTGTGGATTCCCCTGGATTCTGGTGGATGTGGAGGTAGCGCTTTGACGACAAGTGCTATAAAATACCTGCATAGGTGCCAAGGACAGGTAAGTTACTATCATCGTCTATCTTCTCCAAGTAAAACCATGGCTTACCCGTACCCTTTTGCATTCCCTGATGCTAGGCAAATTTCCCAAGCGTCATCTTACTCCACACTCTCCGGTGCGCTTAACCCTGCACCAGCTCAGTCAACGTATCACCCCGTTCGGCCGAATGCTAGCACCTCCGATAATGTAGGACTATGCTTACATATTTTGTCATCCTCCTGACTCATCTCACAATTTGTAGGGAATACCCATCTCCCAGTATATACGTGCTCAGACACCGTCAAACCCGGACCTCTCAGGTGCCCTCGGCCCTGCACATGGACAACCGCACCAATATATTCGGTCACAAGCCCCCGTATGTACCGTAAGTGAAGCGTGTTGAGATACTGGCAATCGATTTACCTGTTATGAATTTGTAGGGGGCATCCATCTCGCCATATTCAGCTGTCCCATATACGTTAAATGGCAGCTACGAAGGGTCATCTGTGAGTCCACGTAAAATACCTGCCATTATTACTTTCTAATGTCCGAAGTCTGCTCGCTCTCCTTACCCATACCCTGAGAGGAATGTTTTGCACCCCGCCAAATACATGGCCAATATGCCACCCGCTGCGCCCAAAAAGATGTACAAGACTGTCGTTCCTTCAGGATTCCATCGGCTCTCGCAGCCCGTTGTCACTGACACATCTGCGTCCCCGAAATCGTGGTGCAGGATTGGATCCCAGCACGCTGCCATCAAATTTAACAGGAAGGGTGGAGGGACGGCCTTCCGTGTCGACGAGCTGGTCGAGCTCGAAGATAAGCCAGAGGTGGAAGGAGGCCATGATCAGGTGTTTAGTGGCATAGGAGATAGGTTTATCAAGGTTTTCATCACGGTAAGTTGAAATACCAGACAACTTTTTTGCAGTGATTAATTTGATATCTTTCCGTTGCAGTGGCCTGGGTACAGTCAATTAATTGTAGAAAGGCGGATCTGCACCGATAATGGAACTCTCAAGAGAGAGAAGTTGCTCAAGTTGTTGGCGAAGTACGTTGAAGACCTCGTTCAGAATATCCACGTACGTTCAAGTGTACTCACCTTTTTTGTTGGTACTGATCAGCCTGTGCAGCGCAAATCGATACATGTAGAAAAAGGATACGAGAGATACAAGGTTGAGTGGAGGCCACGTGGGGTGCCCAGTATTTGGAGAGACTGTTTGATCACTAGTCTTGTCCACGAATCGGGATCCAACTGGCAGGTGGAACTTCATGTGAAGGCTTGATGGGGACAACGTGCTGGACTCGCGTATCATTATTCCATATAGTTATATTGTACCATTGCAAGCCTGGAGCTTGCGGGTATCCTGTATAAATAAAAAAACTCCTCTGTTACGTCATGTATATTTGTGGGGCCGAGGCTGTATTCTCAGCGCTCAGCGATGACCGCGGAGGCACTCATGAATCGGAGTTCCGATCTGCATGCTGAGGCTGTTCCTCAATGGAAACTTTAGCACCCAAGCGAGATATTTCTGAGAACGCTGCTTTAAGTAGGTCAAGGTCTGCGTCCAAGCCCTCCGCCCGTGTCTTCATCTACAGAGAAATCAGACTACACAAAGATGCACCTTGGAAATTTACACACCGCAGCTATCGTATCACTAGCTGCAATCAGCTCATGATGGTGGTTGTAAACCAGAGACTGCCTATCACCATCAAGTTGTCGTATTTCTGAACATCCGAGTCCATGAGCAGACGTCTCACGATCTTGAACGACACGAACCTGTCAGTAAGTCATTCTCTCGCTTCAGCAGAGCCGACAGAGATGATGCGGTTATGAGTTGTTCATAGTATGATTTTGCGTCAAAGGCTGCTGAATCTTCAGTAGCATGGTGAGAATCGAGCTTGAGAACTTGATGACTTTCAAAGCATACCTAGATCCATGGGGTCGTCTGATTTCCCAGGTATAGGTGGTGGTGGACCTACTCCGAGGCCATAGTGCCTCCTCAAGAGATCTCTAGCACGAGACTTTGCAAGAGGCCCTGGAGGGGTTTTTGTCCGAGGCGTTTGTCCAACACCAAGCGAGGATCGACGAGAATTGGACGGAATTAGGGTTGAAGAGCTTTGAGGAGACGTTGGTCGCAGCGGAGACGAGACCACTCTAGGAGCTGACTTTACACGTTGGGCCGTTGGGGATGTAGGTGTAGACTGTGCGGTGGACATGAGGTTGATGATGATACTTACTCCAATTAACAGTCCAATGACGCGATCACGTGCTTGTGCATCGGCAACTCGGACGCCGAGTACTTAAAAGTTAATTTTATCTGAAATCACTGCGGTCACTTGCAAGCATCTAGTATTAGTCAAAGCACGGCCCATGGCACAGATGCCATTCGGGTTGTCCAACTGTGCCATCACTCGAGCCTCATTGGCATTCAGGCTGGTTCAAGCACCACACTCTTCGCAAACTGCGTACTAATGTCAACCTTCTATGGCACATCAAGCTTTCAAGCTCCACCCTGCACGTCCGCCGGCGTAGTATCTTGAAATAGTATTGTATCACTTGTGCGTACCTAAATTCTCGTCTACATCTAGTCTTATAACAATTTCCAATAGAGCACACTCCAAATGTCTTTGAACATTCCCTTAAAGTAATGCCCTCAGTATCACCACTTCTTGCACGCACGGTCCAAGTTCAAAATTCTAAATCAATCTAGTGTCGAAAACATCCTGGCCACACACCAGCTACATGGAGAGATCCACCTTGACCTCGCTATCACGTCCGCAGCCTGACCTCAAGGAGCAGATGCTCGACTCCCGCACTATGATATTGCTGGTGCTGGTGCATTCCTGGGTGCGTCGCTTCTCACCGTTTTGAACCACGTCAACAAGCTGTTTTATGTTTCGTGTGCTGTTCAGCACCCTGGATTTTTTCAAATTCCCTTGACCCCACAGAGGCGCTAGGTCTCAAGTGAGGAACCGTGGCCTTCATATCACAAATGCTTAATACAGTACTTGTATCCTCAAGTAGTCCCTTCAGCAACAATCCTAAACACATCTATAATCATATCCGTAATTCTACCTCGACGAACAAAGAAGAGAGGCAAGCTCCTCCATAAGCATTGACCAACTTCAGCCTCAAGACTCATCAAGTATGCCTCGCATCATTAAGCTACGCATGCATGAACGTGCTTAGGCCGCCGCACACTTTGTGATCACCTTGAATGGATCATCATCTGTAGGCCAGTTGGCGTGAGTCAGCTGAGAAAACAAGGCAGCAGTCCGTAGGACATTAAATGAGGCAAGAAGATGAATCCGGTACGAATTGCTGAGGAACTGAAGCAGTGCGCTGTCACTCGGCTGTCCTCACGCGCACTGCCCAAGCAATCATATGAACGATTGTCATCACACAGAAAAGAAGGACTAGTGGTTGGTGCAAGTGTGCGTGGGCAGCTAGTGCCGGTAGAGATATTCATCGATTGAAACATTATCAGCACGTACAGCAAATCACTTGACTAAATAATGCGACAAAAACGTTGTATGTCTCCTTGAAATCTATTTTGGAACACCAAATAACTTCGATCAATACTGCAAGAAAGTGAGATTAAATAAAAGCAAATTCCCCTGCTCTTTGGAGGGTACTAGACAATCGTTGACTGCACCGAGTATCACACACCACTGCCAGTCGATATATGCACGCGCTCCTGGAAAGCGATTGAGGTCATACCAGTTGCTACATCAGAATCGGCCACGAGCTTGGCGTGGTATTCCCGAATACCAAGGATCAGGCGCGGTCCCAACACAAACATCTGCACGACCTGCGAAATCTGAAGGAACCCATAGATAATCTGAGCGTCCAGGGAAATGGCCTATAGAAACGATAAATTGTGGTAGCGTGCATAGGCGAGTGAAAGATTGACATACCATTGACAATGTTGGAGATAAATTAACAATCATCTCAAAGCAAGAAACAGCAACAAAGCTACCACGTCCGACATGTCAGTTGGAAAAAGGAACAATCATCACAATATGAGCTTACCTCGCAAAGTAAAGCACGTGAGTTTTCATCAACACCGTGAAACAGTCCTCCATAATCCCTCCTGTCGAATGTTGTCTCAATTCACGGAAGTGTTTTACCACAATCCAGACTGCGAGACATAGTGCGATGACCTCCCACACAATTCCGAGTATCCAAGCAATGGAAGTTATAATTATGAGATCTCCTGTATAGTTACTAGTCTGGCACTGATAAGTGCCGGAGAGAATGTGTTCCTCTGGAGTCAATGAGTCTCATGCACGGTTATTTTCATTCACAATTGAACGCACCCCCTGAAGTATGCATCGTTGTGATTATGGAGGCCACTGCATCGAAAGTGTTGATAGCCAGGAAGGTGACAATGAGAAATATCAGGACCTTTCTGGATCCTTGATACATGGCATGCAACCGAGTGATGATGATGACTTGCACCATGTATCAGTCAAGTCAATTTCACTGAGGTATCGCAAGTGCAAAGCTCACCCCACAGCAGCGCAAATACCACAACACCTATCCAATTCCACATAATGAACATAATATAGCCTGACGAATCCAATCAGGGATTGGCCTCGGGTAGCACACACTCCAAACAGACTCACATCTGTGGTAGTATAGCATGGCAGTAATTAGTGAACCAAGAAGTGAGTAAAGAACCACACCCACTGCTACAAGGCGCGACAGTTAATTGGAGGGGAATATTAATAGGCATCTGTATGGAAGACTCACTGTATCTGTCAGCGAGATGGTCGGAACACACACTGAATGCCGTTCGTCAGAAGAAGCAAAGACAGCGAATGTACTAAGGGGACATACCCAGAATGGCCAGGCTGCTTATGAGAGATGGACGATTAGCGCAATGGGAATCTGTAGCCTTCCGAACGTACGCAGCGTATAACATTCCAAGGTAACGCGCCTAGGATACTTCCAAGTCAGTACAACATAGCAACCGCGACAAACAAGCTACATACACTGAGATACATAACTGTCATCAGGGACCATCGTTGTCTCTGGAATCAAGTTTATTTTTATGTGTGTTCCTCTTACACCAGACTCTACTCACCCAGATCAATTCCACCTATAAAGCCATTCTCAGCAAGATAGCTGCTCCGGTCATAGCATCGACATACCTCTTGTCCGAATGTAAGTGCTGAAAATAATCGTAAGACGTCAGCAGTCTTTTAATGCTATCATGCTCACACCAATCATACATCACTGCAGCAAAGGCGGCGACTGTGAAACAAAAGCCAAGGTTAGATTGTGTCAGCTTCAACATCCGACTACTCTCCACGAACCTACAAAATAGCTGCTCAAACTATATGCATTGATGGACGACCACAAAGTGGGATCATTGGAGACTACGGTCATATTGGTAGAGAATAGGCGTGGGTGAGAGGCAAACTTGGTGGACGTAAGACGATGGCATTCGTGCTAATTATACCACTATCCGGTAAGTAGATCAGCGAAACGAGATTGGGAGATGATGACCGTTCCTGCTTTGATTGGTCGAATTTGATATTTTGCATGAGGAAAGATAAATGAATCCAGGGGATCGTAGTAGATGTTGGTCGTAAAACATCTGAACGAGCGAAACACACTTGAACTCCGCAAAAGATTGAACAACATCAAGAACTGTTCGTGATCTTGTCGCCTTGGTTTTCATGCCATTCTCGAGATGTTTTTGCCACACGTGCATCAGTCCATCAATGAAATTAAATACTATTTCATCTGTTTGGCGCATGCGGATCATGGTGCGACCATCGGAAAACCTGTCATTGCCTCGCCAGCACAGGCCCGGGGACACAACACCTCCGAGTCATTCAAGGTCACTCATAAAATGCACATTTGCGTCAGCATGACGCCAGGCCAGAAAAGTCAGCCGTCAAAAATAGCGGAGATTAACACAATACAAACAAATTCGCATCTTACCCTGCGTGCCGATACCACCCTGCTTCATTGTCTCATCTCGTCCCTAGGTCATCTGTCGCTTCATGCGCACGCTCTTGCTCTCCACCTTAGAAATTGGGCCATCGTATGATCTGGATACCAGAAATGGTCAGCCCAGAATATTTGATTTGTATCGTGGTCCGTGGAGTTGGTGCGGTGATAAGAGGTATCAGGTTTCACCAGACTTTCTCCTGGTTGAGATTCCGTGATTGATGTATGATGAAGATACATCATCCCTATATCAAGAGAGTATTGAGATAGAAGATGAGAAAATGAAGGCCCAGATGCAAAATGGCTGAAGGCGATGATATTCTGCTGGCACCATCAGAAATCTAGAGATTTGAAGTTGAGGGAATCACTCACCGAAACATACCTGACCAGCCATGGTCTTTTGAGAGCAGTGGAGAATATATATTAACGTCGTCGATTTGACAGGCGAAGTACGGAGTTTGAAATTTACAGCCTGCCTGCGTAGGCCTGCGTTCGTGCTCAGTTTGCCTCTGTTAGAGCTAGTTCGGTAACCCAAGGTAAGAGCTAGTTCGGTAACCCAAGGTAAAGTAAATTTGCCAACTTCAAGGATGATGTAAGGCCGGCACAGTAGCTTCCGGTTTGGAGACCGACATTGGAGCTTGAACTTCCTTTGATCCATGTCTAGCTATCACACACCCCAGCATACGACTCAAGATCTATGCAATCGGAACAACATCTGGGCTAGTGTCATATCGATAGTGTTATCAGCTCAAGTCCACATCCTCTCCATGGCTCAGGAGTCATCTCATACTACTACAGAGAGGGCTGTTTGGACCGACACAGAGGTTGATCAGTTTCTCCTCTACCTATCCAACAATCGGGACAAGATCGGTGATGCTGGCAACTTCAAAGATGCGACGTACAATGGCGCTGCAGAGGCTATTGCTGAGTACCTGGAGCATGGTCCAGCAAAGAGTGGGGCAATGTGTAAGACAAAATGGGCGTCAGTAAGTCATATCAATATATCATTTTATAGACTTGATAAGAGATCGTGTAGTTAAAGCAGACTTTCAACGCTATTCAGAAGTACCGCCAGCAGTCTGGTGTCCACTGGGACAATATTAGAGGGGCAAATGTCGAGGGCGAGGCTTCAACCTCAGTATGGAATGAATATGTTTCCAAGAAGGTACGTCAAGTTCGCTAATGCTATTTCATGCGTCTCACTGTTTGATAATAGGGAAATTCAGTCATGCGCCCTTTTCGTGCATCAGGATGGAGACACTACGAGCAAATGGACGGCATAATACCACGAGGCAGTGGCGCCCGAGGGCGCACAGGGTACCAACCCAATATAGCTCTCCCCCCTCCCTTAAGCTCAAGCTCCAGTCCTAGCGTACCCGCAGGTGAACACAATACCATGATTGGTCCCGTTATTGCCACGTCTAGTGCTGGTGTTGCTGGTCCTAGCACCGCCCCTGCAGCAGCTGCCCTCACTTCTACACCTGCTTCTCCATCCTTCATGCCTCCTCCTACTTCTCCGTCCTTCATGCCTCCTCCTGCTTCTCCATCCTTCATGCCTCCTCCTGCTTCTCCGTCCTTCATGCCTCCTCCTGGCAAACGTTCTCACACTGACATGGAGCTGACCGCCTCATCTGCATCTACCTCAGTTTCTCAAATGCAAATGCCGCCTCCCTCCGAGTCGAGCTCTATCAAAAGAGCGAAGACAGTATCAGGCCGCGCATCAGGCCGCGCATCAGGCCGTGGATCAGGAGGCCATGCACAGACTCCGTTGGACACCAAGATATCGAAGGCCACCACAGCTGTAGCCGTGATGGGATTCCAGAGCTCTGTCAATCGCTTGACAGATGTAATTGCTGAGCGCATGGTCTATCCTGAGGATCGGGTAATGGACCAGCGCTCGAGGGCCATGCAGATGTTGCAGGTTGAGGATGCAGAGCTGCTGTTCGCAGAGCGGCTTATAATACAACAGGTTTTTTCTATGGACCCTGCAGCTACTGACATATACACACAGACCGCTGACAAGGAGATGCGCCGTGCTTTTATTCTTTCCACAGCCCAGCGGTTGGGACTTCAACTTCCTGCGCCTGGTAGTTAGTATACTCATGTAAAATGCGCTATTGACACAACATATGATGATAATGCAGTAGTTGAAGCATGGTAATGCAAACATCTTGTGCTTTGATGGCGGCGGATACATGAGAGTCGTGCTACAGTGCTACGTATCATTGTCAGAATCTTCAAAGGAGTCATCTAGCAGGCCCCGCTGCTGCAAAACGGTCTGATAATCTTCCCACATGGAGCGCGCAATACGATTGCGCACTTCCTTCATGCCTCCCGCTCCGTCAAACACCTCCTCATCATTGGGGATCCCTTGGTGCTCCGGGTTGTCGTAATCGAAGTGTTCGTCGTCGTCGTCCGGGAGCACGTTGTCGTCAGGGTTGTGAGTTGATATGAAATTGTGAATCGCGCATAGCGCGGCAGGTATACGTGCCTGGATGGTCATAGGATATTCAGGTGAGAGCAAAAGAATACGAAAACGGCGTTTTAACACGCCAAAGATCCGCTCAATCACATTTCGAGCGGATGAGTGTCGCAGATTGAAGAGCTCTTCTTTGGTTGTTGGTCTGCAAACATAGAATAGTTATTAAAAAACCTAAAATATAAAATAAATAAAACATACCTAAGATTAGCGCGTCCCCATTCAGCCAAATGATAACGGACACTGCGGTAGGGGACTAAGAGCTCGTCACACAAAGGGAATCCCGCATCCGCTAAGAAATATTTGCCGGGAGGGACATACAAACTGCCTGAACGAGCCTCGTCATAGAGGCGTGCGTCTGTGGCGGATCCCTCCCAGCCAGTGAGAGCGTATGAGAACTTGAGGTTGAAGGTGCAGGCGAATAGACAGTTTTGAGAAACAAAACCTTTGCGATTACGATATGAGGGGCGGTCAGATGATGAGGGGCGAGCATGGATGTGGCTGCCGTCGATCGCACCAATAGCGTCCTTGAAGTAAGGCCAGAATTTTGGGTTGTTACGGATGTTGCTGGAGACGTCATCGGTGTCATTGGGAGAATGTACGTAGGTTGTGTAGAACGGGGGGACACAAAGATAAACAAGATCTTCCGGAAATACCTGGAATTATTTGTGAGCTCATCATAAATAACATTAAAAACAAACTTACTTTGAGATGGTGTCGTTTGACCGTTGAAAACGCTCCCCGACATGACGGATTGTTAGCCCTGTAACGCACGTATATAAAAAGATGGCAAGTTGCTCTTCGAGCGAAACGTGGCGTGAGCTAGCATAACCCAAAACACGAAGTTCGGCTATGAGCGTGTGAAAGACATCTGCATGCATGCCAAGTTCGCATCGCATACGATCCGGGTGACCAACGATGAGTTCCATGACCCATTCTTCACCTGAGAGGGCCGATGTGTGGTATGCCTCAGGTACAGAGTCCTGAAGCAATGAGTGCGTAGCAGTCAGAAGGACACTGACGAGTAGTGCAATGTGACGTAGGATTCGCATATGATTCTGCCGACGGCCTGCAGCTGGCGGCTGAACAGCCTGGGCTTGAGCGAGTTGTTGGAGCAAGGGGTCAATGGTATCCATAATCTATCGATATCTATCCCTAAAGCAATGAGCACAATGGATAACAAGTCCTACTAATATTGATATCATAAGGTTGAAACTCAGCTATCGGCACCTACTGTGCCGGCCTTACATCATCCTTGAAGTTGGCAAATTTACTTTACCTTGGGTTACCGAACTAGCTCTAAAGTAAATTTGCCAACTTCAAGGATGATGTAAGGCCGGCACAGTAGGTGCCGATAGCTGAGTTTCAACCTTATGATATCAATATTAGTAGGACTTGTTATCCATTGTGCTCATTGCTTTAGGGATAGATATCGATAGATTATGGATACCATTGACCCCTTGCTCCAACAACTCGCTCAAGCCCAGGCTGTTCAGCCGCCAGCTGCAGGCCGTCGGCAGAATCATATGCGAATCCTACGTCACATTGCACTACTCGTCAGTGTCCTTCTGACTGCTACGCACTCATTGCTTCAGGACTCTGTACCTGAGGCATACCACACATCGGCCCTCTCAGGTGAAGAATGGGTCATGGAACTCATCGTTGGTCACCCGGATCGTATGCGATGCGAACTTGGCATGCATGCAGATGTCTTTCACACGCTCATAGCCGAACTTCGTGTTTTGGGTTATGCTAGCTCACGCCACGTTTCGCTCGAAGAGCAACTTGCCATCTTTTTATATACGTGCGTTACAGGGCTAACAATCCGTCATGTCGGGGAGCGTTTTCAACGGTCAAACGACACCATCTCAAAGTAAGTTTGTTTTTAATGTTATTTATGATGAGCTCACAAATAATTCCAGGTATTTCCGGAAGATCTTGTTTATCTTTGTGTCCCCCCGTTCTACACAACCTACGTACATTCTCCCAATGACACCGATGACGTCTCCAGCAACATCCGTAACAACCCAAAATTCTGGCCTTACTTCAAGGACGCTATTGGTGCGATCGACGGCAGCCACATCCATGCTCGCCCCTCATCATCTGACCGCCCCTCATATCGTAATCGCAAAGGTTTTGTTTCTCAAAACTGTCTATTCGCCTGCACCTTCAACCTCAAGTTCTCATACGCTCTCACTGGCTGGGAGGGATCCGCCACAGACGCACGCCTCTATGACGAGGCTCGTTCAGGCAGTTTGTATGTCCCTCCCGGCAAATATTTCTTAGCGGATGCGGGATTCCCTTTGTGTGACGAGCTCTTAGTCCCCTACCGCAGTGTCCGTTATCATTTGGCTGAATGGGGACGCGCTAATCTTAGGTATGTTTTATTTATTTTATATTTTAGGTTTTTTAATAACTATTCTATGTTTGCAGACCAACAACCAAAGAAGAGCTCTTCAATCTGCGACACTCATCCGCTCGAAATGTGATTGAGCGGATCTTTGGCGTGTTAAAACGCCGTTTTCGTATTCTTTTGCTCTCACCTGAATATCCTATGACCATCCAGGCACGTATACCTGCCGCGCTATGCGCGATTCACAATTTCATATCAACTCACAACCCTGACGACAACGTGCTCCCGGACGACGACGACGAACACTTCGATTACGACAACCCGGAGCACCAAGGGATCCCCAATGATGAGGAGGTGTTTGACGGAGCGGGAGGCATGAAGGAAGTGCGCAATCGTATTGCGCGCTCCATGTGGGAAGATTATCAGACCGTTTTGCAGCAGCGGGGCCTGCTAGATGACTCCTTTGAAGATTCTGACAATGATACGTAGCACTGTAGCACGACTCTCATGTATCCGCCGCCATCAAAGCACAAGATGTTTGCATTACCATGCTTCAACTACTGCATTATCATCATATGTTGTGTCAATAGCGCATTTTACATGAGTATACTAACTACCAGGCGCAGGAAGTTGAAGTCCCAACCGCTGGGCTGTGGAAAGAATAAAAGCACGGCGCATCTCCTTGTCAGCGGTCTGTGTGTATATGTCAGTAGCTGCAGGGTCCATAGAAAAAACCTGTTGTATTATAAGCCGCTCTGCGAACAGCAGCTCTGCATCCTCAACCTGCAACATCTGCATGGCCCTCGAGCGCTGGTCCATTACCCGATCCTCAGGATAGACCATGCGCTCAGCAATTACATCTGTCAAGCGATTGACAGAGCTCTGGAATCCCATCACGGCTACAGCTGTGGTGGCCTTCGATATCTTGGTGTCCAACGGAGTCTGTGCATGGCCTCCTGATCCACGGCCTGATGCGCGGCCTGATGCGCGGCCTGATACTGTCTTCGCTCTTTTGATAGAGCTCGACTCGGAGGGAGGCGGCATTTGCATTTGAGAAACTGAGGTAGATGCAGATGAGGCGGTCAGCTCCATGTCAGTGTGAGAACGTTTGCCAGGAGGAGGCATGAAGGACGGAGAAGCAGGAGGAGGCATGAAGGATGGAGAAGCAGGAGGAGGCATGAAGGACGGAGAAGTAGGAGGAGGCATGAAGGATGGAGAAGCAGGTGTAGAAGTGAGGGCAGCTGCTGCAGGGGCGGTGCTAGGACCAGCAACACCAGCACTAGACGTGGCAATAACGGGACCAATCATGGTATTGTGTTCACCTGCGGGTACGCTAGGACTGGAGCTTGAGCTTAAGGGAGGGGGGAGAGCTATATTGGGTTGGTACCCTGTGCGCCCTCGGGCGCCACTGCCTCGTGGTATTATGCCGTCCATTTGCTCGTAGTGTCTCCATCCTGATGCACGAAAAGGGCGCATGACTGAATTTCCCTATTATCAAACAGTGAGACGCATGAAATAGCATTAGCGAACTTGACGTACCTTCTTGGAAACATATTCATTCCATACTGAGGTTGAAGCCTCGCCCTCGACATTTGCCCCTCTAATATTGTCCCAGTGGACACCAGACTGCTGGCGGTACTTCTGAATAGCGTTGAAAGTCTGCTTTAACTACACGATCTCTTATCAAGTCTATAAAATGATATATTGATATGACTTACTGACGCCCATTTTGTCTTACACATTGCCCCACTCTTTGCTGGACCATGCTCCAGGTACTCAGCAATAGCCTCTGCAGCGCCATTGTACGTCGCATCTTTGAAGTTGCCAGCATCACCGATCTTGTCCCGATTGTTGGATAGGTAGAGGAGAAACTGATCAACCTCTGTGTCGGTCCAAACAGCCCTCTCTGTAGTAGTATGAGATGACTCCTGAGCCATGGAGAGGATGTGGACTTGAGCTGATAACACTATCGATATGACACTAGCCCAGATGTTGTTCCGATTGCATAGATCTTGAGTCGTATGCTGGGGTGTGTGATAGCTAGACATGGATCAAAGGAAGTTCAAGCTCCAATGTCGGTCTCCAAACCGGAAGCTACTGTGCCGGCCTTACATCATCCTTGAAGTTGGCAAATTTACTTTACCTTGGGTTACCGAACTAGCTCTTACTTTGAAAGGTTTTATCACAGATCTGGCGTGCCTGAAGTCTTCTGAATGGTAATTTCCCTCCGATGCACACATGTTCTTATGACAACTCGCAATGCAACACAATTCAAAGATCGATCATGGAACATTCCCTTCGAATTCGATACCCTCAAATCTCCCAGAGTACCACCACAACCTAACGCACGTAATCCGAAAATTTTAAGCAAGGCCCATCGTCGATGTCATCTTGAAGACATCTTGGCCACATCCACATAATCGCTTTCCAAGCCCTGCTACATCCCAGAGGCAGTCTCTACCACTACCCAGCTACTTCGAGAGATCGACCGTTCCCTGTCTCGAACTCGCTATGACATCCACCACTTGAAATCAAACAACAGATGCTCGACTCCTGCACTATCGCTGGTGCTGGTACCTGCATGTCCATTCCTAGGTGCGTCACATCGACGAGCCATTTTGTGTTTGTGTATCATGCTCAGACATTAGTATCCTGGATTCCCTTGACTCCCCAGAGGCGCTGGGTCTCGGCTACAGAAAGCACGCAGGAGCATTCAAACTTACTACTACTTGTAGCCTTTATATCACGATGATACATGTATCCCCCGATAACACTTTTGTAGCAATCCTAGACACAATTAAGCCAGTTGGCATGAATGGTCAGCTGAGAAGGGCGTTGAATGAGCGAGGCAAGAAGATAAATCGAGGACAGGTTATTGAGGAACTGAGACTGCGCACTGTTGTTCAGCTTGGCCCTCGCCCCCTCATTTGCCTAAGCAATTGCGGGAATGATCATTATCAGACAGAGGAAAGAAGAACCGATGGTTCGTGCAAGTGTGCGTGGCAGCTAGTGCCGGTATTGATATTCAGGATATTCATTTCAACATTATCAGCACGTATAGCAAATTACTTGACTAGATAATACGACGAAAATTTTATGTCTCCTTGAAATCTACTTTGGAACACCAAATAACTTCGATCAATAGTACCTTCAAGAAAGTGGTAATAAATAAAATATGGAAAGTCTAACAGCCGCGCTCTGTTATCCCCTGTGACATGAACCATAAACGGTAGTCACAACTTGTGGACTCCGAACACCTCTGATATTGCTTCTAAATTGTAGCGGTGCGGACACACCAAGTTCGGTGATGCTGAATCTGACCTTGCTTGCCTGCGTGGTCACAGATTTTTTCCGACTGGTCCAGCGATTAGTGCTTAGCTGCCATGCTGGCACCATTTTCAACGTCCGATCATTTTCTGCGTACCCTAGCTTTGTATTCTATTGCAGCTGCTCAGCCTCTGTGACTGATGGACATTCCTCTGTCTCGCCTTGTTCAAACTACTCAGACCTTCGGGCGTCCTGACCTCGGACGGCTTGTCACCAAAGGCTGACCTCAGCCTGGCAAGTCCAGCAGTAGCTATATCAGGCACAAGTCAGGAACCTCAAATCAGACTCACGTGCTTTGCCTTTTCTCGTCTCATTTACAACATGTGGTTGTGTATGATACTGCTCTGTGAGTCAATTTTGATTATGTATGTGATACAAATGTGACTAACCTATTAACTAGATAGTTGATTAATACTATTTTGTCTTTACTACCTTTCACCGCTTCGTGGTCTCCACTCAGGCTTCCCATTCGTGCTAGAACGTGATTCGTCAGCATACCAGTCATCGGCCTTTCGAGAAATAGTGTATACTGGTTATCCAGTGTCATGGCAGAGTTGGTATTGTTGTAAATGTTCGTTGAAGGTGTTGTCGTGTTGCTGTACAGTCGTCTGTGTTGCGTTGCCTGACCCAGTAATTGACATATAGATCATCCAGTGTGGTGTCTCTCTCTACTCCATCTCGCACTGGCACTGGTACGAAGAAGGGGTCTATAGCACACCGAGTAGTAGTCACAAGTTGAGGACTCCATACACTTCTAACGAGGATCGGCAACCTATATAGACCCATACATTAGGGTTCGGAATGCAAGCACCTGCACTCCGAACCCTAAGTTATGTTACTCAGACTGTTATTGGCCCGACTGACTTCCATAAATTCTATCCCAGCAATACTTATACTGACCGTCTTGAAATTCCAGGAGGCTCAGAGCTATTAACTGATCCACAAATTCTGACTCATCCATACGTGCATTACTGTGTGAAATCTTATTCATCAACTCACTAGTGTTCTGCACTGTTAGCACTGTAAGCCAAGGGAAAGATATCTTCGGAGATGGGAACATTGAAGGGGCTGTTAGCAAGTTTGAAAAGCAGCATAGCTGTAATTATTATTGCGAGTGGCCGGGTTTTGGCTTAGATCCTTTCACAAAGCTGCCAGATGCCAGTGGCAGCACAGACGATGCTGATATCTGAGTGGTATTTAGTTTGCTGTATCATATCTTGGGGCTATACTTGTATATACGATTGATGTTCTTGATATTCAACGGATGACTCAGAGGTGCACGAGGTCCTCATACCATTTGTAGATGCGTGACGCTGACTAAAGGAGCGCGGCTGTTAGGCTTTCCATAATAAAAGCAAATTTCCCTGCTGTTTGCAGGGCACCAGACAACCGAGTATCACACACCACTACCTATGACAGCCCAGAGGAGACAATAATAAATTGAATCATTTTATATAAAATATCTACATGATAACTCAAAAGTCGTGTTATGTCCGAAAATCTCTGAATGATAACCAAAAGTCATCCACATGGCTTCTCAAAACTCTAATTCATTCTCAAAAGTCATCCACGTGGCTTCTCCGAACTCTCTTCTCGGCACAACAGTCATCCACATGGTGAGTCCTACTGTTGTCCTCATTTTTGTCAATGATGAGCCACGCAGTGCCGCGCGTCGGGTCACGCGTCACACAGGCGGGTGCGTGATGTACCTGCACTTTCCTTGAATAGTAATTATTTATTTACAGTTACGGTTTGACTGTTTGACAGATGACCTTGCTGCTGCACCCTCTGCGACGACACGAGCACACCATCTACCACCATACCTGTGTTCTGCTCACTTGCGTTTCGTCGTTCATTGTAACATTCCCTTACTCCCTCGACATCCAGCCCATTAATGCTCAAAGCCTCAATGCCTCTCAGGATAATAGTCCACCGCTTCCTCAAAATTCGAATCCCACTTTTGGCACTCCCGTTTCCTCATCGGCGCCTCTATGTCCACCCTCCTTGTGGAGATCGTCCACGTTGACCCTCGTGAGCTCTTGTGGCATGTGCTTGGATCCAGGAGGTGGCGATGGGAATCTGTTCAAGGCTGCCGAATTTCACTGCAGCAGAGGGTATCCTGACGCAAGAAAGTCCCGATGCAGCCTACTGCTGCGCTCCTGACTGGTCTTTCTCGTTTTCCAACTTTCAAAGGTATGTCTCGCGTGTCCCTCACCTTGTATATACTAATCATTCATTAAGTGTTGTTTCTGCACGAGTAAAATCTGTGCATCTCTATTGCTCAGCAAACTCGAATCTGTCTGTTTTATTAGGAAGACTTGGAGATGAAGAGCTTATGTGAGTCGTCGCATCTGCACATGACTATTATACTTACTCAGAGTGGAGATTTTGTTCCGCATGTAATGTGACTATCCGGCCCTCTAGGCAGCCAGTAGACTTCTGGACAAGGGACTCCCTTCCAACTTTCGATCACATTCTACGTTTGTCACCCGTACTTTCAGATCGGACAATTGGGCTGCTGTGTTTTAGGTGCCAAGAGTTTGCCAACCTCATTGTGAAAGCCGATGGACTTTATGAGTGGGCACGTCTTGCATGCGAATACATTAGAGAAGACCTTCCCAGCTTATCTCCAATGGACTGCCTAGGGAGCGGCAAAACTTGTTGTATGATATAGATATGTATTGCTTCGCATGCCAGCAATAAACATTGTTGAATATTAAAGGAAAGCCATTTAGAGTGCGGTGCTTACAATACTGTCCAACATTCACAGGACAACATTGACATGGATCAACTCACTCTCCCACTGCAGAACATCATCATAGCATTCGACGAGCTCAAAGATCAAGTTCGTGTTGCTCTTCTCACACAGCTTGGTGACGCTGCACGTCTCCAAGTTCAGATACATTCATGCGAGCAGCTTAGACATCAAATTGATACGGTGTGTATTTCCTTCCTTCAACTAGGTGCTGATACTAAACTCGGAGTCTGCAGCATCATAACCTTATACCTGATGCCACCTTTGCGACCATGTGCTCTAGTCTGGATGCCATGGTGTCTGATCTTGAGCAAGCGAAAGAGCGGTCAGCAGATCATCCGGATGCGCCTCCCATTAACCCCATTGTTGCTATTCACACTGGACGGCGTGGTCGTCCCCGGCTTGAAATCAATTCTGATGTGCTAGAAACTGCGATGCAGTTTGGTGGACCAATGGCACTGAGCAATGTCTTTGGTGTTTCATCACGCACAGTTCGTCGACGTGCCTTGGAAAGTGGGCTTTCAGAACCTGGAGAGCCAGTTTATGTAGAATTCACTGGCAATGATGGTGTTGTGTCCCGTTTTTATACATCATCCACAGCATCACAGTCCACCTTATCCGACGATCAATTAGATACAACAATGCTTCAGATTCTCACCCACTATCCTACTCTAGGACGACACATGATCGATGGTCAACTACGTTACTTGGGCATCATTGTACCTCGTGCTCGCATTCAAGAATCTTACGCTCGTGTCCATGGCCCTCCTGTAGCAGCCTTTGGCATTCGCCGCATCATGCGATGGGTCTACAAAGTCCAAGGCTACAACTCTTTGGCGCATCATGATGGACAACACAATAAGTGATTATGCTTGGACCTTGGTACATCACTACCATGATCAATTAGGTCTTATCCGCTGGAAGATCGTTGTTCATGGATTTATTGATGGCTATTCACGGTACATAACAGGCATTCGAGCGCACAATAACATTGTGCTGTTACTGTTTTGAATTTGTTCACGGAGCTCATCGAAGTACATGGGCTCCCAAGCCGTGTTCGGGGAGACCATGGAGTCGAGAATGTTGATGTTGCGCGGTTCATGGAGGCTGCTCGTGGGACAGGCAGGGGTTCGTACATCTGGGGTCGGTGAGCACTCAGTCAGCCTGACCATTCAATTTAGTATTCTAAGAGATCACAGGAGTGTACACAATATACGCATCGAGCGGTTATGGGTCGACTTTACAAACGGGATAGGATCCAAATGGAAGAAGTTTTTTCAAGATCTCGAACTTAGTAGTGGTCTTGACGCTGATAACCCTCATCACATATGGCTGGTCCATTACCTTTTCCTCACAACCCTCAATTCCGAAATTCACGCATGGGCTGAAACTTGGAACAACCACCGCATGAGTACTGCTGAACATGGTATCACAAGCCCGCACCAACTGCGCTACCTCAGCATGCTCCAGCATGGTGCACGTGGCTTTGAGCCATGCACATTTCATGCCCCAGAAGATGTACTTGAGGGTGACAGTCTGGAAGAATATGGTATTGATTGGGATGCCATTGACAGTTCCCGAATTCGTTCTCACCACAATACTTCCAACCAACCAGACGACCTCGCCGACAATCCATTTATAGCCTATAGGCCTGAGACACTTAATGAAGTGAACGTGGATGAACCCAACTGCCCCCTCTCCCCTGCCCAACTTGAGCAGTTGCATGCCTACCTTTGGCAATTTCCAGACGATGGGCAAAATGTTACTCGCAGGTCTCTTTGGGAACATGCACTTGCTAAGTGTATTCAATTAATATCATAGTCTGCATTGCTGCATTGTACTAGTGATAAGTCTGCACCATGCAACATAGGATCCTAAGCTGGCTACCATCTCCACTCGATTGACCCTTTGCTGCGCATCCGCACACCTTTGTACATCTTGTATGTCTCGCTTAAGAGCTGCAACTGATCAACCTTGAGCGAGGAGAAACTGTATCACCAACGTTGATTGAAATAGACTCAGGTTACTAGATGCTGGGTCAAGGACGGTCGAGCTTGATTGGAACGACTGGAATAAGCCTGTGATGTCTCGGCTCAGGGCGAAGTTGTTCCGGAATAGCACCTACGTAAACGATATCAGGCAACCATGAGAAACATACAGCGGGCAGCAAACCAAGTTAGAGATCGCAGTATTGAATAGCACGAGCAATGTATCTTCTTGAGCAGAACGCTCAATACTATGAACACCTATCAAAGAAAGATATCAATGTGAAACGTCCACTGATGGTTTAATTCGACATACCTTCAAAATCCAAAGCAACAATAAGAGCATCTTTAGTCGGAGTTACTGACATCCAAACCCCTTCTGTCGTACGCATGGCCGATCCTGCGAATGATGTATCCACAAGATGGTTCAAGGAAAAGCTCTTCGATTGTTCGCCCATGGACGACACAACTTTGACCGGCTTGAAGAAGATGGCACCGGATAAAGTCAGTATCGCTCGACTCGAGGCGTTCATGTATCATACCTTTTTCGCCATGTATGACTGGAACAAAGACTCATACCAACCAAAAGACAGGTGATTGACAATGCGGTTAACATCTGCACCGAGGAGGGACTTCTCAAGTTCGGTTGGATATATACCATCCTTGAGGATCCAAGGATAGTAGCGCAAGGGAAAGGAAGTGCACGAGGAGACTAAAGACAACTTTGATCAGCTTGCAAGCAAACCGACCATGAGCATATTTCAAGGCGTGTTTTTATAGAAAACAAATGTTGCAACTGGCAGGTTTCAAACCTGCACGGTCCAAGAGAAACAGATTTTAACTCTGGTGATCACTTGACAATTTCATCTTTGGCAGGTTTTGAACCCCACGCAGACAGATTTAGATTCTGTTGTATTAACCGCTTGGCTGAGAGCAGTTGTGTTCAATTCCAATGAACCCATTCAGAAGTGAGTCCTCAAGGCACATTTATCTGCATTTTGTCAGTTCTTTCAACAGCATGGTCACCCTTGATTCTTGTATACTGCTCTTATTGCAAAAGACACAGACTTCTGCTGGGGCTCTTAACTTCAAGACCTGTTTACCTAAGAATCTCCTTGAAAAAGTGCTGATGACAGACCATCACAGTGGGCCAATGATGTTTGTGATGTCTTGGGATTAACAACCGGGTCACGAGTGACAACTGACAATGGAAGGATCGCATATGGTTGAGCTCAAGGGTGATGTTAGAAATTAATGTTAGAACTGACAAAATGCAGGATAAATGTACCTTGAGGATTCACTTCTGAATGGATTCAATGGGAGTGCATCTAACTGGTCTTAGCCAAGCAGTTAATACGACAGAATCCAAATCTGTCTGTGACAGGTTCAAAATCTGTCAAAGATGAAAATGCAAGTGATCATCAGAGTCAAAATCTGTTTCTCTTGGACTGCGCAGGTTTGAAACCTGCCAATGATGACATTTTTATTTTATGAAATCACATCCTGTCCCATACCAAGCACTGCATTTCTGTGCGCGCCCTACATTACATGTCCATCTGTTGTCCAATCCAACACACTGCTGGTATATTTTCATTATTTTATTTTTATGTCGTGCTGAAGGATACTCCCAGCTACAGACCACAATGTATAGATGCAACAGAAGCATTCTCGCTACATTCTGCTGCAAAACTAGTACAAAGCAGTCACACCTGGGTTGCATTGAAAAAGATAAAACTGACACGAATGACATCACTTTGATGAATACTCCAAAATGTCTAACTGTCCCTATTTGCTTGCACTTGGAACTTGGGTCTCTGAGAATCTATACACTGCAAAATATTTTGCAAGCAGGTTTTGAACCTGCATGGTTTGAAAGAAACAGATTTTGACTCTGTTGCAACATCTACTTGGCTAGGACCAGTGATATGAAGCTCTCAGGAAAGTACACATGGGTCGATGTCAAGGTGTGTTCTAACAGGGGAAAAAAAAAAAACATATATAAATCATGAGGAAATGTCAAGGTGCGATTTCATGGAATAAAAATGTTATCATTGGCAGGTTTTAAACCCGCACATTCCAAGAGAAACAGATTTTGACTCTGGCGATCACTTGATAATTTGATCTTTGGTAGGTTTTGAACCCACACAGACAGATTTAGATTCTGTCGTATCGACTGCTTGGCTAAGACCAGTGAGATGCACTTCTAATGAACTCATTCAGAAGTGAATACTCAAGACACGTTCATCTGCATTTTGTCAGTTCTTTCAATAGGCATGGTCACTGTTGATTCTTTTATCCTTGACGCAAAGTTCAATATATGACCAAAGTCTTGATGCAAACTCGGAATGATGAGTACAAGAGCAATTTAATTCTCTCCAAAGGTCTTGACTTTGTTGAAGAAGAAGAGCAGATTACACATCAAACTTTCAAGTTTGATCCTAATGACCTGGGGAATGAGGAAGAATACACATCTGTCAAGGCTGAGATTCAAGGCAAAGATTCAAAAGAGCCATCTGGCCACTATTCGCTTATGTATAAGGTTGAGGTGCACTGTATTTGAGACCTGCTCTTCTCTTGCTTTTTGAAAGTGTTGTATTGCAGTCTGTTTTCAATTCATCTGTTCAGCCGAGGGAAAACATTGCGAGTGACTGAACCAGACACTTAGTCAAGCCTGGTTAGGCGCGTGATGATGTGCGGAGCACAGTTAAGCAGAAGTGCTACTATGCATTGGCATGCACTAAGCAGATGTGAGGCGCGCATGCAGGTGGTTGGAGCATAGCGACTCTAGATGAGTTGAAGGGGGACCTAATAGGGGCTAAAAAGCACGTACCACAAAGGACTACTTTGAAGGTAAACCTATAGGGAGAGGTATGGAAGCAATGTAGTAGTAGTCCCAAGTATAGTCAACTTATACTGTCTAGTGCGCAGGAAAGTGCGGGTTCAGGTTTGCACAGGAGTTAATTGTTGGACAAATGATGAACAAGGATAGGGAAACTGATAGTGCTCTATACTCCTCGATGCATATATAAAAATTGGCTCATTCCTGCCCAGCGCGGTTCTGAGCATCACAGCAAGATGATGGTGGTTAATTTGTCAAGAGAGAAAAACATACATGAACTATGTAAGTAATGTTAAGCGCTAAAGCAAACTGAGAAGCGAAGCGAGTGCGTGATAATATGTAATATAAGGGTCCATGACATAGCATTATGGAATGTGTGCGTATAGCACCAGCAATGCTGTCAGAATTCACAGAAATAGAATAGAAATATGCACCGATGAACTGAATGGACAAAGGACAAGCATGACTCTGTTATGACAGTCACATGGCTAAACCCAACTTTGATCAGCTTGCAAGCAAAGCGACCATGAGCAAATTTCAAGGTGTGTTTTCATGGAAAAAAAATGAATTTTATCATTGGCAGGTTTCAATCCTGCAGAGTCCAAGAGAAACAGATTTTGACTCTGGCGATCACTTGACAATTTAATCTTTAGCAGGTTTTGAACCCACACGGACAGATTTGGATTCTGTTGTATTAACTGCTCGGCTAAGACTAGTTGAATGCACTTCCAATGAACTCATTCAAAAGTGGATCCTCAAGGCACAATCTCAGCCTTGATATATTTGTATTTTTCCTCATTCCCTAGGTCATTAGGATGAAACTTGCAAGTTTGATGTGTAATCTGCTCTTCTTCTTCTTCAACAGAGTCAAGACCTTTAGAAAGAATTAAATTGTTCTTATGCTTATCCTTCCGAGTTTGCATCGAGATTTTGGTCATATATTGAACTCTGTGTCAAAAATACTCGCATTCACCTAGCAAAAAAGGATGCATGAAACCAACAGCGATGTCAATCAAGCTTGAGATCATCAGTGTTTGCTTGCTATACATTTGTGTGGAAATGTGAAGGTGTGATTTCATTATTCATACAATAAAAATAAAAATGTTATTGTCAAGGTGTGTTTTTATAGAAAATAAAATTCATCATCAGCAGGTTTCAAACCTGCACATTCCAAGAGAAACAGATTTTGACTCTGGCAATCACTTGATAATTCGATCTTTAGCAGGTTTTGAACCCACACAGACAGATTTAGACTCTGTTGTATCGACTGCTTGGCTAAGACCAGTGAGATGCAGTTCCAATAAGCTCATTCTTTACAACTGGGTCATGAGTGACAACCGACAATGGAAGGATCACATATGATTGGACTTAAGGGGGATGTTGGAAATTAATATTAGAACTGACAAAATGCAGATAAATGTACCTTGAGTATTCACTTCTGAATGGGCACATTTGGAGTGCATCTCACTGGTCTTAGCCAAGCAGTTGATATGACAGAATCCAAATCTGTCTGCATGGGTTCAAAACCTGCTAAAGATGAAATTGTTGAGTGATTATCAGAGTCAAAATCTGTTTCTCTTGGACTGTGCAGGTTTGAAACCCGCCAATGATACTATTTTTGTTTTATGAAATCACACCACCAGCAAGATGGTGCTCTAAAGCACAATATTCAAGGCATGTTCTAATAGAACAAAAAAATGCGAGATTCAACAGGTTTCAAACCTGTTGCACTTCAATGAAAACAGATTTTGATTCTGTTATGACAACCACTTGGCTAGACACAACTCTGATGAGCTTGTAAGCAAACCGACCATGAGCATATGTCAAGGTGCATTTTTATAGAAAATGAAAATTATCCTTGGCAGGTTTTAAACCCGCACATTCCAAGAGAAACAGATTTTGACTCTGGCGATCACTTGATAATTTGATCTTTGGTAGGTTTTGACCCCACACAGACAGATTTAGATTCTGTCGTATCGACTGCTTGGCTAAGAACAGTTAGATTCACTTCCAATGAACTCATTCAGAAGTGAACCCTCAAGGCACATTCATCTGCATTTTGTCAGTTCTTTCAATAGCATGGTCGCTGTTGATTCTTTTATTATATTTGTATTTTGCCTGATTCCCCAGGTTATTAGGATCAAACTTGAAACTTTGATGTGCAATCTGCTCTTTTTCTTCTTCAACCAAGTCAAGACCTTTAGAAAGAATGATATTGTTATTGTACTTGTCCTTCCGAGTTTGCATCGAGATTTTGGTCATATATCGAACTCTGCATCAAAAATACACTGTGTGATCCTTTCATTGTCAGTTTTCACTCATGGACCCACCATGGTGGTCTTCCATCAGCACTTTTTCAGGGAAATCATTAGATAAACAGGTCTTGAAGTCAAGAAGCCCCAGCAGGAAGTCTGTGTCTTTTGCAATAAGAGTAGGATAAAAAAAATCAACAGTGACCATGCTATTAAAAGAGATGACAAAATGCAGATAAATGCACCTTGAGGACTCGCTTCTGAATGGGTTCATTGGAGGTGAATCTAACTGGTCTTAGCCAAGCAGTTGATACAACAGAATTCAAATCTGTCTGCATAGGTTCAAAACCTGCTAAAGATGAAATTGTCGAGTGATCACCAGAGTCAAAATCTGTTTCTCTTGAACTGTGCAGGTTTGAAACCTGCCAATGATAACATTTTTATGTTTATTCTATGAGGGCACACCTTGACATATGCTTATGGTCGGTCAGCTTGCAAGCTGATCAGAGCTGTATTTAGCCAAGTGGTTGTCATAACAGAATCAAAATCTGTTTCTATTGGAGTGCAACAGGTTTGAAACCAGTGAAACATCACATTTTTTTCTATAAGAACATGTCTC